CCCATTTCCACGGTGCGACCGTTGAACGCGCTTTTTGCCTTGTCGAACCGGGGATTTTCCCGGGGCGCCAGGCCCATAGTGTCACTACTCACGTTCGGTAGCTAGACATCTAGCCGCTGCCTCGCTTTCCGCAGATTTTTGAGCCTCAGTGTATGCCGCCGTTATGGTTGTATGCAGGACGTATTCATTAGCTACGAGGTATACAGAGCACTACATGAAGGGGGAATAAGCTAGAGCCCATCGATGGCGGGAGTCCAAGAGTTGCAGCAAAATCGACAGAGTAATCCCAATATGTCGATTGAACGCGTTCGCGATAGCGCGTCGCCCAATCATATACAGTGCCTGGGCGCCTGCACAGGTAGACCGCCCTGTGCGAAAGTTGACGTGCGCTTTTGTGCACCTGTAGCCTTCGTCATCAGTTGACAAGTCGACAAAAGTCGACGACAACCCGGTGTCGACCGGCACATCACTGTTACTACATGCCCTAGAACTCAAGGAAGTTGATGTCGTCGACCGCCTTAAGTGTGGCGTTGGTGGGGTCGAACTCCTTCACGAGCGCGCGTATGAGCGGCGTGCTGAACGTGCAGCCGGTCTCCAGGAAAGAAGCCCTTCGCTCAGTCGTGTCATTGCAGCCTCCACACCGGGTCACTGCGGTCGTTCCTTGTTCGTTTCAAGACTCGGGAGGCCGGCAAGCGCTAGTCGAACGCCCAACGCCGAACGGTGCATCGCCAGGCACGCAAGTGCCACATAGTAGGCACGTATCGTCGTCCCATGACACTCCTACTGACTTACCGTTGGCGTCCTTCCTCCATCAGTCAATTCTGGTATGGCCGTCACTCGACCAATTTTCCATCAAGTTTTACTTGTCAGGAAGCTTACGTACTCCGAAACGCGGCTGCGCCGAAAACATGTGCGATAGGATGTCTTTCTGGTCACTACTAGACCCTGGGGTTTCCAGCGTTGAGTTACACGGATGATATCATGCCGGTACTTCTAACGGCATTTTGGTCACTCGAAGCCACGCGGAACCTCTAGCAAGCGGGCACACTCTTCCTGCGCAAGATATTGATGATGCTGCGATCTTTCAACGTCACACATATGCACAAAGGTCGAGGCTCCCTCGCTCCCGTCAACGCGTCTTTTGTAACTCATGTGGTACAGCTCAGGTGTGACCGACACGCCCCGGATGCGTTGAGCACGGGGACTGGGGCTTGTTCCTGCGCTCGTCGCCGCCGACGCCCTGAAGCCCATTTAACGTTTTGTACCTCAAAAGCGCACACAGTGCCGAATTCCCTCAACCGCCAAAATGTCCAGAGGCCTGCAGTTCACCGCAGTCGTGTTCTTGTCGTTGCTTCCCTCCGTGCTTAGCTTCTCTCCCAATGGCTTGCACCAGGACGACACGGATCCTAGCTTGACCAAATACACGCTCTCGTCTCCAGATAACAAAATCAAGGCCAGTTGGATGCCCTTCGGGGCCGCACTGCTCGAGTTCTTCGTTGAGGACAAGAACGGTGTCAAGAGGGATCTGGTCATGGGCTTTGACAATCGGACGTTGTACACCGTCGTCCGCGGTCAGCTGGGGTCAGTCTTGGGCAGGTACGCGGGCAGGATCAGGAACGGTACATTTTCTGGTGAGTATAGCACCCTGTCTTTAGTGCCGCATGTATCCTCAACCGACTTGACGCGCATATATGCAGTCCCTCCGACTCTCAACACGACCAACTCCACGAGGACAACGCCCGACGACCGTCCCGTTATGGTCTACAACGTCCCGCTGAATGACGCGAGTGGTCGCGCAGCCCTCCATGGCGGCCCAATTGGTCTGTGACACGCACTGCTTGCGCTCCCATTCTTGTCATAAAAGCAGTCTTCAGGCTATGATTTCCGCGCTTGGAACCTGAGCGCGGTTTCGAACCACTCAATAACGTTCTCCCTTTCCGACCCGGATGGGTTCTTGGGCTTCCCGGGCGCCGTGCAGACTAACGTCACATATTCACTCCTGAGCGGGGGCAAGTACTCGATTGATTTCCACTCGGAGGTCCTGCCATACGCCAATGGTACCCGGCCCGAGACTCCCATTATGCTGAGCACGCATAATTACTGGAACCTCGAGTACGTCTCGTGAATTTATGCGAATACTCGCGGCTTTACTCAAATCCTCCCTGCTGCAGAGGTTGGGGTGACTACAACGCATCCGATCCCGCTGCCACCGGCTCAGTCGCCGGCACCAACGGCTCACACATCCTGCAGCTCGACGCGGACAGAATTGTCCAATGGGACGGCATCGAAGTGGCGACCGGTCAGCTCATCGATGTCAACGGCACGCCTTATGACTTCCGCAAGCCCACACGCATCGGCGAGCACGTCGACGAAGCTGTGAACGGTTGCGGCACGGGGTGCACCGGCTACGATAACTGCTGGCTCTTCGAAAATCAAGGCTCGGAGCTTACGCACAAGGGCAGCTTGTACAGCCCCAAGTCAGGAATAAGGTGAGCGCTTTTGTCGTTCGGCTTCTAATTGGCCGAGTGATTGTATTGATGACGTGGAATAGGATGGACATCGCGACGAACCAGCAGGCTAACCAGCTCTATGCATGCGAAGGTATCGGTGCCGCTGGGCTTCCTCGCAAGGCTTCCCAAGGCGGTGGTGCCGCACACCCTGACGCGACTTATGGAGATCAGAGTTGCGTCGCGCTTGAACAAGAATCATGGGCCGATGGAATCAATCAACGTAGGTTCCCCTTGAATTTCAATGCTGTAGATCAACCTAAAGAGAGCATTATTGCACGTAGCGGAGTGGCCGGTCAACCAGATATACGGCGGGAAGGAGAATCGCAAGTATTATTGGCAGTCTGTCTACAGCTTCAGCGTCGTGTCGTCGTGAGTAGCAAAGGAGTCATTTCCGAAGTTTGTATGCTCTCAGGGCTCTCCATCCGTATGACATGTTGCCATCGCCGAAAGGCATGAGCTACCACGACGCATAGGTCTGACTTCAAGTTGCGTACAGTAAATGCGTGCGATTGGAATATGTGGTGCACTGGAACTATTGTCGTTGCATTAACAAACTCTAAGGCGGGTCTAGCAGAAAGCAGATGTGTTATGAGCAAGTACAGAACATATGCATGCAACCCAAGAACACCATACACGACTAGATGATATAGCACAACAGATCAGAGCAAAAAAAAAACTACAGCAGCGCATACGTAGACAATACAATCCAAGGGGAACCTGCAGGTAGGTGACATGGGGACGAGTTGTATCATATCTCGTTAGATTCTTCATCAACGATAGAGCCCTCTGCGTCCTCGTCTCCACTCTCGATCTCGACATCGACTTGCTCCCGAGGAGCAGCTTGACCAGTTGGTAGGGATAAAAACTGCTGGACTTCCGACTCTGTATGACAGTCGGGTTGGAGAGGACAGAAGGCTAGAGATACACTCGTTTCTGGGTCCGGAGAGATGTGCTTTGTTTCAGCTGGGTGTTCCAAAGAAGCGTCCAGGTTTTCATCACTTGTCAGGTCGAAGTCCATAGAGATATCATTGCCAGGGAGGGCATCTGGGTTGGGGTAGGGCGGGGGGTCCGATGCGGGTACAATCCCGGACGAGTCATGGATTGGCTCTGACGACAACGACTCTTGTAGGTCCGCGTTCGGGGTCATCGAGGACGTTCGGGTTTTTTCAGGGATCTCCTGTCCTGCAAATTCGGACACATCTTGACTGACCAACGTTGTGACGCCTGGTGAATCAAGCAAAGGTGGAGGCGGGGGCTCTGGCGATTGATGCGGGACAGTTCCTACTGCAGGTTCGGCAGGTTGTGAATCAGCGATGACAGGTTGCACGTCTTCCACTTCTGGTGAATGTGTTCTCGCTGGCGGGTCCACATCCGCCAAGGTCACCTCCGCCGCCGGCGGGTTCGCCATTATAACTTCAGCATCCATCGCGGCATCCACGACCCCCTCGACGTCAGCCTCCCCAACCGTTTCCTCCGCTGTGTCCGCATCCGCTTCCACTGTATCTCCCTCATCGCCTCCGACGTTTGTACTCAGCTCGATCTCAGGTGCGCTCGCAGGCTCGGGCTTAGGCTCCACCTCGACTCCCTCAACCTCGACTTCGGTCTCAGCACCCCTCTCCTTCCCTCTTCCCCTCCCTCTCCCCCGCCCACGGCCCCTCCCAGCGCCCCTCGGTCGCGAACCCTCGCTTGCGCGAGCACTCTCCGAATCCAACGCCGAAACATGCTCGGCGACCTCGCTCGGTCCACGACTCCCAGGGTCAATCGACGGCCTTCGCTCCTGTTCCTGCGCCGCCTGATCCGCAAGCACGTCTAGCGCGCTGCGAATGCGCGCGACAGGCGCAGGCACCCGGAGAGCGGGGGCGGATGGGGGTGCGGTGGTGCACAGGGGAGAGGTGCCGTCCCGGGATTGCACTTTGCTCCTGGAGCGACCGCGCCCGCCTTTGGATTTCGGCTTCTCGGGTGCTGGGGCTGGTGTTGCTGCGGCGGCTGCTTTCGTACGTCGCGTCGTCTTCGCCGGGGCGGCACTGGTGCTAGGACCCGTAGCAGATTGAGCCGCAGGGGCCGAGAGACCATGGCCGTTCGCCCCGCCCTTTGTCCGCCTGCGCTTTGGCACCGGGCTCTCAGGCGGAGGGTCCACTGCGCGCCTGCGTGTCCCTCGTCTCGGCACGGGGGCCTCCTCGGGCTCCGTCTCGTCCCCTTCCTCTTCCTCGTTCCCATCTCGGTCGGGTGAAGCCTGCTGGAGCATCTCATCGCCCGGACCCTCTTCGTCCCCGGCGAGCTCCTCATCCTCGATAAGCGTGCGCGCGGCGCTCACGAGCGAGTCCATCGGCGTCGACGCGCCTTGCGTATCCTCGGGCGCAGAGGTGTTTTGCGGCCGGGTCGGGGTTCGTAATTGCTGCGCCTGGGGAGTTCGAGTGTGCGGCTGTGGCTGCTTTCCTTTGGTATGAGCAATCGAAGTCGGGGCAGGGGCAGCACGGCTCGGGGGCGTGCTCGGGGCTACGGGCCCCCAAGGCATCGGGATGATCACGGGCATGGGACCCTGCCCGTTACCTGGGTTGTAGTACACGAACCCGGGATGTTGCATTGGGTGTGGATGAGGATGGCGGCCCTGCGCGAGCGCAGGAGCGTATTGTTGCATGGGTGGATGCATATGTTGAGGAATCTGGGGCTGCAGGCCTCCGCGCTGATGGGACGCAGGAGAGGCGGGAAACGGCGATGTAATAGGAGCGGGTGCCAGCTTGCGTTGAGGAGGGCCTGATGAGGACGAGGGAGCGCGCTGTGCATGAGTTTGCGAAGAAAAGCCCGAGGCGAGCGCAAGAGGCACCGCAGGACCTGAAGGCAGATCGTCGCCTTCGCGGGGCTGTCGTGTCTCAGTTGTCGCCGCTACCTCCCCTAACCCCGCCGCCGCATCCGTGCTGGAATGGATCTGATCGAGAGGATGCTGCAGCACCTGACCCGTGCCCTGGTCCGTGTGCGCACGTTCCGCCTCGTGCTCGAGCTTGTGCCGCTCCTTCACGAGCCCTGAGACAACCCCCGCACGGACGCGGCCTAGTTTGCGCGCGGCGACGAGAATGCACTCCGCGCGGGCGTCCGCAAGGAGGGGTACGGGGCCAAGGTCTGTGCGGTGTCGGTGCTTCCTGTCTTTCTCTTTCTCGCGGTCTTTATCCTTGTCCTTTTCGCGGTCCTTACGATGGCTATGGAGGTGATGATGATGTTGCTCGACCTTAAAGCGCAGGGTGCGCGTGGGCTGGGATGGCCCTGCTTGATTTGCAGGTTCGCGTGAGGGGTCGTGGGCGGCGTGAGGTGCAAGTGCGGCGGCGGCAGGAGCGTTCGCCACCTCTTTGTCTGCACGACCGTTCAGGGATGCGGACGGCACGCCGTCCGCAGGCGCTGTCGCGCGCTCCTTGCCCTTGAGCTTCTTTCCGAAGCTCGCGAGCCGGTCGGTGACCTGATCTGACTGTGCTTCTGAGCGCCACAAATCGGAATCGCGCAGGACTGTGGCCTGCATCGTGAGCAACGGTCGTATTCGGGAAAGCTCGCCCTCCAGCGACGACATGCGAGTTTGTGTGTCGGATAGCTAACAGTGGGACGGACGTTCGAGCATGAGACGAAAAACGCAAGGCGAAGAGGAAGCTGACGAACTCTGCAACGGTACGCCTTGATGTCATCCTCGAGACGAGATATGTAGCGCTGCATTTCCTGGAGATAATATTGTAAGAGTGAAGTTAGATGAATGCTCTATACGTACCTGTTCCTTGACGATGGGTTCCTGCGCTACGCGGGCCTTCGCGAGCAGGACGTCCGCACTCCTGCTCCAGCAGTCCCTTTCCGCTTTGAAGCGCGCATGGTCCTCGGCCCTTTCTACGAGGAGCATGTTCCTCTGGAAGGTGAGATCTGCGATGGTCTCTGCCTGGGTCGCGAGTTGGGCGGGGGACGGATGCAGCAACAGATGTGAAGTCAAGCGCAGTACCTTTCGGACAGCATGCGCTCAGGGAACGACGGTCGACGGGAACGCGGGGAGAAGCGCACCATGGCAGCAAGCTCGGAGTCCTGGCCGTTTGTGGAGGTGAGAGTCGAGGCGTACTCCTGCACACGCGCTCGCATAGATTCGAGTTCGGCGTGGTCCAATGGCTCTGGGGAGGGTATTCGAGGAGGTGGCATAAAGTCGTCTGTGATCGGCGGAGTGGGTAGACTATCTGCGATGGGTGGGAATCCGTGTGCGGGGAGCGTCGTCTGAGGGGCATCAGGCGGGAGAGAGGGAGGGGCGGGGGAAGGAGACATGGTGTGCATGATGTCGTCGAGAGCGAGGGCGGGTGCATCTGGAGGAGCGATGGGCTGCATGGGACGTCGCGCCCCTGCCGGCTGGAGGGGGCGGGACGAGGGACAGGGCAGACTGCAGCGGCCGCTGGGCGAGCGGGTGAGCCGCGAGCGGGACGAGCACGGCCAAACAACGCACAAACAACGCCCTCGCGCGAAGGACACACGTGACGGGAGTCTTCTCCCGCACGTGGCTCAGCCCCAGCGTCCGAGGGGATCGGAAGAAGAGTGCGACTGGTCATAGGCGCCCGCTGTGCTCCCTCCTTCCTTGCAACTCCTGCGAATGAGCGCCCCCCTGTCCTCCCTCCTCTCCGCCATGCAACCCTCCTCGGGCTTCCAATGGTTCCTCCTCGTCTGCCCCGCCGTCGTCGTCCTCGCATACTTCGTCACCATATTCCCCCACACCCCAAGCACCCTCTATGTCCACCCCTCTCTCGCCACTCTCGACAAGGCCGCTCCTAGCTGGTCAATATATCCAGATAACTACTATGAAGGTGGCGCGTATGTCAAGCTTCCCCAGGGCTCCGTGCGTCGCGCCTTCCCACCTCTATCTCCCGTTCATTATCCACCAACACTAGCCCTGTTCGATAGACCCGATATTGGCTCATAGGCCCGGAGGACGGCAAGCGGGTACGATCTCTCGTCAATCATTACGCGGACGCGTGCCGGACCTTTCATTCCAGGTTGTTCTCATCCACGGACTCTCCGTGCCGTCCATTATATGGAGGGACGTCGCGCCGAATCTCGCCAAGAACGGCTATCGCGTCCTACTCTACGGTGAGAGCGCATATAATTAGCCTGTCTGACGCGCAATTGTAATCGTCATCTAGACCTATACGGGCGTGGCTACTCCGACGCGCCTCATACAACGTACGACGCGAACCTCTACACAACACAGCTCGCGCTACTCCTCCAATATGTTGGATGGAATAAAGCGAACATCGTTGGTGTGTCCATGGTGCGCAGTCCTCATTAGGCTGAGCATAATGCCCTGAGGCTGATTTCTGCGTATGCTGAAAGGGCGGTGGAATTGCTGCGGCTTTCAGCGCACAATTCCCCCACCTCGTTAATGACAAGGTTGTACTCATTGCCAGCGCAGGCCTGATGGATGTATGTGTCATGGTGGTGTGATCGCGTCCACGAAACTCAATCACGCTCCGTCCAGTCCTCCGACATGTCCAGGACTACTAAGTTCCTGTCCTCTCCCCTCATGCAAGTCGTCGCATCAAGCTCCCCTTTCCGCGTGAGTACTCCGCTCTGTCGTCCGCCTGCACGGTCAATTCGTTTTGTCCGCTACACTGTCTCGCTGGCTCTGGTTTCCTTCAGACTCTGCACTTGTGGGAAACTCTCTCATTGGCTAAAGAAGTGCATCTCCGCGCCCTGCCGCCGCCTTGACGTAGCTTGTTCTGCAGTCTTTCAGCACCCTTCTGCTCAGCATCAATCTGAGAATGCCCGCCCTTTACCATTCACCTTCTAATCTGATAGATCACTTACTGTCCTCCCTCTCTAGCTCTATCTCCAATACCTGGCGGACCAGAAAGCTCCTTCAGATCCTATTGCAGAGGTGAATCACATATTCCCTTTCATCTCGGCCTAAAGCCGTCCCCTCCCAATCCAGACGCTTATCCGACCCTTGTCTCGTGGTAGCTCGTGCGCATACAATCAGCATATCTGCCAGGTTACAACGCCGCGCTTGCATCCTCGATGCGAGACGGCCCTCTGCGCAACCTCGCCCCACAGTTCACCGCGCTCGGCCGGCATTCACGCAAGACGAATGGACGAGTACTTGTTATCTGGGTACGTTCTGGGACCATGCGATTTGCGTGAGAATTCAAAGAGCTCACATGAGCGTGCAGGGCACGGCGGACAAAGTCGTACCGTATCGCTACGCGGCAAAGGTGCAGACGTACATTCCGCACGCGGAGCTCGTCACGATCGAGGGTGGCCCGCACGACATCACAATCAGCCACCCAGACGAAGTCTCGCGGGCCCTGCTTCACTTTCTTAGTCAATGACATTCAAAAGTCTAGCCAAGCCAATCGCTCATTGTGGCGCCTCTTATCGTCGCCCACGTCGTCTTTCGCGACCGTCTTGGACAATTCCGCTTCGCATATATGCGGTCTGCTGCCTTCTCGTTGGGCATCGGCTCTGAGCGTATGCTCGCTTTGACATACATGCTCTTCAGTGATGTTGTTTTTTCGTTCTTGCTTGCGCTACCCTCTTGGCTATCCTTCCATTTCCATGCACACGTTCCGCGTCCACCACACCTTATCTCCGTGTTTAGTTGTCAACACTTCATTTCCACCTCCACAAGTCCTCACTGTTAATCATCGTATATGCACACGCCGCACTTGCATGCAATCCGCCGTCTCGCTCTCCGTCACTTACATGAGCATACCCACATACATATTACATATCACTACCGCCCATAACGCTTGCCTGGTGTACTCGTCTGACCTCCGTTCCCCAATCCCATCGTTCACCTTGTATCCCTTCTACCTCACCTTTACCCCATCATGTTGCCCTTACGTGTACTTACGTACCTCTCATCATCGTCACTTTATCGGGCGGGGAATGTTGACAGCGGGGAGGTCCCGCAGGCTCAGGCCTGCCTGCGCCTCACCCAAGCTCGTATACTCTTATTCGTATCAGTATTCAGGATAATCCGTCTCTTTCATCCGTTCCCACGCGGGAAATAAAAGTAGATCTTAGGCTAATCTCAGTGTTGTATAGACGACTTATTCTTAGCGTCGCATCCCGTCCTTGCTGCTTTCTTTAGCGTCGGCGTTCAGTCGCTGCTTTCTCGCGGAACTCGACCGCTCGCTGCACGTACCTTCCCCATGCATGCAAATGAACACCACGGAGCCCACGCGGCGCGCGTGCGAGCTGGACGATAAGCACGCAGCGAAGCGGGTTACGTCGACTGGCGTCGTACGATGACAATTTGACGTTTTTGGTACATCTCAATCTCCTCGCCCCTGCCGTGCGGTTCCCCGGCAGCACCTACGTACGCACTGTAGTCGTGTGCAGCCCCAGTGGTGCCTGAGCCCTACACACCCGAACGCCAAACGCTCACGCACCCAACTTGGCCGCGTTCGTCAGGACGTCCGCGAAGTCGAACGTGACGATGTCCTTGAGCTTCCCGAAGTTGGGGGTGCCCACACCCGTGACGGGGTCCCAGCCCTCGGTCGCGTTGAACCCGGGCGTGCCGCAGCCGGGGTTGTTCCCGGTGGTGATGTCGTTGAAGACGCTGGGGTCGGTCGCCTGCAGCGCGTAGATGAGCGGGTTGAGGAAGCCGAGCGAGGGCAGGCCCTTGGAGATGCGCGCGGAGTTGAGGAGCGAGACGATGGAGGCGAACGTCGGCGCCGCGGCGGAGGTGCCGCCGATGGAGACGGGGCGCCCGGAGAGGAAGATGCGGAAGAGGTCGGCTTGGGCGGCGACGTCGGGGATGGCCTGTAGGGAGGGGAGGCGTCAGTCGGATGTCAGGTTCAGGTTCAGGAGTGTGTAGGAAATGTCAAGCGGTGATTGAGGGAGGAACAGTGTCTCTGGGGAGGGGGGGAGAGAACGAGGGAAATGGGACGTACGCGGCCGTTAGGGTTGAAGAGACCCGCGTACGTGCCGGGCGCGAGCTTGTTGAGGAACTTGGAAACAGCGAGCTGCTGGTATGCCGGGCGGGGGAACTACAGCGGCACGTTCCGTATGTCAGCGACATTCACAGGATGTGTAAAGCATAAAGACATATAGACGTACAACATCACTGAAGCCTCCGCCAGAGAAGAAGACGGCCGTCTCAGGAACGTGAATGGTGCCGCCCACCGCTGTCACGCTGTGATAGAGCTTCGATGTCAGCGCCCGCAAGATGTTCCCGAGTGGGATTCGCGGAGGTCCATCAGACGAGGCACTCACAAGGGGCACGAAGGGGGGAAGAGCGGGACGAAGCGCGTCACGTTGCGCCCGTCGTTGGTGAAGCATTCCTGGAGCGCCGGGTCCTCCTCACCATCGCCGACACCACCGTCACCGGAAGAGAATGTCAGAGAGACACCGCGAGCGCCTACAAAACAAATTGCAAGTAGGGAACGTCAGGGAAGAGCGTTTCGATAATTCGATGGTCAGGGCTTACCGAGCTGTGCAAACCCGGCGCAGACGCGCTTGGCGAAGCTGACGGGCACTACGAAGAAGCAGAAGTGTTAGCCTTCCCTGCTCCAAGAACAGCACGGGCACATACCAGTCTGCTCGTCGTCAGCGTAGGAAGTGGAGATGGTCTGCGGCAGAGTCTTCTGCTTCAGGACGAAATCAAGCCACTCCGTGTACGGTTCGTTCGAGTCGTCGGGTGTGAGCACGTCGGGAATGAATGGGGGGCTGCCACCTGTCGAATAGAAGGTGGCCGGGGTAGGGAACGTGAGGCCGTAGGCGAACTGGGTATCTATCAGACATTACGAGAGGGCATCAGTACTCGGACACCGGACGGACATACTCTCCGACGCTAACCCAAGTTGGCTTCAGCGCCAGCCTCGTCGAGGGTCTGGTTGTTCTCGCCGCCATTGATGAGGATGGTCTTGAACGTCGAGTTGAGCGCGTCGGGCCTCTGCTCCGCGAAGAACGTCTGCAGGTCCTGGATGTTCGCGAATTGCTCGAGGTAGCCGGTGATACCGATCTGGTTCCCGTTCGTCGCGGACGCTTTGAAGCCGACGGCGTTGTAGAGTTCCAGGATGCACGTGACCGTGATAGTCTGGTTGCAGGACGCGTCGACGTGGCCGCCCGACGCGGAGGGCACGCTGATGGGCGGCGCGTTCGCGGCGATGGCGACGGACTTCTCCTGTGCCTCGGAAAAGCGGAAGGATGTCTTGAGGGACTTTGTCCGCGAGAAGACGGTCGTGGGCTGGATAAGCTCGACGTGCTCGTGTAGGTGCTCGGGAAGGCTGTAGGACGTCGTGCGGATGACCGAGTCCCCGGACGCGTCATGGGTCCAGATGTGGTATTCCTGGGGGCAAAGGGGGCGTGAGTACGCGTCATACGTGTGGAGAAAGCTGCCATACAGTCTTGAGCATCTCCTCCGCGAGGGACACAGGGACCTTGATATGGACCCAATCCTTGGCTGGAGAGCGGGCGAGGTCGTCCTCGTAAATGCCGTGCGATGCGAGCCATTCGTTGACGAGGTGAATGCTCTCGGCCTCGGGAGCGACGAGAGCCTCAACCTCCTCCTTCGTCAAGTGCTGGCCATAGCGCTCGTGGAAGGGGTCGCTAGCGGTGGTGCACGTACGTGTCAGACAGAACGCGTCGAGCAGCCCATGGATTGCGCGTCGGCGCACTCACCTGACTTCGTAGAGATGCTTCTCGAGCACGTCGAACTTGGGCTGGGGGAGAGCAATGCGGAGCTCGATGATGTGGTCAGACGGGGCCGGGGCGCGCTTCGTCCATCCTCGCGGGGACACGACGTTTTCCTTGACCTTGTGCACCGCGGTCGAGGGGACTGCAGCAGCACCGAAGGCGAGCGCAAGGGCGACCAAGGCAGAGAGCGACCGCATTGCTGGTCCGGGGGCCTGAACGGCGGATGGAAGTTCGAGGCTGGGGAGAAGGCAACAAGCGACCGCCGGCGACTTTTATATCCTCAGCGAGGTCCGAAGTCGACGCGAGACGTGGGCGGGAGCCAATGCTCAGGGGTCGGACAGTGAGACCTGCTGATCGCTGATGGAAAGCATGACGAGGGCTGTTAGGGAGCTTGCGCGATAATGGTGGCCAGTGGGCTCCGTGATGCGTATTCCTCCCAGGCCCATGGGAAGATTGTCGTAACGCGCGAACAATTCCGCCCAAGGGAGGAACTGCGGGAGCACATGGAACTGTCGAGGACCCATCATTCCCACTGTCCTCTAAATGCAGCTCTTCTCGGCATACTTGTCGAGCCTTAGGCGGCTATAGTCAACGATGGAGGACACAGTTCGAGCGCATCATGGCGCGTTCTCGAGCGCAACAGACTGTTTTGGAACGAGATGTACAGCCTGATGTTTTGGTCGAGAAAGCCGCAGCACGCCGGTCGCAATCAGTGAGTCGGGGTGGCGCATCAAATCGAGGACTTGTACAGCCACACATACGTGCCAAGACCCGCGGCGAATCACCGACCCCTTTATTCAACGCCTTCGGGAACAGTCCTGCCGCAGGGTTAAGTACAAGCTCAACTCTGATCTGGCCCTGACTGAGGCCTTGATCTGAGTACACATCCGGCGAGACTCGTAGATGAATATGTATGCGATTGGCAAGCTTATCAGACAAGGTACGGTTGCCGGGCAGGATTGCGTCAACTCTATGCACGTCTGTGACTTGGCCATGAAATATCAGTTTGCCATAGTTGACCCGGACGCTGATTTCTCATATGTATATGTATATGTCGGGGACTTTTGAATCAGCATCGTCCGCTTCGAGCTTGTCTCTCGCCACGCCGTCGCCGTCGTGCCCGATGGCGATGGCGGGTTCTCATATTCCAGCGGGGCATAGAACTCCGAACTCTGAGGGTGCAAACCTATACTTCAGTTGGATAGCCTGTTCCTATGCTATATGATGTCCAAATACTGATGGACATTGGACGAGGAGTCTCGAGTGCCCTGATGCTAGGAACAGCATATAATGACATAGTACAATCCCTTACTATTTTGTCTGTCCAACAGGTCAAGACTGCTATCGACTGAATGCGATGGCGATGCGCACTCTGCGGAGCTGCTCACTGCGACCGACGGCGATGACGGACCCGGACACACTGAGCAATGATGCCGAGTAAAAAGGACTTAAACAGGCAGACATAGGCGCTCGTCGCGGGGGAGATTGCTCTTCTCGAGCCAAATCACAGACGTGCAGCGGTAAGCTCCTGAGTTTGAGAAGAGCTCAAGAGATCGTCGGATCCCCGACGAAAGCTCTTGCATAGTGAGATGTTTGATGGATCCTCTGACTCGGACTTACACGCTCCCACTTCGGCAAGTCATCGAAGTTTGCGCTGTCCGAGAAGCATGTGTTCTTGGAGGGCGAGCTCTGCTGTAAAACGCTGATCAATACGTACGTATGTATAGACAAAGAGCATCCGAGTCGATACATTTTCAGCTCACAACGGACGAAAGAGGCCCCATTATTATAATATTGCGCTGTAGTGCGGTCATTAGGGGCTGTGCAGTGGCCGGATTGGGTGCGGACGAGCAGGGGCTCGCGTCTCAGATCGTCTGACCGTATCATCATCACAACAGTCTGATTCTTGAATATACCAGTGCTTTCCATCTTGCCCCGTCGTGCATACTACCATCGGGATATACCCTCGCAACCTCATCTCACTAGCATCTGCCTCATCCACCGTATCTATTGACATTCTAGCATCTTAATCCACTCACAAAACACGCTATGTCCCTCAACAAGGCAGTCCTCAGCCCGGCACACACACCGATCCCGCTCCAAGATGAGATGCACCTCCGAGAAGTCGAGGGCGCAGAGTTTGTGATCACGCTCCCCGACGCGAGTTCCAAGGAGCTCAAGGGTAAGGGCAAGGTCTTCCTCACAGACCTTCGGGTGCGTCTACCGCTCGCTTCTTCCGCCACCCAGTAGACTGAGATCATACCGCTATCCCCATACGCTACCCCGATCCCTCGGACTTCACTACCCCGCCAACCCGTGTACCGTAAAAACCCTCGCATCGAACCTCTGTGCGATCGCAGCTGATCCTTGTTGCCGACAAGGACAAGGACGGCCGGACAGACAACGGCTTCGAGACCCTCGCCGTCTCGCACGCCTCCATCCTCGCCGTCAAGTCCGAATCCCCGCGCATCCCCGTCTTCGGCAACGGGCCCCGTATCCTGCTCGAGATTAAGCCCTCCCCGGGCGGTGGTCTCCCGGAGGGCACGACCCGCGTTGAGATCCGCAAGGGCGACAAGGACGCCATCGCCAGCTTCGCCTCCGCCATCGACAAGACGCGCGAACGCACGGTGAACAAGAGCAGGGCGCTGGCCGAGGATGACCAGGATCTCCGTGAGTACCGCCGTCTGCGATGTCTACGTGTTCATGTGTTCACGCTGTTTGCGGCGCAGCGGAGTATGGGGGTCCGGGGCCGAGCTCGTCCTCAACAACGTACGTCACCGCGGATGTCCCTTCCGATGCGCCCCCTGGCTATGAGCCTTGATTCGCCCTCGCCTTCGGATTCCTGGAGTCACCAGTGTACCATACTCTTACATAGGACCTCACGCCGCCTGTATCATCTGTACTCACCGCAACACACATCAACGGAATGTATCGCTGCCATCTCTACTCCAGATGTCATGTTTCATGGCAGCGTGTTAGCGAGGCAAAATGTAGCGACCACTTGGACCCGCAATGCGAATCCTGCAAGGCCACATGCAAAGCGGGCTGCTCGACGCCTGAAGGTGTGTCTCGTACAAATACAACTAACTACATGTGGAAGGCTCTAGATCGCCTTAAACGTGGACCTCCAGCGTTCTGGTCCGTCGCCCATCCGATGGCGCATCCACTACTTCCACAAGCTCGACGCTGATCGATCGCTCCTGCTCGCGCCCATCCACACCGTGCACCCAGTGGCGTATCGCGCCCCAGTCTACCTTCCGCGTCTTCCACGGAGAGGGGGGATGAGTATCGTGTGAACGTATGGACGTGTGCGTCGTCGGGGACGCTAGGGACCGCTCAGCGAAGACGATCGGAGATGGCGAGCGCGCGGTGGCCATGGCCTCGATTGCGCGCTCGACCTCACGCCCGATGCGAGTTGTCGAGAGCGCGTCGTCCGTAGAGATCTTGCGGAGGTCGAGGACGAGCCGCTGGCCTGCGGAAATCATGAGACAGAGGGTGAAGCTGTTGGCGAGCATGTTTAGAGCGCGCTGTTGGGGACGTTGCAATTAGTTCCGGGCGGTAAAGCATCAAGATTAGGCAGTCTGACGCACTTCTGCGTAATATGCCCTGTTACATGGGCTGTTAGAACTGGACTCAAGGAGGACAACGTAGAAGCGCGCACTCACCATATGAAGATGTTGAATAGACCGCTGAAGAGCGTTAGACTGAAGTAGAGTATGGCTTGAAAGGTGCGGTGAGTTCCACCTTCATATATGGGTGATACAACGCGACCAACCGTCACGCATTATGACCCTCACGATAGGCGACTGCCAAGCCAGATGGAGATGAAGGTCGAACTGTCGAATCGAAACCATCGTCAAGATGAATATTACACATTCTAACGCGAGGCTGCGAAGATGTCAGGAGCCATACGTTTATCGACAGAAACATCATGCACACCTAGGAATCCATAGAATCCACTACAATTCCCAATGAGCACATCATGCGGTCTCAGAATAGTGCGCAAGACTCACTGCGAATGCTAATTGCAAGAGTACCTCATTGAACGGAGAGCAGAGAAGACTAGAGACGGTGGGGCACGCACAAGGTATAGAGCTTATACACGTCCCAACTATGGAGGCCAGCGGGTATGCATTGTCTGTGTAGGTGTTAGAAAGCGATGTCGCAGTTAAGCACCTAGTACGTACAACCGACAGAGACGACACCCCAAACGAGGAGTGATACACTAGCGGCAGCGTAAAGTACAAACAACGCCGCGAGGATTGCGAGGATTTTGACATGACGACCCCACGTCGCCCATGCTCGTAGCAATACAAGTACTAGATGAGGCAAGGGTCGTTGTTCAACGCCGCGTCATCCAGCGAAAGCATGCGGACGCACCGTGGACCGAGGCGAACGAGGCAAACTGTATAAGCGACAGGGCGAGCGTCGCATTGTAGCAGAACTGAGCGCATATATTCGGTTCGAAGTGAGGTCAGGCGGGAAGGGTGGCATATGACATACTGTATGCGCGTTACTGCGCCAGATCCCAAGTGTCTGCAACGTACTCGCCCCCAAGAATACCAGGTTCCCGTAGCGGTTGATGAGATACAAGACCTTGACGGTCGACCAACGCGCGGGCCAAATGTGCTTGACCTGCGTGCAGCGTATGAGTGAGCGCTCACTAGGCATGCCAAGCGCGGAAACCTACCTCGTCCGGGAGGGCTTCGAAGGCCTCGTGAATGAGGATGACATATCCCGCAAGGCTGAGCATACTGGAGTGGTATTCGATATATCAGGTCATTTCACTCGACGCATATAGCTGCTCACCGCACGAGGAAGAGGTCGTTGTAGTACTGAACATCATCAAGTGTGAACGCATCATGGGCGACCAACCTAAAGCAAAGAAGGGACGCCGGGGTCAGATGAAGGAAGTGGTAGGATAGCTGCGGTTCGAACAACTCAAGCTACTTACTGCATGCTCTTCCGGCACCTTCGATCGCTGACGTCCTCCGGCACTCCCCTACTGGACTCCCTTTAAATTGCAGACTGGGTGCAGAGCGTCGGTCAGGGCGGCATTCAGGATAGCACTACCAAACGAGAGTACGAGTGCGGGAGAGAGGGAGACATAGATGTGCATGGGGAGGTCATACAAGTTGCGGAGGTCGTGGGTGCATTACGCGAAATGGTCTACGGTAGTGTGCGGCTCGGCTAAGTGTAATCAAGGAACTAACCTGATGATGGCGGAGTACTTAGATCTGCAGCTGTCGATATCCGCTGTATGGGCCGTCGGAGCCGATACTTAGGGTAGTATATCCAGGAAGATTGATTGGAGATAGCTACAATGCGAACGGGGCTGTGATGTCCACACTGATGCCTATGGGACATACGACAAATGGATTGTCTAGACTCCGAGATGCGACGCGTAGCTAGGTTGACGTTGGGCGGCGAGGAACGGATGGGAAATAGAGGAACGGCGTCCGGACGTGGGCGACATACATACTTATACAGCAGAGCGACAGCAGAAAAAGACGATGGAAAGAGTGGGGAAGTAGCGTCGTGATAGAGTCGTTGATGGCAAATTCGATGTGTTATGGGACCGTCGCTGGAGTTCATAAACCAACATCTGTACTAATTGCTCCCGCCTCGACCACCTCCGGTGCTTCCACAGCTCGTCGGTGCCCTTCCTCTTAACACGACTGCTAGTGGTCAGATCCCTATATGATGCTCCATAGCTCGCGGTTCCTGCTTGGAGTTCAGAGACAAATGAAGCGAAGAGGAACAGGAAGCCATTTGAAGAACGTCCTCCACTTTTCTGGGCGCAGTCATTCATTCACATGAGTAGCATGTGGGTCTCCCTGCTTCTGGCTCGTCGGTGTGAAAAAGCTTCGGTCCCGGGCAAGGTCTTCAGACGGACCGGACGCTTATTACCTACCTTGCTCTTGTCAAGAGAACCCGAGGACCGAACGTCGTCAATCTCGCCGTATCTATCTAAAGATATAGCTTGCAACAACGATTGTATGGGAAACCACCGTCCCTGACATATCGACATAGACCCTCACAGGGAGCTATGACACCTAGCGTGTCCTAGAATGCAACATGCGCAGCAGCATTACACAAGCGCACTGCACGAGCATCAGCGCGACGGGAACAGATGGGTGATGTCAGTGGGTCTAACGCACCTTTAATAGGGCTTGAACTTCCTCGACTGCTTCAGCTTCTCAATCTTCGCCTTGTCTTCCTCGAACTTCTTTTTGAGGTCCACGATTTCTGTAGGAGATACGATCAGTCACCGACTCAACCCACGGCCATCGCGCTCCCAATCCCACGACAATTAAGCCGTATCTACGGGCGACGCACCTTTCCGTTTCTTCTCGTGGACTTGGAACGCATAGAACGCGTCCTTCTCCTTCTTATCCTTCTTTTTCCTATGCCGCTTGCTCCCAGCACCGGAGGCGGCCCCAGCGACCTGCTCGCCCATGAACCGCTTGCTCGCGACGCCCACCCCACCACCAAGCGTCTTGCCGTACGCGCCCCCACGCGTGACCAGCGTAAAGCCGTCCTCGTCGACGATCGCCTCGCCCTTCCTGTACTGGCTCTCCTGCCGCTTCTTCGCTTGCTCGTGCTCGAACGCCTCCATCCACGAGTCCGCGTGCGCACGCACGACGTCCAACGGCGGTCGCAGGGCCGAGTAGAGCGCCTTGTAATGCTCGAGCCCCAGCGGGGTCTCGCGGTCGATCGGCCAAGGATAAGGTTTTGTCGGGGGCTTGAGGGCGCGTGCGAGCGAGGAGCTGTCCAGGAAGACGACGTAGGCCGTGTGGCCCGTGCGCCGGAACGTTCGTAGAGGGATAGAGGGCAGGGGCACGACCTTGGGGCCTTCGGGCTGGCTGATCTTTCGCTTCTTCTTCGGCCGCGCCTCCCCGTCCTCCTCGTCGTCCGAGCCAGAGGGCTCCTCACTGCCGCTGCCCACTCCGCCCTCCTCGCCCTCGTCCCCGCTCTCATCCTCATCCTCCGCCGTGTCTTGTTGCGCGCTCGTGCCGCCCGTGCTGAACACTACCCTCTCGACAGTCCCACACGACTTGAACAGAACAGTGAGCTCGCGCTCCGTCGCGTCAGGGGGGACGTTCACGAGAAAGAGCGTGCGGCCCTCAGGCAGCTCCTCCTTTTGCTTGCCCTTCGCGTTCTTCTGCTTCGCGACAGAGTGTGCGCGTGCGTATATGATATGTATTGTAGTAGACGAGTAGGCGATGGGCAGGACGGTGAACCCAGAGACTGCCGTAGGCAGCGAGGAAGAAGAGGCCGTGGAGGTAGACGCAGTCGCGCGTTTCTGTTTTTGCTTTGCTGGCGAGGAGGAAGAGCCCATGATTGAGACCCAGTACCAGTATCAGAGAGTCAGATTGATCCAATCGCTAGCAGGATAGTCGGCGTGCAGATGGCTGGACGCAGTCGCTGGCAGTAGAGTCAGGCATGGCACAAGAGAAAATGTTTCCGCGAAGACGTCTTCCCGATTCGGACAATTGTTTGGCAACAGCCTTTGCACCAAACAACGTATACTGGGCGCCAATCGAGGGTCAAGGGAACGGCCCTGCGCGTTTCGATCGTAATCCGGTCACAAAAATACAAACGGCTTCAACAACCCCAGTATCCCATCACAGCTCCTCCTCACAATCTCCTCCAGAAACATCCGGCCTTTTCCGATAAAACCAATTTCGGTGGTCTTTCAGGGTGTACCCTGCGCAACCGAATTTCGCGATCATGGTTGAATAGAGTGCTTTGATGCACTCAGGGCTGGGGTTTCCTCCAAACACCTCAAAATACTCTGTGTTGGATGTTAAGAAGTAAGCCTTTGATGCAACTGTCACATAAGGGCTTGTTGAACTCACCTTGGCGGATGAGCCGGGCTGACTTGGGAAGGGTGCACCGGCGCTTCACAATGCCGGATTTAGGCATGAGTGCTTTTTCATCGGCTGGTTGATATTTGAGCTAATCCGCTGCAAGTGTTGGATGCTGGCTGGTCACAGCACTTGGAAGCTTTTGATTTATAGCACTGTAGGTCTGCGTGCACCATCTTGCTGGAGAGTTTCGCTTTGCATAGCTCGGATAACACAGGATGCTTTTCCAAATCTGCCAAAGGCTCAATGCAAGGGAGGGGGGTTACCTTTGTGAGGGCGTTTAATTTAGACGCCTTTAACCCTGACCCTATTATGATAGGAGAAGCCGAGATAGCTGCGCTTCGCGGACTGATCCGCTTACCCGCATGTAATTTGAGTGCAGCTTCTAGCATGCTTAACCCCGCCCGTTACTTCATACGGATGGTTCATTACTATATATAGAGTAAACTGCGGATTCAATTATGCACTACATTTGCTATAACAGCAAATCTTTGTGGAACACGCATGGCTGGCGGCCGATCGCGAGCCCCTCTCCGGGATGTACCTTGCGAACCGCCCACTCGTCGTCCCTGCCGCCGTCCACCTTGACGCGGACGCAGTAGTCGTCGTCTTCATCAACAAAATGCAGATCCCTGCACACGCCGCCGCCGAACGGATGCGGGACAAACTCGTCGTCGTCTCGCCCGTCCGGGTCGCGCAGGAAGGGGTGGTACAACGCCGCGCGCGGTGTCATCCGCTTGACCGACTCGGGCTCCATGACCTTCTCCAGGAAGTCGAGCGCGTCATCGACGTCTGCATAATGCCGTTCGACCTCCGACGGGGTAGGCGAATGTCCTCGTTCGGACGGGGACGAGCGCCCGGGAGAGTACCCGGACGACGACGAAGGCGGGGGGCGTGTCCGCGGCCGGCGATCGGGCAGCGTATACGGGTAGTAGTTCGCGTCCGGAGGGGGAGGGACACGGAGCTCAGGGTTCTGCCGTTCGACGAACTCTCTCCACGAGATGCCGTCCTGCGAGAGCGACGGGATGTTTGATTGGAACAGGCGACCTACGTCGAGGGCATTCGGTAAGTAGCTCCCGTAGCTGAAAAGGAAGTTGCACTAACTGTGCAGGGTCGCCGTTTTCTCCATACGGCGCCGGCCAATGATGGTCGCAATCTCGATGAGGGCCTCGGTGTCGTCGTTCGAGTTGAAGATTGGGAACTTCTTGGTGAGAAAGAACAACAGGATCATCCCCGCAGACCAGACGTCGATCGCTTGTAGAGCGCGCCGTCAGCATAAGGCAGCACGAGCTCCCAAAGGCAAGTCACTTACCGCCAGTCTGCTCGCCACACTTCAGCAGGACTTCTGGCGCGCGGAAACCACGGGTACCTGCTCGGTTCGCTTTCGAGTGGGGCCTGCGGTGGAGGTGAGTCGCGCACGTGTATGTTAGCTGCGACTGGACTCACCGGGTGTCCTTGCTAGGGTAACCGACTTTGTCTGAAGTCCCCGCACTCCGCAGTCGCGCCTCTTTCTGCAATGCTTTGATACTGTCGATATTGAACTCGGTTCGCGACTTCAGTTTTCCATGAGGGTGGTCCTTGGTCGGCGTGGTGTGTAGGCAAGAACCTAGTACGGGCCCTCTCTCCATTCTCTACGGATAGACGTGATGAGCGACACTACAGCGGAGCAGGGGTGACGGCTAGCACAGCACGTACACAAGCGAGACCAAAGTCGCATAGGGTACCTACTCCTGTACGAGGATCGAACAGGAAGTTGGCGGGCTTGACGTCGCGGTGGATGATGCCGCGCGCATGGATGTCGCGCAGAGCGCGGAACATGCATCGGAAGTAAGACTTGATGCCTTCCAGTGGGAGGTGTTTGTAGAAGTCCTTTACGACGCGTCGAAAGGCACGCATGAGCGCGCCCTCTCTGGCATGGAACAGCACGGCGGACGTACCCGGAAGTCATCGTTCTTATGGTAGGGCATGATGGCGACCACTTGGTCGTGATGTCGGAAGGCAGTGATAAGTTGCGAAACATGTCGACAGCCCCGGCAGTCCTCCATGATAGCGAGCTCGTTTCGTATTCGTTCCGGCCCAGAGGTCACATATATGCGTTTGACGGCGACGAAGACCTTGCTATGAGGCGGGTGGCGGATGGTCTGGTAGTACGCGGATGAGGACGGTGGATGGCTTCCATGCCATTCGGAGTTCTCCCACTTGTCGTGATACCCCAGGTCGATAGCCTTGTAGACAGCAGAGAACGTCCCCGTACCTAAGCGGTCAACGATCTTGTAGTCCTCCAACAGTGCTGGGACGGCGGACTCGAGGTCGAGGATCTCTTCCTCGATCTCCGCTTGCTCGTCGCGTGACTTGAGGTAGATGGTGAGCTCCTCGTCCGTCTCGTCGCCAGCCTCTTCTTCTTCCTCCTCTGGTTCTTCCTCCTCCATTTCGTTGCCCATGTCTTCATCCCCAGACCCTTCGTCGCTCAGCAGCATCACTTCGTCCGCTTGCTCCGTCTTCACCCTCGTTGGCCTCTCAGTGCCCCCGACAGCCTCCAGGATCTCGAGATCTTCTAGAACAACATGACTTGTGGAGGCGACGTACGTGTAAGAGGGAGGAGTTGCGTTCGGGTAGAGCTGTGCCAGATGAGTGTGGTACTGCTCCATCTGCGGGACGTTGAAGGCGTCGGAGGTAGGCTGGTCGCCCGCGTCATGGCGGGCTTCCTCCTCGACCTCCATGAGATACTTGAGATATGCCCTATTGCGCGAATCCGACGACGGCACCTCGAGCGGATTAGAAGAATGCCGGGAGAGGAGAGCTGTGGCGGCCATGTATCCAAGTATCGAAGAACACGAGCCAAGCCCGGAAGGAAGAAGTACGGCAAGAAGAAGCAGACAGACAGACAAGGGATTACCAGAGGGTTGCGTCTAGGATACCACACAAGGCGCGGACAGGACGCGAGCGATCGTCGAAGACCATCAGCCCACAAAAAGACATGAACAACGCAGCCACAAGCGCGTACCGTAACACAACGCGTCGCGTACCGTGCCCCAATCACGCGCTCGCTCGCACATTTGCCTACCTACTAAGCGCCCCCTCTGCAATCGATAGCTCCTCGACTGCTAAACGTAACCACCTCATTCGTGCATGTTCTGGCTCAAGAATGCGATGCGCAGGGAAAAGTACTGGATCCAAGTCACACCAGCACGATGTCATCAACTTCTGGGCATTCCTGATCTTCCATCTTCCTACTGGACTTGGACAGCACTGTTGGCTGAACGTTGTATTGTACTCTTCCGGGTACTATCGGAATGTCGAAGACAAGATGCTACCGAGGGCTCTGTGTAAGTCGGTATGCCCTGCAAATCGCATTCTTGAGCCAGAACATGCACGAATGAGGTGGTTACGTTTAGCAGTCGAGGAGCTATCCCCGTCCGAAGCTCCAGAGTTACTTGCACACGTTGACACCAGCGTAACCACTCGCAGCGTCAGCTCGCATCCTTTATGCAAGGGCTTCGTGTGTCCTGGCATTGTCCCACTCACCAAACACAAGCCAATGCACGAGACTACTGATCATCGTGTGTTATAGAGTGAATTCTATCAAACTGTACTACTTGATTACCTCTATGTCAACACTAATGTTGAAGAAGACCCATGAAATTACTATAGGCATGGTTCAGCAGTGTGTATCAGTCTAATGTAGTGGTCTTCGAGGATGTTGAGGTCTAAGACTCAGCGCGCAGTAATGAACCACTCCAGACGCAACTGTCGGATTCGGACCCGCAGCAGATGGGCGCTTATTCCGCCCTCGTGTGCTCTCTGAGACAGTATCTCCTCCCGATGGCTTCCAGGCAGTCCCTACAACTCTCCAGACTCTATTGGAGCAAAACAAGGATGAAGAGGGGCCTTAGGAGGCCCAAAAAGGAATGACCAACGCAGGACTCGAACCTGCATCGCAAACATCTAAACAACTAGTGAAAGCGCCAAAAGATATGACCACCGCAAGACTCGAACTTGCAACCTTTTGGTGCCCGCGTGGCGATCGAAGCCAAACGCGCTACCATTGCGCCAGGTAGCCATGAAGAGTAAAGGTGGTAACAGTGTTATAGCTGTGTTTAGGGTCTGGGGGTACGCGGAGGACAGTGGCATCGGCCTCTCAGCTGTTCCGTTCTCTCATCCATGTCGTCAGTACTGAGCTCTGGCAATTGAGCCAGATGCTGCCACACGACGACCTTCGCTATCAGCTTCACTCCCTACTGGCCAGCCCCGCTTTTCAACAAATAGCTCCGATAGTCTTCCTGCTCCTGGTGCCCACACTTGTCATAGTTCTCAACTCACGCCGGCGTTCGATCGCCGCCACCGTCTTCATGGTGTTCGAGTCTCTCGCGGCTGTATTACCCTGGAACTGGAATGATGCATCACCTAACGGTACTGGCTCCTCGGCAGGCAGGAAGCTACGGCGGAAAGCGCACGGCCGTACTCGCGATGATCATGTAGGTCGCGCCTCTGGTCAAGGTACGCCGCGAACACTGTCGCTCGCTCTATCATCACCAAACCCTGGCTCCAGACAGCTCATATGATGCTTCAAGCGATGACGGATACTATCCGGGCCTTGTGAATATATCTGGGACGTACTGCTTCATGAATTCGACCCTTCAGGTATCCTTCGCTGGCTCGGTTTTACAGCCAACTTGCTTCTGACTTGCTCTTGACACGTAGGCTATGGCATCTTTGTCCTATCTACAGCCTCAACTGGAAAAGATACACGCTAGGGCAGAAGCGTTGGATGTCCCCACTCCGGTGATCGACACCCTGCGAGACCTTGTATACGGTACGTACTCCCCGACTTCTTACGTGTACGCTCCCTGAGTCCGGTGCCGCGCAGCCCTCAATAACCCTTCTTCGCATCCGCGTGCAATACGCCCCTTTGACATCATCAATGCACTCTCCCATCATAACTCTGGCAAACACAACTCCTTGTTCTCCTCCCGAGAACACCAGGACGCACAGGAGCTTTTCCAGCTTCTCTCCGAATGCATCAAGAGCGAGGCAACCGCTGTCGCAAAGGAGATTCGGCGTGATCGTGGACTGGGCGAATTGACGCAGAAGGACGACCGGGCGAGCCGAGACCTGAGCCAGACTGTTTTCGACGGTCTGACAGCGAACAGGCGCAGCTGCGTCGAATGCGGCTACACCGAGGCCGTCATGCACTTCCCCTTCGACAACTGGCAGCTCGCTGTCCCTCGTCTCGTGGTATGTCCCCAATGCTCACTCATTCGTGCGTCTTCCCGCTGATGTCATGGTAAGGCCGCGTGTCGCCTCGAGGACTGCCTCGACGATTATACGAGGTTAGAGTTGCTCGACGACTGCATTTGCCGCAAGTGCTCTATGCTCGCAACATACAAACGATTAGAGGAAGAAGCGAACAGGACAACGGAGGCGGCTGCGGCTATCAACGACCCGACTTCCTCCAAGAAGAAGCGGGCACGGGATAGCCGAAAGCTGTTGGCGCGGGTGAAGGCAGCTTTAGATGAGGGGCGAATAGAAGAGGATATCAAGGGCGTGAAGATGGAGAAGGTGTGCAGCAGAGCGTCCACGAAGCAATCCATGATCGCTCGCGTAAGTCTCAAGCTTCATATTACCTGTTCGTAGACCGCGCTCACGCCAATCAGCCCCCACCTGTGCTCGCCCTTCACCTCAACCGCTCCATGCATTACGGCGGCTATGCCGCCAAGAACAACTGCCGGGTCGTCTTCCCGGAGATCCTCGACCTCACACCCTATACTACCTCCGGTCAGCTTTCCACTCAACCCTCTGCTCCCATATCTTCCCCTCCCCCACCCATTCCTATTCAGCGTTCCGTGACGCCGACGCCTTCTACTTACGCAGTCCCCCGCACGCTCTACCGCCTCTCTGCCGTCGTCTGTCACTACGGCCAGCACTCCTTTGGACACTACGTCTGCTTCCGTCGCAAGCCCCGTCCTCCAGCCGCCGGTGACCGCCGCTACACCCCACCACGACTCCAGTGCGCCATAGGCTGTGATTGCAATCTGTGCGTACAGCAAGGCCCCATACGTGAAGAAGACGGGCAAAACCCGTCCCGGCCAGGGACAGGGCGGGGGTGGCTGCGGATCAGCGACGACACTGTGCAGGAGTGCGGGATCGAGCGTGTGCTGCAGGAAGGTGCGGGTGCGTTCATGCTCTACTACGAGCGCGTGCAGCAGCCGCGGTCGGTGGTGTACAACAACGCCCCGCCAAGGGCTTCGGAGGAGACGATCCGGCCGGAGGAGTCGCACGCGCCTACACCGGAGGTTGCGAGTGAGAAGCCGGCAGAAAAGGAGCACGCGCTCAATGGGGAGGCGGCGAGGAAGCATGAGGGCAGGGATAGGGAGAGGCCGGAGGAGAGGGAACGGTCGGTCGTCGACCCGAGGGTGGTGCGTCGGGTGTCTGCGTCTGCACATCTGAAGGCGTCGGCATCCCCGTCCACGCAACCTCAGTCTCCGTCGCAAGCCCAAGCGCCCCCACCGAAGCCGCCGTCAAAACCTGCAGCCGTCGCGCCGCCCCCACCTATCTCCCGTTCGACGAGCGGCAGCTCTGCCGTCACGGCCGTGTCGACGTTCAGTACCAAGACGTTAGCGAGCGACGCCTCCGCGCCGAACGGGCACGCACATTCCTCCCACCCTCGAGACAAACACGGCTCCAACGGCTCCGCGGACCCGAGCAGTCCTCAGCGTCCGTCGATGCCCCCATCGTCGCCGTCGAAGCTGAGGAAGTCGAGGCGGTCAGTCTCTCAGGCGGATGGGAACCCCACGTCATCCCCGACGACGTCTACACCTCTGCGTACATAGTATGTCTGGCTTCGGTATCGGATGTACACTTATTAGCTTACACTATACATCTTTCCCTCACACATTGTACACCGCTGAAGTCTCTGTGTGTACTTTTCACGCAGTCGGCATAGCCAGCCATCGGCTTGCAGGCTCCAAGTGGACCCACCTCGCGTGCATGATAGCTCCCCTCTCGCCTTGAAGCGCTTTTCAAATCACCTGTGTCCGACACTCACTGATGCCTCCCTTGGGAACCTGCGACCGACCATATCTCCTCATCCGCTGCACTGATTCACCCGCTTCTTGCGGCTTCCTACTCTTTGGGCCTCCCCGCACATGCGCATATCAAATCCGTAGCGGGGCCCGGGCTTCAACACCCTTGTTGCGCCAGACCCAATCTGCATCTCGCGCACTGGGGCCCCTAAACGCCACCTCTGGATACGAATTCGATATGCGCATGTGCGGAAGGGCCAAAAGAGTAGGAAACTGCAAGAAGCGAGTGAATATGTGCAGCGGATGAGGAGATATAGTCTGTTGAAGGTTGGGAGGCATCAGTGAGTGTCGGACGCAGGTGTGGCGCCCAAGCGACAAGTGATTTGAAAAGCGCGGTAGGATTTTGCAGGAGCGCCAAACACGATTGCGGTTCCATGAAGCGATGATAGTAACGCGTGTATCTACATACATATGTGGGGGCGCACGAGAGCCGTAAGAGAATAGCAACGAACCCCATCCTAGCTAGCTATGTCACAGGACGCACTTGGATCCAAGAACTACATCTACAATGTGACATGCCCGCTGGGGACATGACGAGAGGACGACGTGAGAGGCAGCTAGCAATGGACAATGATTTCGTGCGATCGTCAATGGTTCATAGAAAGGTTCCTGATGTGCGCCGACCCTGGTGCCGCGGCGACAAGATAATACAATGCGAGCGATGGAGGCGAGGACGATCACCAGTAGATGGTGCGCTCGATCGTACGCTTGCGCTGCGGGCTGGGGAGGTACGAGACCGTGCGGCGGACACGCGTCACCGTGGGGTACCTACGGAGATGACGGGAATCAGTGTCAGGAACCTCCTGGCGACCGCTGCTTCGGTGCTCGAGGACGTACCATGCGTGGTAGACTTCGCCGGGCTCGAGCTGGACCTCGACGATCTGACGGCCCTGAGAACGGACACGGCGTTAGCGGCGTCCACAAATGCTTGCACGCGCTCACGGTGGGGCGGGCGTCGGGACGGGGAAGATGGAGGGGGAGGGAGGAAGGTGAGAAGGGACGTACAGCATAGTCGATGTGCGAGCCTATGACAAGGCCCTCTTTCCTCCCAGACTGGTGAGAGACGGCGACGATGTCACCGGGCTGCCCGGGCGTGCACAATAGGCATCATAAAGTAGACGTGAAGAGAATAATAGGTGAGATGAAGGTATCCCATGATCGAACCTGCAGATGAGAACGCACCACGATGTCGTCGCTGTATGAGGAAGACATGGTACGAATATATCACTTCAAGGAGCTTTACTACTAAAGCGAGTGGGAGGGGTGCGCGAGCTGCGACGAGGGGCGGGGTGAGCACGAGGGTGGGAGTGCTGGTGAGGACCGAGGCGACGGAGGGCTTGGAAGCAACGGGGTCGACGACGGTGCGGACGACGGCGGGCAACAGAGATCACTGGAGTCTTGAGGTCAGTGGGGATGAGGAGAAGGAAAATGCGGCGGAAATTGGGGGAGCTTATATACGAGATTAGATGGCCGGCTCGTTCGCTTGGCCGCGCGAGGCAGCCATGAGGCGTGCCCTGAGCACTGCGTCCGTGCGCACGTCGCATGCCCGCGCATCCCGCAGGTGCGTTATATTCCTCGCTATTGTCCCTTGTATCCTCTGGCGCGCTCGCACACTCATACCGCTCATGCGTTGTACGTCCGCCGCCGATGTTCTGCTCGCGTCTGGCAGTTTCGATGCATGGTGCGCAGACGCGAAGGTTTTCCCGAGCAGCGGGTGGGCGGAGCGGGAGGAGGACTTTGTTTGTGCATGACGAGGTGTACAAACGCTAACGGGCTCGGCGCGCGCCCCGCGCGGTGCCCTGGGAGGAGTTGATCAGAAAACGTTCCGTGGCGTCTACAAACAAACAGTGTCGGGAACGATTCTGCGATGGCAGGGAGTACATCCGTCATAGCACGCACCGAAACCGCACGGCATCAGTCCGCCCTTGCCTCGACGTGCGCAGGGCGATGATCAAGAAGAGTCGGATGACGGATGCGGAGGTGAGTTTGTGGGATTACAGCCATGTCACTGGCCGGGAGCAGCGAAAGACAGCGAGAACGAGAACACCGTTTGCATCGTGGTTCGGTGAAGACCTATGCAAGAGCACTTCGAAAGCATGTGCGTATGCAAGTGGATCAGGCATGGCATCCACGTTGTAGATGCCGCAAAAGGGCTGTAAAAGTAGTACAGATGGATTACCTCCTGACACGAGCAATGTACGGATCATGGGCTATAATGGACGACTTTCCATAAGGATTTACGGCTCTACGGACGTCCGTAGATTTCTAGGCGGGGTTTGAAACAGTCTGTGGATCTTGGGCGCTAAACAGGCGGCATGTTCTGCTCATCATCAGCACGTGACTGGAGTGGCTTATGTCATGTCTGTATTTGGCATGCAGTTCGCTTTGTCATGATGGCTCCTTCCTTTCTCGTGGTCACGGCACCGTATGCCGAGGTCTACGGACTGTCTACGGCCTGTTAGAGATTTAGAAAGGGGGGTCGGACCCCCCTCCTAGATTTTGACGTCCGTATCCTAAATTTCATCAGCGGAGTTCAGATCTGGTGTCGGCAACACTGCCCCTTGCCCAAATCGGTCTGTTTAGAGATTTACGGACGTCCGTAGAGCCGTAGATAGCTTATGGAAAGTCATCCAATCTAGCGCTACAGCGACGTCTATGCAGACGTCGTATTCGCCACGCGAGAACAACATGTTCTTCTCCGCGCTCTCCTCTGCCCAACGCCCTACCGGGCATCAGCCCGTGCTGGCACTATCGTCCTCGGATAGCGTTCATCACGTCTCTGAACATGTCCCTCAATCGTACAGGACCTCCACCCGGACCGGCCGCCCCTCCTCCACCTACCTCTTCCTCCTCTCCACCGAACCCAGGTCTTCTGTTTGTCCTCCCGTTCAAAGCCTGCCGCGCCCTCTCCTCCAGCCCCCTCAAGATATCCTCACCAGCCTCCTGGTACACCCTCTCCAGCTCCGCGCTGCGCATGTAGTACGCCCTCCGGACCGCATACGGCGCAAGCCCATTATACTTCCGCACGAGCGCGTTCACCTCCTCGAGCGCCGTCTCGTGGTACCCGCGCTCTTTCTCCTCCCACCCCTCGTCGCGCATGGCCGCGACGTCCGCGAGCGTGAGCTTGGGCAGGAGCTCCGCGGGGTGCGTGTGCGTCAGCGTGCGGAGCGCGCGCCGCGTCCACGACTGCTTGACGACCTCGCGGAACGTGCGCACGGCGGTCTCGAGCTCGCCTTGGACCTCGACCCAGGGCGGGGCGGCACCCTGGCGCTGGACGATGCGGTTCATGAGGAACTCTTCGCGGCCGATGAACGGGTTCTTGTCTTCCGTGGTGCGCGCGATGGGTGCGCCGCGGCCCTTGATGTTCTTGAAGTGCCCGGCCTGGCGGGCTCTCTGCATAGTCACCGTTGGCTTCAAACTGCTGCGTGAAACTGCGGGATGACGATAGCGCGCACCTCTATTCGGTCTTCGACCAGGTTGGCCCAGCCCTTGAGCGAGACAGGGTTCGGCCGCCTGAACTGGTCTGCGGCGCTGCCCTTGATACCCAGACGGTAGTCCAGGGTGGACTCTCTCGCCTGCGACAGCCTCATGCCCTGCTGCAACCGTTTCCGTTTCTCCATCTCCTTCCTCTTGGCCTTGTCGTCCAAGGGCAGAGGCGAAGAGGCAGGCTTGGGCGGAGGGATACTCCCATAGCGGACGCTGGACGTCGCATGAGACGGGACGGTGAACGTCGTATGCCACGGCTGGTGTCCGGGGATACCAGGCAGTATGGGCTCGCCGGGAACATATGTGCGCACAGGAGCCTCCTCCTGCGTACTCGAGCTTGTTACAGAAGAGTCGCCCCTCGCAACCTCGTGGGGCGCATCCTGAGTGCGCACCTGCGGTGGAGCCTTCTTCAGCTTATCGTCGGCCGTCCTGATAGGTCCCCCTCGCAGAGGCTTATACTTGTCGACGAGCATGCGGAGGACAGCATGCTCCATCGGCTCTTCCCCCGTCCAGTTCTCATGCTGGGACTCTAGCCTCTGGGCGAGTGATGATTTACGGAGGGCTTCCTCCTCCGCTGCCTCCTCCCGAGCAGCATCTTCGAAAAGCTTGGCACTAGCAGTTCGATCCGGCTCAGTAGGCGGTGTAGAAGAGTTCTGGGAATATCTGCGTAGCTGGTGGCGACATTCCAGAGAGATAGATGCGATACAAGGACGCAGAGAAGACAGACGGGAGACCGAGCTCATGCAAGTCCGCAGGTAAAGATCCAGTCCCCACACAGGCGTCCAACAGGAGTGGATGATTAAGGGTCCGCGATCACGTGGGGGTGTCTGGGCGTCCAAGCATCGCGCAGACGACCCGCTCTATGTATGGGTCTCAACGTTTGCCTCTGCACAATCCGCTGTGACTGACTAACTTATCTTGCAGCAGATACTCAGGCATGAGGAGCACCAAAGGAGTCGTTTGCGGGGCGAAGGGGACGCATTGACCAACCGCTTGTAAGCGCAACCGCCTCAAAGCACAATGCGCATTCCCGCTTTGGCCGCATGAACCATGACATAAAACATATCGCGCGTCCAGCTGTACTTCTCTACCTTTCTGTCTCCTCATCTATCTGGCTCAAACTCAACCACCCGTCCTCTGCTCCCGCTCATGAACGACTTCGACAAAATCAAGGACGACGCCGTTCCGTCCAATGGGCTGTCAAACGACATCATCATCAGGTCTTCCGACAAGGTCGACTTTGTCATTCAAAGGAAGCTCCTCTCTGAGGCGTCACCCATTCTGAGGGACATGCTGCGCATGTCTCAGCCACCGCCATATTCCGCGGAACCCCAAGACGAAATAGTCGGTAGTCCTCCTGTGCTCGCCCTCCCCGAGGACGGCGCAACTATCAGTGCGCTCTTGCAGTTTCATACACATGGTCTCGACAAAGACGGCCCCACCCTATCGAAGGTGCGGTCCATCCTGGAGGCCGCTCGGAGATACCGGATGTATGGCGTTGTTGCCGCCTTCAGACCTCGCCTTGTCGAACTGGGAAAATTGCGCACAGATGCTCTCTCTGCATTCGCCATCGCGTGCTCTCTCGGCCTTGATGAAGAAGCGGAGACCTTGGCTCCCCTCGCATACGAGCTCCGTGGGAGATACGTTCCGGAGCTTGGTGATATGTCGGCAGGCGTTTACTATCGGCTTAACCACTACGATCCCCGGCTCGCCCGGGAACGTGTTGGCAAGACCGACAAACGGGAGCTGTCGGTGGTTAGCTCACTCATCATCCCGCCACCCCCGCACAAATCCAAATCAGCCTCGCCACAGTCGCAGGACGTGGAGCCCCTGCCGCGAGATCTGTTCGATTCCCCAACGGCAGACTTCGTCCTGCACTGCTTAGACGGGGTCACGCTCCGTGTCCATTCCACCATACTATCTTTCGCTTCCCCAGTTCTCGCCAAGCTCATCGCTGATCACGCGGCTACAGCGTCGGGTCAAACCAATTACAGACCAGCGGAGCTGCACGAAGACGGACACATCCTAGGGAAAGTCCTCGAGTATGTCTACCCATGCCCTCAGCCAGCCCCGCCCGCTTCCCTGGAAAGACTTAAGACGCTCCTGGAAGCCGCGCACAAGTACCAGCTCGACGCGGCACTCGCCGCCCTCCGCACTTCCCTCCCCTCCTTCATCACAACGACCCCGAGCGCCGAGCACCCAGACGCGATCCGCACTACGCTCCGCGTCTTCGCGCTCGCCAGCCGATACGGCTTCAAAGACGAGCGCATAGCGGCTACTTGTGCGCTCTTGCGTATACGTCACGACAAGCTGTGCGATGTGTACGCCGAGGAGCTCGAGGAGCTCCCCGCGTCGACGTACTTCCACCTGCTTGCGTTCCACCGCAAGTCCGGGGAGGTCGCGTTCCGCCATCTCCTCAACCATGCGCTCCTCCAGACGGGTCTGTACTCGAAGCACATCCCAGACGCAATGCGTGACATGTACGAGGAGATCCAGTGGAAGCTCGACGGCGCGCACCTGGCGAAGAAGCACGGGTACAAGTGCTACACCGTGCTCCGAGAACGCGACGACCCCGCCTGGCACCAGTTCCGCAAGAAGAGCGTGCCCAGTTGGTGGTTGATGTACGTGTATCGGGTCGCGGTGCTCTTGAGGGACAGGCCGCTAGAGACGAATATCGCTACGGACCGCATAGCCGTCCAGGACGCGATCACGACCATGTCGGCCTGCAGCGAGTGCAGGGAACACCACTTACCTCGATTCCTTGCCTACGCGCAGGGCTTGGAGAAGTCGATCCAATGCGCCCATGGGACATTGACGACTTGGTGGGACGATGTCGAAGCGGGAGCGGTAGCAAAGGCTTCGTGGTGATAGCGGGACTCACACGGCGCACGCATGTGAGGGCAGGGAACTTCATCAACGGAGCGGCAACATAAGAAAATGAGAAACACTAGGAAGTGTGATTCCAAACCTGCCAAGCAATATGCTAACCCGCGGAACTCAATCCCATTCATCACTGTGTGTCATTATCATCCCCTGGAAACGATATCTGGGCTCCCAGAGAGTCGATGAATCCGTTGATGTCTGCTGACGTGCTTCGGGGCTGGAACTCGAGTTCTCCTACTGATACCATATGGGAAGAGGGTTGGTTCGTATTCTTGACTCTCTGCAGATTGATGAGGAACCTCGAGGTCAAGATGGAGGTCAAGCTGTGGAGAATTCGAATAGAACTGCTAAGTTTCTAATATCACAATCGCTCAGAGAAACAGCACGTACGGTTCCTCAAACAGGGGTATGACGCTTGTTATGTTAATTGCATCGGTGGTAAGCTGCCTGAAGTCAGAAAAAGACCGCATGATTCCCTGGGCTCAGCTCACCGAAGTCAGAGTGAATGTGACGTGTAGAATGTTCAGAATGACCAGGGTCCTGTCGTTGTATTATGAAGAGCACCGGAGAACTGTGGACGAATTTGTTCACTCACAGGAAGTATGAGGTTCCTATTGCACCAGCGCAAGAATGGCATGTGAGTGCAGGAGACATGTCATGCTTGATCGGACCACGCACCATCGCGAAGAAGAGTGCCTGAAAAAGTCTGTACACCAGCTGTATCGCTGACCCGAGACATCCTTACGGTCTCATGCGTACGATACCACGTCACGCATAGCACCAATAGGTCGGCTCCAATGAGACTGAATCGTGATAACTCGGTTACTAAGGTTGTTAAGTGTCAGGTAGAGCGGCTTAATAGGAAAGCCTTTTGACCTACACCTGCGATCTCGACGTCAGGTATATATTCTTGCATGCGAGACAGTGAGCGCCTTTACCTTATGTCCATACTGTCCGATAGCGTGCTCAGGACCACAAAGCCCTGCACTGGATCATTTACGTAGGTCGTGAAATGTAGATTGGCCTACGGAAGAATTTCAGCCACAAGGCTCGACCATCCACAGCAGATCACCCGTGAGGTACTCACCACCATATTCACGACCAGAGGCACTGAGGAGAGGGTAAACACAACTGCTGAGACCAGTAGTTGGTACTGTCCCGCGTACAAGGCATACGTTCTGAGAGCTGAGAATGCTGCATGAAAGAAATCCTGCTTAGGCCTTGCGCGTCTGCAGCAGAGTAACCCAAGTCACATACTGGCCCAGGGAAGGTACTGCAAAGCCAGGAGCACATTATATGCAATATCCTCTGTGACTGCGCTAAAGGCCCGTCAGGATACAGGAGCTCTTCGTCTTGATCAGAAAGACTGTACCTCTGCAAGACTATCTGAGCATAGCTCGCAGCAATGTGGTGAGGGATAACATACCTGGAATCCCGGAGGACGTGGAACCCAGCCTAGGATCTGTACCGAAAGCGGGATGTATCGGTTGAGTAGGAACAGTATGGAAGCTCCGTTGACTCGGTGTGGCATCCAGAAAAGCGTAATTTCGCTGTCGGAAGTCAAGAGGTAATCGTACACAAATACCGCTGGATAGCGTATGCGAGTCCGCTGGTGAAAAAAGTTCGCGCTGCAGACGTGATCGACAAGAAACGCACTGAGAGCGGCAATGGCGCAATAATTGTAAACGTCGTTCGCACTGAGCACTGATATTAGATACTATATGCATGCGTCCGAAGCTCAGACATACCTCGCATCGGCTATGATGGCCTGGACGTCTGAGGCGTCAGACATGCTAAGCTACTCCGAAGTCTTGCCTTGCAGAGGAGGCAAGGTTGAGGGATTGGTGGCCGGCTCGTTCAGCTTGGACGACGGAAAGCGGTCCCACTTATCTTCTAACCCGCAGGGTACCAAAAGCTGCCGTCAATCATACACTTCCCCGCACATGTTATCTGTTGACGGATTGGCAGATGCATCCGGTTCTAAGGACGAGAAGCGCACGTCACCGAAGTTGACCGAATATCTACGACCATTGTATGTCACCTATACTTTACTTCGGATTCATGCGAGCCCAGAACAGCGGCACTGTTTCCAATTGAGTGAATCGCGGTGTTTCCGAGCAATAGCTTGCGCACGCTACCGCTGTAGAGGGCCCCTGGTAACGCCGAATGGGCTAACAAACTGTTTCGAGGATCCACGCTGTCAAGCCTTGTCATTGCGGTGGTGGTATGGTCTAATGGGACGCACCGCTGAAGACGATACAGCAGATTATTGGACATTGCTCGGATCATCGCAGTTTCGTTCGACATTTTCTAAACCTCAGCGATACATATATCCAGTCGTTTTCCAATCTGTGTGGTCCAGAATGCAGCCGAAGAAGATTTCACGAAGATGATGACGGATGACAGAAGATGCTCGTTGTCTATACCGACCAACGAAGGGCCCGGGACAGCGACACCGCGGGGAAGTTTGGACTAGACCCGGTGGGTTCTCCTGCAGGAAAACACTGCCTTACGAAGGTTCGAACTCCGGCGGATCTTACATTAGCGCCGATGCAACAACCGCATAGGGGTATGGAGTGTGAGATGCAGCGTAAAGAAACTATATAGCCATACAGACCGCGTTCCTGTGTACTGCCGTGGGTGGTAGCCGTGGTTGTTTTAGCAGTCGCGACCAGGTGTTGGGCAAACCACCGATGCCGATGCAAATTGACTGCCCGGGATGCACTGCTGAGGAGGCGGGCATAGTACTCTGGAGCTCGATGCACGACTTGAGCAATAGCTGGGTAAGAGCCGCGGAGACGTAGCATCAACCGCCGGAGCTGCATGCGAAGCAGCTCAGCCATGAGAAAAATGAGCATATACACTGTATATTGCGGTATTTATAAGACTCGCAAGTGAAGTACTCAATTCAAAGTACTAACCTTAAAACGCAAAACCATCTCGGCTAGAGTCCTGGAATACGTATTCGCACAGAAAATGATATAATGCGTAGTAATGGATACAGCAAGGTCGGTCTTCACTACACCTTTTTCCCTCATTTCCCTTCTTCTATATGCCCCGCAAGCGGATATCACCCATGGTATGTTCGCGCCCCATATTAGACGAGGTTCGAAGGGTACAGGTAGTCCTCGAGCCCGACGAAGTTCTCCTTGATGCTCCGCGCCGACACGAAGCGGTAGAAGATCGAGATGGAGCCCGCCTTGTCGTTCGTGCCGCTCGCGCGCGCACCGCCGAACGGCTGCTGGCCGACGACGGCACCCGTGCATTTCTCGTTGTAGTACACGTTGCCCGCGGCGTTGCGCAGGCCGTTGGTCGCCTGGAGCAGTGCCTTGCGGTCCGTCGAGAAACTGCACAAAGTCCGTCAGTTCCAGAATCGATGATAGGGTACGTGCATCCAGTCCACAGCCCGTGCTGGCACTATCGTCCTCGGATAGCGTTCATCACGTCTCTGAACATGTCCCTCAATCGTACAGGGCCTCCACCCGGACCGCCCGCCCCTCCTCCACCTACCTCTTCCTCATCTCCACTGAACCCAGGTCTTCTATTCGTCCTCCCCTTCAAAGCCTGCCGCGCCCTCTCCTCCAGCCCCCTCAAAATATCCTCACCAGCCTCCTGGTACACCCTCTCCAGCTCCGCGCTGCGCATGTAGTACGCCCTCCGGACCGCATACGGCGCGAGCCCGTTGTACTTCCGCACGAGCGCGTTCACCTCCTCGAGCGCCGTCTCGTGGTACCCGCGCTCTTTCTCCTCCCACTCCTCGTCGCGCATGGCCGCGACGTCCGCGAGCGTGAGCTTGGGCAGGAGCTCCGCGGGGTGCGTGTGCGTCAGCGTGCGGAGCGCGCGCCGCGTCCACGACTGCTTGACGACCTCGCGGAACGTGCGCACGGCAGTCTCGAGCTCGCCTTGGACCTCGACCCAGGGCGGGGCGGCACCCTGGCGCTGGACGATGCGGTTCATGAGGAACTCTTCGCGGCCGATGAACGGGTTCTTGTCTTCCGTGGTGCGCGCGATGGGTGCACCGCGGCCCTTGATGTTCTTGATGTGCCCCGCCTGGCAGGCTCTCTGTGCATAATCGTCGTTGGCTTCAAACTACTGCGTGGAGCTACGGGATGACGATAGCGCGCACCTCTATTCGGTCTTCGACCAGGTTGGCCCAGCCCTTGAGCGAGACAGGGTTCGGCCGCCTGAACTGGTCTGCGGCGCTGCCCTTGATACCCAGACGGTAGTCCAGGGTGGACTCTCTCGCCTGCGACAGCCTCATGCCCTGCTGCAATCGTTTCCGTTTCTCCATCTCCTTCCTCTTGGCCTTGTCGTCCAACGGCAGAGGCGAAGAGGCAGGCTTGGGCGGAGGGATACTCCCATAGCGGACGCTGGACGTCGCATGAGACGGGACGGTGAACGTCGTATGCCACGGCTGGTGTCCGGGGATACCAGGCAGTATGGGCTCGCCGGGGACATATGTGCGCACAGGAGCCTCCTCCTGCGTACTCGAGCTTGTTACAGAAGAGTCGCCCCTCGCAACCTCGTGGGGCGCATCCTGAGTGCGCACCTGCGGTGGAGCCTTCTTCAGCTTATCGTCGGCCGTCCTGATAGGTCCCCCTCGCAGAGGCTTATACTTGTCGACGAGCATGCGGAGGACAGCATGCTCCATCGGCTCGTCCCCCGTCCAGTTTTCAAGTTGAGACTCTAGCCTCTGGACGAGAGATGATTCACGGAGGGCTTCCTCCTCCGCTGCCTCCTCCCGGGCTGCATCTTCGAAGAGCTTGGCACTGGCGGTACGATTCGGTTCAGCAAGTGGTGTAGAAGGGTTCTGCCCGTATCTGCGTAGTTTTTGACGACATAATAGAGAGCTTGAAGGGTTACGAGGGCGCAGAGAAGACAGACGAGAGACCGAGCTCATGCAAGTCCGCAGGTGAGTTCCGGTCTCCACACAGGCGCCCAATAGGGGCGGATGATCAATATTCAATGATAAGTAAGGGAAGGAACACCACTTGCTCCGTTTCCTTGCCTATGCGCAGGGTTCGGATCAGTCGATCCAATGCGCCCTTGGGACACTGACGAATTGGTCGGACGATGTCGAAGCGGCTGCGGTAGCAAAGGCTCCGTACTATCGCGACCCCAGTGTTCGGACGACAAGGCGCCCACCGCTTGATTCCTTTGATCTATGTACCTTCCTATCCTCCGATAACATTCATTTTCTGCATGCCGAAGATGAGATAAATTGGAGAAGAAATGAGTGTCAGAGAGGGGGATATACAGGGCTGACCCCAGTTTTCGGACGATTCTCCGCGCAGAAGGTCACGAATCGTCACGCTTGCCGAGCCCTGCCGGCCTTCGGGAATGTCCGTCCTCCAGCTTGATGAGCCTTAGCCGAGCAGCCTAACCAGGTCGGAGAGTGAAGATGTGGCTGCACTGTCACCCCCTCGAGTGCCAAGTCTTGTTTCTCCCGTTTGTGCACCAGTGAAGGCTTCGGAGAATCGAGCCCTGGGTATCATGGGTGTGTATGAGTACGTCTGAGAAACATGAAAGGAAGCGCCCGAGGAGGAGCTCGGAGCGAGACTCATCAAGTTTGAATAGGGATGAGTTGCACCACTTCCTCCTGCAAGATCGCCGCAGTGACTCTGTGAATAAATTTGGTTCTTTTTTCTGCTTGTTTGGAATGAAATCGCGCACTTACTTTCCAGCTTGCAGCTTTATCGGGTGGGATATGAGGGAGACATGGTCCTTTGTCCGAACACTAGGATCTGTCCGAACACTGGGGTCGCGATAGTAGTGGTGATAGCAGGGCTCACACGGCGTGCACATGTGAGGGCACGGTCCTGTTGTGATGCTAACGACGTCTTTGAGGGTCGATGTCGGCGAGACAGCTGTTGTGAATGAGGTCATTCAGCTGATACAAAGTAGGATTTACACAAAGTAATACAGGTACAGCTCCGTCAAAAAAAGAAAACGAGAGGCACTGAAGTGTGATCCCAAACCTGCCAAGCAACATGCTAACCCGCGGAACCTATTCCCACTCTTCACCACGCGTGTCACCATCATCCCCTGGGAACGACATATGGGCTCCCAGAGAGCCGATGAACCCGTGGATGTCTGCCGACGTGCTTTGAGGCTGGAACTCGAGTTCTCCTACTGATGCCATATTGGAAGACGGTTGGTTCGTATTTCTAACTCTCTGCAGGTTGATGAGGAACCTTGAGGTCACGATAGAGATCAAACTGTGGAGGATTCGAATAGAACTACTTAGTTTCCAGTTACACGATCGCTCAGAGAGGCGGCACGCACGGTTCCTCAAACAGGGGTATGACGCTCGTTACGTTGAATGCATCGCTAGTAAGCTGCCTGATGTCAGAGCAAGAGACTGCGTCATCCCCTGAGCCCAGCTCACCGAAGTCAGAGTAAACGTGACGTGCAAGATATTAAAGACAACCAGGGTCCTGTCGTTGGATTATTGATGTCGCCGGAGAATCGCGGACGAGTCCTCTCACTCACAAGAAGTACGAGGTTCCTGTTGCACCAGTACAAGAATCGCATATGAGTGCCGGAGTCATGTCGTGTTTGATCGGACTACGCACCATCGCGGAGAAGAGTGCCTGAAAAAGTCTGTATACCAGCTGTATCGCTAAGCCGGGACATCCTAACGATCTCATGCGTGCGGTACCACGTAACGCATAGCACCAATATGTCGGCTCCGATGAGACAGAATCGTGACAACTCAGTCACTGCAAATGCAAGGCATTAGGACGAGCGCCTCAGAAAGCCCGGTTGAACTTCCAAACCTACATCTGGATGTTTGACGTCAGGTCAATACTTTTGAAGGCGGAAGTGAGAGCGCACTTACCTCAACGCCGTGCTTTCAGATAGCGTGCTAATGACACCAAAACCTTCCACCGGGTCATTCACGTAGATGATGAAATGTAGATTGGCCTACGGACAGAATCTCAGCCACAGGCTCAATCATTCACAGCATATGATCCGTGAGGTACTCACTACCATGTTCACGACCAGAGGCACAGAGGAGAGGGCAAAAACAACCGCTGAAATCACCCATTGGTACTGTCCCGCGTACAAGGCATACGTTCTGAGTGCTGAGAATGCTGCACGATGGATATCCTTCTCAGACCTTGCTCTTCCGCAGATATCTATCCAAGTAACGTACTAGCCCAAGGAAGGTACTGCAAAGCCAAGAGCACGTTGTAAGCAACATCCTGTGCAATTGCGCTGAAGGCGCGTCAGGATTCGATCACTCTTCATTTTGATTAGAAAGGCTATACTTCTGCAAGAGCACTTGAGCGTCGCACTGATTGAGGCGGTGAGGGGTAGCATACCTGGAATCCCCAGGAACGTGGAACCCAGCCTAGGATCTGTACCGAAAGCGGGATGGTTCTATTGAGTAGGAACAGTATGGTAGCCCCGTTGACTCGGCGTGGCATCCAGAAAAGCGTAATTTCGCCGTCGGAAGTCAAGAGGTAATCGTACACAAATAAAGCTAGAGTGTATGCGGGCCCGCTGGTTAAAAATTTCGCGCTACAGACGGGATCGAACGAAACTCACTCAGAGCGGCAATGGCGCAATAATTGTAAACGTCGTTCGCACTGGGCAATGAGATCAGATTCTATATACGTGCGTCCAGAGCTCAGACATACCTCGCATCAGCTATGATGGCCTGGACGTCTGAGGCGTCCGACATGCTGAGCTACTCCGAAGTCTTGCTTTGCAGAGGAGGAAAGATTGGGGGATTGGGTGGCTGGATCGTTCAGCTAGGACGATAGATAGAAATCTTTTAACCTGGCACACGGCACCGAGAGCTGCCGGCAATTGTAGGCTTCCTCGCATTTTCCAATTGTTGACAATACTAGCTGATGCATGCAGTCCCGGGGGCATTTAGTACATGTCATGACCGAGGATCAGAGTTGCGTCAACTTGGCTTCCATACGTGCGGACCTAAAATAGTGACAATGTGGTGTTGGCGCCTGGTAGTATCCGAGGTTTATAACGAGCAGTACATCTGACACTTTCGGTATACTGTGTTGCTGATCCTGTTTTGGTTAGAGTGGATCGCCGTAGTTCCGAGCACAATAGCTTGTGCATGCTGCGGCTACTGAGAGCCTCCAGCAGCGCGGTTGGCTTATTTGCAGACCGTTCCGAGGTTTCTGTTTCATGGAGCATTTGCTTCCGTTGACAAGAGAATTGAAGGGGGAAGCCTGATCATCGCGGTGTTTGTAGGCTCGAATGGGACACATAACTACAGCTTGTTGATAGAGCTTTTCTTGGATCTCCGCAGTCCCGTTGGACACAATCGGAACCTCAGCGATACGAGTATACAGTGGTCTGACCGGGCCCGGCGGTCACGCGGATCGTGGCCCATCGAGAACGTGGACCGCTGCTGGAGGCGAGGCGCGATGCTGAAGTCTAGCGGAGGCGGTCTGTGTTTCTTCTCCCTCTTGCCACCGTGCCACTGGGTGGTCGGCGACTCGTTGATGAACAGCATGTTCTCAGAGCTGGGCCATCCATGTAGCCGGAGAAGATTTCACGAAGGTGATGACGGATGGCAGGAACATGCTCGTTGCTTAGACCAACCAATGAAGAGCCCGGGACGGCGACACGATAGGTAAGGTTGGATTGGACCCGATGCGTTCTCTTCCATGAAGACACCGCCGTACGAAGGCCTTCCAGCAATTTCAACCGTGTTTCGAACCTAAACCCGGCTGGTGTTCCATCAGCGCCGATACAACGGCCGCAGGAGTGTAACGCAGAGCCTGCAGAGACAAGTAGGCTAAGAGCCATACCGCTGAAGAAATTGACCTTAACGGATCCTGGGCAGCTAGGGCAACGAACGCGGTGGGGAGGAGTGAGGCATGACGAGTACAATGTGGAGATAGCAAGCCGTGGAACAGCCGCTTAACGCGCTGGCGGTTCATTGAGGTCTTCGGAGTAGGGGCGTTTCGAAGGCGTATGCTCAGGCCGAGATATCGCAGCGACTTGGAGGGTGCTCGGAGACTGCAAGTGGTCTGGTGCACAAGTGTTCTGGGCACCAAGCGCTTCCTTGATGTGCGAGTCGAGGTGGGGGCATATTGTGACGCCTTCGAGGCGCAACGCCCTCCTATGTATGGCGGCGGGCAATAGCCGTGGTATTTGCAGCAACAGAATTCAGGTCCTAGACATTCCAATGTCAACACAAATACGCTTCTCGGGATACGCCTGCATTGCGGAATAATTATTCCGCGGCCGAGGTGGAGGGCGTAGTACTCTGAACCTCAATGCTCGGTTCGAGGGCCAGTGAAGCGTACGGAGGAAGGTAGTAGCGGCAGGTGCCCTGGTTATCACGAAGTTGGTGAGGCCCGCAAGTGAAATAATAAAACAAAGCACCGACCTCAAAACGCACATTCTTCCCATCCTAGGATACATACTTGCACAGAAAATGATATAATGCGTAGTAATCGATACAGCAAGGTCGGTCTTCACTACACCTTTTTCCCTCATTTCCCTTCTTCTATATGCCCCGCAAGCGGATATCACCCATGGTATGTTCGCGCCCCATATTAGACGAGGTTCGAAGGGTACAGGTAGTCCTCGAGCCCGACGAAGTTCTCCTTGATGCTCCGCGCCGACACGAAGCGGTAGAAGATCGAGATGGAGCCCGCCTTGTCGTTCGTGCCGCTCGCGCGCGCACCGCCGAACGGCTGCTGGCCGACGACGGCACCCGTGCATTTCTCGTTGTAGTACACGTTGCCCGCGGCGTTGCGCAGGCCGTTGGTCGCCTGGAGCAGTGCCTTGCGGTCCGTCGAGAAACTGCACGAAGTCCGTCAGTTCCAGAATCAATGACAGGGTACGTGAGAGGCGTACATGGCGCCGGTGAGAGCGTAGGGCGAGGTGGTGTCGATGAGCTCGAGGGTCTTCTCAAAGTCCGCATCTTCGTAGACGTAGACGGTCAGGACAGGACCGAAGATCTCCTCGACCATCGTCACGGACTTCGGGTCCTTCGTCAGGATGACAGTGGGCTGCACGAAGAAGCCCTTGGAGTCGTCACCTGATGGATCGAATTAACACTTGCGTACAGCAGGAGCACTCGATATGTTCACTTACCGCTACCACCAACGAGGATCTCGCCGCCGGCATCTTTCGCCTTCTTGATGTAACTGATGATCTTGTCGAAGGCAGGCCGGCCGCTGCGGATCGGTCAGTCCCATGCACTCGCATGAAGGCGCATATACGCACATGACAGGACCGATAAAGTTCTGGAAGTCCGTCGGAGGACCAACCTTGAGACTCGCGACTTCCCCAAGGAGCTGCTCCTTGAAGCCGTTGTTCCACACGGACGACGCAACGTAGAGACGCGATAGCGCAGAGCACTTCTGACCCTGGTACTCGAATGCCCCACGGACGGTCTGCGTGACCGCGTTCCGGATCTCTGCAGAGGGGTGGACGAGGTGGAAGTTTTTGCCACCGGTCTCACCGACGATGCGGGGATAGCTCTTGTAAATGTCGAGGTTCTGAGCGATGTCCTTCCAGAGCTTCTTGAAAACGAGGGTACTGCCGGTGAAGTGGAGGGCGGCGAAGTCTGGGCTGGCGATCGCCTGGCCAACGACTTCCTCCGGAACACCAGGGACGAACTGAATGACACCAGGGGGTACCCCAGCCTCTTCAAAGACCTTGTAGACGAGGTAGTTGGAGTACGTCGCCGCGGGCGAGGGCTTCCAGACGACAGTGTTACCGACAAGAGCGGGAGCTTTGGTTGGCAGCATGAATACATGATAGTCAGATGCGCTGATTGCACTCACTGCCCGGAAGGTTACCGCCAATCGCAGTAAAGTTGAACGGCGAGACTGCGAGGACAAAGCCCTCAAGTGCACGGTACTCAATGCGGCTGTAAATGATACGACATGTCAAAACGAAGCTAGATGATCCTCCAAGGGGAAGCTACGTACTTCCACGCGCCCGCCGCGTTCTTGACAGGCTGCTGCGAGTAAAGTTCCTCGACGTACTTGACACCGAAGCGGAGGAAGTCTGATAGCTACTCATGGTGGACCGCCGCAAGGTTAGACACAGGGTATACCAGCGCGCGATGCCCCATTGCACACATACCTCGGCTGCTGCATCAATCTCAGCCTGCCACGCGTTCTTGCCCTGGCCCAGTATCGTCGCCGCCAGGAGCTTGTAGCGATATTTTCCGCTCACAAGGTCCGCGGCCTTGAGGAAGATGGCCGCGCGATCATTCCACGGTAGGGATTCCCATTCCTTCTTCGCGGCAAGCGCGCCGTCGATAGCAGCGGCAACCGTCGCCTGGTCTGCTTCGTGGTACGTGCAGAGGTGCTTTGCGTGGTCGGCGGGGAGGGGCTGCTTCGCGAGCTTGCCAGTCTTGACCTGAAGGGCGACGATCGTTGAGAGATCAGGAGGAGCAGGTCGGCGAGAAAGATGCGTACCTCCTTGCCGTTCACAATACAAGGCACCTCGAAAGGGAGCTCCTTCTCCATCTGTGCGAGGGCTTCGACAAGGCCCTTGCGTTCGACAGAGCCAGGAGCATAGCTCCGCTGCACAAGAGGTCGTCAGATTACACTTGTGGGACATAAGGAGGGAATCGCGGTACGCACCATGGGCTCATTGTCGATTGCGGGGACTTTGAAGGAAGCGAGCTGGGGCGTGTAGAAAGCCATGAGGGAGATGGTGGATGAAGCGAGATCAAACGGTATTCACTCACGCCAGATAATCCTGGACGGAGCTTGCGATCGAGAGCGAGAGCCTCGACGAGTCGTCGCTCGACTCATCGGCAAAGAGAGCTTCCAACCGATTAGATTAGATCAGATCAGAGTATACGGCCACAACCGGCACCTTCCCTCGGGCTGGCCGAGTAGGGATATGTATATGGCACACAGATGTCCCATGTTCCAGCTACCACTCTCCCAGACATGTAGCCATATGGCTGGTAACGTAAGATCGAGTCAATGAGAACCCTCGAGCTGAAACTCCACCTAATATGAAGCAATTCCATCCCAATCTGGAGGGCTATTCCAAGGGGTATCACCAAATCAGCGTCCGGCGGGAACTCGAAGCAGTTCATGTCCGTCCCCCTCAGCCTCCGCGCCCATATCCCTCACAAGGCAACCGGCAGTGCGTCAATGTCCCGCCGCAGCTGGTCGAAGAACCACGACGAAGCAAGAATGCACCCGGCGCACCGCTCGCAGCCCCCCGCCTGGGCAGCCTGTTGCAGGAAGCCAAGAGAGCAGATGGTCTCCGCCGTCGGCCGCAGTCGCAGCTCCTCCCGTGCTCGCTCCTTCCACTCCACCCACCACAGCGGCGGCTCGTGCATCCTGTCGCGTCGCCCGTTACATTGCATGCACTTGATCTCATCCGGAAGGCTGAGGAGGGCGATCGCGTCCCGCGCATGGCGCTCGTGGAGGAGGAAGAGGCGGTGATACGCATAGGCAGTCATGCTCTTCAGATCCTCGTGTAAGGGAAGGCCATGGAGGCCTGTAGATAGTGTCGCTTTCGCGGCGACCGCGGCCTCCTCGTCCAGCTCGAAGCGGCTCGCGATCGCATAGACGCGCAAAGGGTACATCTTCAGGAACACGGGGTCGACAAGCCGCCTTCGCAGCCCGTCGATTGCGACGGCTAGATCGTATTTCCGCGCTGCATCGAGTGCGGGCGCCAGCTCGTCGAGCGTGTTCACAATTGGGTCGGGTGTGGGATAAATGTAGGCGAGTAGGATCTCCAGGACCGCCGCGCTCTCGGTGAAGGGGACGACAGGAAGGGCTTCGTTGCCTGTGTTCGGAGGTTGTGGCAGTGACAGCATGGCTTCGAAAAAGGGCGATCCGGCTGACAAGACGCAACGGTGGATGTGAAAGTCGACCGTCTTCTGGCGACCGTGATACTCTCCATGCGATGAGCCTGAGCGCAGAGTAAGGTCGGCATCACGAAAGTGGAAGAGGCAGGAGGACATGGTGGTAGAGGATTGAGCACGTAGAGGAGTGAGCACGTAAACGTGGATACGGGAGATGAGGGCAGCCTATATATTCAAAGTAATAGAGGGCGGCGAAGTCGCAGAAGACAGAAGAGGCTGGCTGTGGAGATGGGCTAGAGGCTGACGCTGTGAGGGATCATTGGTTACACCGCACTCTCCGCCCACCGGCTATACATGATCAACGCCCCTGGGCGCGAGCGCAGCTAACTGGAACAGCAATACATGAGACGTACAGAGTACAGAGGGCCTACAACGACGCCCAATTGGAGTCATATGTTGGCCCAAAGCTCAGCGCCTGTGTTCGTATCGATTCCTGGAATCCTTGGGTTGCCTATCGCGACTGCCTCTTCTGCGCCTATCTCGCTCCGGATCGTCATCTCGGCGGCGTGGACGTGGCGACCTCGAGCGGCGCGGGCGCTCTGTTGAACGCTCACGACGGCGCGGACTCGGGCTACGGGTCTTGCGATGCCGCCGCTCGCCGTCAGGCACGTCAAAGACCATACCGTAGTCGCTACCTGCACGCGAGGACTGATCTCGGTACCTCCGTGTCTCTTCAAGGTCATCGCGTCCCCCGAAACCGCCCCTGGCACGTCCTCGCCCACCGCGAGCTAGAGGAGGGCCCATCTTCGGGTTGTTTGACCATTGCGAGTTGAATCTCGCGACGGATTGTGAGCTAAGAAGCGAGGTCAGTACCTGCACAGGGATGCGTCCAAAGCACCCACAAATCAACCCAGATTCGGCGGTCATCAACCAACACATTTTGCATTTTGAAGTATGCCTGCGGACAGATACATAGTTGGCATCTGCTCTTCGCTAGGGCTGTACTATGGATACAACACACCTGTTCCGCATCTTCACGCTTGTCAAACTCGATGAATGCGTACTGGAGCGAATCTCCGGTCTTCTTGTCCCGGATGACTTGACAGCTCATGATCTTGCCGAAACGCGAGAAGATGAGCTCCAAGTCCTCATCTCCTGTCACCGGATTCAATTTACAGACGAACAACACGTTCTCTGGCGGGCGGACGTTAGCGAAGGGTAGGTCTCCCACCATCTCCAGCGTCAAGGCCGATGCCTGTGCTGCTTTTTTGCGCCGAATCTCTTCCGCCTCGTCTTCGGGCATAGTTTCTAACGGGTCCTCGTCTTCTGCAATGCGCGTGGAGTTGTCTGGCGGCTTCACGGGCGGGGAATCTGGGATTACTAGACCAGGGGGGTCCTCGAAAGGATCCTCTGCACGATGCACATGGGTATATGCGCTCAAAGGACCGGAGGGCAACTCACCGAGGATTTCGACATGCCGTATCCTGACATCCTTCAGAGGTCTCCCATCCTGATCCACAAACACATCATTGAGCTTGTCCAAGGTCTCGAAACCCTCGACTACGTGCCCAAAGACTGCATGCTTTCCGTCCAGATACTCGATGTTGTCGCCAATTGTTATGAAGAATTGGCTTCCGCAGCCGCCCTTGTGTTCGTCACCAACAGCTGGGGCTACGGCCATAGACACTGTGCCGCGTTGCCGATGCTTGAGGCGAGGGACGAACTCGGGCGTAAAGTAACGCGGGGTGGAAGGGCCGCCTTGCGAGGCTATCAAAGACCAGATGGACTCGCCTCCAGTGCCTGTAGCTGTGGGATCACCGACCTGAGCCAGAAAATCCTTCGAGACTACGGATAGACTCAGTACGCTGCTCGCACACGTAGGGCAAGGCAAACTCACCGTTGAAGAACGCGTTCAAGTTGTAGTAGTACACTTTACATAGCTTCAGAAAGTTCTCGCAGGTTTTTGGACATGCATCCGTCTCGAGATCTATGACTATGTCGCCCAGAGAAGTCTCAAAGAGGACGGACATCGTGGTCGGTGGCAGAGGCGCATAAGCGCTCCTGAACATGGCACAATCTCACGACGACACCAGAGCCGGTTTCGCTGTCAAGGCACCTCCCTCAATCGCACACTCAGTCCATACTCATCGACTGTAGGCAGCACAGAGTTGTACCGTCCTCGGATGACAGTCTGCTTAGCCAGAGTCCGACATGAGCTATCACCTCCCGAAACACCCCTCGTTGCATGGTCCAACTCCTCAACACAAGGGGCGCCTTGAAGGCCTAGACAAAGGTACTTTCAGGCATTTGTCTATTTCAGAGAGAAAAGCAGCATAACCGCGCTATCACCCTCATCGTGCGCGCGTTCAAGAAGTTCATTCCTCTTCGACCACCACCTCTCATTAGTCCACCTCATCATGTCCCCCTCGCTCCCTGTGGAAGTGCTTGAAAACGTCATTGATCAGCTCAACTACGACGAGTCCGAGTAGGAAACTGGTGCGCCTCTGCGTAGCTTTGCCCTCACGTGTCGTAAACTTTTGTCCCGTACTCGCTCTCGACTCTTCTCAGTGATCTGTCTAAAGACGCAGGGTCACTACCTGTGTCTTTGTGACCTCTCGGACAACACTCCAGCTCTCTGTCCATTGATCTATACAGTTACCATCGGCACCAAAGCCATCTGGGACGCCGATGGCGAGATGTGTGGGACTGCGCGGACGGCCCTATTGTTACATGAGATTGTCCCCGCCGCGCTACTCGCCCAACTCCCCAACCTACGACACTGGAAGCAAGTTGACGAGACCGAGCTTCCTCGCTCTCCGAAGATCGTGGAACTTGTTGCTTTCATCCATCGCACTCGGCTCGCTGAGGTACTACACGAGTAGATCCTCTCTGCAATTTCTACGTCTCAAGACCTTACGCTTTCTGAGCTTTGCGGATTTCACGCAGCACCTTTGCGCTTTCCCTAACATACAAGGCCTCGCATGCAACCGTGTATTAGTCAGACGCGCTCGGAAGACCGACAGGACTCGGGATGACCACGGAAAAGGCCAGGTCAAGCAACTACCTCGCTTGACTACGTTGGACGTAAGTCATAGTGAACTTCGCGGTTGCGTGTCGAGGAAAGGCTAACCATCAAGAAGAGTAGATCTTCTCTTTGCAGAAGAAAGTGACGCGCTTCCTCTTAACGTCATGTTCCCACGGCTCGAAAAGTTGGTGGTCGATATATCTGGGCCGTAAGTGGTTGTCGCAAGGTGCGCATGAGTGGATATTCACATAGGTGTGCGGTCTGACCGGGCTGCATATGTACAGATATGTTCACCTTACCGAGGCTGCCCCAATTACGCTTCCTGGAGATATGGATAGACCTTGCGTTCGTCGGAATGATAGCTCGCTGTCTAGAGCAGACCATCGAGACCATAACGGACTTCGACCTCTCCGCGTTGAGAGAGTTCGGGGTGCTGCTCCTCGTCCGGGATGGCCACTATGTGGAAGACGCTATGGAGAAGTGCGCAGAAATCGGCCGCTGTGTACGATGTTGGATGGGATACTTGCAGCGTATTCTCGGCCAGTCATAACCCTATGGATAACCGGCTGGGCTGTGGATAATGACGATCGAGGCACAGACGGGAACAAGCTTGGGATGGTTTCTGCACTGAAGTCTTATTTCCCGGAAGTAGCAAAGCGATAGAGGTCACCTATGCAGGACGAGAAAGTGCGAGAGTCTCCCCTTCGACCAAATTGACTAGAGGCTCAATTCGCTTAGAGGGACTCCGTGGTAACCGTTGGTTTGCATAGTCCTTTGCAGAGAACTGCGTCAAAGGCAAACCGTCGTACGTACCGGGATCCCCGCGAGGGTTAGAATCTGGCCTGGGCATCATGGCGCGTACAGAGATGCAGAGAACTCGGATGTAGAGCGCTACTACTATTGCTTCGCGCAGGCCCATCGCTTTCCTTCAACTATTTTGGCAACTGGTGTAGAGTATAGCTATTGCGTGTATCTTGGCTTCAGTTCCCCATGACTGTGAAGCGCAGACTCCCTAATGCCAATTCCCGTCGTAGATTAGAAAGCTGAGACGATTACTCTCGGACCCTGATCGCGAGCGCAATGTTGGGAACACAGTCGCAATCATGTTTGTGTAAGACAACGACTGGGAGAAAAAGGGCAACCGTGATGGTATAGCATTAGCACGTTGTCTAAGGTATCCCAAACATCGATAATATACATCATCAGAATATACAGCACGCTCTATCCAAGCTTCTTCAGTCTACCATATAGAATACCTCAAAAGTCCACATAATAGAAGACGCCAGTCTAAGACGCTGGGCAACTAGATGTCCCGCTCGCGCCTCCAGCTCCGCTCCATGTAGACCTCATCGCGTGGACTGCTCGCATAATACGGCGTCGGTATAGTCGGGTCGTTGTCCCGCACATCAGGATACCCAGCTGTCCACGACGAGATGTCAAAAAGGGACGTGGTCAGTTGCTCGCTCTGGCCGTGAGCTTTGGGTATCGGCCTCGGGGGCGAGCTCTTAGGGGTGTTCGCCTGCTCGCTCGCCTTCGTGTTCTTCCGTGAGACAGGTGTCTGCGGCCGTGATATCGACGTCTCGCCCGAAGCCGTACTTACGGTCGCCTCCGCAATCGCTGGTGTCGCAGACATGAAACGGAACGCCTGCATCTTCCGCGAGAGCGCCTGCAGGACAGACTCACGGTCTGCTGGCTGCGCAGAGCCCGCGTGGTTGTCGGGTTGTGGATCCTCCCCATGCTGCGTGAACGTCGTACGGATAGACGAATCCGACAGACCGCGCCTCAACGCGCGCTCGAGCGCTGGGGGAGGTCCGTTGTTCTCGTCCGACCCCTGATCCGAGGTCTCGCCACCCCCAGGCTGGGGCGAGTCAATCACCGCGTCTACAATGCGCGACAGACGCTTCCCGTGAGTGGCGCCCCGAAGAGACGCACGGCCTATCGTCGCGGAGGCTTTGTTCAAACCCATGGTGCTTGTCGTCCCGCTAAGCTTCCTGCTCGAGCTGGGCGGCCGAGGGATCACGATCCACGGATCGCCCTCAGCTGGTCGTGGCGCCCCTGCGAAGATACCCATGACGCTCCTCGACAGGTCCTGCCTAGGTGTCGGCTGAGCGATCGGGGGCGAAGTCGCACTCGTACTGCTGCCAGGCGTGGCGAGGGAGCCGAAATTGCTCACTCGCCCAGGATGTGCCGAGTACGTGCTGGTAACTGCACGACCCACGGCTGCGCCGCTGAACTCAACGTTGACGGTCATTGCGGACGCCGAAAGGGCAGGCTGCAGCTTGGGCGCGATACGGGGTGGGGGGCGACCGCGGCCGAGGTTCCGAGCGGTTGGCGAGAGGGCGCTGGATGCAGCTGACTCTGATGGACTAGCGCCGCCGCCTGGTAGCCCGAGCAGCTTGGAGAGGGGGGCCATCCACGAGTGTCCGTTCGCTCCTGTCGCGCCGTCTTTAGCAGCGGAATCCGTGGCCTGCGCTTTCGAGGGATGCATTGCCATCTCGCTGACCTTTCCAGCCACGGTCGGGTCTAGGATGACAGCGTTCAGGGTGACACGCAACTCGCCGAGCTCGGTGAACACGTCCTTGACGAGCTTCAGCAACCCACGAAGATCCCGGCGCGTACAGGTCGTGGTCATCTTCTCGTCCTCTAGAAATGCACGGAAGTGGGTGCGCAGCGCGGTCGCATCGTTGAGTATCGCAGTGACAGTGGTACGGGACAGATGCCCAACGTCTGCGCCCAGGAGGTGTTGCCGTTTGAGGCGGTTGGTAAGGGTAAGGGCGTCGGCTTGCGCCATACGGTTTAGCAGGGTCGTTGCGCGCTCGACAATCACACCAACCGCGGAGGAGTGAACGTTGTCGGTGAGGGAAGATGACTCTGATTGGCCGTCGTGCGAGGATACGTGGTCCCCGAAAGCACGCGGGATGGGGGAGGGTGAAAGAGCACTGGTGGTGTTCCAAGTGAGGTCGGTCTGCACACCACGATCACGAGTCAAGAGGAGCAGTGGTTTCTGAGCGCGAGGTCGTTCAGGAGACACAGTATTACCCTCTCGATCGTCGAAGCTGATGTGTGAGTGCGCGTAGGTCGCCCGGGGGTTAGCGAACGATGTCCACTTCGAACCAGCGTGAATGTGAGAATCGGGGGATAACGGCCGGCGCTCAGTTTCAGGTGTCAATGGTTCCTGCAGACACGTGGTAAGTGCAATAGAAGACGCGTAGCTGGAGCATGCGACATACGAATGGACGTCTAATCGAGAGTTCTCTGCTGCGTTCAGCGCTTAGGGACCGCCGCTGGCTGGTTGCGTTCTCGCTCTGAAGCCTTGACCGTAGCAAGGAAGCAGTGGGGGCAGTACCGATCGGGAACGTGGGCGACAATGGTGAGAAAGTGTCGTGGAACGTGAATGAGTTCCCGCTGTGCGTGAAGCGATGGCCACGCCTGAACGGAGTGTCGCTAGCACGTCGTTCCTCCAGCTCCTCTTGTAATGAATGGAGTTCTTCCCGTTCTGCTCCCAGGAGGTTCTGCAGCTCAGCGTTGTCACGCTTCAATGCTTCATTATCGGCAACGAGGGATTCAAGCACTTTGGTGACCTCCGCGTCGTGGACGTCAGCCGAATGACCCAATTGCTAGATGTCCGTTAGCGAGTCTCGCAGTTGCCAACTGGATAGAAGCAACAACGTACGTGGTATTGCAACTGCTCAAGCCGTTGCTTGGCATCGGACAATATCTCCTGCGATAGCTCTTGCCTATGCGTTCTTTGAACATCAAGATCTTCTCTCAGTCTCAAGACCTGAGCCTGCAGCTTGGCTGCACGGTCTCATGAGGACATCGTAGCGGGAGGGATATGAGCAGTAGCCACGAACCGCATTTCTCTCTATATGAGATGATTCGCGACTCCGTCATCCTTGTGCGTTGAGTCGCGCTATCGAGCTCCTGCTTGAGATCGTCCTTCTCTTGCAAGGCCACAGCCAAACGATTCTCAAGCCCAACTGCCCGAGCATTCTGGGAGCTCAATCGTGCCACATCTGTCCTCGCCTCCTCAAGCTCCTGTAGAAGAGTTTTCTTAGACGTCTCGCCCATTTCTGTGTGCATGAGTGCCTGTGTGAGACGCTGCGCGACACGGTGAGCCGGTCAGGCTGTGCTTGGGTGTAATGACGAGCGTACCTTCTCCAAGAGAGCATTCTATTGCCACGGCAATCAGCGGGAGAATAGAGTTGCGACCTTCACGAACGCACCTGCTTGACAAGTTCTGCCACCCGGACATCAACCGAGGAATGAAATGATATAGTATCGTCTTCATCGTCGTCAGACTCTGAGGGAAGCTTGACGGGCGGAAGCCCAAGAGACAATGAGCCGGGTGAGGACCGGTGAGCTGACTCCATAAACAAGACGTACCTTTCGTTCCTGCCTGCGGACCAACGCTTCATGGCGCTCCAACAAAGCTCGTCCAACCTCTACACCGCATAACCAAGGCCGTGTTGGTCCATTGACTCCAGGGGTCACACCGAACACATACCGGCACTGAGGACAAGCCTACTCTCCAGCTTCGTCTTGAACGCCGCCCATGACTTGCTCGTCTCACAGTCCTCCCGTCCGCAACAGCACGTGGCTACATTGTCCGGGTCCGGCGAGGAGACACGGGATACACTGGTCAACGCGTGCGTGAGCTCGTCGATCGTAGTAGTTGCACGATGCAAGCTGCTAGTGAGCTGGGAGTCTGGAGTCAAGGCGCGCGAGTCCAGCAGCGACATATCGAGTCAATGGGTATCAGCGAGCCCAGGGAGTGTGCAGATGCGTCAAAGCAAGGGCGACTAGAGTGGGCTGTTGTGGTATGGCTGCCAGCAGCAATGAGATGGTATATAAGGTGGTGGGGGCGATGGAAGACCTCGATGTTGGACGGTAATGAAAGGGCATGCAAGTGTTGGCGCGGACAGATATTGCGAAGGAACCCAAACAGGCTCCAAGTGGCGTGTCTTCTTCAAGCAGACGCAATATTGCTAAATAGCATGAGGCAGCTAGCAGACGAGACGCAATGTCAAGCAACGAGTTGGACAGTCGACAACAGCCCGCTGCTCGAAGCCGACTCGTTTGGTGTCGGTACCGATGCCACAAAAGGTATCCCATTCGCGAAGGCGCGGCCCGGAGGGCCATCCTGACTGGCTAAGCATCCACCATAAATATCGTCTCGACAACATACAGGCTAAAGGACACCTTGCGAGCATTTTGCTATTCCTGAGAATTCGATCTCAATGAATCGGACGAAGCATGATGAATTCCGGCTGGATGTCACGAGCCCGGATGGTCGACTCCTGCCTCGTGTTCGAACGGCTTCGGGAATTAAGTCTACCAAATGGCGGGTCCTCAGATCAATGTGATACAAAAAGAAGTCATCTCATGAACGCAAGGTTCATATACTCCGAAAAATTCGTGAGGTGGCATCGAGGTAAGGGCGGTACACGGAATCCCCTAGTAAAAGGCGAGGGGATTGTATGTTGTACCACCCTCTGCCACTACCCCATCGTGGGCGGCGGAGTTGAGGTGTGCGGGACGTCTGCATTTTGCTGAACTCCCGGGTGAGAGATTGCGGAAGGATGAATGATGTGCCTGGCGCTTTCTCTCTCGTTAAGTCCGCTGCCGACGGCAGTGTCCAACCCATCCACCTTCCTCTCGAACAATGCATTACAGCCATTCAAAGTAGGATATAAAATGCGGTAGAACAACACAGAAACCGGTCCATCCAGAACTAGTACACTATACAGGAACGCCTCACGTCTCACTCCTCAGTATACATAGGCGGCACCTCCGAGATCGCAGTCCCAGCAAGCGACACATACTTCGCCTTATTCTTCCTTCTCTCCTCCACATCGTCCCGCTTCCCCGTGTCTGTACGCAGGAACGCAGAGGGCGGTGGTTTCGCGCTTGTGCTGGGCGCGACAACGGCCGGGAGAGCATCGCCCTTCTTGAACCGCACTCCCGAGTCCGCATGGAACGTCGCGGGTTTCTTGGGGCGGGATCCGGACGCCTTCTCGGCCTCCGCACGTTTCGCGGAGGGCGTCGCGCCGGATGAGGTATATGTGCTTCCCGGGGCAAGCATAAGCGGAGCACGAGAGTTCGTCGTCGAGTACGAAACGAGAGAGGCGTGTGACGTCGCGGAGCGATAGGAGATGGGAGGCGATGAAGGACGACGCAGCGCCGGGGGTGGGGTAGGAATGGGGCGGTGAAGCCCACCCCCATAGGCACCGGAAGGCGTCCCTGGACGTGATACAGAGATTGAGGAAGTAGATGGTTGGGGACGAAGCAAGTATACGCTTGACTGCGGAGTATGCGTGCGCGAGAAAGCAGAGAATTGGGAGCGCATCTGGGAGTGCGCGAAATCGATCTCGCTGAGCGACTCGAACGTATCCAGTGACCCTCGCCTTGTCAGCGGATACAAGACTGTCTCGTTGATTGGGGTAGGGTGGTAGGCATAAAGGTGCGTCTCCTGAACGGGATATGACGCGACGGTATCCATCATGGTCGGCTCTGGAGGTGGCTTATACTCTGCAAGTGACAAGACCTCAGATATTTTGCCTGCCTGTGAAGGCAATGAGGGTGTCGATGTACTCACCTCCGAAATGGGTTGCCAAGTCAGGCTTCTTCTTCGCATCCTCGTAGACGTAGTGCCCATACTTCTTAGCTAGCCGAGCAGGAGCCCTCTTCCTCCTCCAGTACCACCAGCTCGCGAAAGCAAGACCCCCGAGTACAGCCGCGGCTCCAACGACTCCTCCAACCATCGGCACAGTGTGGAATGGCTCACCGTCTCTAGCGGTCATAGACTCGGAAGAAGTCGAATCCGTCAGGGCGGGGAGAGGCGTGTACTCGACGTAGTCGAGGGTGAACGGCCAGTCGTCTTCACCGTACTCGACGGTGATCGTGAGGACGTGTTCCCCAGCAGGAAGCGTGTGAGAGTCGAAAAACTGATAGGCGAACTCGGTCGTGTTCGCGTCTGGATCGCTCACGACCACCATCGGGATAACCCCGTCGATTGCAAATGAGACAGAGGGCGGGACTGCACTAGCGTTGTCTGATGGTCGAGGCAACTGCGCGCCGTAGACTGAGACATTGGTGCCTATCAAATGACACGGCGAGCGGCGGTTAGGTAGAAGAGCGAGCTTGCGGCAGACTGCACGTACCGTTGAACCTGAATTCCGCTTGCGCGTTCGTGAAGCCGTTAGAGTACGTCGAGCTGTAGTAATGCTCTCCCTGTTCGTGCTGCCATGCATCCGGGAGCTGGAACAGCAGATCGTTCAAATCACCATCATCGACGAAAACGAGCTGTGACGGATCCATGAGAGTTTGGTGTCAGATTTATCGTGGAACGGGGGTCAGAGACAGTGATATAAATGAGCGTAGGAATCCCACAGAAACCTGCAGACCAAGAGAAGTGTTGAAGCAAGTAGACCGATACCGGAGAGAAGAGGGGAAGGAGAGAGAGGAGGAGCGTGGGTGGACTGCGACCAAACCGCCACGGCGAGACGGACTTCGTTTGTTTCCCGGCCGGTAAGCCCCCAGTGCTTGTTCCCCCGTACGTCGCGGTGTGCTGATCGTCAAGTCACCACAGCGTGGGGGGCCATAGGTGTCAAAGTCTGGTTGAACGGATGGAGTACTTTCGTAGCGCGATCTCCTATGCTTTGTGCACGAACGTTGGTTCCGGGTCCTGATGTGCGCCGACGTGTACGCTAGACAGGGTTCTCAACACAGAACAAGACATTGCTGTCACCGCTCAAAGTAACCCGGCGTCAAGCCGCGCAGCCGGGGTACCATAGGGGCCGCACGAGCGCGAACTGGTCGCTGGGCGGCACGAGAAGCGTGCGGTCGTGTGTCGGTACCAGAGAATATGGACTACGCAACTGGTCTGCTAGTCGCTGAAGAATATGCGAAGGGAATCCGCGCTTGCGTCTAGAAGTTGTGATATGTTGGCCAGCCTTCAGACAGAAGCTCTGCATCGCGGGAAGCAGGTACGTACATGATAAAGATCCGGAAGCCCATCCAGATCGCAATGCAACGGCGCCCATGGGGGCCAGCGCGCCGAAGTTTTGATAGACATTGACGTTGCGGTGGCAGGACGGGCACGCAGTCACCGCGCTTTGTAGTTGTACAATGATTTCCACAGTTGTTCCAGGGCGCGTCGATCTGGATTCTGGAACGATGTCAAAGATACATAAACGCTCGCGGGCGACAAGGGGAACGATCCTCGGACCGTGACCATCAATTAATAGCTGCTTGCAATGATCAATCACATCCGCCGAGGAGATACTTAGAGCAACAGATGATGCTGTACCAGTACAAGAAGGTCTGAAAAGTGGCATGGTCAGTACGTTCACGCTATAGAGTCCGGCTGCCCACAATGGGGAGCGTCGGGTGCAAAGGTATGGTATCATTAGATGCGCTACACGGAATAATATCCAATCGACTAACTAGCGTACATCACGTAAGCAGGGATAAGAGTAAGGGTCGTAAAAGAGGTCATTGAGGCTGGAGGAGCCACAGGACAGTGTGGGCATCTGACGTTTGGTAGATCCAGTATAGGAAGCGCGTCGATAGCAGTGGTCACTGGAAAGGGGGAGTTCAGTCGGGGCAAGGGAACGTTAGGCATGATATCAGGAGCCACAGAAGACGAATATCCCTTGTGGGCTACGTTCATCATGGGCCGCGCGCTGATTAAACGTTGTCCACGCTGTTGAGCACGCCTGCGCGAGTCACAGCACTGCTCAGGCCCTCCCCGCTCTCTTCCTGGATGGTGCCAGAGCCCGATGCTGACGCCTGGTTCGACACCTTTCCGATGATGTCGCTCTGCAGCTGCATGGGCACGAAGACGACCTTGCTGTTCGCGCTCTTCGCCATGGCTTGGAGCGCCTCAAGCTGCCGAATCTGCATAGCGGCGGGACTCGCGAGTATGTCCGCAGCTTGGCGCATGAGGCGTGCCGAGTCGACCTCGGCACGGGCAGCGATGACCTTCGACTCTCCAATACGCTTCTGTTGCGCCGCAGACGAGAGGGATGCGGAGACCTCGGGGGAGAAGATGATGTCCTTGATGAGGATACCCTCGATGGCAACACCCCACCTATCAGCCACATCGCCGACGATCTCGGCAATCTCGAACGCCATTGCCTCCCGCTCTGTCACGACAGACTGCACCATGCGTGCACCAACGACATGACGGAGGGTGGTCTGCGCCCGCTCGATGAGCGCTTGGCGGAGGTCCGAGATGCCGAAGGCGGCACGGTATGGGCTTGTGATCTGGAAATATATGACGGAGTCGCTATGGGTGGGAAGCGGTCAAGGCGCGGACGAAATGTGACAAGGCAGGGAAGACGCACATCTCAACGTCGACGTTGTCGCGGGTGATGACCTTCTGCCGGCCGATGGGACTGATCTGGATTTTGACATCGACGACGCGAAGAGACTCGGTGCAGACGTTCACTTGAACAAGACCAGGATCTACAGACTTATAGAACTGGCCGAACCGCGAGACGAGACCAACGGAACCTATAAATCGGCATATCTCGTCAGGTGCTTCGGAGCCAACTATGCTTCAATCATCTGGCATACCTTGTTGAACTTCGCGGAAGGGGTTGGGGCATGGGCAGCAGGGAACTGCGCCGAAGAGACCGATACAGCTTCCGAGCGCTTGCAACATAGAACCGTATATGCCATGGGTGACCTTGCAGCCAGATGAGTTTGTACCCCACGATAGGCTCATGCACACTGTGGACTACACACCTCTGTTGTTCCGAGATCCTGTGCGTATGAGGGCTGGAGAGGGGGAACGAGGTCGTACCGAAAGTCAGAATCGAGCAAAGCAGGTCGACTGTGCAGGCCCACGGATGAGCGGACAACGTACCTGCATCTCGCTGCGCTTGAGCGGCTGGACCTTGATGACATGCTCTCCGTTCAGCTTCAACCCCTTGCTCTGGCCGGCATTGCGTGAATCCTCGGTGACTGGAGCAGTATTGTTAGACATGGCAGCCCGCACGAGGACGAGCACAGATAGTGGGAGCAGGGAAGGAGCAGGGAGGGCGGAAGCACACAGCCATTGGACACGGTGTCATGCAAATAGACTGAGGAACGGGCGGCTTACCATGGGGCGCGTCATGGTCGACTACGTTCCCACGAGAGGATGTGCTGGGCGTGGCGGAGCGGTGCTTGGTGTCGAGGTTGCTCATCGCGATACTCTGCGAACGAGGAGGGGGCATGTGCCAATCGCCAAGGGTTATGCTCAGCGAACTGGCGGCAGGCCTGGTCTTATATGCAGACGGTGAGAGCGAGAGGGTCAGCTGGAGCGTTGCGCAGCGCAGACCCGGTTCTCACTGCACGAGGAACTCCCAGGCGCCATTGGACCAAGTCCGAAGCGACGTTGAACACAGGAACTATCCCATACGCCTCCTCCGCAGCACCAGAAGGCGGTGCAAGGTCCCGGCGGACACTCGGTCCCCGACAAACTCGGGTCTAGCCACAAACTATGCATCACCGTTTCATTCATTCCCTCCACCGTGCGAGGCCCCCCGGTAACTTCATCTTGCTTCGACAGCTTCCGCCGCACTCCGTCATTGGTATTATTGAGGACTCTACCAACAAGATTCGTCGCTGAAGAGAGGAACATTATCCCGGACTCCGCCTTTGCCCGCCAAAGATCGAAGCTGTACTTCTTGACAGCCCTTCCCGACTCCACCCGCGAGACCTAACCAACATGTGGCAGGTGCACAGTAAGTTGCTGCGACTGCCAGAGCGCTCGCCAGCAAAACAACGTCCACTCAATTGACGTCTATTAGCTGCGCGATCCCGGTACCCCAGATATTACCGCTGCCGATATATGCCAAGTCTGTTACAGGATTCAAATGCGCTGCATGGGAAGCCTTTGCCACAGGGTGCCTGGGCTTATGCTGTGGTAGAGAGCTCGTGATCCTAGGGTTCTACATGTCACTGGGGTCAACCGAGCAGGCAAGATGTTTTGTTCATCTTTTACCGCCGCCAGTGCTTGCAGGTTTACCAGCATAGTGGCAGCATTATCACCATACAGTACAAGACTATGTAGCACAGACGTCAGAGCAGGTCCACCGTCCTCGCGCTAGGTAATACTGTTTCACCCAAAACATGAACATAAGGTTCAAGCTAGAACCTTCGGAGTCGAAAGTCGATTGGCTACCGCACGGGCCTGACCACGGCGGGCAGGTCGGCGTGGCGTACTCACCAACGGGCTCTTGACGAACGTAGAGCCACCTCAACTTTCTAGCTCCACTGACTCGGAAAGGTTCGTATAGTCCTCCCATATTCAACCGCACATACAAACGACGTCAAACGAGGCACCCGTCGGAGCATTCGTATCATGGAGCACAGCTAAGATTCTGTCAATTCGCAACCGAGAAGGTCGGGCTATGCGTTGGGGCCGCAGTTCGTCTGTCGTGATCCCGCTCTTGTAGGTACCTTGCGGCTCCTTCGGAGCCTGTAGATAGCGGACGAAGTACAGCGAACGTTTCAAGGACGTCGAGTCATGAATGGCGAGGGGTACTCCTAGTCAGCTGCGGAGACAGCCCCCTACATACTGGTAGAAGCTCGACATCTTGAAGAAATTTCAAAGTCATCATAAGGCCTGTTGCTGCGGCCATACCGCTCAAGGAGGTACTCGGCTCCTGGCCTGAACACCGACGCTACACCGGTTTCAACAAGTTGAACCGTTTAGAGGTGTTGTATAATATACAGCGATGAAGCAAGCTGGAGAATAGTAGACAACGGACGGTATATGGTAGTATGAGAGGGAGCCGACAATGAGCACAGATGTACATCACCAGCGATCTAGCGCTGAATTTGAAGTATCGACGAGGAGCGGTAGTAGGATACACCACACAAAACTTGACTGAAACATGCCTTAGAGCTAGCAGAACATACGGAACATGGACGACTGGCAAAGGTAAGCGCAGCGATGGCATGCAATGCGGGATATGGGAGATATATATACCGGATGCGAGAGACGAGAGATAAGTGGAAGCGGGGATGATGGTATATCAGCGGCACATAGAGAAATAGCTTCACGAGAGCGTGGGATGTAGGATAGGGATGCGTACAGTGATGCGTATGTACTACATGCATTGCCAAGGATCTAGATACACTAAGTTTGAACAATTCATGCGTCGACTTTCACAAAACAAAATACAGGAACACGAAACGGCCTACCCTCCCAGACTCACTCAATCATCTTCATAACGAGTTCGGAGATCCATTGTATCATCTTCGTCGCATGGCCACGGTTCAGAGGAAGGAACTGGAAGCTGTTAACGAGCCCTTGCATTCCCTGCTCCTCGAGCGCGTTCAAATGCCGACGGCCTGGACCATGGACGACACCTTCGTCAACTGTACTTAGCGTGGACGCTGAGCCGGCGCCCGCCAATGTCCGCGAACTTGGAGGTGCAGTACGCTCCATGTCTTGCGTAGCCACACGGAAGACATTTGACACAGCGAGCAAGATGACGGGGCTGTTCGAGTTCGCGAATGTCTCTTTGATCTTGTCCTGGAGACTCTCGTACCTGTAACCGAAGTCAGTGTATTCTGCACAATAGAATCAGAAGAGCCAGGCACTTACGCCACGCCGATCACCTCTGGCCAAGCGTCCGCGACATCCGACAGGATGTTGTACAAGATTGCCGACTCCGTATCATCGCCTTGTGCAGTCGCAAGCATCGCGGTGACGAACGAAGTCACGAGCAGCGCCGTATTGCTGTCCGCATACCCAATGAGCCCGAACGGCATCCTGTAGACCGAGTCCTCCTCATCCGTTGACCAGACCGCGTCCTCCGAGAGCCAGGACTGGTCGACGTTGGCTTCTTCTAACAAACGCTTGAAGCTGCGCACCCGCGTGGACATCGGGATCAGTGCAAGGACATAGCCCAAGACATCGTGGCATATCGGCGCTCCGGGACCATCGTCGGCGTGCTCGACCTCCACGCATGACCTGACAGTGATATTGAGGAGACTGCGGAGTGCTCCTTCAGCTGCGTCGCGCAGAGCCGAGTGCCTGACGCCCTTGAAGACCGTTGCCGCCAAAGAGAACGAAAAGCTCGAGTCGAAGGAGAGGCCCAGAAGATGGTCGAGCTGACACGCGATATCCTCCAGGGCGACACGACCTTCCAGAAGCGTCGCAGGGACGCCACGTTCCTTGAAGTGTCCATGCTCAGCCATATTCTCGACGGTTACGCGGAGTAGACGGATAGCCTCGACGTATAATGCCATATGACTTGATTGCAAGAGTGCGACAGCGAGCCAGAATAGTTGCGCCAAATAGCGGGAGTTGCCATTCGTAGCGGGAACGACATTAGTGATACAACGAAGCATGCTCACAACCGACGTTGTGTCAGTCTCGCTGGCTTGAGATAGGGCCGTCTTGAATGCGACGAGCATCTGGTAGAGCAAGTCATCGTCGACATCGGACTTTGCGAGAACACCAAGAGCTACGAAGGCTCTGCTCTGCACTGCCGGTGAAAGCTGGAAGGCGGACGAGGTTATCAAACTCATCCAACGAGCGCGCCACACGTTCAAGAGCCCTACGAGCTGGTAAGTGGTGGCCCGGATGGTTCCTGAGACAGGAAAACATACCCTTCGTTCCAGATATGGCCTGCATGATCCGCACCAGTAGCTTGGTGAGAGCCTCAAGGTCGTCGATCAAAGCCTTTCCATTTGGTGGATCGTAGATGACATATTCACTCGTAGGCGTAGGCCTACTCAGGCCAAACAGCCTGAGACCTTCTGGTTGGCAGCATTCGTCCAGCAAGGCCTCAATTTCGGGACTCGCAGTTGCGTCGGTAAGTCGAAGGGAACACATAGCGTGGAGCATGTGGGTGATGATTGCATACACTGTACTCCGAACGTAGAGTTCTCCTGTAGCGGCGATGAGGGTGACGAGATGCATGATCTCGGGAACGAATAGTTGGCTCTGAACGGTGTTCTTGGCGGAGTTGCCGATGACCAGGATGAGACGGGTGAGACATGCGATCTCGTTCCAGTGAACGTTCTCCGACAGATTCCTCGTCGGTTTGATGGACGTCTTGCCAATGACCTGAAAACATGATGAGCGGGCTGCAACACAAGCACTACCGCCTAGATCATACCTTCCGGACCCGTGCCAGGACGCGTCCACGGACGTTGATGGTGTTGAGCGCGCTCATGGTATCGGCGACCTTCTCACATCGCGAAGAACCCATCCCACCGTCGACAGCGGCACGCATGAGCTCATCCAAGATGATGTTGATGGTGTTGGTCTCGAGCTTCCCAACCTCAAACCAGATAAATTTCTGCACGAAACTGTGAAGCTGTGCGGCTAGTGAGCTCCTAAGGACATTTGTATCATAGAAGCGACGTACCTCGGTTTCACCCGTGGTAAGGTCGACAAGCATGCGGATACAGTCTCGGAACCGAGTACCTGATGGCTCGTAGAATTTGCTGCAGGGGTCTGTGAACAAAGCCAAGTTTTTGATCCAAGGACACAAGTATTGGAGACAGTTAGCTCGCAAAGGAACATCCATCTTAGCAATGTTCCCGGCCATCTCGGAAAGGAAATCCATGGTGAGTTGAGGAACGTGGTTGGACAACCCTTCGCTGACCATCACAAGGAAGGGTCCAGGGTGTCCAGTGGCCACTACTCCCTTTGAAGGAACAGCTGGACGGCCTTCGAAGTCCAGGTAGGTGCAAATAGCTGATAGTAGCTCGAACGACGCTGTCCGAGTTTCATCATCGGTAGATATCCCCACCAACGCAATCCGGAGGAGGGTAGTGATGACGTTCGATAGTCTATCGTGACGGTCGGCGGACGGCAAATGCGCCGTGAGCATGAGACCCTTGGCAGCTCGGATGGCCTTTGGAATAGAGGTGAATGAACAGATGGCCACGCGACAGCTGATGAACGTACCTTAACAATGGCGTCCCGGTACGGGGATGAGAAGTACATTGTAACACCTTGTCTGACCTTGCGGATGATGAATTCGTGGGAGTCATGACCTGTCGAGACATTGTAGACGTCGTTGATATCGCTCAGCGGAATGATCTCTGTCGCTTTGCTTGAGAGCGAGTTAGAGATGGTGAGTGCCTTCGTCGTGATTATCCGGATATGACTCTGAGCAACCCGCATGCTGACAGGGACGCGCATGGGATGTGTATGTCTCATGGTCACATCTTGGAACTCATCACTGATCTCTGCCTCCAGACCCACTACGAGCAAGTGAGCAAGGATGAGTGATACGAAGTCGAACAGAACATACCAGCATAGCCGAGTGATGCGGCCGTAAGACCATCAGGATACTGACTCAGAAGCTCTCCGACAGACGTGTGAATAGCAATGTGTAACGATTCCGTGGCACCTGCGAAGATGATCAGGAAGGGGCGTGGCAGATTTTCCAAAGGACAAACCTGAAGTGAGGTTATTGTACAACCTACGAAGATAGCGAAGTGCGAAGCCATTGGGGGTGAGGAGACGTAATGTCTGGAATCGTCGCCAGATATCAACCGGTATAGTCTCTGTCGCGAACTTGAGCCACTGCGCCGGAACTTGCGAAGTCGAAGAAAATGCCGTGAAGTCAAGAATGACGTCGAAGTCTCGATTATCGTTCGTGGACGACGTGATGCACTAGGGACGAAGTTGAGGCCATGCTCGAGGGGACGGCTGGTAGACGAACCTTGAAGATGTAGTATAGTAGCAGTTCCAGATCGAGAACTTCTATGTTGATCTTGGAGACTGACAGGACGAATACGGCGTTGGAGCTCTGGCCGTGATATTAGTAAGTAGCCATTGATGGAGTGTGACTACTCACCTGAGGCGTGATTCCCTCGACGAATAACTCTTGGACGGCAGTGGTATCTCGACGGTCACATCTTGACATCAGGTCAAGGTAGTCTCTATGCTCCCGACTCGTGAGGGTCGAAAGCTTGGGACTCTCCAAGGGCTGACCGAGTTCGACGAGAGCAGCACAAAGAGCATCCCAGGCACGCTTCCCGTTGGCCGCAGCGGCCTCCGCTTCTGGAGTCATCTTCTCCGCCAGGACCTTCGACGAACTCAGTAGCTCCTTTCCTATCTTGTCGGCGTGGCGCTCGAAGAAGCGGTGAAGAATGATTGTGTCAGTGTCGTCGTAGGTACGCTCCAACCACTCATCCGCCTCCTCCTCAGAGCCGGGAGGGACATGTTTCTGCGCAGCGGTGTTAGTGTACCACCACGAACAGTAGTTGTTCGACATACGTTGATCTCGCTCAGGAACTTAGTCACAGTGACGATGTTGTCTTTCAAGAAGTCGTTCAAAATGACCATGTGGGCTTCCTTTCCGAACAGGATGTTGTTGGCCAAATTCTGTATGATCTTTGCGATGACCATGAGTCCACGACGGATCGTGGGATCGTTGTTGGGGATTGCAACATCGACTGTTTCCGGTGTGACGATAGCGGGTGAGATGAACCTGCGATACCACGTCAGTCTGACTTTAGAGCAGGGCGAGGGCGGTCGGCCTCACCGAAGGAAGATGAAGGCACCCAAGGCTGCGAACTTGGCCTCTGGCCACACCTCATTGCTAGCACTATATCAGCGATCAAACAGCACAAGTACGAGCAACTTCGACATACACAGCTTTCGCGATATGGGCACAGATCTCTCGAATAATCCTAATGACAAAGTTGAGCGGTTATGTCAGCGGATCGGTAGTATCAGGGCTTACGATGGGAGGGCAGGGATAGATGACGAGATAATCTCCAAGAACTTCCCAGTGATGAACTCGACAGTGTCCTTATTTTGCTTGAGTTCCTCTCTCGATACTCTAGCCGGGTCCAGCTCGTAGCCATGGCCGGGCGGCATTGTCGTCACGAGTTTGACGAGAGGAACGATGAGCGAACGGAGATAGTTGTAGCCGTAAACTCTTGCGAAAGCGGATAGGAACCGCGTGCATGTCGAATTGCCACGGAAGAGAGCAGTGTCGCTCTCTGTCGTTCGGCCTTTAACAAAGGACAATTCGGTCTAACGCAGTACACTCACCAGTCTTGCCAATCTCGAGATCAATCATTGTCTTGAGCAAGTTCATGAGTGTTGACCTCGTGTCGAACAAGTTGAGGAGCACGGCGTTCATAGCATCAACTTCATTGGGGGGACAAATCTCGCAGATGGCAAGTGCCAAAGCCATCTGACGCAGCGTAAGTCAAACTGTATGGGTTAGCGTGTGGCAATGCTCACGTCTGGGCCCTTGACAAGCTGTCAAAGCCATGAACGTCAGTACTCGGTACTCCGGAGAAGCTAGAAAGATGTACCTCGCAGAGAGGACTTTGCTTGACGATGACTGGAGTCTCCTCGTATGGCATGAACTTGATCCCCTCCTTGAGCACACGGATGAAGACGTGTGTGAAGATGAGCCGCTTGGTGGAGTCGGGCTCGTATGCCAAAGTCAGACAGTGCTTCACGCCACATTCTGTGTTGGCGCTGACGAGGGAAGAAAGGCCATTAATCAGCTGTTCGCGATATTCTCCTTCACGTTGTTGGATGCGGATCTGTTACAAGAAGTCAGACAGGCGCCTTGGAGAGCCTTGAGAGGGAAGAGCATTCATACCTTGGAGAACGAGGATTTCTCGGAGATACCGTCGTCTTTCGACTGCGAGACACGGTCAACAAACAGCGCTCTCGTCAAACGGAGCTTACTTACGTTGCCGTCATAGCGGACGCTCTCCCAAGTCTTGATCAGGAACGAGGCATAACGGATGAAGAGTCGCGAAACGGCGTGCGCCGCATCCTCCCCTGTGGCTCCGTCTGATGGTTCAAGCTGAAGACGATCAAATAGCGTGACAGTAGTATTGAAGACGGCGACGTTAAGCTCGTGCTGCACGGTGGACGCTTGCGCTTCCTCCTATAATCCGACGCAGTCAATACCTCCCGTTCGGATTTGAACGTACTGCCACGTTACCAATGTGGTCTCCTGCACCCAGTCGATGATGATGTCGATGATGCTCTGGCGCATGCTACTCTCCTTGTTGCGCATCATGACTGGCTCTGTTCTGCTGAATACGCTGTTGCATAGCACACAAAACTTGAGCTTCAGACGAGCCGAGGTCGGGTCTGCACCATCAATGCGACTAATGAACGTCGCCACGGTGTAGAGCAGCGAGGGAATGTCGGCGACGCGCAGGTCTTCCGCGAGACTATTGACGTTGTCCGAAAGTACCTTCAGGATAGCGATGAACTGGTCTAGGAAGACGACCAAGACAGGATAATTCACGTTCTCATCGTCTGTGACCTGCCGAATGACACTATGGGAACACATCAACGCCTCGCTCATATGAAAGAGGGGGCACAGGAACGCACTCGTCGAGTTGCTTGACGATCTTGCCATACAGACGATGACTGGCCTCGTTGCTGAGCGCTTCTCTCGCAACATCGCGAACTTGAGGAAGGTCGTTGACCAACAGGTTCACAGTTTCGGTCAAGAAGTTCGTGAGCAGATCCGACGGATCACGAAGCACGCGGCAGCTGTCTGGAATGATGCTGGCAGGGATGACTTTCGCAAGTGCAGATGGGTCATGGTGATCCCGCGTACACGCCGCTCCAAGTGACGCCAAGAGGAGAGTGAGGTTCTGCCACTGAGCTTGTCGCTCCTAACACAACATCCCGCATGTTCAGCAACACTGCAACGATTGCAACATCATGCACGACACACCTCCATGGGGAGCGTCTTGTCGCCGACGGGAGCCGGGCCGTTGTCAAGGCCGTCGCTCGCCTGCTCAAACGTCTGCCGGACTGTCATCTCTGTCAGCGCACACCAGCGGAAGTACAGCTCCTGCCAGACTGCGACATGAATAGCGGAAGGCGACGTGAGCAATCGCATGAGCTTCCTGATGCGCTTCTGATGTCCGACTCGACCTGAACAACGTTAGCTCCACCGATACGTGTGAAACGTACTGAAAACATACCAATCATCGACACCTTCGGATCACCGAGTTGCTCGTAGACAGGGTGGCGCTTGAGTACCTCGTCTTCGCTGAGCTCCAGGGGCTGAGGGGCATCCGGCTGGCGCTCTGCCTGTGCCAAGAGCCGCAGACAATTGCAGGCAGTGAGGGAGACAATACCATCAGCGGAGCTCAAACAGACAAGGAACGCAATCTCCGCGAGCGCGAAGGCAGGGATGCGTGTGGGCATCATTCGAAGCTCTGAGTACTGGGAGGGCTGGTTATTGTGGTCAGAAAACGGTTAGATGACGAAACGATCAGAGAAACATACCGGATCTCGTTCGGCATATCGGTACATGAACTCGTAGGCGAAGTGAATTAGCATGCGCTGCGTTTGAAGATCTGTCCGCGTATTCAGGAGGTGGCTCGCCACCGACGCTAGAACCGCAGGCCTGTACATCATCCAAGTGAATATGAACACGCGGCTTCTCAAGAACTTCGTTCGACATACACAGCTTCTGAGACCCAACGAGACATCAAGTCCCATCTGGGGTGATCTTTCGGGCATGAAAGGATGTACTCCATGAAACACCGGAACGTCCTTCCAAGCGACCACCGGATGGCAGGGTCTGCGGGGGTGATGTAGACGCTGACACAAAGGCTGAAGAAATTGTCGATTATCTCATCGGGCTGGCTGTCGATGTACCACTCGAAATTCGCGCGCCAAAGGGTCAGTATCGCGAGGATAAGGAGCTCCCGGTCTGGTAGTATTTCAGACGTATACCGCTTCGCCTTTGGCCGCATACTGGGTTTCCTCGAGGAGCCGTTGGCGTCTACTTCGCTACGGCGGACGTAGGTGGCCTGTAAAGTGGCGCATGTTAGTCCCAGATGTACGCGAACGGAAGATGCCTTACGTAGAAGATCGTGTTCATGCGTTTCATCACATGGTTCTTGAGCGTCGCCAATGGCCGTTGCCACGGAAGCTTCCAACCCTGCGCAACAGCACATTAGCTCGGTAGTAATAGGTTAAGTGAACGAGGAATGACGCACGTCAACAACCAACGTAAGACAGGCTTTCATGACGCAAAGCTTGACCGCATCTGATCTTTCAGGCTCAAGGCACTGCTGGAAGATGCCGAGGGACTCTTCTTCGGGCAAGAAACGGTAGAGGGCAGCCAGAGCATCCGACACCAAAGCAACCTCGATCTCGTCAGGACACTCCCAGAACGGCTTATCCTTGGTCCACTTCAACAGCGCGATCTGTCATATGACCGATTGATCAGTATTTATACACAGAGGGCTATAGCGATGCACCGACCTTGAGTTCATGCGCGATGTCATAGGCCATGGAAATGAGAGGGACCTCATTCTCACTATCTGCCCTAGGCCGGACTCTCGAGGCGGCCCTGCAAATGTCGACAGCGCAGACCAAGGCGACATCGAAATACCTCGAGCCAAAGGGCAGGTTCTTGATGATCAAGTCGGTGATGTTCCGTTCCTACACCCGGGAATAAGCCGGGCGCGTGCGCAGACCGACCAAAGTCTTCTCACCTTGCGAGCGCCTCTCTGCTGGCCGACGAGAGCATTCGCCTCATACTCGGCCTTCATGCGGTCCCCACTTACGCAAAGCAGAACAGCGAGGGTCGGCCATGCGCCGGCTTTGTCTCTGCTGCTCTCCTGGAGGTCGTACAGCAAGTCGAACACTCGCTCGGGAGCACCATCGAGGCGGCGATGGTATCGGAGAGCGTCATTGTACTCGTCGTCGCAGAGCTCTATCCAATTCCAAACCGCCGTCCGGAGCGCGATCGATACTGGGACTTGCGCGTCCTTCTTGAGATTCATCAGAAGCGAGGAAAGCTCTGCGTTGACGCTCACGTCAGACTCGCTTCGCGTGCTCGCATTCAGAAGACGTACCTTGCAGGGATTGGACAAGCTTGTTCCTGTCTAGAGCGCTGTACGTTATGAGCTGCAGGTCAACCGTGTCGGGTTCTGCGTCCGCCGTGCTTGCAAGACCATGTATCCGTTGCCGGATCCTGCCGAGGACGACCGACCAGTTCGAGGCTGATAGATGGTATACGATACGCCCGGTATACTTCGCGATGGCACAGTGCAGCGACAGGACCGACTTCGCTACTAGGAATGACGTCCTCTCGTATGCAGCGGAATGTTGGGGCAGCCGACTCGAGATCGAGCTAGTCTTCCCACCAGAATTTAATGAAGCTAATGATGGGTGCTTCGCACGATTCATCGTCCTCGGCACACCAGACATAATGTTCGGGAGATTTAATGGAGCTTCATCGTTTGCCCCAAACTCGTGTGACTCCACAGATTCCATGTCTTGGAAGGACGCGTCGAAGCTCAGGTTGGTCGCGGACGTAAGACGGTTTCTACGCGGGGATGCTTGTCGCAGTAACAGGACCATGACACTGATGATGTACTTGGCGCAGTTGTCGTCGAGAGCAGGAGGCTCAACTAGTGTCGGTGTTGCAACAGAGACTAAAGTCGGAGTGTTCGTTGACAACTGATCACTGGAGGGGTGGCGGCCACGGTCAGACGTAGGAATGGAAGAGTCCGGGGTTGTCGGCTTAGAGCCTGGGGCAGGCTTACTCGTCCTCGAACTCGGCCTGGTGTCCTCAACACGCGATCCCCAGCGGGACGCCATGGCAAGAGCGAGGACTTTGAGTAGGAAGAGCTGTGATTGGAGGATGTCGACACCACGGTACCCTGCTCCCTCGATTTGCTACCAGCAGCTCAATATTCATATCAGTCAATCGCAACAGCTGTTGATAGAAAGTACCTTAGCAAGTCTTTCCAATTGCTCAGTGAGAGCAAGGGATATCATGTCCAGTGAGTCGCGCGAGAGATCCACAAGCGCCTCCACCGTCTGCTGAACTGCGTCGTCCGCCTCCAGCTCCGTTAACGAGATCCCCGAATTACATGGAAGCTGTGCATACGAGGTGAGATATCTCGATCATAAAGAATAATTGCTCGTAGATGCGATGCAGCGGCGGTGAGAGCCTACCTTGTTTTTAAGCCTGTTAATGAGCACTTGCACTACTTTTTGCTGCGGAGAAGGGGGGATGTTACTGGAGTATGGGAGATTCGACGACTGAAGGACCGGAGACTGCGCTGATATGCTGTGATTGGATCCATTGCTCCTATGAACACGAGAGGTGCTTGCAATATTGTGACCGGCGGAAGCACGCCTGGCAGGCATTGCTCATGAGTCGCGGCGTGTATGGACACGAATCAGTCGTAGACGGTGACACTAGATCGGCAAGGAGGGACGAGGGATATCAAGACGATGCTGGGGGTGTCGGAGGGGGCACTGGGAGACTAGAGAGGGCCTCTGGGATGTGCACAGACTGCACAGGGCAGAGCGCGACGTCCAAGGGCGTTCGCAGCGAGCGACTGGGAGCGCACGGCACTCAGACGCGTGCGACCCGGTTACATGCTTACGTACTCGCCTATTTCAGCACTTCCTCGGTTGCGCTTCGACTAAGGCACCCTGCTAACACCCGCCTATACTACTTCCCCTCATCCCTACCAGAGTACCACCAGTTGCATACCACCCAGTACCTCTGAAGTGCATGCCTGTCCCTTCAAATAAGACTACTTCGCGAGAAGTGTCGCTGCAACTGTCAACATCCTAATTAGCACGCAATGTGCCAGCACTGAGGCAGGCGCTGGCCAGTTGCGTTTCATCTCGAAACGCGGTGGTGATACACTGGAGATTAGGCCTCGGCCATCGGCGCGAGTAGGCGGACTGCATGGTACAAATCGGGCGAACAATGGACTGACGGAGTCGACTTCTTCGGCCAGCGTCCTGATGCGAAGCAGGTACGTATCATCGCTCGCACAAGGAGGACAGGCTCCGCATGCGCACCAGAGAACACTTTCACCGGCGCATATATCGCTCGGACGACATTGACCAAATGCAGCATGGAGAGGCGAGGCAGCCTGTGCACAGTCCTCACACCATGCGGCGATGTGCAAGTGGAGAAGGATGGATTCTGGAGCGTTCTGCAGCAAGTGATTGCGTTCGGCAGGTGATCCAAGGTGGTGAATCGGCACAAAGTGCGTCAGCTGCATGATGATCTCATCCTATCGATGCGGGTTCCAGACACAATGCGCTCGCTTGGGAGTACAAGGCCTGAAATGTGTTTTCAGGATGATGCGTGAGTCACCCACAGCCAGCAGCCACCTGCAGCAGTTTGCCTGCAGCAGTTTGGTTGGAGTCGGGAGGCATACTCACACCACGCATGCAATGACGTGAGGTAGCGCAGCATTTCCGCAAATAGGAAGTCGGCCTACCACCTCGTCATCCGATTCGGCCACATGCGAGCGTATCTGACGCACACTCAGCTTTGAGCGCGGACCCATAGGGACCCACTTTGCGAGCAGCCAGTCTCGCCCGGAACATTGACGGACCACGACTGACGCATAGCTGGAATGAACCACACCCGCTTTGAGCTAGCGAGAGCTACGTATGAGTCGGGGAGGCTGTGGTGGAAGAATAGCAAGGCGTTTGCACGCTTGCAATTGACCAAATGATCCGTCCAGCTGCGGGTGCAGCCGCAATCGGGCGAGGTAAACGCAATAAACACTTTGCCCAAGAAAGGGCTAGAATATATTGGCCGAGCACCGGAGAATGAAAGCGCCCCCGCCCCTTACGATCACCAGTGATATCCTCGTGGAGGATAGAGGGGCGGCGTCGGGCACCGGAAACTCCGCCGCAATCTGTACTCCGCACCACAAGCTGCCTCCCTTGTCTCCGTTCCCCTCACCGCGGTCACCCCTCCTAGAAAAACGTACCCCATCGAGCGTCCTGCGGGACGTCTTCGCTTCTTGTCGCATCGCTGTCGAAATCCCTGCCTTTATCTTTCTGAATCGCTCTCCTCCGTTTGTCGCTGACTTGTCGTTTGCGCATAGCTCTTTCTGCTTGTTTTTTTCTGCATCGAGTTTATTGTCTTCAGTCTCGCTGTCGATTCTTGTCATTTCTCGCCCCCTCGACGACGTTCCACCCGAGCAGAAGTCCTGTCAACCCTCTCGAAACTCACCTTCACCGATCTGCAGTACTCCTTCCGATCTTCACGTCCGAATTCGACATGTCACGCCCGGAAGCTCACGGCCAGGACTACGATCACCCTGCCTTCGACGGCCGGAATAGCGGGGAGCATGGCGTCGGTGCGCAGGATTATTCAGGCCAATTTCGGGACTTCATGCCCAGCCACGGGCTGCGGGACTCCGCGTCGGGTGCGCGGGACTTGGGCCCGCAGGACTACGGCGCGACGACATTCTACAATACCTCCTACAGCTCGTCGCCGCCACCGCCGCCCTTCACCGCGGATCGCCGGCCGTTGACGTCGAATGCGATGCCCGGAGCGGGCTTCCCGTCCTTTGTGGCTCCGAGGATGCTGAACCCCGCGCAAGGAATCGGCGTCGGGGCGGGAGGAAATTGGAATTCGAAGCCGACGTCGTTCTCGGCCGCGCCGAACGCGGGGCGACCGTCCGGGGAAGGGAGCGGAGGAGTGTCTTCACAAGTTCAACAGTCGGTCGTCTCTCCTTTGGTTCTTAACCAGCACCATCGCCCCTCTCCCCCCCGCGGCCTCCCTGACCTCTACACCTCTCCCCTCCATCCCTCCACCCCGCCCTTCCTCGACCGCGACGCCCGCGATCCCTTCTTCAACCAGCGTCCCCATCCACAGCAGTCCTCTAGCCCACTGTCCGTCCAGCTCCCGCCCGCGCAACCCCAGTCTCTTCCTTCTCCCAGCACCGCTACTTCCTCTCCTCGCACGACCCTCTGGTGGGGTGAACTCGAGCCCTGGATGGACGAAGAATACGCCAAGCAGGTTTGTAACCTCATGGGTTGGGACCCTATCAGCATCAAGGTCCCTCGGCCAGCTCCCGACCCTATCACCGGACAGCAAGCGAACAATCCCGGCTACTGCTTCTTGACATTCTCCACGCAGGCGCAGGCAGCGTCGGTTTTGTCTCAGGTCAACAATAGCAGCTCGCCTATGATCATGCCTAACTCCTCAAAGCCTTTCTCGCTTAATTGGGCCTCGTCTATCCCCTCGGCCCCACTCTCGACCAGTATACCAGGCCAGACCATTTCTATTCCCGGCGTGCAAAACCCTCAATATCCCAAGGAGTACAGCATTTTCGTTGGTGATCTCGCTCCAGAGGTGTCAAATTCCGATCTCGTTGCTGTCTTCCGCAACCCTGTGCTGGGTCTTCGGAACGATCGTGAGCCGCGCTTCATCCGTCCTTTCCTGAGTTGCAAAAGCGCGAAGATCATGTTGGATCCGGTGACTGGCGTCTCGCGTGGTTACGGCTTTGTGAGGTGCGTAAGGTGGCTATATGCGCCTGAATGCAAAGTGACAAATCGCGTTTCAGATTCACAGACGAGGCGGATCAGCAGCGCGCACTCATCGAGATGCACGGGCTTTATTGCTTGTCGAGACCCAGTACGTCCAAGTTCTCTTTGTGGGGTTCGGCAGTGTATTAACTTCATACTGTTAGTGCGCATTTCGCCTGCTACGGCGAAGTTCAAACCAGCCCCTGGAATGACGGGTTTCGACTTGTCGCAATTGCCGTTCCCCCAGGTGTCGGCTCCACCGACACACAATGGTCAAGACCCTTCTACGGGCCATTCTGTGCCCGTCGGTAATGCGCCCCCTACCAAGAGCGTCTCGGCGCCCCTCGCTGGTGGTGCGATCGCATCGAATTCCCATAACTCCCTGACCAGCACGGGGGTCTCGAACTCAGGGTCGGCATCGTCGTTGTCCGCCCCGTCGTTGAGTTCTGGTACGAGTGCGACGTCTTCGTCGACATTGGCATCTACTTCCTCCGATGAAGCACTCAAGATCGGCCAGTTTTCCGCAGCCAACGGGTCGGCTACGTCGACAGTGTCGAACAGCACTGCTGTTCCGTCTATCACTGCGCCCTTCGTCCACCAGACTAACGACCAAATCATGGCGCAGCGGTACAATTTGTCGGAGGAGTCCTGGAAGCACCACGCCCAGGCCCGTGCCATCCTGTCGAACCTGATCGGTCCGAACGGCGAACAGTTGACGTCCTCTGATCCATACAACACGACGGTCTTCGTCGGCGGGCTATCCCCACTGATCTCCGAAGATACCCTGAGAACGTTTTTTGCGCCATTTGGCGAGATCCACTATGTCAGTGTTACCTATTGCCGATCATCAGCGTCGTACTAAGTATAGTTGTATAGGTGAAGGTTCCTGTGGGGAAGCACTGTGGTTTCGTGCAATTTGTGCGGAAGCCCGACGCCGAGCGTGCGATCGAGAAGATGCAGGGATTCCCAATTGGGGGTAGTAGGATTAGGTTGAGCTGGGGACGTAGCCAATGTACGTGCATCGCGAGGCTTACTATCCGCGTATACTCACTAGTTCGTAGACAAAGCTGCTCAGGCTGCGGCACAAGCTGCTCAAGCTGCTGCATTCCAGGCACAGTATCAGACTCAGCTGCAGCAGACTAGCCTTGTGCAGGGTCTGCCGATACCACCCCACCAACAATCGCAGCCACAGCCTCAGGGGCAGCAGCAGCAGACGCTCACCCACGAGCAAGCTATCCAGCTCATAGAGAAGTTTGGCCTGACGAACGTTCTAGCCAGCGGAAGTAGCTCGACCGGAGTTGGATTGGAGAATGTGAGTAACGAGCGTCAGATTGCAGCTGCTCTGCTCAACGACGTCGATGGCGATCGCATGGCGTCGTTCAACGCATTCATTCCTCCTGTCTTCGCTCCACGCCAGTCCGGCAATTCCGCAACGTCGTCTTCTTTCTCTCCCTTCTCCCCTGATCCAAATTTCCTCGGAGAACGTGCGGGCAATGACGCATCTGTTGCGCAAGGCCAATCCCTCTCGCAGACGCCCAAAAACTACTCACCGTGGAACCCCAATCAAGACGAGAAGGTCGGCAGCGCGAATGGGAAGGTATCTCCAACTTCGACGCAGGCGGCACGTTCTTCGAGCGCTACTCAACGCTTCACATTCCTTGGTGATTCCCCGGCTTCGACGACATTCCAGCCCGCGCGCACGTCCAGCCGCCAGGAAGCCCCAATCGCGAGGCCAGAAGCTATCCGACGGGACTCCCGCAAGGAGGAGTACAGCTCGTCAGCTCAGGGCCAGGAAGGGATCCGTGACCTGAATGGGACGCTCGCCAGCCTGTCCCTCGACGACCACGAGAACGGGCAGTCGCAAACGGTCGCACACTAAATTAATGTCGCACGCAATCGTCACGTATCTATCTCGCAACAACTATCCCTACCTCTCCTTCTGGCTTTGTTCAATCATCTGGGTTAATATACAACTCCTATGGCTGTCGAATGTCCACTTCGCGTTTTTATGACGCTCTGAGCCTTCACGTCGCCTTCTGTCCTTTACCCACTATGTCCTATGTTAGCATGCGGTATCTGTTATACTACACATCGCGTACGCATCACATCTGTCCTGTCCTACTTACATCTCTCAGTCAGTCCCCGAACACTTTACTGCCTCGATAGTCGTCACGAATCTGCGAACCCCTCGTCCCCGTTTTCTCGTTTTGTTTCCGATCTAGTTTCCTGTTGCATCTCGATATGCTGTCCAAAGACACAACCAATGACACTGATGAGTCAGGATGAGTTGCGTGAGTAGTGGCCCACCTCCTGCTTTCTTGCGTGAGTTACAATCCAAGAAACGGCCACATCGGACGGCGAGAGCGTGGGTCGTAGACGCCCATTACCTGAAAGAGACAAACCCTAAGAGAGGGTTTCTGCGTCTTCGTCCATGCCCAATTTTTCCTTTCGACTGCACTAAACACCTACCTGCTCACCATGGCCCACAACGGCGTGAACGGCACTATCTATGATGATGAAGATATCGACTACTCTGACATCGAGGCTAAGTACGTTGCGTGATCTACATCAGCTTGCGGAAAATTCTGACTTCCCGCGTAGATATCAGGTCGAGTACGACGAGAGCTTCGACAACATCCTAGTCGTCGATGGTGTACCCGTAATCGACAAGTCCAAACTTGAAAAGCTTCTTCAGAAGATATCGAAGGACTTCTCGCGCAAAGGATGCCCCATCAAGCCGGAAAATATGACCGTGCCATGGAACGAATCTAATGGGAAGAGCAAAGGGTACGTTGACCCGAATCCGTAGTGTAGGAGCATGGACTCACTCTACCCATTAGCTACATATTCATGGAATTCAAGAACCCCGATGATGCTTCCCGGGCACTTGCGGCGATGAACGGGCACCCGTTCGACGCGAGACATACTTTCCTCATCAACCGCTTCACCGACTTCGAGCGATACCTCAACCTCGATGAGACGTATGTCGAACCTCCGCCAGAAGAGTACAAGCCTAAGGTAAGTCACCTCGGGTGCATTGGGTCGATCAGCGAGTAATCCTGGGATAGGAACATTTGCGTGCCTGGCTCGGCGACCCTCAAGGCCGCGACCAGTATGCTACCTACCGCGGCGACGATGTGGAGATTCACTGGCACGGCAAACCCTCGCAGTGCGAGGTCGCGTACAGCAAACCAAACTGGACGGACCTGTACGTCTCCTGGTCGCCCATGGGCACCTACTTCGCCTCTCTCCACCGACAAGGGGTGCGTCTCTGGGGCGGTCCCTCATGGGAGCCGCAGTCGCGTTTCGCGCACCCCCTGGTCAAGCTTATCGACTTCTCACCCAACGAACAGTACCTCGTCACCTGGTCGTACGACCCGATCGTCGTCCGCGAGGGCGCCGAGCAGGGCCCGCAGTACTTCGCGCCCGAGGACGAGGGAAACAACATCGCCGTTTGGGACATTAAGACCGGACACCTCCTCCGCACGTTCCCGAGCGTGTATCCCGAGGGAGACGACCAGAAGAAGCAGATGGCGTGGCCTGCGCTCAAGTGGAGCCCGGACGACAAATACGTCGCGCGCGTGACACCTGGGCAGCAGATCTCCGTCTACGAGCTGCCGGGGATGGGTCTGCAAGGTAAGAAGTCGATCAAGATCGAAGGCGTGGTCGACTTCGAGTGGCGTCCGCTTGGCGACCGCGACCGCGAGGAGATAGAGAAGGAAAACCAGGCTGGGTCGGGCAAGACACCGAAGAAGGCCAGGGAGAACATGCTCGCGTTTTGGACGCCGGAGGTGCAGAACCAGCCCGCCCGTGTGTCGCTAATGAGTTTCCCTAGTCGTGAGACCTTACGGCAAAAGAACTTGTTTAACGTATCCGAAGTGCGTACTCTCCTTCGAATCGCTCGGACCCTTGCTCACAACATTCGATACGTGCAGTGTAAGCTGTACTGGCAAAACCAGGGCGACTTCTTGTGCGTCAAAGTCGATCGCCACACAAAAACGAAGAAGTCTATCTTCTGTAACCTCGAGATCTTTCGCGTACGCGAGAAGGACTTCCCCGTCGAAGTGGTTGAGTTGAAGGGTCAGCTATCTTACATGGCATGTCGTGACGGCCGACGCTGATGCCACCTCTCTAGACACCGTCACCGACTTTTCCTGGGAACCAAAGGGCGAGCGGTTCGCGCTCGTCTCAAGTAGCGATCCTAACCTCGGCAACCCTGGACCTGGTATCACAATCAAGACCGATGTTAGCTTCTACCAGCACGAGCGCAGCAAGGGTGATTTCAAGCTGCTCAAGTCCCTCCCAGGACGGACAAGCAACACCGTGCGCTGGTCGCCGCGTGGTCGACATGTCGTGCTCGCGACTGTCGGCTCCTCGAGCAAGTCCGAGCTTGAGTTCTGGGACCTTGACTTCAGCGTCGACGAGACCCGTCGTGAGGGTGCGCCGTGGGGTAGTGGTATTCAACACCTCGGCACCGCTGACCACTACGCGCTCACGGACGCCGAGTGGGACCCTAGTGGGCGTTACATCGCCACCAGTGCTAGTGCATGGAGGCACACGGTGAGGACAGATCTTTCTCGGTCACGGAAGGCATACTAAAAGGGACATGTTCTACAGTTGGAAAACGGGTACGCGATCTGGGACTTCCGCGGACAAGAGCTCGAGAAGCACATCCTCGACCGCTTCAAGCAATTCCTGTGGCGCCCGCGCCCACCATCACTGCTCACCAAGGAGCAGCAGAAGCAGATCAGGCGGAACCTCAAGGAGTACTCGCGCGTTTTCGACGAGGAGGACGCCGCTGAGGAGAGCAACGTCAGTGCGGAGCTCATCGCGCACCGCAAGCGTCTCATCGACGAGTGGAACGCTTGGCGCCAACGCTGCAGGGAGGAGGTTGCGGAGGAGCGGCGGAAGCGTGGGAAGAAGGTCGAGCCCGCGAAGGAGAAGCAGCCGCAAGAAGAGCAGGAGGAGATCGAGGTCTGGGTCGACGAGGTCATCGAGCAGATCGAGGAGGAGGTTGTCGAGTGATTCCTGCAGGGTCCTGTTAATTGCAAGGGGGCGTCACTGCTGCAGCGTCAATAGTTTGTCTTTCGCCATGTTGTATTCATGCACTCCAACAATGCCTAGCTGAAGTTGTCTGACGACTTACATAGGCCCTGCGCCGCTCTTGCCTGGGATGCCAGCTGATGGCAGTGACGGGAACATGTCACGTTGTGGGCTCCTCGATCACAGCTCCACCGAGAAGGGTGTCTGGGTTTCGTCAGTCACGACATCATCGGCACCCGTCCTACGCTCATAACGCGCCCACTTGAGTTCACGATGTGCGGTATAAAGCGTGCGATTCCGAGCTATGTTCTCTCTATTCCGTTCCGCTCTTAGAAGACCAACCATTGCTGCTCCTCGTACACTTCCACCAACACTCCGTTTCAGACCACTTGCAAGTATATCCGGAGAAGACATGGCCTCTGAGAACTCCAAATTTGCCGCGCCCCACCTCTTCAACGTTGAGGGCTGGGTGACCGTAGTCACCGGTGGTGGTACCGGAATCGGCCTCATGATTGCCCAAGCATTCGCTAACAACGGTGCACGCGTATACATCACCGGTCGCCGCAAGGAGGTTCTCGAGACCGCTGCGAAGACGTGGGGCAAGTCCCTACTCCACCCTCGCGGTCAAATCATACCCATCCAGGCCGACTGCACGGATAAGGACTCGATCCACAACCTCTTTAACGAAATCTCCAAGAACGAGAAGCACGTCGACGTCCTGGTCAACAACGCTGGCATCAGCAAAGGCACGAGCTCCGTCGAGAAGGGGGATGAGACTGCCCAGGCACTGAAGGAACAGCTCTGGAACGAGAGCCTGTCTGACTGGGAGGAAGTCTACAGGACGAACGTCATAGGGTAAGAGGTGTTCCCATTGCATGAGACACGGAGTGCCTACTTACGCGCGCATATACACAGGTACTTCTTCACCTCTGCGGCATTCGTCCCTTTACTTTCGGCCGCACAACGGCAAGACCATACGGGCACCGTCATCAACATCTCGTCGATATCGGGTATCACCCGCACAACTCAGCACCACTTCAAGTACAACGTATCGAAGGGGGGGACGATCCATCTCAGCACCCTACTCGCGCAGGAGTTCCGCCGTCCTGGTGTGAGGGTCCGCGTGAACAGCATCGCCCCCGGTATCTTCCCCAGCGAGATGACCAGTACGTGTACTCGCTTAGAGGAGGTAATGACATACAGCTGACCAACTGATGGCACAGCGGGTGATTCTGACGAGACGAACAAGTCGGGAATGGAGGTTGGCCCCGACTATGGAGAGACGAAGGGAATCCCAGCTGGTCGTCCGGGGCGCGGCGAGGACATGGCGCAACTGGCTTTGTTCCTGGCGTGCAACGAGTACGCATATGGTCAGGTAAGGCTTCTAAAGGTCTGATGTTGTCAACCTCTGAGTGCTGAATGTGCATTTGTAGACCGTTGCGGTTGACGGGGGATACCTCCTCGAGCACCCGTAATTCCTGATGGATACTCTGTGAGAGAATTGTATCATACCGCACCTTTTTGTATCATAGTTATCATTGGTATCGCACCCAGTTGGTAGAAGGAACGATCTGGAAGCGTGGCCTGTAAACAACCTGTTAAAGTGGTACTTGGTGAAGCGCTGGAAAGATGTCAGGGCTAGATTTAAGCGGAGGTCGAAATCGTGCTATGGGCTGTGGCAAGCGACGCGTTCACGGTCGCGCATGCTCGCGCTCGTCGCGTCCATCACTGTGCTCACTGTCTTCGCCGTCGCGTTCACCTCTCTTTGCCATGTCAAAACGCAGCGCTTCGCCACCGGGTGGTGCCCTCATCAAACGCGCGCGCTCTGGCTCTCCTGCGCCAAATACACAGATTGCTATATCCTCATCCAACGACGAGAGGCAGCAGGCCCTCATCCGAACGGTTAAGCGAACGAGTAGTTTGGAGGCACCGATCATTAGCCTGTCTGGGTCTCATTCGGTACGCCTGCACATGTGCATTTTTCCTCGTCCGAGCAGCTGAACACTCGGTTCACATAGGCCGAAATTCTGAGCTGCAGGTTTGACCCTACCGGACAAAATATCGCTGCCTGCTCAGCGGACCGCAGTGTCTGTGAGTGACATCGACCTTAACGTCCCTGGGAACGTGAACCTCATGCCTATCACGACGCACGTTCTCAATAGCCCTATGGCGCACATACTCTCCTAACACAAACTATGGCCTAATATCCAACCTCCACAAAGCCCCCGTCCTCGACCTCCAGTGGTCTCTGGCATCCCAAGTCCTCTACACCGTTTCCGCCGACCACACTCTGAACGTCACAGACCTCACGACTGGCCAGCGTGTGCGTAAACTCCACGCTCACCGAGGTATCATTAATTCCCTCGACAGAACTCTCGCAGGAGGAGCTGGCGTCGAGCTCGTCGCCACCGGCGGTGACGACGGAACCATACGCATCTGGGAGGGAGGCGACGAGGGCCCGAAGCAGCCCGTGAGCGTGTACGAGCTCGGGTGCCCGATCACGTCCGTCGCATGGAGTGCGGACGGGGCGAGCATATATGCGGGCGCGCTGGACAACGAAATCCACGTATGTTTGTTTTCCTGGACTCTGGTAGACGCGCTCAATGTGTGTGGATCTCGGTAGGTCATCGATTTTCGCAAAAACGAGGAGGTATATACCCTCGTGGGTCATACCGACACGCCCACATCCCTTTCCCTATCACCCAACGGCCAGTACCTCCTCTCCCCCTCCTTCTCTTCTCAGACCATCATTCACGACGTCCGACCGTTCTCACCATCGCCGAATCGCATACATCGGGTTCTCATGGGCGCACCCGCCGGTTTCGAGAACACTCTTCTGCGGGGTGCATGGAGCAAGGACGACGGCGGAAGAAGAGTTGGAGTGGGAGGTGCTGACCGTACCGTATGTATATGGGATGTAGAGAGTGGAAAAGTGCTCTATAAGGTAAGCACCGGGAACACATTTCATCGGGCGGCGAATGCTTACTTTGACTCCCAGCTACCTGGCCACAAGGGAACCGTCACAGCTGTGGATTTCCACCCGAAGGAGCCCATCAGTAAGCGTTGTCCGTGTGGTTTGCATGAGTTGCCGTGCTGACAATCATTTCTAGTCTTGACAGGGAGCAAAGACGCTACTATGCTTCTTGGAGAGATCGAGCCCACCCTTGGAGCGTAACTTACCTCTGTCTTGTACTGTCACGGATGCTTTGTGAACGCGCTCTGCTTTCTGATGTAACCTGCGAGTGCTATGGAGGGGTACCCAAGAAAGCACAGTGGGTGTGATATACAATGTAGGTGCACTAGTAATCGTACAGTGTATGAATCCGTCAAGAATGGAAGTAACTATTGCGACGACATTAAGGCTCATCGTCCCCTTCCCCGAACACATCTTGGTCCGTCGGCAGAGGGGTCATCTCGGTATGGTAGCTGGGCAAAACGGCACGGACCTCCTCCATGTACCAGATCCTGGTCGGGGCGACCGGGACGCCAGGGGCTCCGTCGGCTACTTTCTTGTTGTAGCCCCATGGATTGTTGAACCGCTCGAGGCTGACCTCGATAGGGACGCTGGGGTCAACACGCGCAAGCTGAACAAATACGCCCTCGATGCTCATCCCCACCCACATATTGTCTGCGATATCAGGATCGACGTAGACGACGATGTCGTCTTTGAACGGGTTATGTGGCGTGCCGGGACCAGGAGCGACCTCGGCGCCCTCGAAGTCGTCTAGGACCGCCGCCCCACGGGAGTCGGGGAGGATGCGGGGCTTCTGGACGTCCGCGTTGGGGTTGACGGCGTACACGGGCCAAGCTGAGAGCGTCAGCTTCGCCAACTTGGCATCCAGCTCCCGCTCGACCGCATCGGGGTCGTGCAGAGGCGCAGGCTCGGCGGGGGCCTTGCCCTTGCCCTTCTTCGGCTGGGGCCGCGTCGGAGGTGCGGGCGGCGCGACTTTGCTCTTGATCCGCCGCGTCGAACGCTCGACGACGCCGGTCGTGTGCGTGAGCGGCAGCGTCGTCGGCCCGAGGAACTTGTGGATCGCGTTGACCTTGGGGCCGGCGTCCCAGTCCTCCGCCGTGTTCGACTTGCCCCAGAACTCCTCTTCGTCCCCCCAGTTCGTCGTCGCGGCGTTCCCCCACGAGCCTGCGCCTGCGTCGTCAGCGTCGATCACCTCGACCTCGACCGGCTCGTCTCCCCCGATCGCGGCCTTCAGGGCTGCGGCCTCTTCCGCCTTCTTGGCTGCCAATAGTTCCGGGTCCTCCGCAGGATCATCGTCTTTTGCGATGGTCTCGGAGGTTTCTGTGGTCTCCGCGGCCATGGTCTGGGCATTGTTGGCTTCAGCATCGGCATCGTCAGTCTTTTGTTTCTTCGTAGCGCGTTGCTCCTCGGCCTCGTCGCCAGAAGTGGAATTGTCTGCCCAGATGTTGTACCCGTTCATTGCGCCAAAGATCTCCCTACAACCAGTGCCGAAGTCGTCCGGGATGAGCTTGTTCATGAGGATCGCGTGGGGCAGTTCTTTCTGCGCCAACTCCGTGACAGCGATCGCCTTGCGCAGTTGGCGGTCAATCTCCGGGAAGACGCGGTTGCGCTGGAGGAACTTGAGGAAGAAATCAACAAGGATAGGCGCGTTGGCGCAGAACTTCTCGGAGCTGGACAACGCACAGAGTGTGTGAGCACGCCTCGACGGAACAGTCGCTGCTGCAAGACCGGCCAAAGACTCACTTGATATCCCCTCGGTCACTCGCGTAGTTCGAGAAGAACACCTTCACGACGTCCTCCGGGTCGTTCAGGAACCTGTCCATCCTCGTGTCCCGCACCTCGCGGAAGTACTCGCGGCGGTGCTGCCTTTCCTCCTCCGTCCTGGCGGGACCGCTGGCGGGCAGCACGTCCGGCCCCGCAGGGATGTCGGCGCTCTCCGCGACCGCGATGGTGGCCTCCATCGGGAGGCGGGCGTTCGGCATTTCGTCCAGCTCCTCGTCGCCGTCGTCCGCGGTCGTCTGCTGCGCCGCCATCGCGCGCGCCGCAGCATTCTTCTTCCGCGCCGAGAGCGGTTGGATGTTGCTGATGAGCCCGACAAAAAAACGGAACTAAGGCGATACGGGGCGTGAGCATGTAGACGTGCGGAAGCATCAGAGGAGCAGCGGCAGTGGCGCACCTTGTCCCAGTACTGGGTGAGCTCTTGGTTCACGCTGTGATTCGGGGAGAACAAGCGGCCAGACTTGAAGTCTGCCGCAGCTTGGTACAGGCGCTCCGCGCGCGGGAGAGACCTGCGCCACGCACGTCCCGCCACCGTCAGCACACACACACACATCTACACACCCGCACACAGACGCGAAGCAACACAAAACAGGCAGACGTACGGGTCGATGGGGCCGCCGCTCGTCTTCCTGAGGTGCTCGACCTCCGCCCACTCCTCGTACCAGCGCTTGGGCACGACGGACCCGTCCGGGGCGATCTTCGTCCGCGCGTTCTTGCGCTTGCGCTTCTCCATCGTCGTCAGGTCGTGGTGCACCCGCAGGGTGAGCGTCGCGATGCCCAGGCCGTCGACCTCGACTGGGGGCGCCGCGCCGTCCTCGACGGGCTGGGGGATGTGGATGCCGAGCGGTTTGAAGTCCCTGAAGGGGACGAGCTCGACGCCTTGTGGGGGCTTGGGGAACGGAGGGAACGTGAGCCACGGACGGTCTGCGGGGGTTACCGCTGCTGTTGCCTCTGCTGCTGCTGCTGCTGCTGCTGCAGGGGCAACGTTGGGGGAGCTGGAGGGTAGCGCGTCGGTCGGGGCGTTTTGAGGTGCAGCGGTCGTCGGCTGGTCGGGTGCGGGGCTCGAGGGGTCCATCGCAAGGGTCTTTCGGGATCGGCCTGTGGGATCCAGGAGCGCGTCGCGGCGCGTTACGTAGGGCGGGAACAGGCGGTGGCGTAAGCGGATCGTCCGCAGATGTCGGTACCGTCAGTATACAGACTCTAACTCGCAGGGAGTGGCGTACTTCGAAGAGAGCTGCTGCTCCAGATGCGCTAACTGATATAGGATTCGCCTGGGAAGCTCTCACGTCGCGCGCGAGGGTAGGGAGGGCGAGAAGTGGGATGAGAAGCGAGGAAGACGGAGGGGCGTACGTTATAAGGTGCTAGAACAAAGGCGATTGACCTGCCCGGGCTGCTGCAGCACACTCCGCCGGTGCCACTCGCTCCCCAGTACTCAGGGTATGCGGAGGTCGGGAACAATAACAGTCTTCATCTTCCGCATCGAGTTCCACAGTCAGGGACACGAGGGGGTCCATGAATTTGGTGCTGTGTCGACGGCGAAGCTGCGGTAGAGTTTCAACAAGGGCCGTCACACTGGAAAGCTTAAGAAGCGCGCGGGTTAGGTGGATCGATGGGTGTGAACTCGTAATGTTGCAGTAGCAGCAAGACAGATACAGTAGATACAGCGAACGCTAGATCATGTAGAACGATTGTGTGGATGTGGCTGGGGTTATATTGAGAGGTCCGAGGCCGGGACGCTGAGATAAGTGACTGCTACGCCGCCGCCCGACCCTGCAGGCTAATAGTGGGATTACGGGATAAAGTACGTGCGCATAAGAGGTACTGGTGTGATGTCCTACCACACATGCAGTAACGTCAGGGTGAGTGTGCCACGACCCAGAGCACTACAGACTTACCATGTCTCACCAGCAAGTAGACCAAGAAAACCGAAACAAGAGACGTCGAAGAGGAAGGACGATAGACAGAGATGTGGAGCATAGGGACGGAGGCGACGTGAGCGTATTCAAGAGTCGACGACCCTTCTCCTCTTCTTCGGTTTCTCGTCGTCCCCATCCGCCGCCTCCGCGTCGTCCCGCGCGTTCGCCTCCTTCACCTTCCTCGCCCTCGCCTTCGACTTCGGCCTCGCGCCCATGCTCGCGTCGCTCGCGTCCCCGCCCCGCGTCCGGCTGAGCGAGCGCGTCCGCGGCTTCCCCGCGCTGACCCTCTTCGCCGGCGTATGCGGATGCCCTTCCGCCTCGCGATCCGAGTCCGAGATCGTCGCCTTGCTCTTCGGCGCGCGCCCCCGCCGCTTCTGCGCCTCGGCCGTCGGCGCAGACCGCACGGACTGCACGTCGTCGTCATCCTCGCCATCCGTGCCGGGGACGACCCTCGGGTCCATGACGCGCGCGCGCCGCTTCGCCGCGCTGCCCGGGGGCTGCGTCTTGGACTTCGGGGGCCGTCCGCGGCCCCGCACGCTGCCCGCGACGCTCGCGCTCTCCGCCTGCGGCTCGTCCACGTCCATCTGGTCGTGTTCGTCCTCGTCCTCGTCCGCGTCCGCCGCGGTCGCCCGCGCTTTGCCCTTGCCCTTGCCCTTGTCTTTGTTCTTCGAGCCCTTGGGCCGGCCGCGGCCAGACGCGCTCGCGGTCTTGCCGACGATCTCGTCCACGCCGCTGTCGGGTTCGCCCTCGCTCTCGTCCTCCTCCGTGCTCGCTTCCTTGAGGTTCACGCTGCGGGGCCGCTTGCGCACCGAGCGCGCCCCGCGCGGCATCGTCGCGCGGATCCCGTGGCAGTTCAGGCGGAGGCACGAGACGAGCCTATCGTCGTGCGGCGTCGAGTCCGCGCGGAACCGCGCACGCTTGATGTCCGTCTGTCGGCCCGCCCACAGGTGAGCGGCACGCTCCGGACGCTTATCGCCGCGCTGCGCGCGGGGAACAAGGGAAGAGGAGGACGCAGACGCACCGTATGCATGCCCTCGTAGCACCACCCGTCGGGCGGGCCCTGGTCGCCGTCGCCCTCGACGACCTTCCCGCAGCAGCCCCACAGCGTCTCGAAGGTCGCCCCGACCGTGCCAGGGACGCGGCCCGCGCGCCTGGCGGTCCCGACGCGCTCGACCTCCGCGCTCTCGTCGTCGTGCGGCACGAGGCAGCTGCGGTCGTCGTTCTCGACCTCGACGTAGTCCTTGTGGCACCGCACGCAGTGCACCTTCGGCGGGGGCGCGAGCTCAGCGAAGAGCGCGGCGAGGGTGGGGAGTGTGTCTTCGGGGACGTTGGGGATGCGCGCGAGGACGTACGCGTGCAGGACCTTGGGTGGGATCGCGGCGATGTGCGTGGTGAGGGACTCGACGGTCGGCTCGGGAGGCACGAAGGCGGGGTTGGGCGCGATCGCGGTGAAAGGGTTTGGTCCTGGAAGGGAGCCTCGACGGGTGGGGGAGGCCTGGCGCTCTTCGATGGAGAGCCGGGCAATCTTTGTGCTTGGGGACGCGGAGCGCACCTTTGCGACCGAGGCAGACTCAACAGATGGCGAGGGTGTGCGGAGCTGAACATTCTTCTCTACCTTGGAGGGTGGTGAGGGGTTCACATTAACGGATGTGGATGCGGTGGGGGAGGGCGGGAGGGGGACCGTCTCTGGTGGCGGCTGTGCCTTGCGGGCGAAGAAACCGAATACCATTGTGCTTGGGGTTTACAGCGAGTTATTTGCGTATACAAGATATCTGGGCAAGATGTGGTGGTGGTAGATGCAAGAGAGTGAGAGAGAAGGTATGGACAAAGCGGAGGCTGAGGCTAAGACGTCGACGAAGGCCTATTCAGGACGAGCAGCGCGTGGGAACGCCCGATCTGCGTGGAGTCACGCCAACACGCGTGGGTCACACCCTATACGCGTGTATCCCACACGACGCGTGCAGGACGCGTGTCGTCGAGAGCCCGTCAGCTGCCTCGACGTTTGCCTTGCTCAGTCGTCGTAGATCGTCAGTCTATCTTCCCCCTTCCTGAGATGTAAGGGCGTAGGGTTACGCGACACCTCGCCTTTAAGTTCTAGGGTCGAACACATTGATACAGAACACGGTGTAGAGGACAGCATTAGATAGCAAAATGACGAGTGAGTTTGGACCGTCAAGCCTTCGTGAACCACCTCTTCAGGCTCAACTGCCCAATCACATCAACCGCCTTCTTCACCTCGAACCGATCCACCCCGCTCCGGTGCAGCGCAAACTCCTTCGCAACGCTCCCCGCGGCCGCAGCCGCAGGCACGAACACCCGGAGATCCACCAGCCGCTCGAACGCCTGCCCAACCCAAATCCAAACGCAGCCGATCAGCATCTTTGCCTTCGCCTTCGCTCGCATGGCCCCGCGGCACGCGCGACCGAAGGAAAAACAGAACAGTGGGGGGACGTACCGAAAAGAGCACCTCGCGGCTGCAGCGGACCATCCCGACACCGCCCCCCGCGACTTGCACGGGCGCGGACTGGGACGTGCGCACCTGCGTCTTGAACGCGTCGTGTAGCATCTCGAACGTGAACGTGTCGTGCCCCGAGGCGGACGCGTGCACGGACGCGATGAGCAGGCACACTGCCGGATACGGCAGCGCTGTGCAGAGGGCATCGGTCGGCGCTTGCCACAGCGGAAGCGCGACGGAAAAAGGCACTCACTGTCCAAGGGGGCCAGCCGTGGTGGGCACCGCTGGCTCTTCGTGGCCGAGTCGAGCTTCTCGATCGTAGGAAATGGGGACGAGGGGCTGAGGTCCAGAGCCAAGCGGGTCTGTTTGGCTTGTTCAGCGGCGCGCAAACACCATCCGGCGCCGGAACCATACTCACCATGATGCGTCGGAACATCTGGAAGTCCCTCGTCAGAGCATACGTCTCCTTCAACGCCTCGACAACGTCCTCGCTCCCCGCGAACGCCTCCACCGCCTTCGCCCACATGCGCCCCCACTCCTTCTCGTCCGCGCCCTCCTTAGCGCCTTCGCTCACCACGGACGCGCCAAGGACCGCCTGAGCGAGCTGCACCCAATGCTCCATCTTCGCCGGACACGCCGTCCGGATCATCCGTCCTGAGAATCGGCTCTTGACGCGCTTCTCGAGCAGGTTGATCGTGTCGACGCGCGCGGTGACCCCGACGACCGCCATACCGCTCCCGCTCCCCGTCCCCGTGCGACAGGCCTGCGCGGTGTCGAGCAAGCAATAGAGCAGCGCCTGGCGCGCGTGCGTCGCGAAGAGGTCGAAGCCGTCTAGGACGATGATCGTCGGCCGGGGAAGGGTGGGGATCATCGAGATGAGCGCAAGGAGGTGCGCGGGCGGGGGGAGCGTGATGGCGAGCCGTGCGTTTTCGGCCGGGGGTAGGGCAGGAGCGCGTTCGACGAACGGGTTCTCGTCGTCGTCTCCATCGGCGTCCACGTCCAGATCGGCATCTAGGCTTGCATCGCCTTCTGCTTGCTGCTCTGCGGGCGCAGGTGCGCTTTGCTCCTCGTCTTCCGCGTCTTCCGGGTCGTTAGGGAGGAAAGACTGTCCCGTCTGTTGGGCAAGCTGCCAGGCGATCTCACGGATCGCCAGTCGATCGTTGTGTTGCGCGTGGCCAGATAGGCGGACGACGATGGGTTTCGAAGGCAACTGGGCGATCGCTTTCTCCACGATCTAGGGTAAGGACCGCATGATGAGGAGGGGCATTCGTAGTAGACAAGCGGTAGAGACGTACCTGTGTCTTGCCGCTTCCACTAGGACCAATGAGCATACAACTGTTGCCCTCCCCGCGGACGACAGAGCCCGTGAGCAGCTCGCTAAGTTGCTCGTACGCGGCGTTGTTGGTCGGCGGGTAGTCCTCGCCATAGACTTCAATCTCGTCGATCTCTGGAGGATGTTGCAGCGATTTGAGGATAGCGCGCTTCTGGCGCTCAAGCAAGGGGTGCAAGTGATCAGGGAGGATCCGCGGCAACTCGTCGGCGGGTCGTTCCACTTGCTTCCCTTTTCGCTTCGACGGTGAGGCAGGGATAGCCCGTAGTGTAGCACGGGACGGTGATTCTGGCAGCTGCACATGCGGGAGACGCGACTGTAACGGATCTGGAGAAGGTGTCCTTGCTCCGCGCTGTCTCCCAGCGGATGGAGGGGGAGGCTTACGCTTACTGGGGCTTCCGATAGTCGACGGGAACGCAGCCGGTAGCCTAGGCGTACCCGTTGCGAGTATGCGCGCAGACGCAGTCGGGGGCGGTGCTGGTGAGCCCTGGTTGCGTCTGACCGTGGCAAGCATGCGCCGAGGAGTGAGTATCTCGACACACTGCATGATCATTCGAGGGGTGCCTCCCCGAGCAGATCCCGCGGCGCGCGATGGTGTAGTCGGCCGAACGTTGACGCGCTTGGAGGGGGTCAGAAGAAGCTCGTCTTCAGAGCTTTCAGGCTCCTCCGCTTGAGGTTGTGGAGGGGCCGCTGCCTTGGCAGGAGAGGGATTTCTTGTGGGCGATGGCTCTGGATGTAGGACGGCCTTGCGCCGACCTCGTCTCTTTGGTGTAGAGGGCGAAGGGTCCTGATGTGGCTCGTCGTTCTCTACCTCCATCGGCTGTTCATCGCTAGCAGCAGCTTTGGGTGCAGGAGACTTTCCCCGCCGTGCTCGCTTCGGACGAGAGCCCTCGGCAGGTAGGTGAGATTCGCTCGCGGCTTGTGTCTACAGAATCGCTCGCATGTGAGATGAGATGTTGCGTACGACACCCAAACGCACCTTTCTTGCAGGCCGTCCGCGCTTCTTGGGCTCTTGGATAGGTGACAGCGGCCGCGGCTCTGGTGGTTCCTGCGCATGCACCTCTTTCACCGCCTCCGGTTCGACCTACCATGGATGTTCGTATCCAAGCATTCCATAACATGATATAACGCATACCTTCTTTGGCCTCCCTCTTCTCTTCGGAGGGAGAACAGGCTCAGCCCCTTGTGCATCCTGAACTGTGGATTGTGGTTTACGAGCTCGAGTCACTCGTGAAGGGGGGTTCGTAGACGTCGCGACACTTGTCATATTTTCAGCATCTCCCTCTACTGTCTTCCGCTCCTCATCTGCTTTGTTTGGTCGTCTTGTCCTCTCGGCAAGGGGAAGTTCTGCGACCTGTGAATCGTCGGTGGTTGTCGTGTTTCGTGTCCTGCGCCGTGTAGGAGGGGGCTGTTCATTCGTCGCTGTAGGCGCCGCCTTGCGTTTGGGTGGCATCAAGGAAGAGACAGGGGTTGAGAGGCTGGCTCACAGTGGGAGACGAGAGTTGGACAAGAGCAGCTTCGCGCCGAGAGCTTGCTCTGAGGATGAGCGCTCACGAGCCACAGGCGCGAATAGTCACGCGTGACCGACGCGCACCTGACGCGTCCAACAAATGGCGCCCACACGTCGCGTCGCGTCAAGTCCACCGCTGGACATCTCTCCCACAACATAAACTCCGCGGCGGCGCGACTCTTAGAAATTATATACTTGTCTGCTTAGCCGGCGTTGCTGTTTTACCACATCTGCGAGGATCGAGCAAGACACGACCATGTAATACCATGATCTCTTCACGTTGACTCATTATTCTTGCTCGGCTCCTTGAATAATTTGTGTCGGGAGAGAGACTTGTTTATGTCGTGAGTTCCTTTGACGGAATTCAGTGTTTAGGGACCTCCCTCTTCGGTGCTATACATGCACCGCGGGATGCCTGCGCGATGGGTGGCACTTTTGGCGCCCATGGTACCCGGGGTACCACCGTACCAGTAAATTCGACACACACTTGCTCAAAGCAAATATCCGCACGCTCCACTTCACTCAGAATAATCGCGTCTAAATCTCGAGCGACCGTCAAGTAGCCCAAGGAATTTCGCCCTAGGCTCTACCAAATATACTCTATTGATCAATCGGAAACACTTGAAAGTGCGTGAGACATACGCGACTGAGCGGGGATGGGAGTGAAGAGAGAATGTGACTTACGAAGTGTACAACCTCTATCAGATGTGCGACCCAGCGATGATACCAACCTCTCCTACTAGCCTCTCAATGTCTTCAACAAGGAGGCGGCCCGCTTCCGTCTTCTTCATCTTGCGCTCCAGCAACTTGCCAACGCGCTCCGACACCTCCATGTCTTCCTTGATATGATTACCTGAGAAGCGAAGTCAACAACTTGTAGATAGTCTGCAAATCGCACGTGGTAGTCTGGACTTACTGATGAGCGTTTGGTTTTTATACCGGTTCTCAGGTCCTGGAGCGATAAGGGTTCCGGCTTGCGCAAGGAACAGGTCAATCTGTTGCGCTGCAGGTGAATGGGTCAATAGAGTGGGTGTATGACGAGTCCGCTGTACATACATTCGGCGGCTCGTCGGCGTATCAAATGCAATGCTTCCTCGAAGGCCTGGATCGATATTGAAGTTCGATGCCAATTGAGATATAGTCTGTCACAAACCAGGCCACTACTCACACCTGCGTGCGCAGGGACTTCAGATGCTCTGCTGCGATTGACTACGGAAAGCCGCAGTATGTCTAGATGTCCTTGAGCGCTGTTGGACTCGTCGTGCAACGCGTCCCGCAAAGCAGGCAGGGCCTCATTGGCGAATTCCGTCAACTGTGTGCCATGTGAGAACCTCATGTAGTACTGTGGAATGAAGACTTACCATTTGAAATGATTGTGCGCATGCTAGGGTCAACGCCGCGGACTGATTAACGAGATCGTGCAGTTGGTTTTCTTTTTCATCCTGGAGTATCTCATATCAGGAATGATCTATGTGAACAAGGATTAGTGTACCAAACGCCGTGACAGATCTCGTAAGTCTTCCGCTCCATCCGGTTCCGAGGGAAGAGGACTGTGATATTGCACGGCCAGTCGAGCTTGGGCCTCCGCAGCAGCGCGCAGCGCTTGACTATGTTGAAAACAAATCAGACGTATCATCGCTTGACAGCCACTGACACTCACAACATTGTCGCAACCTCGTCATCATCTGCAGATGCGTTCATCGATCTTGCGACGGCCAAGAGGAGACGTTGCTTGGCTTTGTTCACCCGTGAAGGCAGTACTGAATCGTTGGGTTGCAGAGAAAGGCGTGAAGCACGCAGGGCGTGAGCTTGCAAAGCCTATGTATAGTTGTCAGCTTGTGTCCCCTTGCGGCGATAGATACGCTCACCGCAAGTGCGTCTCGCGTGTGCTCCGTGGTTCGACTCTTAGTAGGGCCTCTTAGATGAGGGATCGTTTCAACATGAGTCTGTACGTGATACAAAGGATTAGTGGGACGTAACCACAAACATGGTGGCATCAAAGCTGACCTGCGTCATATTGGCGCTCCTACGACTGTCGGAAGCTGGTAAGGCTGGGCTACTCTTCACAGACACTGGTAACAAACCGGAGTTCGTCGAGTAATCTCGCAATCTCAGCAAAGCGTTCATTGCGTATCTTGGCTTTCCGCTCCAGGACGGAGAGTAGGACGACTGTCGTCCGCTTCTCCGCGAGTTTCGCCTGCATCTCTCCCTTCTCGCGTTCTATCGGATGAAGTAAGAGGGAATCGCGTCTGCATGCTGGATACTGCCATACCGAGACTTTTCAAGGGCTGCATCTGTTCCATCCGGGCGGTTTGCGCGCCCGTAAACAAAACGCGACCGTTCGTGAGACGAGACTCCGCTCGCCGGACGCTGGTAAACAGCGCATCAGCATCCAGGTCAGCATACGGCTTCTTGGCTGTTGTGGACCCGCGAGTTCTGCAAAACCGAACGCGTTGATCATGCGGTCTATCAGTGCAAGTCAGGCACATACTGTTGAATGGCGCTTCTAGCGACTGCAGCCCCTTTTCTGCCTGAGATGTGGCGAGCGATCACGTCAAGTACATCGGCCATTCGACCCTTGTACAATCTTCCAATTTCTTCTATGGATATCTCAGGAGCGTCAATCTGTCGTAGGGACGTCATGATATCCTCCTGTGTTGTCGAGTTTCTCGCTGATCCGCCAGTGGTATTCTTATTGCTACAATGTCAGAAAGTAATCTGTGGGCCTGGCGCAGACAGCTGAGTGTGAGCACAAAGTACCAAGCATACCTTGCAATCTCTGGCGCCATATTGATACTGACGAGATGGGAGTAAAGGAACGTGGCATGCTGGAACACAGTCACGGTGTGGTCGACTCAAGCGCTTAGACTTTTGTCCTTAGGCGCCTATGTTGAAAAGATGCCTACCATGTTTGACCCGACACCATTAATCTCATATCGGGCGGCCACAACATCTTTGGGTCCAAAGTCCTTAGCACTTTCTGGCCAATTGCCTGCTCTCATTGATTTCGTCCCGGGTTACTACTGCCAGTTATTCCTTCTGACGCTATCTCATCAAGACTACTTTTACACGTTACGTGAGTGGATGCGTACTGGAAGATACGAATTGGGTCTGATATGTCGAAGTGTAACTGACTGTGAACATAGTAGTACCTCGATTAGTCCGATCCAGCCAGACCCGATGAAGGTAGGAGGGCCTCCGAACTCGTAAGATGCAAGCCTAAAGGAATACTAACGTTTGTATGTAGTGCTAGCGAACGATGGATCTGAGTGAAAGACAGTGTCTTGAGCGCGCCGTGTAAACTAGTGAGTGCGTTGTACTGACCCATCAAGATCCTACGTGGTTGAATGCCGCCCTACCTCCTCGAGAGAATTTCGTGCGGAGTTGCGCGAGCTCCTCCCGTACTGCAACAATATCCTTCTGTAGAGCATGGCGGCTAGGGGTCTCCTCGGCTGCCACGCTGGCACCGGGATCGGAGCTATGGCCGTACGCTGCCACAGTGGCGACCCCCGCGCCAGAGGATGGGGAGTTGCTGCTCTCTCTCCGCATATTGAGAGGCACCAGCGGCTTCCAAGCAGTGGCATGATATCTGATATCTAACACGGATTTCGTCTCCGGCTGTGCCGAGTCGGCGCCCGTTGTCGATTCAGTCGCCTCCTTCCGATAGGCGGTGCGCACGTGTTGTCGTCCAGTTCGCCTGCACTTGCAGAACAGGAGACAGCATAGCAGGGCGAGTGCTGAGACACCCCCTATCGTCGTCCCCACAATGGCACGTGTCGGTACACGGCGCCGTGTACTAGATGGGTCCAGCGTAGGGGACGCAGCAGTCGATGTGGTCGGCTCTGCGGGGGGTCTTGACTGTGTTTGGGGTTTGGATGGTGAGTGAGTGATAGCAGGTGGACTACGTCTGGATGCTGATGCGTCAGAATTGAACGTACGCCGCAGCTTGGATGTGGAAGGAGCGACCGACCTTGGGGATGACGACACCGACGCGTTTGACGACATTGACGTGTTTGACAATGCCGACGTGTCCGACGATGCCGACGCGTTTGATGACACCGGGGCAGGAACATTCGGCTCTGTCTCGGATGTGTACACGAGGTAGTCGAAGAGTATCAAGGGAGTGGTACCTCGTCCGCGGATGATGAGGGTATGTGCTACGTTCTCGAGAGTCGTGTTTGCGAACACCAGCACATCATACAGGATCGAGCAGGATGCGTCCGGGACGTTGTTGTACTGTCCAGCAACTTCGTCGTCAAGGATGAAGGAGAGCTGTGACGAGGTGTCGACGGCAGGGAAGATGTTTGCCACCATGTGGTAGACATAGACCGCACTTCCCGTAAAGATCACCGTGATGTCGGCATCTTGACCATCCTGCCAGCGGATGGCATGCCACGTTTGGCGGTAAACTTGGCTCGTGTCCACTTGGAGAATACTTAACCCACAAGGGATGTCGTCCAAACCTTGTTCCCAATATATGGGAGGGGTGTAGGCCGGTGGAACACCAGTCTTTTCGTCTCCGTATTCGTCGTCAATGGTGTAGTTGACTAGAACGGACTGCGCTAATGCTACCCATAACGGGAGTAGGAGGTACGAGGTGAACACGACCATGAGCCTAGGCTACAGAAACACCATATCCTTTTGCCCTAACTTCTACCCTAAGTACTACACCATGCAACAGTCCGTTACCACCGCGGTTTACCGCCTTGTAAGCCTTGTATAGGTCAGACTGCACGAAACGTCACTCCAGGTGAGGTCCCCGGTCGACCGTCGTGTTGGGGCAACGATGCAACGAGGTGAGGTGAGCCTTTCTTGATGGTCCAAGCACAGGTCGGTCTATCGAGAGTTCACATATTAATATACAGGTTGATCGTACGGCTGTTGAGGCGACAATGTACCCTCGGCGTGGGTAAGAAGCAGCACATGGCCTGGCTTGTGCTATCGGCATAACAAGATCGTGGCCGTTGTCGGACGAACTTGAGCAGGGCTGTGTAGGATTTTTCTCCTCTCCTCGCCATATCGTGGAACTCCCGTAATGACTCAGTCATTGCTTTATGTATAGGCCGCAGGTCAAGGTGTATAGCTATCATTCTCCTACAACACAAACAATATCTAGCTCGGGTCAAAGTCAGAACATCCGAGTTCGCTCGAACTGTGTAGAAACAAGCATGGGATTGCCATTCGGCTGGAAAAGCTGGTAACAAGTAGATAAGTATGAACCAGCGTACACCAGCTGGAACCTGAACGTACACAACACTGATTGTCAATCGCCATAGACTATCAGTCCAGTCAGGACTCTCAACTCTCCTGGTCGAAGGCCATCGAATCTTCATATCTTGCTGTACTGGGCACAGAAGGGATGCTGCGATGACAGATTATATCTAGGGGGTTAAGGCCCTGGGTGACCTCCTCCGATCGGGTATTGATCATACCGGTGGAACGTGGAAGAGAGGCTCGTGGGTTCATGATCGGAGACGTGCCAGCATGAGCCTTATATGAGTAGTCCGAGCCAACGTCCGACTCGGACGCCGTAAGACCGGTGAGGGATGCCCCATTCCATCCAGTGAATAAGGGGTGGGAACGGGAGTATAGTAGACGTCGCCGGAGTGCATAGAACAGTATGACGATCAACGTGATCCCTGATATCCCCCCTAATAGTCCTCCGACAAGCTTGGGGACATTGAGATGGTCCTGGGGAGGTAGATCGGAAGTTGTCGTGTAGACGACATAGTCGAAGAGGAAGAGGGAGTCGTTGAGTCCGTTGAAACGGATCTCGAGGGAGTGCTCCATATTCGGGAGGGATGTTTCGACGTATACGGGTGTATTGTACTCGATCACCGAGCTAGTATTGGGATCGTGGACATATTGATGGACGAGTTCGTTGTCCAGGAAGAAGCTGATATTAGCGAAGGTAGTGACGTTTGGGATAGAGTTGGGAACTATGCCGTAGACGTAGACCGCTACGCCTGTGAATGCAACATTGATTACACGATCAGCCTGTCCGCGCTCGTATGTTGTATCGTGCCAAGTTCCATTGAATACCTGGGAGACATTCAGTATTCCAGGGGTTATGGAACAGTGGTCGCAGGTCGCTCCTTGAGCCCACAATTCCGGAGGGGAGTACTGAGGGAATATCCCTTCCTCGATGTCTCCGTATTGATCATCTATGGTGCGGTTGACAAGCGATGAAGCAGTAAGCATAGGTGATAGTAGGAAATAGAACAGGTAGAAAGTTGGCTTAAGACAGAGGAGGCTGGGGTGACAACAACTGCCACGCATCTTGTGGTTCTAGCAGGTGCTACTCCTTTTTCCGACCAGGTTTATAGATTGCGCAGGAAAACCCCGGTAGTCGTGGGGGGCTTCGGTCTTCATCGAGTCCCTCGGTCGCATGGCGGACATTCCATGATTTCATTGATGGTTGCGACAGAGCCATGACCACTCATTGAACCTACTACACACAGGGCTAGCCGGTACACTGCGTGGGGAAAACTCTGCGCACTACAGAGGCCTCGCCTAGCCACGTGAACTCTTTGGAACAAGGTTAGCACTCTCGTGGCAATGAGACTATGTGGAGAGCACAACTTGTGTCCGAATTCTAGTGGCAGTTGCTTCCACTGCCTCGCCGCAGGATCCGCCAGTGTCAGATGGATGCGAAGTGCGTCGATGGGCAAAATCGTGCGCAACAATTGGCAAACACATGGATCGAGATGACTGCGATAGCACTTGAACACGGTGGACGGAACGGAAAGCAGGATGATTCGATCGCGACGCGCTCAATTCTTGTTGGCCGCTCAATTTGCCGCGCGCTTGACGGGCGTCTATAGAGGGCTGCTAGAAATCCCGACCGGAAGACCGCTTGCTGAATCTCGAGCACCATCCCTTCAATTTTGCTCAAATTTGCAGGAACATATTGAGTTCATAACTGGGCTGCTGGCGGCGTTTGAGTGAGTGAGCAGGACGTACCGCTATGGGCGCTCCCATGCTGGTACATACCCTGGCCCCCTCAAGCGCGCGGCGAACTGAGCGGTCGACAAGAATTGAGCACGCCTATTGAGATATTGAGATACTCGGCGAAGATGGTAGGTTACAAAATCTGCTATCGATACACAACATGATCTATATGTGATCGATGGCAAGCCGGGGTGCTCAAGAGATGATCAGATCATGAGAGACGGCACAGTTTCAAGTACTTCTTCGACTTGAAGCGGCGCATGATGAGCGACCTCATCTCGTAACAGTCTCATACGGTGGCGGTCTTTCCACCCCGTCCACTGCCTCCCTCAATCTCCCAACCTCCTCTCGGATGGCTTGAAGCTCGTCTTCGAACCTACCGGTCTCGCGCGGATCTCGGGCTGAGTCCCCACTGGCATCGGCATACACGTCCACCACGGACGTCCTCTCTGACGGTCGACCGTCAACTGCGCGGAGTTGCGCTTGGATCCCAAGTACGACAGGCAACTCCCTCAGGTGCGGAGATGAGATACATCCCGTCTCGAGGACAGGATGGACGGTGGTAGCCTCGACTCGCCGGGGCTCCTGTCGTATTGCAAAGACCTGTCGGCGTTTTCGGCTCCGCCTACGAAGGGATATGAACGTCGTCAACGATAGAAGCAGCGCAACCGCGATTCCGAGCAAAGTACCGAGGAGAGGGGTTGTGGCGGAGGTACCAGGGGACGCGGCCAGAGATGCGCCGGTACAGCACATGACAGATGCCATAGTGGGAGTATCGAAGGAGTGCGAAGTTGCGGTATGGGCTATGTCTGTAGAGGCAGTACTGGAGGCGTCCTGCGTGGTCTCGGTCGTATTGGCGGTGTACACGACGTAATCAAATAGGAGTAGGGAAGAGTTCGGCCCGCTGGCACGGATATCGAGAAAGTGCTCAGCGTCGGGAAGGGTGGTGTTCGCATACACAAGCACGTTGTACGCGTAAGCGTAATTTGAAGTTTCGTCAACTTCATGAACGAATTGGCCGACAGATTCGTTGTGAAGGATGAAGCTGAGATTGGTGAAGGTGGTGACATCACTACCGGCCTGGTTAGGCACGATGTGGTAGACGTATACAGCTACGCCTGTGAACCCCACGGTAATCACGCGTTCGGGGTCACCTGGATGATATGTCGAATCATGCCACGTTCTATCGAATGTCAGGGAGGCATCCAGACGCGCAGCGCATGTCAAGCATTGGGAGCCTTGGTTCCATCCTCCCTGAGGAGAGTACGCGGGCAAAAGGCCCGTTGTATCGTCGCCGAGCTCGTCATCTATCGTATGATTGAGAAGCGCAGCGCAGCTGGAGACCGAGGACAGGAGAAAGTGGAGGATTAATGAGCGAGTCGGCATTGTGATTTGTTGAAAAGACCGCCTGCGGACACAACGGGTTTAGTTAGAGTGGTGAAAGTATCGCTGAATGGCTCATCAATGGCGTATCAACCACGACGCAGGAAAAGACAAACGTAGCAGTGTGCCCGACTGAGCTGACCCTCCAGGCCTGCGCATCTCGAGAATGACTCACCGTATTGGAGCCATTTGTGACGACCTTCTCAGTGTTCTCTTACTGGATGCCTTGGATACAGAGCATAGTGACGCTACATTTTCCCTTTTAGCCACACTGAGTCAGCGGAAGAAATCAGATACATACAATCTCACATCCAATGCGCGAACCCTCGCAGCTCTCCCGGATCACCACCTTCCGAGTCGGAGTCCGACTCGTCCTCCGCTTCTTCCAGCTCCTCACTCCCAATCCACCAAGTCGGGCCTGACCCCAAACCCTCATCCCAATCACGTCTTATTCGCGCTTCCCAATGGCCATTACTGCGACATCGATCTCGCATCACCTCCACACGGATACTCGGATGGGGCTGAAAATTCTTGAGATGACAAACAGAAGTGTTGTACTGGAAAGTGGACGGTTGAAAGCGGACGCAGGTGAATAGCAGAGGGCGCTGCGTTTGAGCTATAGTGCATCCTATGACTTCAATCAGACAAGACAAAACAACGGGTCATGTTGGTGGCAACACTCACCGAACACGAAACTGAGACCGCGCCATAACTCGTCCACGACTGTGCTTGATGCACAACTTAGGTTAGAGAGACGGAGGTGGGTCATTGAGGGAGAATGGTGAACCCAGAGCTCGATGGAGACGTTCGAGCAAACGACGTGTAGGTGCCGTAAGGCTGGGAAGCACGGCGGTGGCGGTGGACAAAGTCGGACGCACCCACCAGGGAACGTAGGAGGAGGTCCACAAAACGTGAACTTCCGTAGAGCAGGGAGCTTCGCAGGAAGTTGTATCGCGCTAAATTCCCAGGAGTGCACGATGGAGAGCGTGGCGAGGTCGTCGGCAGCGGCCTTTAGAACAGATGGTAGTAGCTGGGAGAGCTCTGTGTCGATGATTTTCTGAAACGACATCCAGACGCACCACTGAGGCCGGTTCACTAAATTGTCGGACCCGTCGGCCCTGACGACATTGCAGCGAGGCATGCGCCCGTCTCTGACTCTCGCCACCTCCTGCCCATCTCTCCAGGTTGAAACGAATAGATGGCGGACTCGGACTGTCGTGCGCGCACGCTCCCTCTTCAGGCAAGTCAAGAACAACTTGGTTTGCCTGAGACTGGTCAAAGCGACGGATCCGTAGCGGATAGGGCGAACAACATCCAAGAAGTATCGCGACACGAGCGAGAGGGAACGACCAGTGTGACCGCCATCTGTGCAAGCATAAGAGAATATGTTCTCGAGCAGCTCGAGTGGAAGGTGATGAATCGACGTTAGTTCAGACGGTAACGGAGATGGTGATAGATGCGTCATCAAAGACCAGAGTATGTCAAGGTAGAGCGGCCGTTTCGGGAGGTGAGATGGCTCGTAGAGGCTCAAACCTAAGTGTGCAGGGGACATACCTATATCAGCAGCACTCGAGCGTTCAGCCGCGACGTGGACAGCAGTCCCTGAGATCAACCCTCGGCCTCGGGAAAGGGCTATGAACCAAAGTCGCAGCGATGATCCAGGCAGACTCGGGCACCCGAGTGCTCCCCGGTCTCAAAACGTACCTCGTTCCTTGGTTCGGTAATGCACGAACCAGCGTCGTGGGCACTCTATTATGGACCAACCAATCCGATCATGTCCATGAAAGGAGATCTGCAAGGGCGAGCAATAAGACAGGGTGAGAAGGTGGATGGTGTTCGGGCATTCATAACATGGCCGATGGAGGTGGGAAGAGTGGTCCAAGGCATGAATGGCAGCAGGCAGACACCCGGCATGCGCGGCTCCGTCCCCAAATTGTTTTTCTTTCTCCGCTCTTTCCGCTATCATGGCTTCGGGCAGCACAACCACCCAGGAGGAGTCCGCCGGTACCTCAAAACAGACGTTCTCACTGGAGAACATCCTCAGCGGCGACCATGAGAACATCGAACATCCGGAGACCGCCACAAAAGAGGCGCTGAAGGCCACTGGTGGCTGGGATCAAGAGGAAGGGCAAGAGGAAGTCTCACAAGGATTCTGCGTAGAGTGCGAAGGTGTGTTCTGTCGGATCAACGCCGTATGGGATTTGATGATATATTGCGCGGGCCCATCAGACCAACCGGCACAAGTTTTCTGTGAGACGTGCTCGGACAACTTCTGCGAAGTATGCTTCGCGTCCCAGCACCGGAAGGGCACTCGCAAACGTCATGCCAGCAAACCTCTGTCTGGACACCAAGAGAAGAAAGCGAAGGCCAATGATAATGTTGCCGCGCCTGCCGATGAACAAGGGGAGGACGGAGAAAAGGTGTGTGCTGTACGCTCTTCTCCCTCAGATGTGGCACCAAACCATTTACCCAAGATGCATGTGGACGAGCCTGCCGCCGAGGACTCAGATGATGAGTTAGAGCGTGCTGCGGCAGAGGCGGTGTCCTCTAAGACGGATATCGTGCTCTCATCGCAACCTACTCCCGGTTCGTCGGTCGGGGAGTGGTTCGTGGAGCGCTCAAAATACATCCCCATGCGTCTGACTCTCTCGGAGCGGAAATTCCTCCGACTTCTCGAGGCGGCTCTCAACGTGTCTGAGTACACAGACAAGATCGACACAATAGGCTTCGGTCTATCGAAGGCGAAGCGGATCGTGCACCAGATTCGCGAGCTCTGCGCCATCCTGTCCGGTCTCGTGCTGTCCGCCGACTACAAGCAAGGCCAGGAGCTCTTCCAGGACCGTGACTTCCAGTCCAATGAGGAGTTTTACCAGGACATCTTTGAGATTGGACGACGACACAAGATTATGAATCCGGATAAGATGCGGTCAACATACGGCAAGCTAATCTATATCCTTCAGGTAGTTCTTTTTTACTTCTTATATGGGTGAGAAACTTATGGTGACATCCATACCAGGACAGTCAAACACCTGAAGTCAAGGATCTCCTCAACTTTTCCTGTGTGAAGCCGATCTACACGGTGTACAACGTACTCGAGAAGCACGACGCGGTCGACCTGCTTCGAGATGACCTCATCTCGGTCGCTACCAAGGAAATCTACTCCGAAGACCGTTCCCGACGCGAAATCCAGCGTGACATCAAAAGCAAAGAACGTGCCATCGAGACGCTTGCGGGCAAGTACGCACGCCCCGGTCTCCCGCAGGAGCAGATCCGCCAGTGCATCTACAGCATCGGGGATAACCATGCGTTCCTCCGCACCAACCGCGACCCATGCGACCGCATGATTGCATACCTCAAGCAGTACTTCCATCCGAACGATCCCAAAGACCCTAAGAGCAGTCTCGCGATCAAGTCCGGCAAGGGCGGCGCCCGGCTCACGCACGACCACCAGAAGCAGTACGCGTACGTCCTTCAGAGTCTTACGCTATGGCGTGAGATCCTGCATGGTACGTATCGCGACAGAACACCGTGGTAGCTCGTTCTTTAACCTTGACCTCTGCGCCGCCTAGACATGTTCCACTTATGGACCCTGGCCGAGCAGGACCTCCTTAACGAGAACGTCCCCTACCGCCTGCGTGATACTGGTCAGGGCTTGAACCGAGTACAAGCGGCACCGAAGACGTCGCGTATGATGCACGCTATCCTTAACCGTGCTCAGCGTAGCATAGGCTCCTGGGTCGGGTCCTCGGTCATTCACATGGGCGACCACAACGTCCCGAATGCCCTCATGTTCATCGGTGCGTCCTCCTGTCCCCCTTCTCCATGTCCATGTGGGGGAGCCTTGACTGATAAAGGCCATTTGCGTTACAGACAAGTATTCCCAGGTGTACCGCATCCTACTCCCGATATGCAACACGCTCTCCCAGATCCCAAAAATCGCCGAGAACCCAGCGCTTCGGTCTTACATCGACGACGAATGGGGATCACCCGAAGGCCTGGCCCGCGAGATACTGGCAGATTTCTTCCGCCATGGGTTCGATGGCTCGGGGGCCGGCAACTACTTCGATGCAGGTACGGTAGATTTTCATCCTCGTTCCTTTGATGACGGGCGTAGGCTGACATTTCTGCTTACGCAGGATCGTGTATTGACGGACGGCTGACGAGCGCATGGAACTGGTGTTCAACGCTCGAGAAGAAGCGATTCTTCCCTGTCTTCCTTCTGACCGGTATGCGTCTCCAACCTTTGCCGCCGTCCTACCTTTGCTCACTGAAACCCTAGGTTTCATTGGCTTTGATGGAGACTGGTGAATCGGTAGACATTAGATTATCAATTGTCGTCTTGCATGCACATGCCCATTGGGCATCGTAGACCGCTTTCGCATAGTACTGCTTTGCTACAATATCGCCTGAGAATACAACACGTCTATTACAATCCAGCACACGTATATAGGTACCCGCAGCTACCGGTCCTGCGATGACCAAACTCCGCCCAGACGCGTGCAAGAAGATAGCTGGAGTAGCTAACGAAACGTTAGCCGTTTTACATCACCCCACCTCCGCCGACAAATCAACGGCGTTCATGCAACAGCGGCCTGCGCCGCTGCAGCAGGCGTCTCGATGCCAGTGGGGGCAGCAGCGCCGTTCGCGACGGCCTCGGGTGGCGTAGCAGCGGCAGCACTCGGGCCGACTTTCTTGCGGCTCGCAGAGACCGTCTCCAGGACGCTGGCCAGGCCCGTTTTCCACGCCTGCAGCCGCTTCTCCAAGAGCTCCCATTGTTCACGCTCGAATGTGCGGGCGGCGGCGCGATTTACGTGTAGCGTCTGGGCCGTCTGCGAGAGCTTGCCAGAGACAAGGCCAGCGCGAATGACTAAGACAACAGGGGCATGAGTACTGCGTGCATTCTCGGTGCCATGAGGACATACCATCGATCACCCAGGATTCCACCTGCGAGGGCTCGACCTGGAGCGCCGACGCGATGACAGAGTAGGGGATGTCGCGACCGACGTTTTGGAAGCCGAGGGAAGCGAGCGTGAGAAGACGAATCTTGCGCTCTAGTTGTGAGCTATCAAGTTCTGTAAAACTAAGAGTCAAGTGGTGTTTTAGCGTTTATCAATCCTTCTACGCATACCATACTTGGATAGCGCATCGGGATGGCTGCTCGCCCACTGCTGATACTGCGCTAGGCCATCGTTCAAGAAGATTTGAAGGAGCGCGAAAAGCTCATGGTCCTTCGCGGCAACAACGGCGTCAAGGCGGAAGAGGGGGTCGAAATCAAAGTTGTTAGGGAGGCGGAGGGCGGAGGCGATGGCATCGATGGCGGCACTCTGAGCTTCGGGTGACGACGGAGGTAGTGAACGAACGTAGGAGAGTTGGTACTGGTAAGATGCAACACTATGGAGCGTCTGAGCGCCCAAACATACAGGACGGTGAGCATGCTACTCACGGCTGCTCAGACCTCTTGTATGCGTCTACAATCAGCTTGATGAAGCTGCTCTTCTCTTCTGGCGTGACTTCCCATTCCGAAAGCCATTTGTCAACTTCAGTTTGAGAGAGACCGAGTACATCAATGTCGTCGTTCACGCTCGCGAGCTCGAGTAGGGTTTGGTATATGGGTAACCGGAGACCAGACCGCCGCGGAAGAGCATTGAACAGGTTTGAGAGTCTGAGATATGATGAGTACTCAACAGGAGTGATGCAAGATATGATGATGGACTCCGTACATCCGGTATTTTACGGGTGTGTGGTCGGGGGACGCAGAGATGGTGTTCAATAGAGTCGCGAGCTGCGAATGTGTGCTGGGTTCATCGAGAGAGTATAAGACGAGAAAGTGGGAGAAGAGGAGGTTGAAGAATCCCTCAATCTCTGCGTTGAATGATTAGAGATTTTCGAGATGACATAGCTCGGCAAAGACGCACCCTTCTCCGAACCATCTCCAAGCCCTTTCACTTCTGGGAGCACCGTGCCAAAGATCTGCCTTCTCCTCTCTTCATCCTCATCAAGTGGTTTCTGCCCCTCCGGGGTGGCCAAGGACTCCTGGAACGGCTGGATGTATGCGGGCCGTCCTTCCTCGGGTAGTGCACGCGCCAAATAGTTTACGAGTTCGAGGATCTGCGAAGGTATCTAGTCGTCAATCGTCCAATGCAACAAAAGCAATCAGGCACACCTGTTCCTCAAATGTACCCTCTGCGAAGATGGATATCGAGTCCGTTGCGGCCATTTTTGTGATCGGTGCTCTTGCCCAGGTCAAGAAAGCTCGAATTGAGAGGTACGCAGAGCCACAACAGGGACAAACAACGTATCGTTGTTAGACGCGCGTCATTTGTTCCAGATCGCGAACTTGGAAGTTTGGCCGTCGGCGTCCAGGGCGGTACGCGCGCATGCATCCGTATGAGCATCGTTACCTGAGAGACTTAGGCCTCGTTGCACATCACGGTGGCAGCATACAGGGCATACACACATATATTGCTCAGCCAGGTGAGCAGCGTCTGCGGGCTGACGACGTACGAAAGCGGCGTGCCGAAGGAACTCATTTTGGTGCCGCCGAGTTTCGCAAGCCGGGACCTTGTCTGCTCCAGCATGTCATCCGCCGCTCCTCGATCTCTCCCTCAAGGCAGGCCTCTCTAAACTGCCTGCTCATCGACCGACATCGCATACTCTACCATCTCAATAGAATTAGAAGCCATACACCCCCTGGATCGCGTTCGTAACACTTCTGCCAGCTCCTGGACATACCTCACCTCTTCACGACCTGGAAATCCAACTACACTTATGCTAATATCCGAAGTACGCTTGCCTTGATGTCATTCACATTCAAATGGCCTCGCTTCTCGGATCAGTTTCACGCCAATGCCATCCAAATGCTGGAGTCGGCCCTCAACAAGGGCAACAAGCCTCCGGTCATAGCAGACAGGATAGAGGTCGTCGAGTTGGAAATGGGCACGCAAGTGTGTATACCTTCAGGTATGAAACAGCCTCGCGTCACTCACCTCTCTTCCGGCTTGGCAGCCTCCTGAGCTCGAGATACGTGATATCGGGGAGTTAACGATGGACCAATTCCGCGGCATTTTTCGCCTGACTTATGCCGGGGACGCACACATTGTCCTCAGGACGAAGGTCCAGGTACGCACCTCGTTCGTCTCCTCAATCACGTCCTGATGCGCCTTATGCGCCGTACCCCAAGGCCAACCCTCTCAACCATAAACAACCCGACATCCACCTCATGGGCGGGTCGAGCGGCATGCTCGCCGCTAAGCATCCGCTCGTCGTGCCCATGCTCCTCCGCCTCTCCCAGTTCCGCCTCAACTCGTACGTCGTCCTCGTCGTCTCCCGCCAGAAGGGCATCACGCTCGTCTTCAAGACCGACCCGCTCCAGAACGTCGACATCCACAGCACCTTCGACTCCATCGCCGTCATCCAAAAATTCATACAGCGCGAGATCGAGGGCCAGCTCCGCCAGATGTTCCGCGAGGACCTCCCCGGCATCATACACCGGCTCAGCCAGCAGTGGGTCAAGGCCAAGGTCGAAGCGCCATATCTGGCGAAGAACAACCCCGCCGCAGTGTCCCGCACGCGCAGTCTGGATGGCGTAGGGTCGATAGGACCTGGATCCTACCGCATACCACGCATGCCCCCAGTCGGCATCGCGCCCAGTGTGGCCAGCCTTCCTCGTCGACCCTCCTCTATCGCGTTCATTCCCCGTCCTCGTTCGCCGTCCGCGCGTTCGGTGTCAGGCGTGGGCAGACGGCCCGCGTCTTCCCTGCTGACGTCGCCTGCTCCGCGTTCCCTGTCCCAAAACTCGAACACACACCCGGTTCAAGATGGTCCGACGTCTTTCCCAGAGATCGAGAACTATGATCCCACGTACGGTCTGCGGCCCGAAGGCATACCCGCGAAGAGCACGTTTGGTGGACTTCGCAGTCTCTTCGGCCGAAACAAGGGTCTTGCCGACCTCGCTGAAGAAGGCAGCGAGGTCGATGGCTCAGTAGACGATGGCGCCTCATTTGACCCTGGCACCTGGGAAGACTTCCTCTCGGACGGCGGAAACATCGGCCCGTCGATATCTGAGGCCGGAGACGTCTCCGAATACGAGACCGTCCCTGCTGTCGGTGGAGGCACAATCACCCGTCCACGAGTATACCATTCACAATCACAGATACATGTCCCTTCTTCAGAGGGCGATGCAGATGACACACCTTCTACCTTCCGCCGTCCACTGCCTTCTCGAGCCGGTTCACTGCCAATCACACGCTCCACATCACGACCAGCATCTCTTTATAATCCCTACTTCGCAGGCATGACTCCCCTATACGAGTCCGTTCCTGATGCGCATCCCTACTCCTATGCGGCGGAATCGTCGGCGGGGCCGTTCCGGCGAGCTCCGTCGATCCCGCCCGTCCCCTCCCTGGACCATTCGCCTTTCGTCCGTCCCGGCACTCCCTCTAGCCTTCAGACCCAACGGTCCCGCTCCAGCGACATGACCAACTCCGTCCCGACGCCCCCGCCGCCCGAAGAGGAACAGAACCTCAACGTGCGCATCGGGCGACCCCGGCGGCTCTCTGCGACGTCGTCCAACCTCGAGACATTCTCCTCGGGCCCGTATGAGCAGATGGCTGAACACCACCAGGACCCCAAGATTGTCCTCCGGCCTACGCTCAACGGCAGCATCTCCAAACTCTCGACCCTCTCCCACTCCAACCACACGCTTTCGCCCTACACGCGCACGGTCGAGCACTTCACCGTTCGCTCCGTTCCCCCGCGCGACACGAACAACTCCGGCCCATCTTCGACCGTCGAGCGACAGCCCGTCAAGGCCCGCCGCAAGAGGTTACACAGGCTGGGCAAGAAACCTGCGAGGCCACCCGAGTCGTTTCCGTCTGGCGGAAACGAGCTTGACGAGCGGAGCATTCCCTCGTCGCCTGGCTCGCCGGCGCCACCGTCCGAGTTTGACGCGTCGGAAATGGACGTCTACTTCCGCTCGCGCGACGACCTGATCCCGCGGTATCCGAGTCTCCATCCGTCGCACGTTCGTCGACGAGTACCGCATCCGTCATGACCACTACGATTGTTCGTCCCGTCTCCTTTCGCTTCACATCCTGGACACTGTTGCCCTCATGCTCGCCTGCCTACAGCTGTTCCCGTCTTGCATCTTCATCGTACTGGACCTTGATCATGTACTGTAGCCTGCCGTCCCCACCGTGCGCATAATCTGCAATTGGAGAGCGTCACCGCTTCGACTCCATCTCGCTTGCGTTTGCTTGTCTCCGCTTCAATTCTGCCTGATCCGCGAACGTTACTGCATCAACGGTCGTCGCTAGGCGGTGTCACGTCCTCGCTTCTCACATCGGGTTGAATGGCGGCCCAAGTTGGGTAAACGTCTCCGGGAACTGAACTGCGCCCCCAGCCATATTTATTCCTACGCCGACGGTGGCCGCCTGCATGGGCGTGACAGGCACAATGAGTGGATCTAACGTAGGCGAGGGCTGACTCGCATTCTCGAATTCCTATGGGTATAAAAGTGTACACATATGATTAGCAGGTGGGACAGCGGTCAGGCGACCATCGCTACACCTACGTCCACATGCATGCTCGGGAGCCTGCTTGTGTTCGCGCGCGCGGAAGATTGGCGCAGCTGCCTGAAGTCGTTGTTTTGGTAGGTTTTCGTCAGCCCGGTCACTGCCGGAGAGCGTAACATAGTGGGCGGGGAAACCGTTACAAGACCGAATACGTCTTGATTCAGTACACGGCGCGGAGGGGTAGAGGGAGCAGGGGTATGTTGGCGTAGGATGTCCTCAAGGTCATGCACAGATAACTCAACGCTCTCCGACAAATCTATGGGTGGCGAGGGCATATTGTCACCGCTTCCGAAGACGAGTACGTTCGACGCCGCGTCTAAACGTTCGACCCAGTCTGCGGATAGCGTGGCCTTTAGACGCTCCTGGAACTTGGTGAACTGGTCGAAGGAGAGGGCATGCAGCTCGCCTATACGAGAAATCGTAGAAGCTGTCCTTGTGGTCCACTCCAGGAGGGAGACAAGGAAATGAGCTGAGTCTCCTTCGACGGGAACAGGATGTTCCGTGAGGTCCAGAATCAGGCGTCCGATCTCAGCAGTCAGCTTCGATGGGTCGAGGTAGGGAGGAGTGATGGTCTCGAGGATCTTGATTGAACGCTGCAAGCGTTCTTCCAGACGGCTGACAGTGAGCTCCGAAGCTTGCAACGATCGCCAGAGGGCGACAACCAGCGCGAAGCGCATCTCGTTGTCGAAAGCCTCGAATCCGGACGCGATGCCATCCGCGATCTCTCCGAGATATGGCGGGGTCAAGTTGAGGTCAAACAATGTCAGGAACGATGACGCGAAGAAATGAGGCGCCTCTTCCGATGCCGCAAGACTATCGAGAACCCAGCTTGCGTGAGATCCTCGGAGTACGTCGCCGAAGAACCGGAAGAACAGAGCGACCTGCGCTTGTGCGATCAACCGCTGGGAGGTGGAGAGCGAGTCATCGAGGAGTGACTGAATCGCCCGTGACACATCCTTGATCTCCTCCACTAGTAACCACTCCCCAACACCGATCGTGCCTTGGTCGAGTTCAACAAGGCGGCGTACGAAATGCACCTTGTTCTCCGTGTCCAACGCACGGCAAAATGCCCGGAGATCTTGCAACATCATGGGGATGACGCGCTGGATCCAGAGCTTGCGCTGTTCCTCGGGACTATCCTGGGATGGCATGACGTGGTCGAGGAGGCAGAAGACTTGCAGAAGATGATGGGTGGGGTCCAAGCCGTCGCTATTGAGACCGTGTTGTAAGAGGGTGCGTAGGACGACCTGCGCTCCGGGCTTACCGCCGGCTGCAGCAGCGTCCTGCAGAACGAGTGTTTGAGCTAAATCCATGCAAGATTGCCTCGCCGCTTGGGCAGCAGCAGAAGGTTCGCTAGAGGGAGAGTATAACATGTCTGCTGCGTCGGCACAGGAGAACAAGTCAGCGATGTTGATAGTTACCGTCCGTAATGCACGGGACGGAAGGGAATGGGAAGGGAGGAGACGGAGTAGCAGCTGCAGGATGTCGTCGGCAGTAGAGAATAGTTGAGCCATAACATCCTGCGGTCTTTGTGGTGGAGGCTGATGGAGGGAGAAGTGGCTGCGGATCTCATCGACGGTGGGTACAAACAAATCGCACAAGGCAGTGACTAAGCTGCAGTTCGCTTCTTCCCAGAAATCGTCCAGAACTTTGGACTCCAAATCCTCGTCCAGTTCTCTATTGAGGTATGCTAACGCAACCCTGACTGTTCGTAGGCTTCCGAAGGCCGGAGGACGCTCCAGTGGCCGTAAAACTTCGTCCACCGCTCCGCTGAAGCCGTCATCGACAACGAAAGCCGCTTGACGCATAGACGCTCGCTCGTCGTCAGTGATGTAGAGGTTGGAGCTGCCTATGTTAAGGATCGTCTTGACAAAGTTTGGCCGTAGGAAAGAGCGAGGTGTCTTCGTAAGGTTGAAGAGAATATGCTCTGAGTCGATTCTTGCTTGCGTGGGAGCTTCGTCATCGTCGCCGTCCGTCATGCATTCGAGACGGAAGATCATTTGTCGTATGAGCAACAAGTGGTTAACGATCTGTGGGGATAACTGTATGAGAGTACGTCCGGCCTGTGGCCAGATGTATGCACGTACCTCGCGATAACCGTCCACACCTTGCCAGAGTCGCAAGATGCCCAGCGTCCGTGCCCGGCAACGCGCATGCGGTAGGCTATCGGACCAAGAATACACAGCCAGAACACACGCGACCCCGAGATACGCTCTGACGAACGCCACAAACTCATCCTGGGATGGCGTGGTGCTTGGGCTGCGGTGCGACAACAATTGAGGCAATGTGACCGACAGCACAGGGTTTTCGGCCAGACTATTGACCACGTCGTCATGGGTGATCATGGACTCAAGCCAGACGCCAAACGATTGGTCCTCGTTGCCGAAGTCCTTGAGCAGACCAGTAGCAGCCACGAAGTCACCCTGAGTATTTGATAGCGCGTCATGTAGAGTCGACCAGCCTATTATCCTGGCCGTGAGTTGCCTTGCTGCCGTTCGTACTGCGTCGTCGTTGTTCGGATTCGCCGATATTGACGACAGGACCTCGTGGAACCAGTCGGTATCGAGTTGTTTGGCAACATCCGCATTCGCGGCCGCATAAAGTAGCCTGAGAAGCGCCGTTTCGTCCTCCAATGTGGAGACGTCGAAGAGCTGCTGAATGTCTATGGCTTCCTATGAATCGCTCAGCGAGTTCATTGTGATCTAGGGGAAGGAGACTTACAAGCAGGCTTCTGGCCATGGCAGGAGTTTGGCATGCGGCATGACATAAGATACCAGCGACGAGATATGTTTGGCTGGCGTCCTTGTCCTAGTCAGAGCTACATCAGAACTAACACAGCGTCGTGAATGACGATGTCGCATACCTTGACATTGACGCAACGAGCGACTCTCTCGGCAAACCTGGATAACGTCTCTGGTGAAACGTCGTCAGCCACAGGACGCGTTGTTGACCTGAACGCCTTCTCGAGGTCAAAATCATGAGCATCCTCGTCAAGGTCGGGATGCAGGTAGGGAAACTCGGGTAAATCCCAGTCGTCGTTCGGCGGCTTCAAGCAGAAGACGAGCCGAATCACGAGCTCTAAATCCGGCGCGTCTGGGATAAGCTTCAGCAATTGACGCGCTAGTTGGGTGGGATCGCGTGCGTTGGCAGGGTCGAGTGCTGGCGCGAGAGGTACTGCGGTGGCTGAGGGAAGCGGCCGCGGCTCATAAATTTCGGGTGCTGCAGGAGTGTCTGAAACGACCTCTCCGTAGATAGCCATGGACACAGAATGGAAGGCTCCTTTGACAATCATCAGACGCGTAGCGTACTGCGCCGACGCGTCATCAGTGTGAGCACACGCATAGTCAGCACGGAACTCACCTCCGCACCCATATTCACTCCGAAATCCTTCTGGCCCCCCGAGTACGCAATTGATGTCGAAACAAGAGCGTTGGACGGCTTCGGTTTCTCCTTGGCGTTTGAGCTAGTGATTGGATGTGCATTGAATAGGACATCCAAGAAGAACGCCTGGGGCTCTGTACGGCTGTGGGTGATGCTCATCAGCGCAAGACCGGCGAGTCTCTGCACATGAGAGGTTACCTGACAGTATCCGGACATTGCAAGAACGGCTTCGCATCCTTGGGAAATATTCGGATGGTTTGAACGCGTACAGGCGAAGAGAACCGTATTGCAGCTAGACCACCCTGTCCAGAAGGTTCAAGAGTACACCACTGCAAAAGCACCATGCTCAGAGAGGCCAAGCGATGAGAAATGCTTGAAGGAGAAAATGATGAGCAAAAGCAGGTAGAAAGCAAGGACAACAGAGCAAGCGGCGAAGTAGCGGATCGGAGCCCGGTTGCAGTGTACGAGACGAACGTACCTCAGATGACATCGTTCACCCCGGATATGGCAAGGGCGTCTTCGGCAAAGTGCGTACGCAGCCCGTTATGGGCGCTTGCTTATTTAGACCACCTCGGCCCAGTGCTACAGACGAAGGCCACGACGACACTCCCGTTCGTGCCGACAATCGCCCATCGCACCACTTTTCTGTCGTATCCTCCCGTTCAGCACACCCGGAACTACTCAAGGATCTACCACCATCGACCCAGAAATCCAACATGGCTGTTCCAGCCACGACGTCGACTCTAAGCCCTCGGAAGTCCGCAAGTCCCAGCCTGACTGTACGTGTCGGTCGGGAACGCAGTAGCAGCATCGTCAAGGTCGAAAAGGTTGGCGAGGAGAGCCAAACCGATGTGCTTGACCAGGGCGTGTACGACAACCTGAACGCGGAGTGGGTGAATCGCAAGGGTACGCCGACTGTACTTCGTGGTCCACTGTGCACAAGACTAACGTCGCGGCTCCTCCACTTTGGCGTCTAGGCGCATGGCTCATCCACACCGTCCTCATCCTTGCAGGGAAGGTCGTCATCGATACCATCCCCGGTATGCCCCAGGAGATTAGCTGGACGCTTGTCAATTTGCTCTACCTCGGGGTAAGTGTGCCGCCGCCGGACCTTTGTCTCTGCCGAAAGTCCTGAATGGTACTGACACTCGGTCCGGATGTAGTTCTCATATCTCATGTTCCACTATGTCACTGGCATCCCCTTCCATTCGGATCTTCACGGTGGCGTGTACGACAACCTCACTCTGTGGGAACAGATTGACGAGGGCGCCCAATACACTCCTGCAAAGAAATGGTTGTTCATTGTGCCCATAACACTGTGAGATCATTCTTCTCTTCACGTGCTACGATTCCCTGTAAGACGAGCTGCTTACAGTTTGTCGTGAATGACTTGACAGATTCCTTGCATCCACGCACTACACGCACTACAATCCTTGGCTCTTCGCTATCAACCTCACTGCTCTCGTCTTCGTACTAATACCGAAGCTTCCAGCGGTAAGCCACCATTCCTCTCGCTCGACCTCGTGCGCACCCTGATCACAACCATTCAGTTCCACCGATATCGTGTGCGCTTTATGGTACCAGACGAACCCTCAAGGGTAGGCACGCCCGTCACCCCCAACTTCCCCCGCTCAGGAACGGCGACGCCCCTGGGCGAGTCTGCATTCTCGATACCACCGATCGACATCCGCGAGGTGGACTCAAGGCTGTAACATTCGCTAGATGTCCATCTCATGTCATCCATCGTATCCCTTCCTTCTAGCTTATCCATTCCTTGGCACGGTCAGGGCGAGCACATTCACGTGGCACCCGACTCCCATCCAATGTTCCCTACCAGGGTTCCATGCGCACATGTTTGCGTTGCTTCCCTGTCTCTGACAACTATCTATCGTATGAAATCAAGGTAATACAAGGGTCTCCTGGTCGTCGTTACAGAGCTTTGCTACAGCTTAAATGAATGGTACACGAGTATACTTTTCGCTCTATGCCGTGCGGAATGTACTCTTGGTGGCGATTGCCACTAATCATAGGTGCAGCTTTCTCTTCATTATGAGGACGATTGCGCATCTCCCATTAAACTCCTGTATTGCTGCAAGCGCAACCTGATCCTACAGGTTGGCGTCAGGCTTCATGTTAGAAAGAGCAGTGCTTACAGGTTTCTCAGCAGCATCATGATAGTAACCTTGCCGATAGTTGGCAAATACAGCGACGCCTGCGTATGTCGCATACACGGACGCGTGGCCCGGCACGTCGAAACATGAGCAACCGTCACAGCATCCCGCAGGCATCGGCCGGAAACAGCAAAGCGCACCTTTTCCCTCACGTCCGCCTCGAAGTTCTTGTCCGCGGCGACGTTCAGACACACGCACCCGTCCTTGAGCCACGCCGTCTTCACCTTGTACTCCTTGCTCGGCACCGCGGACACGACGACGTCCGAGAGCGCGAGCACGTCCTGCAGGCTCGGGCTCGCGGGGTGCACCACGTGCCGCGGGAAGTACTTGCGCTGCGTCTGCTCGGACTCGCCGGCCTGCCGGGGCCGCTTCGTGTACTCCTGGATGGAGTCGATGTCGACCGAGAAGACGCGCGCGCCGTCGTTGGCGAGCAGCGCGGCGAGCGGGCGGCCGACGACCTCGGACCTGTGCGTGTTGTACGGCATGAGATGGTGTACATTCGGAGCGAGGCAAGATATGGTGCGATCCGAGGGCGTAACGTCAGCATCGGATGAGGACGCACCTGTTGATGACGGTGATGGTCTTGCCGTATGCGCGGTCGCCGTATGGGAGAAGCTTGTTGTAAACGCCAACGTACTCGAGGCACTTGACGATCGCGAGCGGCGTGCAAGGGAGGATGGACTTGACGTAACCCGGAGGAGGCTCGTCGTTGACGGCAGGTGGGGTGTCGTTGCTGGTCGACGTAGGCAGCGAGGACGCCAGCGTCTTGGGGTTGAGGAAACGAATACTGCGAAGGGACGTGTAAACGATGTGGTCATGGATTGACAACGTCGACAGGATAGGTGTTATTTCCATCTGAGATGAACGCACTTATGATATAAGTTATAGTGGAACTTGAAGTGCAGGCCTTCCACGTCCTTGAAGGGGGACACGATCTATACATGCGTGTAAGAGCAAAGCTCCGAGACGACCGGCGTACGGTGGCTCAACTTGCTGCAGATAGTGATCCTAAGAATTGCACGCGTATGGTTCAGTTACGAACAGCAACAGAAATCCAGCGTGGTTCAGTACGCACCTGCTGCGCGCCGAATATAGGATAGTAGACCTTCGTTCGATGCGGCGGACGCGATGAGGCATGGCAAACGGGCTCGACAACTTGAATCAAGGACATACCATGATGCCATTCACCGTATCATCCTCATTCGCTTCTATAATAGCCTCCTCTACACCCTCTCCAGGCGCGAGGGCCTCGTCCGCGGCCTGTCCCGTCCTCCTCAGGACGAACTCCACGCCCAAAGCATCGCACTGCTTCTTCGTGAACTCCGCGTAGAATCTGCTCGGGGACGCACTCGTCGCGAGGATGCCAACCAGTTTCGGAGGGCGAGACGCATTGGAGAGAGCCGACTTGATCTCTACACGGAAGGTCTCGGCGATAGCATCCGCCTTGAGCAGAACGCCCTTTCCTTCTGCAGCCATCGGTGGGGATAGTAACAGGCAGGGTCTGGCGGTGAAGCGTAAGGACACAGTGACCGCGCCACGAGGTTAGGAGGATCTGACTCTGTAGAGTTCCAGGCAGGCTAGTAGTGAATTTGACTCGAGCATTGAATCGATTGGTGCAAAAAAGCGCGATCACATGATCCTGACGCGTTTTACAAGTACAGACGCGTCGCGGAAGCATCTAGGACAGCGAGTAGGGCTTTCCAGATTGGCCAGCACAGGTGGATAATATACAGGCAGACAACCCAAAGTCGGTATAAGCAGCCAGGGGGCAGTCACAGCAGGCGAGACGACTGCGACGACAACAGTTCCAGGTGGGCGCCGTCGACACCTGCCAGACGGGCAATATGCAAAACTCTGATAGGCGACCGCCTATCATCCTCAGATCATCTGTGGTTGAGGGTAGTACAACAAATAATCCCCTCGCCTTTTACTAGGGGATTCCTTGGACTGCCCTCACCTTGCTGCCACATACCGAATTTCTCAGACACCCCGAACCTTGTGTTTGTACCTATCTTTTCTTTTTGGACACAGCATTCCAGGTAGCTTTGATTCAAACCAGATGGCGATTCCCAAAGAAAGGTACGTGCTACCATTCCACGCCCTTCGGAGCCTCCAGAGGTCCCTCAATTATAGACTCCTCAACCTCACTCTCCACCCAACACCCCCTCCCTCCCTCCATCCGCTGTAACCAATCGTCCTTCAACCTCGTCGCCCACCTCGACTTCCTCATCCAGCTCCGTTCCAGCACAACCATCCGCATCCCAACCACGCGCTTGCACGTGCGCTCTAGCTCCCTCAGCAAACCCAGCAGCGTCGCCCACCTGGGAAACGACTGCATATCGTCTCTCCCCGGCTGTATCGCGTACAACACTACATGCCGCAAGTTCGGGAACCTCGCCCCGCTAGTGTCGAGCGGCGAGTGCGACTGTGGCCCACTGCTACCCGTGATACCTAGCCGCACGCGCTCCCGCAAGGGCATCGGTGCAGGCACCCCGAGGATGTCAGCGAGTATCCGCGGGACGTCCTCGTCCGCGGAGGTCAAGCCAGACAAGCGGAGATGCGTGAGCTTATGAGAGGCGAGCGCCGGCAAGCTCGCGAGCACGTTCTTGAAGGACATGCCCGGCTCCGTCAGAACGTAGTGGAAACGCTTCATCGCCGGGAGCAATACCCCGGCTTCCTGCCTATCGTCGGTGTCCATGCCCCGGGCGCCGCCTGGGCTGCCCGGGCTGGCGAATGGGGACCCAGGAAGTGTATGCGCGTGAGCATGCCCCGGCGGGTACTCGTGGGCACCCGTCGCCGGCGGGGGACACAGCGGGTGGTTCCACGCGCTCAGCTCCTCGAGCTTGGGAAAGGCGTGCACGAAGTAGCGGAACGGCACCGCGCTGCTCGCGTTCGCGACGAGGCAGAGGGTGCGCAGCTGGCGCGCGGCGAGCGAGAAGAGCGCCTCGACGGCGTTCGCGCAGAGGTCCACCGGGTCGACCTCCTGCCCGGGCTGCGGGTTGCCCGCGAGGTGCCGGAGGGCACGCGGGATGTGGCCGGTGTAGAGCGAGGGCTCGAGGGCGACGTGCTGGATGCGCGGTTTGCAGTCCTTGGGCTGGACGCGGAGGGAGACGAGGAAGACGAGGAGGCGGGTGGTGTTCTTGAAGGAGAGGGAGGTGAAGCGGACGTGGAGGGACTGCTCCCGGAAGAATCGACAGGTGAGGGCGATGGACCTGCCTGTGGCGCCGCCGTCGGTGCACGCGAAGGCAATGATCTCTTGCCAGATCTCAGGAGGGATGCGTTCGAGCCGTCGTACGGCGGGATGCATTGTCTGGATGGGTCACTATAGTTAGTGTTTGTGCAATCGAGGGGAGGACAAGGGCTATCCGTACGTTCGACCAGTACGTTGGCAAGGTGGTTGTAAAACACGAGGGAAACAGCAGAAGCTAACATCCCTATTCGGAGCAAGGTTTAATCGGACCAATCAGGGCGACAGGACATGATACCAATATTGAATATTGAGCTCGCGCGTGCACAGCTGGTAAGAGGGGTTGATATCGAGATGCCCACAACATATCGGCCCCTGGAAGCTTCCGAAGCGAATATGATAGACCAGGGGCCCTAGTCATATACACAGTTTCGCCCCTAACGCCCGCAATGCCAGACGTGCGGAAGGGTGGGCTGCAGTAAGTACGTGCTATACTTAGTGCTTTTAGATGGAGGTACAGACTCGGTCGCGAAGGGCAGAACGGGGTGGAAATGGTCTGCGGCAGCTGGGAAGCGCTTCAGCCACACACGCGTCGGCGGTCTGCACTTGGACCTCATGGCAAGCCTTTTGTCGAGGGGACAACCTCCTTGTTCTGAGGCCATCACACGTCCACCTGGCTTCAGCAGTCTTCAGTCATGTCGTTACGTCGTTGTGCTGATTCGGCTCAGGGTATCCAGAGCACCGGTGAAGATATCCGTGAGTTCGCAGCCTTTCCCTTCAGTTCAGGTTCAGCCCCATCTGGAAGTCAGGCATGCAGCACTAAAGCGAATATGTTCAGGATTGATGCAGATGCGTGACCAGGAATAAGGCCACTTCTATGTACAATGGCTGCCAGTCAAACGGATCGGGCAGCGTGCGAGGACCGCCGTGAATCCTGTGAGTTCTATCAGTGTTTGGCACGATTGAAAGCCAGATTCGCGTGACAGGCGAACTTCTTGGTCAGGACAAAATGAAGGGCAGCTTGGCCAGTGCCCCGAGCGAAAAGGTGGCCCAGTGAAAGCGTTTCAGAGAGGGAGTCAAAGCGTGTCCCGCGTGTTGCTGCGTTATATATCGTATCTGTGCGAAAGCCCTCCCAGATCGAGACCGACGTTCGTGTCGCCAGGATGACCAGGAGAAGCAGTGCACACATTGCACCAGCTCGAGATTCCTCTATGCTCCTAGTCCATCACAAGGAAGCCCGTGACAACGTGAGGATGCGGATCGTCCAGACCCTCCAAGGCCTCCTCCTCTTCAGCTGACTCAACCCAACAGCCCTTTCTCCCCTCCATCCTGTCCAGCCAATGATCCCAAAGGCGCTGCTCCCAATTCGGCAACTTCTTCTAGCTCTTCTCCGTCACGAGCAGCGAAAGCCCCTCGACGTCTTCGATTTCCCACGCCAGCTCACGCAGCGACGCTTTCAACTGGTCAAACGGGTCGTCCACATCTCCACGAAGACCCGGGTTAGGCTCGACGGTTTGGATCAGGAGCTTCTGCAAGCATGGCAGGATTGTTTCTCCACGCATCAAGGAGCCTGGGATCGCGGGCAGAGCTGGATGGCTTTGATCATTGGAATTCCAGCCCCCACCGACATTAGGTTCCGGGAGGCCGAGCGCACGCGCGAGGATCCTCGTGAACCCGATCCTCTGGTCGTCGTCGCTCACATCGGAGACGCGGAGATGTGTGATCGGCGAGGCACGTAGCCATGAATAAGTGGACAGCAGCGCGACGCGTGCCCTGGACGAGTTGGTGGCGATGTGGAAATGTTTCAGCGAGGGAACACGGGGCAGGTCTCGAGTGCTTCCCGGTACGGTCGCGCTGTCGGGACCCGTTTCGTGTGCGGAGTCTGCGGACGATGGCAACACGGCCGCAACGTCCCCACAGACGGTGAGTTCCTCGAGGAGGGGAAAGTTGCACTCGAACCAAGGCACACGCCCAAGCCAACTACCGTCCTGAACGATGACCAGGGTGCGTGTCGTCGGCGTGACTAGGGGAAGAAGTTCTCGTATCGCGTTTACGTAGCGGGCGTCCCATAGCTTCTTTTGCTCTGCAACAGCTTGATAGCTCGAGGCTGCCTTCCATTCGCGTTGGGGGGATAGCCATAGATGTCGAACAGGAAATGGCCACACAGAGGAGCGAACGCAAGACAAGAAGCCTTCAAGCCTCGCAAGGGATGTTAAGGCGAGAGTATAGAAGCGATTGTAGAATGCGTGGGTGTGGAAGAATTTGGAGGTGAGTATGAGCGATGTGCCTGTACGTCCGCCGTCTTTACAGGCTTCCGCTATGATGTGCTGCCATATCTCGGCAGGAAGGGATTCCACGTCGGCGGGTTGGTCATTGGCGTCCATGCTGAACTAACAGTAGGTGGAGGAAGGTCCGAGGAAAGATGGATACTTATTACTGGCCGCGTTTGTCCTGCGAATTGGGTTGATATACAGCCCACCTGAAGAGTCACAATGGCCTTCGGATGCCAACTGAGCCAGGCCTTCAAGCTTCAAGCGTCAGGCCTGAGGTAAGTACCATCTGTTGCTACAGCCATCATGTACGCATGGCTTCCCACGAACAACCTAGTCCGAATCAATGCATTGTCCTACAGTAAATGCAATCCCCCCAGCGCGATGCGACGCTGGCGCTTGATCTAACCTGCCTTGTATGGTAAGTGTGTCAAAGACGATGTGATTTTGCCGCACCTATGTTTAAATTCCAGAAGTTGCTGGAGCAGTGGTAACGATGGTTGTTTTTCTTTTTCCCTGCGAGAGTTCAAATCCCGCGCAGGCTTGTTAGGGTTCGGGTTGGGAGTTAGGGTTTGGGTTTGGGTTAGCGGTTAGGGTTGGCCACTTGTCTTTCTTCTGACCCCCACCAGGGGTCTCCGGTCTATTTGTTTTTCGCGCGAACGAGGCTTTAGCATGCCCGCCTGAGTGCTCCCGGCTCGGGGGACCCCCCGAGCGCAGCGAGGGAGGGGAGGGAGCACGAATGGCGGGTCCTCTTCGCGCAGCGCTGGATGTTCTTGAGTTAAGCGCCTTACATAAGATTTTTCTACCTAATATGGGCTTGCGTCGCATCGCACTGGGGGGATTGCATTCACTTAGGAGTATCCCCGTAGAGCCAAATGGAGAACTTGTTCTTGAGAGTTATGCCTATACATGAATTCCTCCGTCAGTACATGCTGATGTCAGTATGAGACAATGACTGTGAGTCTCGTCGGCATGTCACTGACGTTGCGCATCGACGTGGCCGCAACAGGCGTCTCGTACTCGATATCGAGATTGTAGCCAGATTGGGCAACAGAGGCTACAGCATTAATTGGAGACCGCTGCGTAGTACCTAGCATCTTCACCACCGACTTTTGTACCTCTAACTGCATTCACGGCTGCTGACGACCCTCATCTGTATCATACTGTCATCTCGCACACGCTAGACAACAACTATAATCATGAGCTTCTTCCGGTCGAACCAGCCTTCACAACCCCCTCCGCCTGGCCAATACTCCCGCGTTCCCCCAGCTGACCCCATGCGGAGCGGTCCACAAAGGGTTCCTGCGCCCCGCTACGATGACCCTAATGGATTTGAGAAACGTTCTTACGATAGGAAGCCGCCACCGCCTGCACGCGGAGGCGGAGGAGGAGTGTACGTACTATCCTTATTCGCAACGCAATGGCTAACTTCATGATTACGCTAGCTTCTCAGTCCAGGGCTCCCCTAGTGATCAGGCAGCCTTCTCGAACTGTCTCATTGTCAACCCCCAGGACTTTCCGCAAGGCCAGCATGTCCTTGTAAAGCAACAATTCCCCCTCACGACTCGGTGAGCACCACACCGTCCTCTTACTCGCAGACTTCTCCCTCATTGCGCGCAATGGCAGTCATGACAACACTGGAAAGGTGCCTCCAGGTGCCATCGGTGCATCTGCGACGCAACGCCAATGGATCGGTCTCTCGCTGACCGGCGACACCGTAACGATCGAGCCCTTCCCCCAACCCCCTCCCTACCTCGAGTCCATCGACGTCGAAGTCGGCTTCCTCAAGCGTGGGCATGAGATTGCAGAGGCCTTTTCCGCTGACGAGATGGCCCAAAACTTCCTCCGCGCGTTCAACGGGATCGTCTTTGCGACCGGGGAGATCCTGCTCTTCGAGTTCCACGGGCAGACGCTCAAGGCGACGGTTAAGGGCGTCCAGGTCGTGGAGCTCCCCGGGCAGCGCAGCAATGCGACGTATTACGGCATCGTCATGGAGAAGACGGATGTCAGTTTTCTGAAAGCCTCGGACAGTGCGATCAAGCTCAAGTCGAGCGCGCGCAAGGCGCCGCCGAACGCGATCCTCGCGCCGAACTTCAAGTTCGAGGATATGGGTATTGGCGGTCTCGACCAGGAGTTCAGCGCGATCTTCCGTCGTGCGTTCGCTTCGCGTGTCTTCCCGCCCGCGCTCGTCGAGAAGCTTGGCATCTCGCACGTCAAGGGTATCCTCCTGTATGGTCCTCCAGGTACTGGCAAGACGCTGATGGCACGTCAAATCGGGAAGATGCTGAACGCACGCGAGCCCAAGATCGTCAACGGTCCTGAGATCTTGAACAAATATGTCGGCGCTTCAGAAGAGAATATCCGGAAGCTCTTCGCCGATGCTGAGAAGGAGGTGCGTGCACATGCGTCATGTCGGACTCCAAGATGCTGACTGCCTACTCAGTACAAGGAGAAGGGCGATGAAAGTGGCCTGCATATCATCATCTTCGATGAGTTGGATGCCATCTGCAAGCAGCGTGGCAGCACCGGGGGTGGAACTGGTGTTGGCGACAGTGTGGTCAACCAGCTTCTCTCCAAGGTAGACGCTTTCCGTATACATTATTCTCAACCGTGCTCAGTCGTCTCTCGTCATTAGATGGATGGTGTCGACCAACTCAATAACATCCTCATCATCGGCATGACCAACCGTCTCGACATGATCGACGAGGCTCTCCTCCGTCCTGGCCGTCTCGAAGTGCATATGGAGATCTCCCTCCCTGATGAGAAAGGCCGTGTTCAGATCCTCACTATCCACACCGCCAAAATGCGCCAGAACGGCATCATGGACGATGACGTAGACATCATGGAACTCGCTGCGCTCACGAAGAACTTCTCCGGCGCTGAGATTGCGGGTCTCATCAAGAGCGCGACGAGTTTTGCATTCTCTCGGCACGTCAAGGTCGGTACCCTCGCGGGCATCTCAGACGACGTGGAGAATATGCGGGTGAACCGAGGCGACTTCATGAATGCCCTCGAGGAAGTCACGCCTGCGTTCGGTGTGGCGAAGGAGGAGCTCGAGCAGGTCGTTCAGAATGGCATCATCCATCACGGGCCCGTTGTCGACGAGATCCTCCGCTCTGGGGAGCTCTTCGTGGACCAGGTACGCACGTCGACGCGGACACCGCTCGTCAGCGTGCTCTTGCACGGGCCTCCTGGATCAGGGAAGACGGCGCTCGCTGCGACCATCGCGCAGGCGTCGCAATTCCCGTTCATGAAGCTGCTCACGCCCGACAGTATGGTCGGCTTCTCAGAGGCGCAGAAGGTTGCTACCATTGCAAAGGTCTTCCAGGACAGTTACAAAAGTCCTCTGAGCGTCATTGTCGTCGATAACCTAGAGCGTTTGCTCGGTGAGTAGGTTGTGCTTCCTATATGTCGGACGTCTTTGCTGAACAAACCCCCAGACTTCACGCCCATCGGACCTCGCTTCTCTAACTCGGTGCTTCAGACTCTGATGGTGCTGCTTGCGCGCCGACCGCCAAAGGTTCGTTTGTCATTTGAACCCCTGACTACGCTTACTCATTTTCGTACTTTGCAGGGTCGTCGTCTACTGATCCTCGCAACCTCTTCGCTCCGGCCTGTTCTTACCGACCTCGGCTTGTCTGAGACCTTCGACGCCGAATTGCGCGTGCCTCCAATCACCTCGCTCCGGGCGCTGGGGACCGTCCTCAAGGAGGTTGCGCTCTTCCCCTCGGACGAGGAGCGCCGCCACGCCATTTCCATGCTCGCACAAGCCGGCTTCGGGGACACGGAAGACGAGGAGACGTCGCGTCTGAACGTCGGCATCAAGAAGCTGCTGAGCATGATCGAGATGGCGAGACAGGAGCCAGAAGCGACCGCGGAGCGGCTGACCAACGCGCTCATGGGCTTGGGTATGTGATTGGTACGAGAGGGACTGGGCACGTTCCAGGATGGACGGACGGACTTGCGTTGTCAAGAGATGTAAGCGCATTGTATGGGTAGACCTTGAGATAGAATGTGTTTGAGCTCCCGAACCTGCAATGGATGCAGGAAGGTGAACTAGTGACATTTTTTTGCCATCGAAAGACTTTCCGTTGCACGTGTACATCCTACACAAACAGACCCGGTCGCTTCGCTCTTGACGCAGAGCGGCACTGCTTGGTGACTAGAGTCGTGGTCCCAGCAATACTCGCATGCCATCATGTCCTCGTCTGTACGCATATACGCTCTAGTGCAAAGGCCTTCACAGCTATTGTTCTCGGGATCAATCTCGTCTCGGTACGTAAGTAGCATCGAGCAACCCTGAGACGTGCGTACTATATGACATCACAAAGGGATACTGTGAGTTGATACCGCACAACAGACCGTAAGCGCTGAGATCTGAGAGACCGTCATGGTACTAGCAACAGATGAGCTTCAACCTTTTACGTCTTTGGCCATCGCAGCCATACCCAGAGAGCGGATGCATCATGCTACGGTGCTGTACGCTTATAAACACTTCACCACCGACGACGCGACCCCGCCAATGGAGGACAACTCAAGTAAGCACCCAGCACGCGTCCCGTGTCTAACAAGACGTGTAATAGCTTTGGACGAGGCCCGCTACGACTTTATCCCAAGATCAAGTAGAATACAGCTAATGCTACAAGTTCCCATTAAATACCAAGCCAACGACAGCGACAGCAGCAACAAGCAAGATCGATCTAGCACAGCTCGTCTACCAATGATTCGCCTCAGCAGACATACAATATCGACTACTACGCCCGCGCCCCCCCCCCCCAACCCAAGCACACATTCATTCGGCGAGGGGCAGGCAGGCAGAGAAGAGCGGGACGGACACGTCGCCGCAATCGCAACGAGACGAACGAACGACGCAGACGCACGAACAGGTCCAGAAGTCAATCACGCGCGCTCAATGCACCAAGACAAGGCGGCCGACGCACCCTTCGAAGCTCGGCTCCGTGCACACCACCTCCTCGATCCGCGTCTTCAGCCACTTGGTCACGTCCGGGCCCAGCGCCGTGCAGTCGTACAGCTCCAGGTGCCGCAGCCGCGCCGGCGTCACGCCCCCAAACACCTGCCCCCCGCCGCCCGCGCCCGCGCCCGTGTCCGGGTTCCGGCTCTCGACCATCTGCACCAGCTTCGCGACCCCGTCCCCGTGCGCGTGGCACCCGCGCATCGCGAGCGTCGTCAGGTTCGGACACATCCACCGGTCCTGCCCGTTGTCGTCGTCTGGGGCGCTGAGCGCGGAGATGAGCGGCTCCAGGGGCGCAGACCCTACCTGGAGCGCGGCGAGGTGGTCGAGCTCGGAGAGGAAGTGCCAGGAGGCGACGCCGGCGCCGGAGCCCCAGTAGAAGCCGGCATGCGGGCCGGTATTGGCGCCGTATGAGAGGGAGAGCCGGGTGAGCGGCGGGTTGCCGGAGCGGGTGAGCAGGCCCGAGACGGTGTCCTCGATCGGGTCGCGGGCCTCGATGTCGAGGATGAGCGTGTCCAGCGCGGGCAGCATCAGCGACTCGACCAGGTTGGACAGAAGGTAGTGCCCGCCCAGGTTCAGCGTCTTCAGCTCTGATAGCGTTACGGCAGTCAGCGGGAGTACCGGCGGATGTGGCGAGGCGAAGTGCATGGTGAGCGACTCGAGCAGCGGATTGGCCGCGACGATGTGCAATATCCGATCAAGTGTGATATGAACTGTAGGCAAACTCCGTAGCTGCAGGTTCCGAAGGTTCCGGAGCATTGGCGAAGACCACTTGAAGGGCACATGGTAGAGTGTCAATGTGTCCAAGTTGCTAATGTCGAAGTGGGCGTTGACAGGTGCGGATGGTAGCCATTTCCACTCGCCATAGAAAGCTGGATCTGTACAGGAGATTTCGAACTCGCGTAGCAACGGAGCATCACCTATGCGCCAGAAAGTCGGGTTAATATCAGTGCCGCATCCGGAAGCATCCAACACAATTGCGAGTATTTGCGAAGGGGCGAGGAAGAACAAATGACGCACCTTCTATCGCTTTGAGCGCACCAATCGACGCGAACTGCTTGTCAAACCTGAAGACAAACCGTTCCCACCGGTGCATCTGCTCGACGAGGTAGTAGAACGCGATGTGGCCCCAGTGCATGTTCTTCCGCAGGCGCTGTTGCGACAGGGTGCTTCGCTCGGGGGTCATCAGCATCGGAGGCTCCCAGTCCGTAGTGTGGGTATGAGGGGGAGAGGGCGGCGCTGGTCCCATTGCATCGCCTGCAACAACAGCTTGCACGGGAACGACATGCACAGTGGGGTGCACGCCTCCTATCTGCAGGTGCACAGCAGTCGCGCCGCCGCCCGTTGCTGGAGGAGTGTGGAGAAGCGGGGGCGTGGCCGGCCAGCCGCCGTTGCCAGCAACCCAGGGATCTCCAGCGGCATGAGGCGGTAGGGAGAGATAGCGCCGGCGGGAGAGACCGTCGGCGGGCCCTGAGTGGACAGAGGGGGAGCGAAGGACGATTTCGATGTCAAGCGGGACTGTGCGGCCCGAGCGTTCGAGCCATAGGCGTATCGTTTCTGCGGATGAGGCCTGCGTTGTGACGAGACGAATCTGTGGCGGGAGGCACGTTGAGTGAACATGCGCCTCCTGGTGCTTCTCACGGCTCGGACGAGGAATGGAAGTCACCCAGTTAATGTAGATAGGAGGGGGACAGCGAAAGGATAGGCTAGGGCGTGCGGTAGAGAGGTCGCGAGGCCGAGTGCACGATAGGAGGGGGAAGGGACGGCAAGAAAAGGAGGGACATACCTTGGACCACAGTTTGGGCATGTTCAATACAAGCCTGCGCCACAATGAGCAGACTGCAGATAGGACCCACGCGGACCAGGCGCAATCGTCGAAGTTGAACATGAAAATGTGGCGGAGGAGCTCGTTGGGGAGGCGTTTGATGGGTGAGACGTAGGCCCTTGCGAGCGCGACCTTGTCCTCAAGGCACGCGAGCTCCTTCTCCATCTCGCGGATTGCGCCCTGGCGTTCATCGACGATGCGTGCGAGAGCATCGCGCTCGTCCTGTATTTTGCGCTCGAGAGCTCTGGAGTCTTGGTGGTAGCGGGTGAGCTGGGCGCGGGCGTGAGCGATGGCGGCCTCTGTGGGCGGCTCGGGGAAGTCGAGGAGGGACATGGGAGAGGGAGAGAGTGCGGACGAGGACGGGGCAGGCGGGGGCTCCTGGACGGAATCCTTGGACGCCAGAGCCGCATGTCTCTCTCATGAACACCGCGCACGTGCTCCCCCAGCGCCGCCCCGTCGGCGCCGCGGGCGATCCCACTGCACCCGCTCTCTCGGTCTGCGGCACCACCGCTGCCACTGCCGCTGCAGGTGCCACTCCGGCCAGCCAGTTCGCTCACAACATACTCGTACAAGCTTCCCGCAGCTCCGTGCTGCAGCCAGGGTCCGCACTCGCTATTTGCGTACTGTACAGTATTCAGTACAACGCCCCGAGCAGCGTCCGCATCAGTAACCGCGAATGACATATCCAACAGCTCGTGAGAGTCTCCATAATGAACGCGTCCGTCCAGTCGGCGACAGAAGCTCAGTACGCGACCCCGTTCACCTGAACCGACCCTTCCTCGTCCATCACGCTATCTTCGTCCACGCTGTCGTTCGTGTGGTCGGCAGACCCCGCCACGGACGAGACATCCTCGTCTTCCTCTGCCATCAGCTTCTTTGCCATCTGCCAATTTCACAAACGTCAATCGCAGCTCACGTACAGACTCCGGAGCCGCCGCCCTTCCTCACCTTCATCGCTTCCGCTTCGTTCGAATAGTGTCGTCCTCGGGCGCGTACGAACGCGGCATGCTTCGCGGCAGCTACACATCCCCATCCGGCGTATCGTCCGTTGATCACGGCAGAGTGACGGCCAAAGGAAATCCAAAGCGACCACCGATTGAGCAGCAATAGCGCCAAGATCGGCAGCAGCGAGCGAGAAAAGATTGAGCGTACAACGTTTAAAGAACCAGGAGTCAGTCAGCGCCGCCCGACGCGCAGAACGCAGAACCCGGGCAAAGTCGGACGCACCTTCCTCGTCCATCTCCTCCTCGACTTCGATCTCGTCCCCGGGCTGCCGCCCGTCGAGCCGGATGACCTCCCGTGCCTCGTTCGGCAGATTGAAGCTCGTGCTCCGGCTCGAGCTCCCGCTCCCGGGTCCCCCACGGCCGGGCGTCGACGACCGGCCGCCCTGGGTGCCTGCGCTGGAGAACGACGTCCTGCGCGACGGCGGGCCCGAGCCCCCGCCCGTCGCCCCCGTACTGCTCACGGGCGACATCGAGCGGATGGGCGATACGGGGCTGGCGACGCGTCCGTTGAGGTCGAACGATGGGATGTCTGTCGTTTCGGGTGCGATTATATTACAGGGTCGGTGGAGATGGCGTCGGTGTATGCATTCGATGCACAGCGTATGTGTAGCCGACAGAGGAACGATAGAATCGGCGCGATGCGAGAGAACGAAATGAGATGCGGAGCCAAGCGATCAAGCGAGCACGATCAGAGTCGACTGTGTCAGTACGCGAAATGGCCCATATAACGGTTATGGAAGTGCACATACCACCCTCGACGGTGTCCGTCTCTGCGTTATAGCGCACGTAAGGAGTCTTGGGCTCCGTGATCTTCATGTGGCTATCCTTCTGCGCCTCCGTGAGCGCAAGGTTCTCCTCGTCCCACTGCAAGCTACTACTCCACTAAGCACCGCACGGCCTACATGTACTATGCGCGACCAGGGCGCGGCGCCCTCGTCGCGCAGAGAAGGAGAAACTCACTGCTGTGTCCCTCCGGGGGTGGCCGGTGGCGCATTCTTGAGGATGCCCTTGGGTTTCGAGTTCTGGCGGGACATCGACGGCTGGTGGTGCGGCGCGGCCTGCTCTGACGCCATTGCTGATGTCCAGTGATTGGGATGTTCGGTGATTGGGCTGGATGGGCTTGGTAGCGGAAGTAGTGATAGGTGTAGTAAGGGTGGACGAGATGATTGGAGCGGATGCGTAGATTGCGGTAAGGAGAGGATGATATGCGACAACGGTGGGACGCTGGCTGGGTTAGGGTCGTGCTCCGTGACGTTGGAGCAGCGTTTACCTTCTTATGTCCAGCACGGCCAGACCAACGCCCCGCTCCTGCCCTCTTGACCTATACCGTGTTCCTCAACCTTGTCCTCTCTGGTCGTCAGATCCGTTTCCGACACCTGGCTTGTTGGCGGACAGGCGAATCGCCCTGACATATGTCAGGCTCCGACTCATCCGGATAAGCGCTATCGAGATGAGACGCCGCAGTATCCTAGTACGACCACTGGATCTCAGCAATCGGTTGCGGCACTGGGAGGTTTACAAGAGATCGTTATTGTTAACTTGATATGTGCTAATACCGGTAGGATGTATCTAGGTAATAAAGAGGGCCTTGCGGGAATGTGGCTACAAAAAACTGCGCGATGTTCGTCGACATTTGCCGGTTTTACGGCAAACTGACTACAAAAGCCTTATGTCGAGAATATAAAAGCCGTATGAACACTGCTCATAGCGTTGTAAGTAGTAGTATAAACAACAACAGGAACACAGTTCAGAATGACAACACCAGCAGCCCAAGAAGATGAATACGAATGTCCCCACGCGCAACGCGCCGCTCACGCGCGAAACCATGCCTGATCCTGCTTGCTGGAGGCAGACGCTGAGCTCAGGCCGAATGTGCCTCGTACAGCGCCTGCAGCTTGGCCAGTGTCCGTTGTAGAGCGATAATCCCACCGCCTGATAGTCGAGGAACCGCACGTTCCCGATCCGCCTCGGTCTCCGACTCCTCCGGCCGCTGGCTCTTCTCAATCAAGGCACCCGCGTCATCGAGAACCTTTTTCAGTTTTCTGTTCGTGTAATAGAACCAGTTGATCTCCGCCTCTAGTGACCCCAGAGGAATCTCGAGTGCTCGTCGGACAAAGCCGCGCGAGAGCACGTACGCCTTCTCGTTATATAATCGGCTGAGAGCATAGCGTGTCAGTGATGCTGCAATCTACTATATGAACGCGCTCACCTGTTGACGATTCCGTCTTCGGTACCCCTGAGCTTCTCGTAGGCCGGTTCGCAGAACCATCTACACGACCAATCAGGTACGATACTGAAGGCCCTGTCACGGCAGCACTCACGGCTCCTTTACCAGCACGAGACCCTGGATCGATACGAAAGCCTGCAGCAAGGAAGACCTCGCCGCACTCCACGACTCGTTCTTGTCGCCCGCCCACGTGCCGAGAATCGACAAGCAGACTTTGCCCTCCTCATACAGATTCGGGTTCACTGTGAATGTCAAATCGATCGTCGACAATATCAGATGTCAGCGTTGTCTCCCATACCGCGAGGATCGGGGGAAGGCGAGATGGAGTGGAAATGGAGTGGTTCTACGCACCCCTGCCGTTACCATTCGTCCAGCTCAAGAAGTGCGCGATCGGCGGCGTCTGTGGGAAATTCGAGTCGAGCTGCCAATCGATCACAAATGGTGCATCCTCGTAGGGTGTGTTCTCCGGCCCTATGATCAGCGAACGCAGCAGGTCCGATCGGTCCTCGTAGGCGCGCACAAGGATAGAGTCTGGCCAAACACCGGTCAGCTCGGCTTTGACTTATTGAGCGACGCTTCTGGCAAAGCCCGCAGCCTAGAGCCATGCTCACGCAGACACGCCGTTAGGAAGAACGTACCTGGCAGGCTGTTTTGCAAGGCCTTGTATTCCTTGGTTAGCCGTGCCATGAAGTTTCGTGAGGGTTGCGCGGGGGAGGTGTTGTAGAACGCGTGGTCGGCAGGCGCAGAGGGCAGTACCTCGAACCTCTTCCAAGGCTTCTCGGATCCTTCTTCGGACTCGTCCTCGCCATCGACCTCGATCGCGTCCTTTGGGACATCTGGAGAATGCGGACGACCATTCGACGACGTCGGACGGGAATCATCCGGGGCCGCTATGGCGCCGACACTTATTGGTGTCCCATGGAGAGGCGGGATGACTGTGTCGGTAGATGGAGACCAGTCGCCGCCACCCACAACGTTGTCGACATCCATGGCGTCCTCCATCACTATGTCCTCGTCCTCCTCTGCCGACTCCCACTCGTCATCGTCTTCCGCAGTGCCCTCCACCCAATGCCCATCCTGGTCCATCTCCCACACCTCCACCTCCTCACCCTCGTCCACGGTGCCCTCGTCGTCCCCCCACAAGTCCTCCAGCTGTTCTACGCTGTCGTACAACCTCGTCAACCTGTTGAGCGGGACGACCATAACGTCGGCGTTGGGCAACATAATCTCGACGGTCCCGTCAAGACGCAGCTGCACAATTCAGACGCCATGCGCGCATGTCAGTCAAGTCACACAAACGTAGATCACCCGAGACGCAAAACTCAGGGAAAGCACCCACATCTATCACCTCCCCAAACCAATTCAGCGAAGTGTCCCCCTTCTGCGGCCGGCGAATCGGCGGCTCCTCCACGCTTCCCTCTCGGCCACGCTCCTCCGCGATCCGCGTACCGATATCAGCCATCTGGCGTCGCCACCCCCCCAGCTGCCCGTTCGGGCTCACCGTCGGGGACTCGCGCACCCATTCCTCCACCTCGCCTATGCGAGGGACCATCGGGGATTCGACTCCATTAGTCGCGCCCTCCTTGTGGATGAACACGAAGTCACCACGGCGGACGCCCAGGCCGTCGTTCGTAGGCGCAAGAGCGGACCAGTCGTTCGTCCCGTGCGCATCGAGCTCCAACACGGAAGCCAGCTCTATTGCACCTGTCTCCACTACCCTGACATACGCGGTGCGATCCCGCGCGTTGACTGATTGCACGATAACGTGCTGTTTCTTCTCCTCGGTCTTCCAGAGGACGTGGTCCCCAGGCCTTCATGGCGACGGTCAATCAATCGGAATCATTGTTATGCCTGTAAAAGGCTTACCAGCAGTCGTATTCGTCCGGATTCAAATACGGTATTGTTTCGCGAGCATCCAGTGTCTCCCTCGTGCCGTCTTGCCAGAGCACATCCACCGAAGTTCGTGTCTCCTGCACAATCAGCGTATCCACCTCGATGGTACCCTGGCCATCTGGTGACCTGCCGTGGCGTGTTACGGGAACACCTGTGTTGTTCCGTAGCCGCACACGATCGCCCACGCGCATCGCCTCTTCCGCTCTCCTGGACACGATGGTTAGGTCGCCTAGATCACTACCATACCAATATCGCTGTGGTCGTGGTTTTGTCATCGCCTCCGCTGGCGACAACTATAGGGGAGAGTCAGTGATGAAAGAGAGGTAGCAAGTAAGGGTTCAGAACAAACCGCTTGGTTGATTGCAAGCCACGCTACTGCAAGGACAGTATGTTTGACAGAAATCACCGTGTCCGAACTACTCGGCCGTGTGCTACCTAGGAGGAAGCCGAATATCCCCTGTACAGTAGACATAGGTTGTGGGAGGATGTCCTGCAGATGAAACACAACAGTTTATCAAGCCATTGCCCCAGACAGGATCATGGGAAGCACTCACAGGACCCTTCTCACCAACCGCCAACCTTGCGCTCAGCTCCGGCAAGCGAACCAACGTCCCGCCCGAGACTTCGACCCACGCTTCGTCAAACATCTGCTCGTCAATACTGTCAGTACGTGCAGTAGGATCCAGAGCGGGATCCAGACGAACGGACCTCAACAACCTAGAAATGGTGGCAGGTTCAATCACGCCCCACAATACAGCTCGTGATGCATTCGTCCGTACCTGACCAACCCAATCGTTGTACACGACGTAGTCCCCCATGTCCACCTCCACCGCTGTCTCGATCTCGTCCATTGTCTTCCAGCCCGGGATCGCCTCCCCACTGATCGCGTGGTCGAGCCGGCCCTTCACGGTCGTGCTGCATAGCGCGTCGCGCCACAATTCCAGCCGCTGATTAGCATGGAGCGAACACACGCGCCCACGTAGATAGGCAATTGTATACGGGCAGAAAAGCAGAAGTGAAGAGAATGAATCGCAAGACGCACTGAGTCACGATTCCCGACCGCACGTCGTCCACGCTGCGTTTCAACAGATCTCCGGGCTGGTACATGCGGTCTACGAGGGCCAGCTTGTCCTCGCTGATGATTTCCCGCACCGGCCGGGGAAAGTACGACACGCCGACCTCTCCCTACACCGCCAATACAAGAAAAGAAACATGTTAGCCCCTGAGGAACCACAGGGACCCACCACGCGCGAGCCTACCTGGACAAGCGGCCTCATAAGAGGGTCAGCGCTATCGGCTGGGGGAGGGATGTCTTCTGCATCCTGCCAACATCTCTGTTAGGTAGTCGAACGAACCGTTAGGCGGAACTCGTGGAAGAGAGCGAGATGAGCGTACCAATACCACTCCGTACGCTTTCGGATCATCCTTCCGCTGGACGATGTCCTCCTGGTAGAACTAGATGACCGCCAAGCACGGCGTAAGGCACAAACCCGCATTTCGAATCAATTACCAGATCTTGACGTACTTTCGCTGCAGCTCTCCTTTGATTGCTCGGAGCCATGGAAGGGATGAGTCAGACGTCGCCTGCACAGTCCGTCGGAGAAAACAATCAATCGTGCAACTGCGCAGGCCGAAGACGATAGCTGCCCAACACTCAGTCGGTGGTTTCACGAGAAACCGAAAGAAGAAAGAAAGTAGGCGCAAGAGTGCAAAGGCGCAGAGTTTGGGTTGAGAAGAGTCGGTGCCGGTGAAAGAAGATAGGACGGACAAGCGCAAAGGGACGAGCACCTGCTCCCGATTGCCAGAATTGGCGATCGACTTCGATGACGGAGACGGCGCGTCCACCGGCGCGCGCGAGCCGCTCGGTCTACCCATCCACCATTTTCACACCACACTCATATGCCACTGCCCCAAAGGCCACATGCTCGGAATCCATTGAGTATTATGAATACACCAGCCAGAACACCGACCAACCGATAATGATTATGGTACAAATGTACACGGAAGAGTAGTGAGCGCGTAGGGATAGGATAGAAAGAGAGCCACCGTCCAAGAACAAGACCGAACGAACCTCAAGACACTGAGACCGCGGGCGCATGAGGACTATGCCGCCAGACATGGTCTACTGCATCCTTCGTCGCCTCCAACCGCCGACCCGTCCACTCCTCCTCGCCGACCCGCTCCGCCCAGTCGTCCTCACCGTCGTCGCCCCATGCCGCCCACTTCTCGTCGTCCTCCTGCCGCGTCTCCTCCAGTTCTGGAGGCGCGGTCCTGGAGATCTCAACGTTCGGTTGCGATGCCTCACGAGGCTTGAAGGTTAATGGCGGGGGTGGCTCGCGCCTCCGAGAGGAACCCGACCGCGATGAACCTGCAGAGCTTGTGGACCTGTACGAGGAGGCCGAACTTGGCGATGCGGAGGTACCAGCCGGCGGATACGCGTGCACGGCGACACCGGTGTCTATGGGTTTTGATATTGGGGTACTCGACCCTGACGGGACAGCTGTCGCAGTGCTCGAGCCGACCGACTTCGATTCTCCCCCGGACAGATGCTGTTCCGGGTCACGAGAACGCGATATGGAGCGAGGCCGGGGGTTCTCGATGTCGTACTGCCTCGCTGGCAATCCATCTTCGTCGTCTTCATCATCTGACGCATGGAATAGCGGCTCCCGATCAGCATCGAGGGAGCCACGAGGAGAGTCGGAGGCAAGCGCGAGAGGAGCATTGTTCGAGCCTTTTACAATGGTGTCTATCAGCCAGAACTGAATGATGTTCATCGCGATAGGGAAAATCCCCATAGTGCTGCGGGGCGGGAACCATGTCAGTACCTCAACCTTGACTGATTTGGACGAGCGAGGGTCACGCACAAGATGACTTGCGCAGCTTCACTGGGTCCAAGGAATGTAAGTAGCCACTCCCCGAGATCGAAGATAGCCGGAAGCGCGGCAAAGAGAGCGACGACGAGAAGCTTCATGGCAGTGAGCGCAAATACGTAGACAGCTGCCTGGCGGAACCAGTAGTTGAGGGAAGGAGGAGTGCCGTAGACTCCGGACTGGAACCCCTTCCACTGAAACTTGTCGGTGAGGAGGTGCGTTACGACTTGCAGAATAACATAGATGATGCCAACACCTAGGAAGTGTGAGATAAGACGAAGTATATAGCATAGACACGAGTGTCACATACCGAGGGTGGTGTCGATCAAGATATTGAGAAAATAGAGGACGCATGGGTTCGTTGTGGACATGTGGGCAACAACATCTGATATGAGGACGTTCACGCCATGAACGAACATCTGGCCGACAATCTGCTTCGACACGTCAAACAGCCTAGCACATTCAATAGTTCACATTTGTTCTAACGACATGTATGGACAGTGGACGCACCATATCCGCCATGGCCGCTTCGGAGTCTCACGATGCCGTTTATACACCAGCGAGAGAATGACCAGCACGCCCATAAGTGCTTGCACGATCTGCTCATGCTATTAGCCTTCGGATGCCCTTGCGTAGGTCTGCAGCAAATCAAGACACACCAAAGCAGTCGGACCGAGGAGCTTGCATGACTGTCGGTCAACGTTCGGTAATTCGTCCAGGAAAGAGTCGATGTCCTCTAAAGAAGGCATCCTTGAAATCGAGAGAGAGCGAGGTGCAGGTGGACTTGCCACGTAACGAGGGGTCGTCACAGTGCGATGCAGAGTGTAGGAGGGAAGTGTCGATGAATTGGCAAAGGGAGCGGTGGTTTCAAACGTCCAGAACAGGGCCACTTCGGACTCGCCCGCCGCCTGTGGCCACCGGCGCCTCCACGCTGATCCGCGCTTAGTGGCCAAGTCCGCCGTGGCACTGGCTATAGTATATATGCACCTGACTCGGACTTTATCAGTACGGTGAACGTATGGCACGTTCAACGTAGCTCTAGCAAACACAGCAGAGTCAGTCCCCCCTACACGTGAATACAAGGCATATGCTTCTATATGTTGAGCACTAACCAAATTACCGGCGAATCGTTGAGATTGACCATGAAAGGGACTCTCGCTGATCGCTTCTGCAAAACCTTATACGAACATAGTCGTTTCTGACAGATACGCTACAGGCTTTGGTGAAGAAATTGCTCGAGATAATCCTACTAAACACGGACGCGGTCCATGTATCGCTAGCGTCTGCGTCGTGCTGTCTTGACATCTCGTAAACCACGCTCAATCCACTACGAACACACTACAATTACTCAATGTCCTCCTTGACTATCAGATCCTCTGCTCCGTGGTACCAGGATATGCAGAAGGGCGTGACTCGTTTTCTCAATCGGATGCCTCCAGGGGAACCACCTCTACCGCAGAATCGACCCAATCCCCCTTGCCACCTTGCATCCGATCGACACAATTGTCCTACAGGTGACGGCGCCAGCCAGGTCGAGCCGTTCCTCGCCCTTTTCAAACAATCGTCCTAACTCCTCTTGTTTCCTCCACCCGCCGCGCGACATCCACAAACCAGTCGCACATCTCGTCCCTTGTGGAACATCTAACCCACGATACGTCTGCTGGCTCAGGTGAGCAGTAGTGTATGATGATATGATTAAAGTCGGCAAGTCTCGACGCTATTTGCAACGGCGGGTACGACTCGTCAGGCAGCGTCTGCTCGCAGCCCGACCTAATTCCGGTATCGAAACATTCCGCGAGGTCGGTTGGGAATCTCTGTACAGGACAGTCCACATCCGAGAACCGGCAGCGCGTCAATGAAGGCAGGGCAAAAGTAACGAAGTTGGTGAGGATGCTCGACGGGTTGGACGATCCCTCGGCCATGCAGTGGAGGCGCTGCGAGGGTATATATAGTTCGGGAGGAGACGTCCCATCGTCTACGTCGAACGAAATATCCTCGAGCAGAGGGTTCGGGAGAGAGACCCTGCAAGAGCGACTGGCCTATATCGCCAGGACGAATCGCTCAACCCACTTCTGTTTTTGTATCGGGATCATCTTGTCATACTCCACCTGCTTGTCCGTTGACCACTTCCGTTTGTATCAAAAAAGAGAGGGATCACAGGTTGCTGCTTCGGGTTCCTCGAGGAAGGAGACAAACCAGTGATTGACATATGGCCTACATCCCCATTGCCCCCGCTGACCATCCAAGAATGCGAGGCTTGCCTGGATCTGCTGGACGGACGTAAATGTCAGAGAGTAGAATGGAATAGGGGGAGAACCTGTTTGTGAGTGCCAGAGTTTTGCCTGTCGCACCCCCGGTAGGCTCGAAACGCCAAACTTTAAACGCCCTTCATTAGATTCGCCAATTCTACGTTGGTACTTCACCATGAAGTTTCACACAGAGACGACATGATGAGGCCTGAAGGACATCTAAACGTAGAAGACTTACCTAGCCCCCGCTGTTCACCAAGTACGACTTCTGCCTGTAATTATGTCGTCAACATGACAGTGCCGTCTCAAACATGGTTGTGCCGAAAACCGACGACAGACGGGAAGCCGAAGCAGGATCTGAGTATCTACAGAGAGCATGTATTCAGACGGTCATGAAGTGCTACTACCTACCGTAACGACGTCGGCCAAGATTCACGATCATATTACATGGGCGAGGATGCAACATGTGGTAATAAGTAGAGCGAGCGATGCGCGGATATCAATATGCGATAGAGATACATTCGACAATGTGTGTACCAAACAAGAGGAGATAGAGGAAGAAGAGTGGGATATCCTAGATAGCGAGAGACTGAGAGATATGAAGAGGACGGCGGGCTCGGTGTGGCTGATCGCAGTCGGAACAAGTGTGATGTAGCGAGGAGGAAAGACGAGGAACGAAGCAAATGAGCGTGAGGACAAACGGCAACAAAAGCCGTAAAATCCAAATCCCGAGCCGCAATGTCCGAGACCAGGCCGGCCATCAAGGCCAGCTCCAGCCAAAACTCCAGAGTGGGAACTACGGTAGGATGCCATGGGTTACTTTTTCCGCAGCTGCGCACGAAGGTTCGAGTTCTCCGTCTGAACCGAGTTGAGCTCTTCGAGGAGCGCCATCTGCTGCGTCTGCTGTGAGACGCGAACTTCTTCGACCTCCTCGTGTGCCTTGTTCAGGGCGGCCTTGCTTGTGGCGAGCTCCGCTTCAAGCCGCTTGACCTCGTCGCCGAGCTTCGCCACCTCTCCTTCGAGCCTCTTGACTTCAGCCTCAAGCTTCCTGCGGACGACATCGGACGTTGACGAGCTGTTGCTCTGCTCGGCGAGCTTGAGGACCTGCGCACTGAGCGAGTTGTTCGCGTCTGTGAGCTGTCTGCAGGTCTCTGCTTGCTCAGCAGCTTGTGTCTCGAGCTCGAGCTTGGCAGCAGTGATGCGATCGACGGCTTCATGCAGGTTCGAGACCTCGTCTTGTCTGTGTTCATAAATAGATCAGAAAGGGTTTCATAGATGCAGAGCCTGATTCAAGAACGCACAGCGCGGTCTGCTTCGCAATGCTAGTGATGTTCCGCTCCTCGAGTAACTTGACCTGCTTCTGGTACGTCTCGAGCGCGGAGTTGCTCTCCTGTGCGAGCTTCTGCGCCCGCTCCGCATTCTTCTTGAGCAGGTCGTGGGCCTGCGCGAAGCGGATGAGACGCTCGATGAGTGCGCGGTCGTCCGCAATGAGGGCCTGGACACGCGCCACGAACGCCTCGACTGAGAATGAGTCGGGTCCGGAGGGGCGTGCTGACATAGGGAAACCGTTGGGGTCATAGAGTGACTTGAGCGAGCGGACATCCATCTCAGAGAGGGACGGCGCGCCTTTTGCCGAGGGGCTGGCGGTGACGGGTGATGCGAGAGCGGTGGGCCCCGTGGACCTGTTTCTGCCCAGCTTCTGAGCGCGAGCTTCTGGTGAGGGGAGAATGCTCCATAGGGGCTCGAGCTGAGAGGCGATCTTGGCTGCATCCCCTTCGTACCGGATAAGAGGGCCACTGCCATCTTCGATCTCCTGCAACATGAGGTCGTTTCAGAGCGAAAGCTATAGGATTGGCGCTCATGAACGCACCTTGAGTCGGTTCTCCAGTGATCTGACCTCTGCCTTGGCAGCGTCCCGCTCTTTCCGTACCTCGTCTAACTGGTTGTCCAGCTGCTCACGCTTGTCCATCCCGATGCGAAGATCTATCTCCATCTTCGACCGTTGGGCGTTCCACTCGTCCTGTGCCTTCGAGTGGGAGTCCATCTTGGCCTTGACGTCCTCCAGGTGCTTCCCAATGGAGTTCGCCAAGCCGACGACGGTGATGTCTCGCGAGTAATGACTGACGCCGTGCTTCTTCATGAGCTCCTGAATCGCGTCCACGCTCCTGTCCAACTGTGCCTTGCTCTCCCCGCCGAGCTGCAACGACGCCCTCTCCGTGAGCAGCGACGCCCGCTCTGCCTTGAGCTCCGCAATCTCCCTATCCTTATCGTCGATCTTCCGCTTCTCCTTCGCCAGTGCTAGCTCGATTTCCGTCAGCTCTCCGTTCCGTTCCTCCAACAGTTCCAGCCGCCGCTCGAGTCTTTCCACCTCCAGCCGCTTCTTCTCCAGCTCTGTCCGCTCACTCGTCCACGTCCGCTTCTCCTCCTCGAGCTTCCCTACCCTGTCCCCGAGACCTTGCATCTCGCCCATCTGCCGCTCCAATGCCGCAATCATGTCCTCGGCTTGTCTTAACTCCGCCGCCTTCGATGTTTCCATCACCTGTTTCTCGGAGCGTAGGGAAGATAGCTCCTTCGCTAGCTTCGCCTGTTGTGCATTCGAGGCGTCCAATGCTGCTTGCGCGGCCTTGAGTTGCTCCTGCAATGCCGCGACCTCGGCTGATGATGCGGCACCTTTCGGGGTGACGGGTACGATGGCGTCTGAATGTCCAGCAAAGAAATGTGCACCGTCAAATCGTGACCGCGATGAGCTGGAGTGTGCGCTGGTCGCAGAGGATTGTGTGGGGCTCATGGCAGAATTCCGGTTTGGCGTACTGCGTCCTGAAATACTGAGATCTCCGTTGCCGTTCGCCTCTGGGGGTGCCATCTTCTTCTCCAAACTCCGTACCGAATAGCTGAGTACGCCCGCGCGGTGTTCGAGCAGCCTGCGATTGATCTCGCCCGCCTTCTCCGAGACGCGCCATAGCTCCTTCTGTGCAGCGTCGACCTTGCGGTTCGCGGTCTCGAGCTGTTCGGATGTCTGCTTCGAAACGTTTTTGAACGAAGAATTCGCCTTAGACAATGACACGGCGGCGTCCCGAATCTTCGTCTCGAGTGTGAGCTTCTTCGACAACGCGACCAATCGTGAGGAGAGCACTTGGTACTCCTATTCGCGTCACCAGAACGATATAGAACAAATCTTAAATGACGATTCGCCATAAGATGAACACAACCACGCACCTTCTTGAGCTCCTCGACCTCCTCCGCACTCAAGATGTCGAACCCCCTACTATCCACGATCGCCTCACTCGCCAGCAGACTCAACAGTAGATCGTCCTTTGAGCTGAACACCACGCTGTTCCTCTTCTCCCCGTCCACTGGCTTCCTCGATAGCTCCGCGACCCGTATCGGTATGGGCATCCTTGGGGACGATGGCCCCGCAACGGGCGAGGACGGCTGCGTCGACGTCCTACCAGACCCCACGGAGTCTCGTGAAGACTGGAAGGACGAATTGCCTGTATCCTCGTCCGACTTCGCCGAGCCCCCCGCCCCATTTGTCGTACGAGACCGGTCCTTGCGGAAGAAAAGCGCGGGGGTGGAATTCAAACCGTCCGCAAGCGCGGCACCGTTCTGTGGTGGTGACGATGTGGGTGGCCATGATGGTTTAGACGGCAGGTTCAAGGGGTTTGTCGGCGGGGGGGTTGATGGAGGGAGGGGAGATGTCGCAGTGGGTGGGGTGGAGGCCGCGGTGCCCCCGGCGAGGAAGCGTCGGACTCCGTTCATATTCTTCCGCTAGCAGGGACGTGGACAAGGAAGGTGGGTATGCAGCCTGCTGCTGAACGATGCAGAGAAGCTGGAGGGTATCCGAATATGAACCTAGAGCGGCTGCGAGCTTTGCAGCAGCAGCAGCGGGGTGCCGTGTCGTAGAACAGAGACGAAAGTGATCGTGAGGCCAGATCCCGCCTTGTCGCCAGAGCCGCAACAGTACAATTGTCCAGAGAGCGGCTAATTTCAAGGTCTCGTATGAGCTTAGAGCTCTGACGATATGTACCTGAGGCCACAAGAAGGCGCGGCGGAGAGGGAGGAGGCTAAGGGGCGAATGGTGGCAGCATGAGGTCCGTGTGCTCGGATGGAACTGATCTACAACGTATACGTATTCACAGCCGCGGAGCTGTCCCTCGCCTGTCCCACCTTCAGTCCGACGTCTAATGCAACAAATTCTTCGCAGGCCAAGCGATCTATACCTATACAGAGGATTCCATGCTTGAAGGTCTCGCAGTGCACACACCTCCAAGCACGGCACGGAGAACATACTTTCTGACGTGGGGACAACATGGGCGCTTCACAGTTCTTGGCCTTTTCCTGCGGCGTAACAACAAGACGCTTCCTTCGTCTCTCCGAAATGTGGCCGACAGCACTATGCTGCGTACTGATTTTGTCTATAGTAGTCTCATGCATCACGTCCTCCCACTCCAGTACATAGGCGCAATCCGTCTCATCACCGCCCAGCCCATCGCCACGCTCGCTGTCTCGAACACCATGTACGTCGTCCTCGGTCCGGTGAAGAACGCCACGAGGGCGAGCGCCGCCATCCCCCACCTCGGCGACACGCGTTCTTGGCGCTCGCTTCCGCTGGAATACGCCCGACAGCGCGTCAGCACGCGAGACATGAAACGGCATTTGAAACCAAGGGTGTCACTCACAAGAATGATTTTATTCCGATGCTCGCATCCCCGCTGCCAAAGACCTCGACGAGTACCAGGAATGGGGCGACATACAGGAAGTTGTGATCGCCGTCAAAGGGCGTTGTGAGCCCTGCCGTCGCGAGCGTGCGGACCCATACAGCGAGCACAGGCGCCACCAGGGGCAGTAGCCATGTCATAAACAGCAACAAGTGCAATTGCGCATTGGTCTGCTGTAGCGGCGAGATGCGAGTCGGAGTCGGAGGATTGGGCGTATTATCATCATGGGCTTCAATGAATGCTTGTGTAGGATCCGAGGGTACAGGGACGAGTGGGACAGCCTCGGTACCAGGAACAGGTGAAGGATACGAAGATAGTTCCGCCAGTGATGATGCACAGGTATAGAAATGGATGAGCCAGCAGCCAAGGAATGCGACTTGCCACGGGACGAGAATAAAAATAACCAAGAATATGAGCCCCATCGATAGGAGAGCTGTAGTGGGTCGGCGAAGAGTAGGTTCTTCTTTGCGCCTGTATCGCATTTGACTGCTCGTGAGCCCGACAGAAATATAGGTCTAGCAGAGGCCTTACCTTCCGAATATTTTCAGAACGCGTTGTAATGGCCAGAGCAGAATGAGCAAAAGCCACCACATCACGCATACTAATCCGAATGTTATGGGGAGTAGCAGTGTCGCAAGCGATGCGAAATGCGGACTTCCTCCATTACCCAGCCAGATACCTACCCGCAGTGGTATAAAGGAGATGAAATATGATGCAATAACGAGATATGGCAGTCTCTTGCGCGCGAACAAGTCCAGGGACGACCGCACGTCTGGAATGAGAGCTGTCCGAACCAATGAGCTTTGGTGCCTGGCCGACAGGGTCAGTGAAAGCCTACCGCCACTTCCCACTAGCCGCCATGTATCCCACATGAGTGCAGCAACGATGCCCACAGCCCAGCACGCAGCTGCGGTTCCATATCGTGTACCCCAGCGACCGATGGTTGCCCACCAATCCACACTCAGCTCTAATTCACTCACGCGGCACTCGCCGGACGAATGGATAGTCAGCACATGACCTGAAGGGTGGTCGGACGCAATGTACGGCGCAGCGGAATGGGAGTGTAGGAGGATGCGCCTCGAGAAGCTGGGTGCAAGTGGGAAATAGTGCGTCTCAGATGGATGCGACTGGTGGGTAAGAAGGGGTAGCAACACGGCATCAGCTGTAGCGAGCCGAGTGAGCTATCAAGCTATCTAAATTCTACGTACGACGTACGTGTGCAGGAGGGATTTGGGTCGTATCTTGGCGTCAAGCGATATACAACCAGGGAGTTTGCCGGCAGATTGGGGAGATTGAGTTGCCAACGGATACCACTTAGTACAGCGACATCGACCGAAGAAACCAGGAGGCCTGCGCTCGTCAATGTGAGCCACACGGTAGGATGGCGACAAGCTGCAAACTTACTCGTCAGACCCACTTCGATGTTGATGGGCTCGATCTCGGCAAATCCGCCGAATATCCAACCTCGTTTATCGCCGTTTTCCACAGTCACGGCGACGTATGAGTTCGTGCCCAAAGCAACATCGGCCTCGAACAGCACAACACCCTCAGACTCGTCTGCGCCTTCACCAGGTACCGGGAAAGGGGAGCCCGGGATAGGGCTAGGGATGAGCTTGAGGGTGGATGGTGTCAGCGGAGAACATGAGATTTCATCGTGTTCCTTGCACACGCGGACTGCCGCCTGGAACGGAAGAGGTTGACGAGGTGAGACGGGTGGCATCGACCCTTGAGATGCGTACAGAACAAATTTGAGCGATGTTCGGCCCTCTTCAGCTTTTGGGAATGGGAGGAGGTAGGTCTGCGAGCCATCAGGGTCGCGGACCAAGAGGTGTTGATTGGGTGGCACAGAGTGGTACAACCCTCGGCGCAAGTGAACGTCATCGGGAACATGTACAGGCGGCAAGGTATGCCCGTCCCGCAGCCATAGGTCCAGGGCTGCTGCACGCCCTTCTACGTTCTTCGCTGCTGCGATTTCCAACGCCGCGCGGGCGACGCGCCAGCGAACTTGGTGACACCACACCATAGCAAGGTGTCCAACGCCGGTCCAGCACCCCTCCAGCGCGCTTGAGAACACAGTGCGTCGGTACACAGAGCTGCTGAAGTTTCCAAAAGCTGATGACAATACACAGGATTCGGACGGAATCATGAGGTCGGTCGCGCCTCCACAGAGGGATAAAATGGGCGTCGGGTCAGAAGCCAGCAATTTGTGGCTGTTGGCGTATATGTGGTCGATGCGGCGGTCGAACCGTACCGGAGGGAGGGTATGCGGCGTGGACATGGTAATAATGGTAGAGATGTTGGGATTTGGGAGTAGAGCGGTAGCGACAATTCCGCCCATGGAATGACCCATGACGATGACGGACGTGCCTGCGGGATACAAGGACAGTATATAGTCGATGGCGCGTGCTGCATATGCGGTCTCTGAGTCAATGGTCGGACCATGGAAGGCAGACAGATCCTCGTTGTACTCCACTGGGTACGGCTCAGCGATCATGTTGATGCAAGCAGCGTGCACTCACCAGCAAAAAAGTCGAGACCAGTATAGCCCTTGCTCGTAAACTCCGGTGATACTTGGTATGGCGCGGAGTAGTACTGGTGAGCAGCCGAGGATGCTATGGAGCGAACCTGGTGCGACGACCCGGCGTTTCCGGGTATGAAGAGGACGGGGACGCCATGCAACTACTAGAACTCAGTCGAGACCTCCATGTTGTTATAGCTCAGAAGCGTGCGCACCTCGTTGCTCTCGAGGTTCCCTTCGCGGTAAAGCCACAGACTGTACCGACGCGCAAGCGGGGTCCATGTGTGATCGAACTTATTCTGTAACACATAGGAAGGCCACATCCATGACATGCGACATCCTTGCGGTGAGAGTGAGTGGTAGGTGTCTAAGCCAGCAAAGTACAGAAGGGCAACTGCGAGTAGGGAGAAAAGCGTGAGGGCGGCGAGGAGCCTACTCATCGAGGACTTGAAGACACCCACCGACGAGCGCTTCCCGCCTCTGTTGCTGCCCAACGTCATGCTTTTGCCCTCCGCTCGCTGCCCCTTCCCTCTTCCTCACCCTCCCCCTCTCATCCGCCCCTTTCGTCCGTAGCGGGTTGCGCTCTCATCATCGGGATATCTGAGCTTGTGCGTTTTCCTGGGCTTTTGATACTTTTTTTCTGCTGGTCTTTCTAAAACCAGAACCTCTTCCGAGACCGCCGCGACCGCCTGCCCCGCCTTCGACCCGGAGGTCCCAGAGAGAAACCCGCAGCTATGGCTTCCCCTCCCGACAACGTGTCCATCCTCAGTGGCTCTATTTCCAGCTCTCCTCGGGCACTGCGCCCCGACCACTCCCCCGTTCGTAGCCGTCAAAGTGTAGGAAGCGAGATCAACGAAAGCTCTTCCCGCCCGCGGCTCTCGCCTACTCTCTCCCGGTCGTACAACCCCAACGATCCTGATGCTCGCGAACGCCAGCGCACGATGGATGCTGACATGGCAATACAGCTGTCCCGCGCCCGCTCCGGGACAGTTGGCATGCCCTCTCCCATAGCCCCAGCCCCACTTAGTCCAACCCAGCGTCGGCTCTCTGCAGACGACCCTCCCTTCCAAGAGCACCAATTCCCTACGCTATCATTGCAGGAGCAGAACGCCATATCCGAGGCAAGAGGTACGGCTCTGCTTCGCCCAGACATCGACCGTCCCGGGCAGTACCAGCACCCGGGTACGGCAGGGCAGGAGCTGCTGGTAAATCATCTGAGTTCCGGCCATGACCCCGCTCTGCTGGTCTCACTCGAGGCTCCCTTCGGGGACGATACGACAATGGGTGGCCTACCGATGTATCAAGCGACAGTGGAGCGTTCTGACAGGCCTCAATACGAGTTCGCACTCATGGAGGCCTTTTCGCGCGACGAGAAACTTCGACTAGGCATCCAAACCCCCGCGTCACCACCGGACTTCGACTATCGGCAGCCCCAAGCGTCGTCGTCGACGAACATTCCCATTCCGAGTACAGGCGAGCAGCAGCCGCAACAGCCGCAGCCCGGAGAGCCTGGGTCTCAGATGACAGACTCGTCAATTCCGTTCATGCTGCCGCGCACACGCCAGCGGAAGCTGAGCATCAGCTCTCCCGCTCCCAGAAGGGGAAAGATGGCTCTGTTCGAACAGGGCAATGCTCCGCCACCCGCGTTGGCCTCGCGCGCCCCACACTTGGCTTTGGGGACGACGCTCAGCGCTGTGCCATCCTACGACAACCTGCCCGACTCGCGCCGAGGTGCGCAGGACCATTACGGACTCGGCGGCGGAGGCGGTCCGGGGTCCGGGCACGATCGACCATACCGGTTCTCATTTTACTCGAACGCGCTCTCGGCGACAATCCACGCGCGGAGCCTGTCCGAGCTGCCCGCGGAAGGGCAGTCATTCCACGACCTCTTCCAGGGCGGAGGCAATTCGAACAGCACGTCGCATGCGAACAGTACGCGTCCGTCCCTTCTCCACCGGAACGTGGCTTGTATGACAGAATCTCTCCCGAAGTCTGGGGCGACGTCTCCTATCCCACCAAACATCACAAACGGCATGCCTAATTCTCTGCCGAAAGGACCACCAGGGGATAGGCGACCAGGAGAGGATAACAGCCCTGACAGCCATACATGGTGGCTGGACGTCCTTACGCCCACGGACGAGGAAATGAAGCTGCTCAGCAAGGTTTGCATTGGGTCGCCTCGTGTTGTTTCTGATCCCCGCTGACGGCATGCTCGTAAACTTTTGTCAGGTGTTCAACATCCACCCGCTGACGACGGAAGATATCCAGATGGAGGAAACGCGCGAGAAGATCGAGCTCTTCCGGAACTACTATTTCGTCTGCTTCCGCGGCTTCGACCAAGATCCGTACAGCCCGACGCACCTGGAGCCCCTCAACATGTATATCATCGTATTCCGAGACGGCATCCTATCTGTATGCATCCCATTATATCTCCTTAGCGGTAGGAGTCTAACACGACTAAATTCTAGTTCCACTTTAGGCCAACACCCCATCCACAGAACGTTCGGCGACGAATTAAGCAATTGAAAGACTACATATCCGTCACGTCCGATTGGATATCTTACGCCCTCATCGACGACATCACAGATGCGTTTGGTCCGCTCATTCAGAGCATTGAATACGAGGTCGATAGCATTGACGAGCTTGTGCTAATCCTAAGAGAAGCCGAGCAAAGCGATATGTTGAGGCGGTGAGTTGCCTAGAGATCGACATCATTTACGCTGCTGAAGCGAGTCTTCCAGGATCGGCACATGTCGCAAGAAAGTCATGGGCCTTCTCCGACTGATGGGCAACAAAGCCGACGTCGTAAAGGGGCTGGCCAAACGGTGTAACGAGAATTGGCGCGTCGCACCCACATCCGACATCGGTCTCTATCTCTCCGACATTCAGGACCACTTGATCACGATGACACAGAACTTGAATCACTACGAGAAGATTCTGTCGCGCTCGCATTCAAATTACCTGGCCCAGATCTCGATTGAGATGACGGACGCGAACAACCAGATCAACGACGTGCTGTCGAAACTCACAGCGCTGGGTACAGTGCTCATTCCCATGAATCTGGTGACTGGTCTGTGGGGAATGAACGTGCACGTACCGGGTCAAGACGTGGGCGTGAGTAGTTGGTATTCTCCCGTCTGTGGCACGAAACTCATGGATAGATGCACAGAACCTCCACTGGTTCGGTGCTATTGTTGCGGTTCTCGCCGCCTTCGCCATCATCGCTGGTTGGTCAACGTACAAGCTCATGGTCCGGCGGTAGAGGAGTTAACGTCATGGACACTCATCGATTCGTGCATTCAGTTACTGCGCCGTTCTTGTTGCTTTATCAAGGGACATTCACGCGACATTCATGTTTCCACGAGACGACATCACATCATATCTTAGGAGTATATTCATGGCAGACATGTAACTACATACAGGCCACCACGCTTGCATCGCGGGCCCTAATCTCTAGACATGAGAACTAGAAGTGAAGGAGCATGACGATCGCGACCAATGACGTGCCCGATAAACAGAATAGATTTACCCAGTAGGACTACAATCAGCACAGCAAGCAGACAAATGAGATGAATGGCGGGATACAGCATGCGCAACGAGGAGGCGGAGAGATACGTATCACGAGCAAGCCATATGTATGAGGACAGCACGTGAGCGATATGTGCAAGGAATCAGTCTTCATGTAGTGATATGCAACAATCAGTGGCGAGGCGGAGGAGGAATCTGAGGGGAGCGGGTCTCATGAGCCATCTGAGAAGCCCATCGCTCGTCCTCGGCTCGGGGAATGGGGTGTTGCCCAGGGTAGGCTAGCTTCATCTTCTGCTGACGGGAGGCATAATGTGGGTCCTCTGTCGGTCCGCTCCTGCCCCCTGGACTCGGTGGGATACTGCGACTGTAAGTAGGTGGTGGTTGCCGGGTCGGTGACCGCATGTCTGCACCAGGTGTCGGCGAAAGCATCATCGCGAGAGACGGCGACATGCCCTGGCCGCTACGGGAAGCGGAAGGTTGAGGCGTCGACACCGTGGAGTGAAGACGCTTCGGAGAACGAATGATGGGCGCAGGGGCAAGGCGGTCATCAGGTGGGGGTCCATGTTGAGGTATATCGTCTGGGTACTTGCGCTTCCGCGGAGCTAGTGGTGGCGTTTGCATGCCAGTGATTGGAGACCTGAGCTGCTCAGTAGGCGGAGGAATGGCCCTGCTGGGACCTGGAGGCGCGGCAGCAGCAGCTGCGGAACTCCACCTGCTAGTCGCAGCCCATGGTGGTGGTGGCGGGACATGACTGGAGGATGATGGGCGCCCGTTCTCATAAGGAGACGCGGGCGGTGGTGGGGCAGATATAGCGTGGTGATGATGATGATGGTGGTGGTGATGAGAGTGAGGAGGATGCATTGATCGGGGATGGGCGGAACTGCCATTCGTGACCGGTATAGATGGACCATTGCTCGACCCGGGCAGAGACCTTGTTGACGGAGCAGAGATGGGAGGCCCGTTCGCAGCGACGTTGTCAGGCTGTCCGGGGGTGAAGCGAAGGAGGTCAACGAAAAGGGTCTGAGTGTAGGGTGGTGGCAGGCGCATATAAATGATATCCTTGCTGAAGGTATCGAGCATCTCCTTGGTGTCTACGAACAAATCTGGGTCGGGGTTGTCTACAAAGTTGCGCATGAGCACCTTTGGCTCATAGCAGAGGACGTGGACACTCACCGACATGCTTCACCCGCACTTCGGAGTACGGGTACACTCTATTCTTCCTGACACAGCAGAGCGGACACATGAACCGCGCACCACGCCCGGCCTCGACCGGAAAGAACACACAGCCACCGTGATACAGCTTACCACAAAGCTCACACTCTACCGTGGGGTAATTCAGCAGGTAGTTTGTGCGCCCACGACAGATGCACCGTGTTCCGTCCAGCCAATCCTTGTCCTGATCCTGCCCGAAGACGAACTTCGGTCGTCTGCGCTTCTTCATCCGCACAGGCACGGGCTGACCGGCGAGCACGCGATGAAGCGAGGCGAGATCGAGGCCGAACGAGACCTCCGGGTTGGGCGACACCGCAAACTGGATCTTGTACAGCTTGCGCATGTAGTGGCGAACTTGCGGGATGTACTCGGCGCGTTGGTTGGCGGGCTGGCCGAGGAAGCTCACGAACTGGCCGATCACGCCGCAGAGACGGTCGACGCGATGGACGATGATCTCGAGCTGTTTCCATTCCTCGGAGTAGTGCTTGGTTATGTCGGGCGCGTGCATCAATATCGTCGGCAGATAACAGAAGTGCCAGTTCCGCTCCTTGTGAATAGTCCCGTTCCAGTGGTGGTGATCGCAAAAAGGGCAAGAGCCTCCGTTTGCAGCGCAGACGCCGTGGAATCGTGCGAAGCAGTGGTCACACTGGACCGCGTCGGAAACCTGGCCGAGAGCAGGAGGACGCACGGGAGTCGTGCAGATGCAGGTGAAGTACTCGTCACTCGGAGGGAGATCGTCCTCGGGACGAGTAGCCTCGACGACATCGTCCAAGATGGGCTGACCGTGCGTATCGTTGTGGGACTTGCAGTACCAGGGAAGGCTCTGTATCCAGCGGTTGTGTGACTCAAGCTGCGACTCGAGCTTGGAGAAGTTGGTCAGCGAAAACATGGTCAGGTGCTTTTTGGCATAGTCCCGCCATGTCTGCATCGTCTCGAAGATGTCCTTCTCGTCCACCCCGCTATAAGTCGCATTGAGTACGGCCTCGCTGCGCGTCTCGAGGTCCTGGGCCCAAGCAACAGTGCGCTGCAGGTCCTGGACAGCAGGAATGGCGAAGTCTCTCTGGGCGTCAGCGACGAGCTTCACCACGTCCTGGACCTTGGGCTTCTCTGCCCTAGCGTCAGCGAGCAGCCAGATCTTCGCCTGCTTCTCGTACTCTCTGCCCTTTTTGCGGAGGTCGATGATCCGCTCAAGAAGCTCAGGGTCGACCGGCAACCCGCTCAGTCTCGGCTTCATGAACTCCTCGAGCTCCTCGAGCGTCCGATCGCTCTTCTCCAGCAACCGCTGCGCCCGGTCCTCCCATGTCGTACCGGCCTGGTACAAGGCCTGCAACCGCTGCATCTGCGAGTGCTCCATGGGAAGACTGCACGCGTCGGCGCGGCCAACGAGCTGACGGACATCTTCCAGAGTGAGATTGTCGTCCTCAAGTTCCACGTCGAGATCCTTCAAAAGCTGCTCGCGGAGCACGATCTTGTCGACCTCGACGATCTCGTCGACGGTGACGTTTAGCGTCGCGGACTGCAGGATGAGGCGCCTGCAATCGTGCACAAATGCCTCCCGGTCGCGTGCCGACCGCTCCATGTCGAGGAGTAGGCGAGCCTTCTTCCGGGTCTCCTCGGCTTCCTGTGCGATGTTCCTGAGCTGGGCAATCTCAGGGGCATCGAAGCCGAGGTTGGCAACCTCGGAGAGAAGGGCGTAAAGGTCGTCCAGACTACGCTCAGGCTTGTCGATGATCTCCTCAGCAGCGTCGGAGCTCGGGCCGTCACCGTTCACGGTCGACGAACGGCCACGCGACTTGCGGGTCCGCTTCCGAGTAGGCTTACGGATGATGATGGCATTCGCGGCCTCCAGCCACTCGTTCGCCTTGTTGACGCACTTCCGGAGCGAGTTCAGCTCCGCCAAGGGATGTTGGATGCGCTCGCCCTCTGTGAAGATGGCCTTCAAGCTCTTGAGAGGCGGGCAAGGGCTCTCGTCAAGGAGCTTCTTCAGCTTGTTGCGCCACATGCCAGGAATCGCCGCGCGCTCCGAGACCTTCGCCTGGATGTCCTGGAGCTCGGTATCGCTGAACCGTTTCCGGAGAACGTGGTTAGCCAGCGGGCACTTGCACAGCTGATCGACGTGGTCGATGCACACGATCTTTGAGGTGCACGGGCACGTGATCTGGGAGAGATAGCAGAAGACCTTGCAGGTGGCGCACTGATACTGGTCGTCTCCCCGGTCCGTCTCTTCCAGGACCTCGCCCATCTGGAGCGATCGCGCACGCGTGCGGGCATCCATCTCGCGGTCCGTCATCTCCTGCAGGCTGTCGTTCAACCTGATCGGTGTGCCGTGAGTGAGCACCGCATATCGCGACAGTATGATGACGAACATACCACATGGCTGTCTGAATCGAGTGTGACTGTTGCGTAATGGTAATGAGCAGCTCATCATGCGAGAACACGGGCATCTTGCGGTGCTCCTGATATCGCTTGACGCAGTCCAACCCAAGTGGCAGCCATTCCGGAAGAGCGAAGTTCACCGCCTCGTTGAAGTTCAGCTGGAGAATCGGTCAGTGGATGGCCAGCGACCATGGAGATTAGATATCAACAAACCCCATGATTGAAACCGGCGTGATAAGCCTTGGGGAAAGTGACGACAAACTCGCCAGCGCGCTGATTGCAAGCGTGTACCTCGACGCCCGCTTCCTTCAACCGCTGAGGGTTCATCAGCGTCACCAGCTGGAAAAGCAGGTCGGGTTGGGCCTCGAACAGGTCAGGGGCCTCCTTCTTGATGGCCGCCTCGAATTTCTCGGCTGAGCTGCCCGGAATGCTGTACCATGTCTTTGTCTCGCCCCAATGCACTACAAAATTCCATGAGACAAACGAGCGGCTGAATTCTTCCATAAATGCTCACTGTAGTTGATGCTGTATGTGTAGTGATCCTGAGGCATGATGGGTGAGCGTTTGTCCGGCCATTCGTTCGCAACAGGGGGGAGATATACCTCGTTGTGCCAACAGAACGTAGAGAAAATCATGCCAACGTATGTCCACGGTACCGTCATGCCAGAGATATCAGACTTGATGTAGCGAAGCAGGGATTGAGGCAGGATAGGGATATTGTTCAGGTTCCATGGGTCCTTCGAGTAAGGGTCGAGGGGGTGCGTCTCTAGAGTGGGCATGCCGCTGAAGATAACGACCGGTGAGCCAGTGTGCAGCAACAGCGGTCAGTCCTCTCCTCACCTTCCGTGGGTGGTAGAGTGCACATCAGCGCCATACTCCACCTCGACGGTCTCCGTCGGCGTTTGCACCAGCCGCCAAAACTCTAGCTCGACGTCGTCCTCCGTAACCACCGTGTTCCCAAATCGGTTCGCATAAGGGTCGTTAGCACGTGCGCTCGACGACGCATCGGAGGCATTGAGCGACCCTGATTGCGGACCATGACTAAGGAACCACAAACGCCGGAACTCACGGTCGCGAGCTTGGAAACTGGATAGGCTGTGCTCCTGGCCCTCGTCGAAACCAAAGTCACCGCCCGTTCCGAACAGGCAGCTGTGACAGAACCACTGGCCCCTCGGGATGTTGGCGAGGGGTGGGTCGAGGCAGAACATGTGGAATCCTGATGGTCCGAGGGGTCGGGAGAAGGTTCAAGACGCACCACAAGAGCCAGCTACGCACCACAGTCACAACCATCGCATATCAACATCTGCTCACCGTGATCCTTCTTGAGGCAGATCTCGCAGTGCAGCTGTACGACACAGACATGAGCTATCGCGAGCGTGCCTCACCTCTCAAGTCATACCTCAGCTGGATGTCTCTTCTCCTTCGGGGCGTCCGGATCTTGACCAGCCGTGGAGATATCATTCGCCGTTGATGTAAGACGAGTTCCTAGGCTCTAGATGAGCATATATCCTGCATAATAAAGGTGATACGTACGAGCAAAAGGAAGTTGGTCTGGCGCGGTATTACGCGTACTGCGGCGAGGCCGAGAAGCATCAGCCTTGACGCCGTTAGTCTCCTTCAAATCACTCTCATCGGGCGGTTCAGATAGGGGCGAAGAGGTGGCAGTGAGAGGACTGGGAGGCGGGCTATCATCGCCAACGGTCGAGTCGGAGGTGCTGAGCTGGGGAAGCGTGCTGGAGGTCTGGATATTGGTGTGCGTCTTCAGAGCGGCGTCGCGTGCCTTCACCGGCGACAGTGCGGGCGAGTTGCGGACCCTTTCGCAGAACTGCTCATAGGGGAGGATCACCCGGTTGTACGAGTTGCGGATCTGCGTTGCGAGGCCAGGGATGCCCGTGTATCCGAGCAGCCTTCCCAAGTCTGCCCATTTCTTATCGCGCGTCACCTATTGAGACGCACCAGTCGCGAACCACCAAGCGCCGGTGAGATATGGCACAACAAACGAACGGACAAGGCGGTCAGTATGACGGTCGGATAAGCCCAAAGACCAACAAAGGACCATACCGCATCGAATCCGCCCAGCTTGTGCACTTCTTTCCGCAATAACCAGAGATCGAGCGGTTTGTGATTGATAGTGGGAACGGAGACGCGAGGGTTGCCCTGCTGCTTGTGGAACCTGTAGAGCTGCTCCAGAAAATTCACCTTCGCCCTCGACGAGGCCTCGATGGAGTTCAGCCGCTGCAACCGCGTCTTGAAGCGGAAACGCTGCAAGTTCTGCATGAGGAAACCGCATCTCCGACGCCACCAGCGCTACGGCCTGGGGCGCACACACACACTGGCTCGAAAACGAGCACGCACCTCGGTGTCCGTGACAAAGGGCATATTCCAGCCCATGGGTGGCACGATCTTGCACATCCCGTATTTCTTCCCCGTGTCCGATATCGAGGCGATATACGCCATAGGGTCCTTGAATTGCTCGGGGGTAGGGTGGAACGTGGGGCAATCGGTGAGGCCGAACGGCCGAGGGGTAGACTTGGGCACCGTCGGTCTGGTATTTGGAGTCTTGACCGAAGACAAGTCTAAGGTCGGGGCGACGGGCAACGGGGGCCCGTCTCTGAGTTGGATGCGGATACCGCCGTCCTCGGTCATGGCGTCGCCCAGATTCTCCTCACCAGAGTTGGACTGTGCATGGGAATGCAGAGCGGCGAGGGCATCGGTCTTGGATTTCCTGGGGGCCCGCTTGTTGCTGGAGTCGGTGGGAGCGGGGGCGTCCGCGGCGGAGGGTGCGGCGGGCTCCGGGCGTTCGATGGGAATAGCGCCCTCGACAGCGATGGTCAGGCACGAGGTGAAAGTGGCGGGCGACCTGATTGAAAAATCGGGAGGGAGAACGGGAGGGGCGGGGGAGTTGGGATGGGTGCGTGGGGAGCGGCCCCTGCGAGCGGCGGCGCCGCGAGGGGAGGGAGAGCCATGCATTGCGGCCGTGGAGAAGGACAGGAAGGAAGAAACAAGTTCTGGCCAACGACCCCCCGCCTCCGAACAGCGGTCCTCCAACTCAGACGCCTTCCGCGTGCGAACCGCCCACCTTCGCTGAGTTCAATTCCCAGCGCCGATCTTGCCGCCGCTTGATCGCTGGACTCATAGCCACATACACAACCTCCCTCTCACATACCTACACCGTCTCCTGTCCTCCCCCCTCCGCCCCGCCCTCCGTCCGCCGTGCTCGCGACTGTCGGAGAGCGCAGCGAACGGCATCAGCGGGGACTGCATCTTCACGGCATCCGACACGGGCGCCGCCACTTTCGCATTCCGCGACGATTCAGGCTCAGCCAATCAGCGTCTGCTTCCCGTGGCGAGCAACACATCGGTCCTTGTGTACCGCAGCGTGCATCTTCCGCCAGCTTCTCTTCCTCCTCGCTCCCTTCCGCCTCCTTTTCCAGCCCTCTGCTATTCCATCGTCCGAGACTGAACAATCATGACCTTGGCTGATTTTTCTGACTGCTCTTTGCCTAGGCTTGCTTGGGCGGCTTCTTGTCACCAAGCGCTTGCAATCACAGACCGGGCGCTAAACACGGGCGTCCGCTTCATTTCATCCATGAACGCAAAATGGACCTAGATGGCTGCGCAGCCGTATGCCAATTGATATCTTTGTCGTAGGGAAGGTGACCGATGACGGCAGTGTAAGTACGCATTCAGACACCTCCGCAATCGACTGTTAGGACCAAGGGCATCGACCAGTGGCACACTGTCACTTGAGCCATTGTAGGATCATGGCCTTTCTCATTGCCCCACGCAAATCGCCTTTGAAAGTTTAGACGAAAATCGTGTTATACGCGAATCACATTTATTGTCCAAGGTGTGACTAGCATGGGACAGCGCAGGGATACGGGGAGGCACGGAGGTACCAGGATGGCTTGGGTCACGATAAGTTTGAGATGGGACACGACGTCCCATAGTTGACAGCCCCCGGTGCTAGTCCTTTGCAATGGCATGCATATTATGTTAGACCTTAGCTTGAAACACAAAGCGCACGTTGAAACAATTCACGACGCAGTCCTTGTACGTCGTTTATACATGTGTAATACACCTGAGGTATACAATCTGCCATGCCGGCGGCCTGCCATACAGCGCCTTGATGGCTTCACACGTACGTCCCACAAGACTTTCCAATGAAGACCCAGCTGTGCCTCACGCCAAACATGATGCTCTCCCCGCACATATCAAAGCGATTGAGTTAACTGCGTTCCAAGGCCTTCCTATCACATTGACAGTCGTAACAATCATTATCACACCGACGGGAGCCACTCAAGACAGATGTGACGCGAAAGAGAAAAGGAATGCAGAATGATAGGTGCGTATGATACGATGAGGATGCACTATGCTGATGATGAGTGAGCAGGACATTACGACAAACTACACGAAATATGACTTCACGCCCGAAACCCCCGATGCACGATCATGCGCCCTCCTCAGCGGGGGCGTCAGCGGCATCATCCTTATCCACCGGCTTGTCTGTGACGCGGCCATCAGCATCACGAATAGAGCGCAGACAATCCCGACTCACCAGACTCTTGCATGTCCGAAGTCCAGAGGGTAAGGTTGTCGCGGAGCAGTTGCATGATAAGAGTGGAATCCTTGTAGCTCTCCTCCGAGAGCGTGTCGAGCTCAGCAATGGCATCATCGAACGCCTGCTTGGCGAGATGGCACGCGCGGTCAGGGCTGTTGAGGATCTCGTAGTAGAAGACGGAGAAGTTGAGTGCGAGACCGAGACGAATGGGGTGGGTGGGGGGAAGCTCAGTGACAGCGACATCGGACGCAGCCTTGTAGGCCTCGAGCGACTTGTCGGCACTCTCTTTCCGCTTGTCGCCAGTGGCGAACTCGGCGAGGTAACGGTGGTAGTCACCCATCCTGGGTACGAAGGGCCGATTAGCATACGATAACAGTGGCGACCAAAGGCCAACACTCACATCTTGTGGTAGAACACCTTGGACTCGCCAGAGGCGGCTGAGGGGATGAGGTGCTTGTCAAGAACATCGAGGATGTCCTCGCAGATCTTGGCAAGCTCGCTCTCAATCTTCTCCCGGTAGCCCTTAATCATCTTGACCTGGACCTCGTTGCCCTTCGACTCCTCCTTCTGCTCGATGGAGGAGACGATGCGCCACGACGCGCGACGGGCACCGATGACGTTCTTGTAGGCTACGGAGAGGAGGTTACGCTCCTCGACGGTGAGCTCCTGGTCGGACGAAGCAACGCGCTTCATGTTCTCGACCATCTCTGGACACGACAAATTAGGCATAAGCCACGCGCGACGGGAACCGCACAAAATGCAAAGCACGCACCCTCATAACGCTCAGCCTGCTCAGCGAGCTTGGCGAGGTAGACAGAGTCCTCACGAGACTGGGCCATCTAGGGAAGGTGATACGTCATCAGCACGCGTCAACAACGCGTCACACGCGTCGATACTTACTGCGATAGTGTTTGTATGGGGTGGTGGGAGAGTGAACGGGCTGCAAGGAGGAGGACGATCAGGACGATGGCGGAGACAACGAGGACGATACGGGAGACACTGACTGGCGATAGGAGTGGCGGGCGGATGATGAGAGAGTTGAAGCAAGCCGTGAAGGGAGATAAATGAAGAAATTAAATTCAGAGCTGGGCAGAGGGTTGTTCGCCTGGGGCAGAGGGTAAGGTCACGTGGCAGGCTTCCGATGGAGGTTCTCCAGACGTGTGCTGCCATATCGGGAAGGCGCCGGCCGAGGGTCCGTCGCGACAAACGGACTCTGTCCTTTGTCCGACCCATCCTTTCTATCACAAACGTCTCCCCGTCCGCTCTTTGGGCTTTGTTCTCTCTTTCTTTTGTCTCCTCTCCCGTGCTACCATCCGGGGCTTTTGGCCGCTTTGTGCAGACAGAACCAGCTCCAATAGGCCAGCGCTAGCTCTACGGCGCCCAGCGTGTCTGACGTCGCTTTGTCAATGATCGAGATGTATGGTGCTATCCTTGTCCCGAAGCAGCGAGCTGGGAACCGACACCGCCAAGCTTCCCCACAGCGAACACCGACCATGCTCCGGCGGCAGCCCAGGTCCACCGACTATAGCGCAAACCCTTTGACCATGACTGCGCCCGCTCTGCCTTGGGCCTGTGGCAAAGCTATCAGAATGCGAGTTAGCTGCTTCCCTATACATTAGCCTGCTCCATCAGTGCGACTGCCATCAGCCGCTGCGTTCCCAGAATGTGGCGGCCATCATGGGCAGCGGGTTACGTCTCGTACAGGTATCTACGCCTGTGCCGACAGGCGCTGCGCTCGCGACGAGTCCGATGCCACCTATGCCCCACCACGTTTGGCAGAACCCGATAATCTCGAACCCTCATATCCGCTTAGTTAAACCGACAGATGATCTGTATCACCCTCATTCGCTACACTGCGCTCCAGTGCTACATTGCGCCCAGCTATCGCATACGGCAATCCACAATATTGTAATTCATTGCGAACCTTAAGCTTGAAGCTACTGTTACGCATATCAGTGCGCAGAGGGCTTCCACGCCGCGAGCCAGGGGCCAATAGCCTTCAATGCCTGCTGCTGAACACTCAGCACTGTCTCGTCCACCTTGCCGTTCGCCGTGCTCAAGTCCGAGCAGTGGAACCCGTCCGAGATGGCGAGCGGCTGCTGGGACGTGCTCGGGAAGTGCGTCCCGTCAGCGGCTTTCGTGGCTTCCCTCCAAGGATCACCTGCAACATCGCATGCCACGTCAGTTCAAACGGGACAGCTCAGTGGACCGAATGCGGTGCGGTGAATGGGACGCACGATGGCCGTTCGCGAAGAAAAGGCGGTCCGCCTGGACGAACCACCCGTCATACGCCTTGTTCGTCTCGTCGACGCGCGGTACAGGAAGGGGTCCGTTTTGGGGGAATGCTTCCGGGAACCAGTACGTGCACTGTCTCTCGTCGTAGGCAGGCTGGACAAGGCGCGTCACGATGGTCGGGTGGCCCTTAGGAGCGCCCTCCTGGAAGAAGCCTACCTCGTTGCAACTGGTTACCTCGTCAGGGACGCCGGCATCAAAGTCAAAGAGAGGAAGGGTGCGCACACTATCCAGGTCCAGGAGCGACTAGCATTGTCAATCGAGGTGTCCGTCCAGTAGGCGGCAGTTGGGTCATAGGTGCCCAGGCAGGACCTAGACGCAAATACACGTTAATCTCCGTCCGGCCAGCATCGTCATACAATCAGGGCCACATACACTTGATCACTATCGCCGCAAACTGAGAAGCCCCTCACTGATCAGCGCTTGCATGCCGGTAACAAAGGGTACTGCTTACCTTCGGGATAGTAGGTGTTGTTCCAGAAGGAGCCCCAAGCCTGGAGGGCGTGCTGGAGGCCCCATCCCTTCGGGCCAGCGCTTACACCATTCTTGACCTCAAGTGCATCACAGAACTCAAAGAAAGTTCCGTAACCACTGCTGGGGGAGAGCGATTGCCAGTCCCAAAGGTTGTTGCGCACTGAAACAAGGGATGTCAGCTACCGTCCATGACTTCCAGGCACACAGCAATGAACACGCACAAGCGCCCGCTGCGTCGTCGAGGTGGGGGCGCAGGGTCGTGAAGTTCCACACCAAAAGCAGCTCGTTGATCGCCGCCTCGCTTTTTGAGGAGAAGACGGAGTCGACGTGCGCGATGACAGCTTGGACGTCAGCGGAGCAATTCGAGGGCATATACTCCAGAATGGGCTGGAAATATCCCCAGTAGTCGCTGTGTATGCATTGAACTCACGTTAGCGTCCCATGGCGACCGGGGGCGCATTTGGGCGAATAGACGTACGTAATACTTTCTACAACAGCGGACGAAGCATACGCAGCCTGGAATAGATTAGGTTTGCTGCAGGCAGCGCAGTTGCTATCAGCATAGGTCCTTACGAGAGACCGGAAAAGCAAGCACGCACTTGACGACAGTCCAGCTCGTGAGCGCACCCGAGTAAGACCCGCCAACAAGAACCCAAGGCGCCTGCCCAGGGGCGACTTTGTCGCCGTTAGGCTGGGGAAGCTTGACGTTCTTCGCGAAATACTCGAGGTCGTCAATCGCCTGTTGAATGGTGTGCACCTTGAGGCTCGCGACGGACAGGTCCGGGTAGGGGTTCGAGAGACCGTAGAAACGGTGCTCGAGCACGATCGCGGAGCCATTTTGCTGCTGGGCGATCTGGCCGTTGATGGTGCGGTTCGTAAGGTAACCCGAGTAGCCTGTTCGTCATGCACGCGTCAGTTCGTCCGCATACGCAATTTGACTGGAAACAGGCATGCTGACCATCAGCGTTCGACTCTCCCGGCGTGAACAGGACTATCGGCCCGCCTAACGATAGTTGTGAATTCACGTGCCCTGATATTATGGATACAAATCCAATCCATACCAGACTCGTAGAACTCGTAAGTGTGCCAGTAGCGCTGTTTGAACGTCCCCAGCGACGGGTTGTTGTGGTCAATCAACTGGTCAAAGTAGTACGTCGTGTTGTAGGGAGGGAGGACCGTCCCATTCCGGCTCGTCACCGGGCCCGCCTCCTCCACGGTCGGAGCGGACACCTTGGGCACACTCGGACGGGGAGGGAAGTTTGCATGGATGCGCCCATTCGACGTGAGTGCGTGCGCGCCGAGGACGAACACCGCAAGGGCAGACGCCGCCAATCCGAGCTTGAGGACCATCGCTAGTGTGCCAAGGTAGGGCCGCCTATCCGGAGGTCTTTAAGCCAAGGGTGCGCGGGGGCAGCGTTCTGGACGGTCGACAGGACGTCGTCAGTCTGGAGTATCGCTGCCGTTAAGTATATATACGCGCAGGAGGCGATAGGGCTCGCAATGGTACCGCCCATAGCCGTCGTCGCCCGGACACAAGCGTACGACGTGCCTTACAGTATGCCCGAGATTCCAGGGAGCACGCGACATCCCACACTGCGACGTTCCCTTGGGGGCCCAGCGGATCACAGCGCCGTCGTTTGAGAATCTCAGCAGGATTGATGCGATAGGTCGTGGTCGCGGCCGAGAAGGAAGGGCCAACCATCTGCTCTCGGCTTCTCTGTCAATTGCGCGCCCGTCACCAGTCGTCACCTGTGCGGGTCCACATGGTCGCTCGCGACTTGGGCTACGACACGACGATCCGCCGGAAGGCCTTCAGGAAACTGAGCGTGTTCGTTTGTGCCGTACAGCCTGTACAAGCCGAGCTTGATAAACAGTGGCTGATAGTGGCCGTGCGCATCAGAGCTCGTCATGAGCTACGATGGTGGCCGCACAAGTACGGTGCTGTCGACATGGCTATTAGAGCGTTTGCGCAATATCATTTCGTATTTCACGTGCTTGATTCCGAACAAAGTGTTGCCGGTACTACGATGACCGTCTTAACAACATGTTGCGTGCGTACAACAGGCGTTGACCCAGGACAGTGCAGAGTCCTGATGGAAACACCATCGCCAGGATGTACGGCATCACTCCCAAGCGCCGGGAAGATAACCAGATTTAGAAAGAACTCCGCCAGGTCGTGATAGCGTCAGAATCTTCTTCAGAGATTAGGAGGATATACTTAGCGCTATGATGCAGCTCGTCCACTATACTTACGTGGGACCACGAGACACACAGGTGCCGGACCGCAAGGCAATGTTCGTACTGACATACTTGAGACAGCAGATGGAGAAGTTGGGTGTTGTGTCATGCATACCGGAGAAACACGCCCCACTGATGTCCGCAAAACAGCCGCAAGGCGCTCCTCTGTGGCATGTGGGCACGCGATAAGCGGAATACAAGGAGTAAACACGTTGCTGAGTGAGGCTGTTCTTGGGGTTCCAAGTTATGAAAATGCCAAAGAATGACAGTTCGGAGAGCAAGCTCCATGACCTTACCTGCCTATGAACGATATGGATTTGGTACTATGGACGCCCAATGCAAGCTCTCCCTGGTGGTGACATCGTGTTAACGCGATAGGGAGTGGCGACAACGAATGGGTATGGAAGCCGAAGAACGTGCCTCTGCTTATGAGCAGGTTCGGGGGCTAATAAGTACGTTCTGTCCTGGTGAGTAAGGGAAAGAATTGAGCGGACATCGGAGGCAGCCAATAGGCAAGACGCCTCAAGATGCTCCCCGTCAGCGGGACGTCGCACCGATGACCATCGATGGCACAAGCGGAGCTCCCGAGCGGGAGCAATCTGTACAGGAAACGGGGTTTCAATATGACCGGTTGGTTTCCGTCGGCATGTTGTTGTCCACTATGTGTCCATCGCCAATCACGGAGAGCCCTAAACGTGGTTCAAGCATGGCAAGGAGACAGCTCGGGCAGAGAGGACCGCATGTTGACGTTCTTGTAAAGTGGGCTTCCCATCATTCCTATAGTGGTCAACAACTTGCTGTCAGGTATGGGCCTCGGACTGAAGAGCTCACCTGGATGCCTATGTCCGTTACGAGGGCCCTGGGAAGACGGACCACATAGTGCATAAGTATAACCATGACTCCTTCCGGACGGCTTGCGAGATTACCATCAACAATGGTCGTTGTCATTACAAACAAGCATGCGTACGGTATGAGCAAAGATATGGCGGAACACCCCTGGAGCATCATCGACGTATCGGATCGTAAGATACACTAACCTATCGTGAAAAAGTCCGCGGAGTAAATATGCATACAACAAGCATTCCGGACCAAGGTCAGCGCTCAGCAGTACCCAACTATATATCGTTAGCATCACATATATACCATGGACTCATCGATCACGATCACCAAGTCCAAGATCTGCGGACCACAAAGGCGGGCCCGCCATTAGCTCCGGAAACTAGCGTACGACATCGACGGCGACGAGCTGCGGAGTTTAGACGGACCAGCAGCGTACACCGTGCTCCCGCGCGTGTTCGCCATGGTGTTTGCCGCGGTGTTTGGACTAGCCATGCTCCTCAGATCCTCCGTGCTAGCAAGGAATGCCGGGTCAACATAGCCAGTAGGATCGTAGTGCTGAAATCCTCCCGACTTGCGTGAAGTCTCGCTGTTGATTGAGCCAACCGACGATATCCTGTGGATTTGAGGCGAGCCTGAGAGCGGCCGCCCGAACATGGCTGGGGTCGAACCCGCATGGAGGCTCAGACTCCGTTGATGATCACCAGCGGACGCGCGAGAAGCCGGGCGAGCTGCCGAAGCACCACCCTCTTGGGAGAATGACTGGCGGGACGACGGTCGGGACGGTGACCGCAATACCCTCGGTACAGGAGGGTTAACATCAGGATACCCTGCCATGGGGACGGCTTGACTCGGAGTGATGGGGCGCGCAGACGGAGGTCGCTCGCTTGGGTGTGCTGACTGTGGACGCCCTGATGGCGATCTAGAGCGATTCGGGTAGCCACCCATTGCACCGAAATTGATAGAACCTGAGCGTGATTCCGGCGTGCCGAGACTGCTGAAAGAAGGGCTCTGTGCCGTCCCAGAGCGAACTGGGTAGCTGCGCCCAGGGTCCGGAGTGGCCCTAGTCGACGAGCCAGCGACTGGGGTGTGGGAAGGGGGAGGGATGTAGCGGTACGGGGATTGGGAACGAAGTGGTGGCGCTCCATAAGAATAGAGAGAATTGCCGCCATAGCCAGCAGCCGCCGAGTGTGGTCGAACAGGCGTGGGGGTACTAGGCGCCTGAGGTAGCTCCTGGCGGGAGGTGTCCGGTGATAGCATACCAGGGTAATGGGAAGTAGGCGACAGTACGTTCGAGCCAGGGCCGGACTGTGAGGGTTAAGGAACATTTTTGTTCAGTTCGAATTCCGCAGCCCGCTACTTCACGCCCACAAGAACGGACAGGAAGACTCACCGGCGGCTCAATCTGAATGCTAATGGGCGTAGAGGACTCAGTTCGACGGTGGGACTCTGCGCCTAGATACGACGAGTGACCCTCCGACGGCGGAGATTGGGCGGAATGCGAGCGACGATGCGAGCGAGGTGAAGGGGTAACCGGCACAGTGGGCACATTTCGCGGGTCGCCGAGAGGCGATGGAGTGCTGATATGCGCCGGTCTATCGGGTGTATACAACCTCTCCCGGGATGACGATGGATGGCTCTGAAAGAACAAGTGAGTATCAAACTCGGAGTAGGTGCCGAGTAGAACCACTGACCTGGCTCGCCGTCGATCGTCGCCACTGGTCCATCTGCTCTGGGTCTGAGTACCGCGGGTCACTACCAATCCGCTGGTTTAGCTCCCGGCTACGAGTGCGATGCATATCTGGTATATCGGTCCCTGGGGCGTCCTCCGCTACTGGGAAATTGAGGGGTTCCGGCATAATAGAGCTCAGCACGCGCCCCTCCGTACCGGGGCTAAACTCCATAGAACTTGAAACTTCTGGGATGGCGCTCAGCCCTGAGCTACGCTCGCGGAGGCCGCGTGTAGCAGTCTTCGGCGAGCTGACGAGTTCAAATTGGGATATAGTTGTCGATGGAAGTGACTCGGCAACGGAACGCGGCGAACCCCGTGGCCCCCGCTGACCATACGCATAGTCACGAGTGTCGACTCTTAGAGCTGCGGCAGATCGAGGATCATCGGATTGCGTACTTAGGGGAGCAGTTGCCATAGACGGAGGCGGGTGCATCTGGTGAGGAGAAGGTAACGATATCATGCTGTCGGGACCCATCGGAGGGAAATAGCCATCGGAGGAGGGCGGCGCATCCTGTATGGATGTAGGACGAATGTATCGCATCTCTTCGTCCTGCGATGCAGGCCAGCCAGACGAGCCACCCGCTTGCGATCCACTCGGCAAGGGAGCTGAACGAAGCGTTGATGGGGTCATCATGATCTCCCGAAAACGCGAGCCTTGGGCTCCTGCTCCATCCTGATCGTAAGCGGAGGCAAGCGGCACGTTCTCCGGTGCAGGGGTAAAAAGGTTCATCATGGAGAAACCGTCCAAGGTATCTGTGCGCCCGGGGTGGGCCGCAGACTGACCCTCGCCAGAGGTTCCCGCAATGATGTTACCCAACGGCCCCAAGCCTGCCGGTGGTATGTCGAGAGGGCCTTCGACGAGGCTCATACCGCGTGCTTGCTGATAACCCCGTCGAAGGCCCTCCTGGTATCCTTCTCTGCGACCCTCCTCCTTCGCCTTCATCATCAGCTGCTCCTCCTTCAGCCTCCGGGCCATGGATCGCGCCCTAGCTGCGGCCGCCTCCGCACTATCTCGCTGCTGCTCGATATCCTTCAGCAAGTCCGAGCCCCGCAGGATTTCCCTCTGCGCATTGTCCAGCTGGACCTTGTACATCCGCAGCTCAGAATGTGCGCGGTCAAGCTCCTGCTGGGTCGCAAAGCGGGCCTCATTCACGATCTTGAACCGCTCGGCGAGCTCGAGGGCGCGTCGTTCGGCCTCTTTCGCCCGCTGCGTCTCCGAGTCGAGACGGTCGAGCGCAGCATGCAGGACCTGGCGCAGCTTCTTGGCTTCTTTCGTGTCATCCACGAGGTACTTGACGCGATGGCTGAGGCTGAGGCGATCGTAGTCGGCTCTCCGTTTAGAGTGCCGCCGATCATTCAGGCTGTTGCCTGCGCCGGAGTGAAGCGAGAGCTGAGAGTTCCGGGGATCGAGTGTCTCAATCGCCTCTTCTACATCTTCATTGAGGGGAGCGAGGTCGCGCTCGCTATCTGTAGCATCTTCCTGCAGGGGTGAACTGCTGGGGATTGGTATGCGAGCATGCAGAGATGTCAAGAGCACTTACTCGTCCGAACTGTTCGAGAGGCGGGCCCTCAATTGATCTGAGGTGTTCATGTATCGTAAGCGTAGAGTTTGGTTGTTCCAACGGATGATGGAAGGCGCGCGGATATTAGCAGAGCAGGTATTACAGACGTGCTGGGTGACGCGGGGTAGTCTTAGCCTTGGCAGACGCGATGACGACACCAAGCCAGAACAATTGGTTGGTCGGTATGTATACAGAGAACCGCAAGCGCAGCGTATAGAAGATACAACAGACAAGATCTATGATGAAGTAGAGTGCATGGTGCAGGAGACAAGGGCAGCGCAGGGCAGAGGAAGATTTCTTGGGAACAAGGGGCGCCAGCAGACTCAGAGTTTGCGTCGCCGGACACTATACGGGCACCGCGCGAGCGTCTCCTCCCCCGCCAGTGAGTGCCGCGGTTCCACTTCGCTGAGTCCACCCTCATGGACTCTACCTAGCATGGCCCTCCTCCCTCGTCTCGTGCACGGCGCGACCCCCTTCCTAACTAGACGGATATTCAAACTACCGGACCTCTCATCCCTAGCCCCACTTGCAGGCCACGATGGAAACGGCTCACGGCCACAAGTATACCATGAACGCAAGATATTCCCGTACGTGGGGCTCCCAGATGAGTTCCGGATGAACGCTCCGACTGAGGCCGCGGACTCTATTCGCAGTTACACACAGAAGCAGCTATACGAACTCGTCGCCGACGCATCGTCGTATCCTAGATTCCTGCCGTTCTGCACCAGTGCACGTGTGCTAAACAAGGAGCCACATCCCTCTGACCCGCACGGGCGTCTTAGCATGGATGTCGAACTAACGGTCGGCTTCATGTCGTTCACCGAAAGCTATGTCAGCAAGGTGACATGTAGGCCATACGAGTCCGTGGAGGTGAGCTGCGTGTTGCGCGGGCCGAGGGAAAAATACACGGACCTGTTGCTGACGTAGCATGTACGTTGTAGGCCGTCGCGGCATCTTCTACGCCCTTGTTCAAGTCCTTGGATACGATATGGCGGTTCCAACCCGCGTCCGCACAGTCACCGCATCTGGGCGCTGGCTTGCCTTCGCCAGCAGAACATCTCAAATCAACTACCGCAGCACCTCAGCCGGCGAGTGCAGGGGACGCGAGTCCAACTCTCGTCACCCTAGATTTGTCCTTCGCTTTCGTGAATCCTGTACACGCCGCGGTATCCGCGACGTTCTTTGGTCAAGTGTCAAAGATGATGGTTAAGGCATTCGAGGAACGATGCTTGGAGATCTACGGAGAAGGGAAAGCCTAGACTTGTTAGGACATTGTACTGTTATCGGACACTTGATTGAGGACACTGTCTTCTATTCAACGAGGCACCCTATTGGCCGGAATGATCATTCCTTTGGAATAAAACTAGGTTCCGTAGCTAGCTTCCGCTCCATCACAACGTCCGTGAGGATTATAAGCCCTTCCAAAAGCGCCACATCGGAAATCCCCATACGACGCCTACTTGCAATCCAGAGTCGACTAGATCACCTAGCGGTCTTGTGGGCCTCAAGTCAGACAATTCTTTGCCTGCCTTGACACTACCGAGGGCGCCGGCATTCCTGTCGATCGTTCGTCCCGTAATCGTAGTATCGTAGTGCACCCGTATCGTCTCCGTAATCAGATCTGCCACCCGGCGTTGGATCCCGAGCAAATCCCGGTCCACACGTACTTTCTCCGTAACAGTTACGATCGTCCCGTATTTGTCTCGATGCGAAGCCCTACTTCGTGTATCGATCTCACAACCAAGGTCGGGGTCGGGTTGCGGGACGGAAAGGTCTTCTTGATACACTCGTCGAGGGTGTAGCATGACGATGATACCATTGTTGGCGTCAGGGACTGTGGGATAGCAGATCTGGGGTCCCCGTGAAGCCGGTGGCGGCATCGTTCTTGACGAGTATGAGGCACTCCTCTCCCTTTGCGTCCAGCGTGGTGGACGGCGTAAGTTGTCAAATTTGACGTAGTCTCGGAGCTGCATCAGGCCACCGCTCGAGACTGGAGTTGGCGCGGATCCCAGCATCGAGATACATCTTCTCCATGAGATGATCAATCGTATGCTTGGATCTTGGATATGACGGTTAAGCTAGACGACCTCAGTGACATAGATTGAAAGATACCAAGAAGGATAACATTTCCCCAGGCAGTGTCACAGTCGAAACCGCCGCAGTTGAGCTTCAGAGAGCCCAAATTTCGGTAGACCCGACGAGCATGGGAGGACAGACGGCGTGCCCGAGAATGCGCTGGCTGTGCCAGGATGTGACAGTGTCATCGTATAACCTTGGTACGCCCGCTGGCGACGCCTCCGCCACGCAAACTCTTCCACGTAACAGTCGATCATGGGATCCCAATGGCTAATCTTGTCCATGATGACCTCGCGAGCGTCCTGGAAGGGTCTGCATAAGGTGACGAGCGGTGAAGAGGATCGCTCTTACCGCCTTCGCAGAAATAGAGACAGCATATACCTTTCGAAGTACAGAAAGGGCTTGGGAGTAATCTGAGGGTTAAGTCCTGGGGTGGAGGGAACGCGTACGTAGTCTATTGGAGCGACAAGGGATACGTGCCGCGGTCCGGCGCACCAGTAATCACGACGTCAGTGATCGCATAGTCCAAAGAAACTGCTTGCAGCGCACAGCCGAGTCCTTGGCCTAGAAGGGGGAGTGTGTACCGTGTTGCACGCAAAGCTACAAAAAGAGGGGGCCCGAGTACTTTGTGGCTTCGGCGAAGCGGACGGATACAGCCCGATAGAGTCGAAGTTTTTGTAGCAATTCTCACCTAACTCGTGCCACACAGGTGTGTACAGACAGGGCGGGCTTCCTTGGGGACGCATTGAGCCTAGGTAGATGGAGGCCGTTAGTGAGGAGACCGTAGAACTTAGGCCTCGTTCAACGTGGGCCTCGTTTTTCCCACATGCATGCGACCAACTACTCGACCATTGAGCGCCGAAGATCTGGAGGCCAGTTCGGTCCGGGGCTCTGCTGACAGGCTTGCGGACGTTCCACAGCTGAGCGCATGAATTGCTAAGTACGAAAAGTCATCCTATGACACGCATTGCCAACGGTGGTGGCTTTCAAGCGCACTAAATACAGATGGACATGTTGCATTCGGCGTCCAATACACGCCGGCATCTGTTACGGCACACCTGCTGGTGGCACCTTGTACTATTCAAAGCCTACATTTCAAGGTTCCCACTTCCCATGACACACAGCGATGAGTGAGCTCACGCGACAGGTCATGCAGTAATTTTACGTTAGGCTCCATGATAATGCGGATTCATCGGCTGAGCGTGATATGAGGGTCACGCCTGCGGTACACTACAAAGCAATCACAGACGTGCATTACGAACCGCACATCACTGCCGCGAACCGTGACCTGCAACTGCACCCGGGCCCTGGAGCAAGCATGACTGGTGTCGAACAAGATTCCATCACATGCCAGATGTCGATGCCATCTGTACTCCAACCAATCCAAAACGTGCATGAGGACGGATGTGTTGAAGTCAAAGGGTGCGGGCGTACCTCCACAACGAGTAGATCGCCCAAGCCTGTGCGCATGCCTGCTTCCCTGCATGGCTGAGAGAGGAGCTCGATGCAGGACTGACCCTAAAGAAGGCAGACGAAGGTGGATCGAGGTAGATAGGAAGCGGTCAGAAACGGGCCGTGCTGAGACGGGAGAAGGGGCGCAGGTGGGCGAATGAGAGAAGAGACTCACCCCAGTCGAGGCCATCGAGCAGCCTTACAAGAAGCTGATGGAATGCGAAAAAACGTGAGGGAGCTAGTGTGTCTAGAGACTCGCACGCAATCGCGCTGCCGCCGTTGGAAAAGGAGAAAATGACCTAAAGCCATGTAAGAAGAACGGACAGTAAGTAAGGCGTTCAATCAGAGGTTGTGCATCAGGCAGGGGAACGGAATATGTACCTCCTGGCGGCTGGCGGAGGGGCTGAAGGAAGACCGCAGGAGGAGGAGGGACCTGCTGATGCTGGGTTGGAGCGAGCAATGCGCATTTATGTAGGGGCCAGATCCGCCTTGCGTCCGGGACGTCACGATGTCGCGAGCGTCATTCTACCGGTGGACTTGAATGACAGAACCAGCATATTGATCGATGTCCCTCAAATCTGAAGGCCTGATTCCGGACACCCAATTCAACCGTTGCGGTCTTCCGGAAGCTCGCGGTCAGAAACGTTCTCGGAGCTTGGGGCGATAAGAGGGTGACACCCTACCCGCACTACGAGACCACCCCGAGCTACCCGTCAACGTGGCGTCCGTTTGCCAACCTGCAGGCGAGGATGGGCCAAGCGGCTATGGTCCGGGAACAAAACGAGATGTGTCCTACGACGTATTTCCATCAGTAGCTATCAAGATTAGAACACCGCCAGAATGGACGTCGTGGAGGGCGGAGCGTGAGCGCCTTCGAGAAAAACCTGCGAGGGCTTCCAAAACAGGCCTGGCTAGACCTCTTGGAGGGTGTTTGGTAAACGCGCGGTGACATATCGAGACGGAGACGATCCCACTCACCTCAATCATCATGTCCGGTATGCAAGTATTACCGCATGTTTACTAGTCAAGCCCCTGCATAGGACCATTCTCGCCTGATCTGCTATCTTTTGAGGATGCACGGAAGTTCGCAAGCTGCCAGGGGGCACAGAAATGGGGCACGTTCACAATTCAAGGTTCTGGAAGCTGTAGCACAAGCGGGCCGTTTCCGAGACCTTCTCACAATTTATGACCAGGCATGATCATTAAACGCGAGCCTGCGCATAGGGGGTGAAAGGGGGAGTTCCATCACCGGGACGCAGTGGTTGATCATGTGCGTACATGATTTCGTTTTGCTTGAGCGAGCGAGCGAAGGCGATGGCCGGGAACGCTGCGCTTCTATACGATACCCCTGCGAAAGAAGCAGACAAGAGGAGAGTTCGGGGAGGCTCCAGAGCATCCACGCCCATGCACAGCAAGCTACAACGTCTTGCGGCTATCTGCAGAAGTTAGTAAGCAACGAGGTCGGAAAAGAGAAACCGAAGCTTAAGAGTGGCTCGTACGACTTAAAACACTCACTAGGGGTAGACGCAGTCGTTCGCCGGTAGTCGAACGCCGTCCTCGAAACAATCGCTACCTAGGACGTCTAGGTTGGTACACCCTCGTGGTCGTGCCGACAGGAACGTTTGCAACGGCTCGATATGCCGGGAGGTTGAACCCTCAAAGACACTGCACGACGTCGGCTAGGAAGGCAACAACAGAACCTCACTTTCGAAGGCACAGAATGCCGGGGCAACCTGAGTAGCGTAGTTCTTCAGTTTTCACAAACATTTCGGCGCATCATGGCAGAGTGCATCAAACCAGGAGAACGGCGGGGGGAGAACGGCGGGGAGAGTAGGAGCCGACATCCGGGAGATGGGCGCATAGCGAAGCGTGATATCAAAGCAGCAGAGAGATTAACTTTGGGATTGGAGGGCTGAGTTCCATGTTTGATTCCACGCGAATGCCGCGTGTCGCCTACCATGGGTCTCTAGAAGCATGAGAAGTCATGAACGAGATACACGCATGCGTCTGTCCGATTGTGCCCACGAGGGTGGAGATTAGCTGCCACACACACTCTCGACAGACAGGTCTGCCCTAAGCTGTTAGACATTGGAGGCTTGTGCCACACACCTCATGGAGTAAACGCTTTGCATGTGCGTATGTAGTGCGATGCATTGGGTTGAAGGCGCGCTTGCTCAGATGGGCAGATCAATTGCAGCTAGACATATTGATACAAGACGACGGTCGTAGCAGCTGATAAATAAAGCAAATATGTCGATACAAGCCGTCGTACATTTGCGGCTAAAGTCGAACTTCGAATGCAGAGCATCCTACACACTTGCATGATATCAGGACGGTCAGATGGGATGTCAAAGATCTCAAGCCGCATAGTCAGCATTCTCGGGGCAGTCGCGAGCAATCTGAGTTGCCTGTCAGTCTGGGTTGCACTGTAGGGAGCGGAACTGATTACATGTCCCTCCTGCTGACACTTGTAGCAGGTCTTGTTCTTGTTGGGGTTGCCGACCGGGGCGCCAGTATCTGCGACGGTCGTGCCGGGAGCAGCAAGACAATCCCTGTACGGAACAGCCATGCCATCAGCCTTGACGTGCGGAGTTGGTGGCGCACGAAGTTGAGACATGCGTACCTCGCCATATGGTTGGGTCCACCGCAGCGGTAGCACTTGACCGGGGGAAGGGTAGAGGTGTTCAGCGCGCGTCCCGGCGGCGGCAAACGAGAGGCGAAAGCGCCACCAGGGCCATTCGGGCAGGATCGCGCGAAGTGTCCGAAGCGACCGCAATTCTTGATAGACAAAAGAAAACATGCTCAGGCAAGCGTAGAACCGTATTCAACCAGGTGAGACTCACGTAACACTTCTGGCCGGAGTTCTGCAGCCGAAGACTAGGACACTCAGCTTGGATATGGCCCACGCCCCCGCACGAGTAGCACTGCTTAGCAGCAACCGAGCGGGGCTGCGGGCAAGCCGCCGATTCGTGGCCCGGCTGGCGGCAGTTATAGCAGAGCCGCTGCTCCGAAGAGCAGTTCTCTGCAATGTGTCCCACTGCAAACGGTCGGACACGGTATCTATCATTGGCGCATATCGGGAGCGAAAGAGATCCACATACGATTCCCGCACTTGAAACACCCTTTCCTACTAAACTGATACGCCATTCTGACTTCTGCAAGATGCCTGAACGTAATATAGAGGGATAAACGGATAGCTCTCCAGGCGTGTGTGCTCCACATACCTCGCTTCTTCCCTCTTCCTACTAACCCAGCTTTCCAACCCTCCTCCTTCGTAAGGATAGGACCGGCGACGAGTGAGATGAGCGGTGGTGATAAATCATCCAGGGCGATGGAGAGGCCATCGGGGGCGCTGCTTCAGGGCCGGCTTTACTACTGAATCAGGTGATCCCAACATGAAGATTGACTGCTAGCTCAGGCTGCCGGCTTTCCCCTCGACATCCGTCGCGATGTCTGCACTACCAGCGTATTGTACGGTACGCCAAAGCCGATGTACCCAGCGGCACGGCGCACTGTACCATCCATATTGCGTTTCGACAGCGATGAAACAATTGTTGTGCTGCACCTGCACTGCCAAAGTACGGGGAGCCGCATGGCAGATGCCCTGACAAGATCGATAGACCTCAACCTGGCATGCCCCGCGTTGCCCACGACTCGGGGAGCCAAGCCGGTCAATTCACTTGGATGTTCTGGAATCCATCGGCCAGCTAGGCTTTCAAGTTCCAGGCTTTCAAGTTCCATGTCCGAAACCGACCTTGCGAAGCGGCATGCGGAGCCTCCGCGACTCTCCATCCGAGCTTGCTTATTGCCCTACGCGGATCTCAGGTACTGACTCTTAGCCCAATGAGCAGGTTCGTACCCGCTGCCTTGGATCGAATCCATGCTAATTGATCATTAGCTCAAACCGCTTGCCTGCTCCTATCGTTCCGCACGGGTCTTGCACAATTGCGGAGGGTGAAAACGGTCTATCGTCCCAACTCTGCTGATATATCTTGATCCGAATCTCCGACATGACTTTAAAAGCCTTTCGAAGACAATTTACTCCGCCCCGGGCGCAAACCGCCTCCCCAAGGGCGTCCCCACGTCCAGGTATGTCCCTCGCCTCTTCCAGCGGCGATGCCGCTAGCCCTTACGGCAGCCTTGTGCTCATTGGCATTTTGTCATTGATCTGTCTGTAGGGTGCACGGTCTCTTGGTCACACTGCGAGTGACCTTCCAGTGTACATCCGCACTCCGCCCACCCGCATCCATCGCGCTTCTTGTTAGGTTCAACATTCACTTCGCTCAAGGTGAGTGCCGTGGATAACCCATAGATTGGGTTCAGAGATGAAGTGATTGAGCCCGCAGATTTCCTGAAGCCTTCTGCGAAGCGGCATGCGCAGCCTAACAAGACGCGTAGTAACGAGCGCGCGAAGTATGTGTATTATGCATGGAAGGGCGGGCACCCCGACGTCGTTAGGGCCTTGACGCTGTTAGCGCCATTGGTGAGTCAGTCATCAAATCGAGGAATGACGGCCAACTTATTATGTTGTAGATCTGTACATAGTCTTCCTGTTCTGGAGCATGCAGGACATACATCAGGTTAGTTTACGACGCTCTGATACCGTTCCCTGCATGTCTTCGGTCTACCATAAGCACAGAAAGACACCTTCACTTCCTCAGTCCATCATTAGACGTGCTCTTCGGGCATGCTGCTATGTGTCAGAAGCTGTCGGACAGGCTGTCTGGATTTTGAAGTAATCTTGCGTCAGGTGCCAATTTTGTATGAATGCACTCCATAACAGATGATATGTCTTCGGCTATGCCCTCTAACAAAGCCTGCTGTTGATCGATATTCGTTACTCAAGAGGTTCAGAACTGCCTTTTGCCCGTCCGTTCGTGGGGCGGTGGGGCGAAAATTTGGTGTGACTGAATCTGGCCACCAGCAGGAGAGTTGAGCGGATGCGCCCATCACGTTTGCGGAGCTCGGCGTTGACTGTCATCTCCTATATTCTTGGCGTTTCTGAGCTCTCTGCCGCCGCCTGCTCTCTCGAACAGGCATTGAGTCGCCAACCTGCCTCCGGCGCAGCTCTCGCGCAACCCGCAGCCTCCAATTATCATCAGAATCACATCGATAGGTGTGGTCTAAACCACTCATACACCTGGTACAAGGCTCGGGCCTATCCCCAGCACTTGGTCACGTATCTCCTCTGCTGCGCATTCAAAGTGTGTGCTGAGCGCACGTTGTGTTTGACCAACGCGCCCAACTGTTGTTGCGATATCTCTTATCACCGGGTCCTGTGAGCCGCTTATAGTTAGGCACGTATGTAGTCGCATGCTGTTTGTCACCTACAGTGCTTTGCAAAAAAGATTGCAGTGCGAAGCGCGCCAATCCGGTTTGCCCCTGCTTGGTCCCCCGTCGGCTACGGCGAGGATTTCTGTTTCGGGAACCGGGCGCTCACAAGGACTCCGTCCGTCAAAGCCGTGCTTGAGTCCGTGCCCGCTTTCCTACTGCCAAAATGCACGACGATGTTCTTTGCCTCAGCAACATAACTTTCTGAACATATTTGGTAGGTTTGTACCTGAAAAATCGACCATGCTGCAAGGAGGCTCCCGGCATTGCGGGCGTTTCCCCGGGTGGGCAAACAGAGACAAACAGGATTTTGCGCGCTTCGCACTGCAATCTTTTTTGCAAAGCACTGTAAGTATGATATATATAAGTACTTACCTGCACATGGCGTAGATGTTCCCAGGAGCTCCTCATGAAACCAGTCATTCTGTCCTGGCTTATCTATTCGTAGCCGCTGACTCATAGGTCGTCTCAGGCCTCACCGTGGGGTATCTCGGAGGGCCGCGTCAACAGTCGTCTCTTGCTGCCAACTTACGAACCCCCCCGCACCGTCGCCATCGTCCAGAGCAAGATGGAATACACCGAGAAGCAACCCAAGGCCATTGACCTGGCACATCACCTCTCGGATGTCTCGCGAGCACGTGAGACGTCCCCATTGAAGGATTTGGCGCGGCAGTTCGGACGCCCGGGCCTTATCTCATTGGCGGGAGGTGAGTACGCGCTCTTGGAAGTGCCCTCGGTTCGGAAGACGTAGTGCTTGTTGTTAATGGCGTGATCCTCCAGGCATGCCAAACGAGGCGTACTTCCCGTTCGCCTCCATCTCTGGTGACAGTGAGTGTCACCTGTCGCGTTGATTGTGTCAGTCCAATCAAGTGATTAACTCTACTCATGATGTGCAGTTCTTCATCCTGCCTCGTTCTCGACTTCAAACGATGATAATGAAGAGTCTATCTCCTGGTTTTGGAAGCTCTTCGGCGGCTCTCGCAAGGAGAAAACTAGTCCAATCACTATTCCGAAGCACCCAGCCAAGCCGGACGACATCAACCTGACGGTAGCGTTGCAGTACGGAACGGCAACCGGCCTGCCACAACTCCAGAAGTTCATCAGCGAATTTGTAGAGAAGGTTTACCAGCCTGCCTATGCAGACTGGACTGCACTCGTGCAGACTGGCAACACGGATGGGTAAGTGTTATGAGCGCCTACTATTTCTAGCGGTGGTGCGCCACTGCAGCGTTCTTCTCCCCTAAATGGATCTCCTTACCGGCGGAGAAGGGTAGCAGCTCAATTCTGTGTATTTCTATTCCAGCTGGTCGAGGTGCCTCAGCTTGCTGTGCAACCCAGGCGAAGCGTTCATTACCGAAGACTGGACTTACCCTTCTGCGCTCGCGGGCAGCGTGCCTTCTGGCAAGCTCCCTGTCGGCGTGCCCATGGATGATCAGGGCATGCGCCACGACGAGCTTCGGAAGGTCCTGGAGGAATGGGACGAGGCCGCGCGAGGAGCGAAGCGGTACGCGTTTCATTGAAGGCGATCCGATCGCACTGGGTCCCTCGGTCACGAACTCCGCTGATCTCTCTTCCCTTAAGCCCTCATGTTATGTACACGGTCCCGATAGGCCAGAACCCGACGGGCGTGGTCTGTGTCTATGTTGATCGGAAGCAATCTGAACGCGGTCATTTACTGAATTTACGGTAGACTATGGGGCTTGAGAGAAAGAAGGCGATCTACGACATCTGCGTCGAGTTCGGTCAGCGGTGTGTTCCTCACTGACGAAGGGCCTCATTCTGACGTACCGGAAATAGACATCATAATCGTTGAAGATGACCCTTACTACTTCCTCCAAATGGGCAAATACGCCGCACAGTCAGCACGAGCCCCGCATGCAGGGTTCGCGGATCCCGCAGGATGGCTCACCAGCCTGGCGCCCAGCTATGTCAAGTAGGCTATCTATGAGGCCTCGTGTACACTATCACTCAAACATTCGCCCTGGTGTTAGGATTGACTACCAAGGTCGAGTTATACGCCTGGACACGTTTTCGAAGGTAAGGTGGAAGAAGCTACCTCAACAGTCTGTGTTTGTCAACCCATGCCGACCCTCAAACTCCGTAGACTATAGCTCCCGGTTCCAGGTTGGGCTTCTTCACCTGCAATCCTGTCTTTGCGGAACGGCTGGAGCGCATTGGAGAGACGTCTACCCAGGCCCCATGTGGCTTTGGTCAGGTGCGTCTCTATATCACTGATAGCCAACCTTGTGGGACATGCCGTGGCTCACGGGAAGACTAATTGATCTGTGTCCTTCGCGTAGTCTCTGATCACCCAACTGCTGACCACATGGCAGTTCGACGGTTACGCTAGGTGGCTGCAGGGTAAGTTGATGACCCCACACAGGTTCCAATCCCGTTGATCATGTGTCCCTCATCCTGCATTCTGCTCGTCAGGTTTGGCGGCGCAGTATACATCGCGCCGCAACTCATTCATCGATGCCCTCCAGAGCGAGTTCCACTTGCGAGTATCCGTGGGCACGGCCGGCTCTTGGAAGGATTGCGTGATCTACACGGCGTCAGCCAAGGCCAGGCGCGGGGACGCCATGTCGGAGAAGGCGGCGCTCTTTGGTCAGGGCAAGCCGCTCTTCAGCTTCGTCCCGCCGTCTGCAGGCATGTTCCTCTGGCTCAAATTCCACTGGGACAACGTTCCCGGCTTCAAGGAGGGTGACGAGGATACTTTGGAGATGAAGCTCTGGAAGAAGCTTGCTAAGGCCGGCGTGCTCGTAGTGCCTGGGCGTTTCTTCGCGTCCGACGAAGACGAAGTGAGCCCTGTTGAAGGTCACTTCCGGATTTCCTTCAGCTATGCTTCTGTACGTACCCAGCTTTTGATTTCTGAGTACGATTTTCTATGCTAAACCACGTCTGGAAACACAGAACGAGGCCTTCAAGAAGTCTGCCAAGATCCTCAGCGAGGTTGTGGGCGACTTTTTCCATCATCAGTCTTAACCTACTCCAGACTCCTCCCTTCGAGAGTGTGATTTTGGACTGTGTTGCATAGGGGCAGCATATATGAGTGTATTGCTGAGTGCTGGGTCGTAGCAAAGTATAAAGTCAACGAGAAGGTAGTGAAAGCGACGGAATTGTCAATTGTGCATCTGTAGCATGAGCGCTCAATATAATGCTCGGCCGAAACTTTATCTCAGCCACCACCGTGACGACTCACGGGCGCTCGACGCGAACTTGCCTCCCCTCATTCACCTCCCGACCCGCCCTAAACCGTCGCGGCACGCGCACCATTCTATACGCGCCCTTGACAATTCCATGACATCGACCTCCGCCACCTCCGCCCCGCTCGCCTCACTATCCGATGACATCCAACGGGCACTCCAGCAGGCTGTAGGAGACGCGAACAATGCCGCCAACGCCGCCGCCGTTCAGGCCAAGGCGAAGAAGTCGAAGCGGCAGCGGGACGAGGCTGGGGATGGGACCGTGGCGGAGGACGCTGGCAACGTGAGGAAGAAGAAAAAGTCGAAGCACCGTGACGCGAGTGCGAGTGCGAGTGCGGAGCAGGCGGGTGCAAGCACGAGCGAGTCCCCCTCGGGATCGAGCAATGAGCGCACGCCTGGCGCTGTGTCAGGCGCGGGTGCAGGTGTAAGTAACGATACTCCGGGGGCAAGTCCGGATATCACTGCAACCGCGCCTTCCAAAAAGAAAAAAAAGGGCAAAGGCAAGGAGCGTGCGCACGAGGACCAGTCACAATCTCAACCCATATCACTACTATCTGCCCCCGACGCGCTTGCTCCTGCGCAGGTTGTCCCCACCCAAGGCGAGATCCCCCAAGCCGTGATCCAGCAGCCCGTACCGACGACGAGCAGCAGCGTGGTCCCAATGGACCTTGCGACGTCTTCCGCGGACTTTATCTCTGCAGTGGTTGCGGCGGCCTCGGCGACCGCCGGGCAGCAACCTCAGGGTGGGCAGTCCCTCGACCAGGCGATGCAGCAGTATATGGCCTATCCACCCCCCGAGTTCGACCCTTACGCCTACGCCGGCCCTCCCCCAGGTCATCCTCCACACCCGCCCTCAGGACTGCCGCCGGCGCACGGGCAGCCGCACCATCCGTTCCCAGCACCGTTCCCAGATATGACGGGCATCCTGCCCGACTTGAACTTCGCGTCCAGCGAGGACCTGCTACGCAGCCTGCAAGAGTTCGATATCTCGAAGGTTGTCACCGTGCTCAAGACGCTTGGCGAGGCAGCTGCCGCTGCGAACATCCATCTGAACGGCCCGCCGATGTTCGTGCCCGTTCCCCAGCAGCCGCCTCCCCCCACGGTGCAGCAGCAGCCGGTGCGGTCGGAGGCGATTCTGGGCAGGCCCCCGAAGCAGAAGAAAGGCAGGGGGCAGGGAGCGAACGGGGCAGGGGGGACAGGGGAGGCTGCCCCGCCTCAACCGGATAACCCTGACCATGCGCATATGCTCGCGAACGTGTGGATGAACGCATCGAAGCTTGCGGAAATGGTCCGGACGGAAGGTCAGTAGGCCCCAGACGCTCGGCTAGTTCATCGTGACATGTGCGACCGGATGCTGATCATGGGGTCTTTGTTGCGTGAAGGCTTGGTGTATAAGAAGGGCAAATTCTCTGCGACGGAGGAGGCGCAGCTGGCCGCTGCGATCGAGCGGTACCGCGTCGTGAGTATATGCGGGTGGCCCGCTACCGCGGTACGACGACTGACGCGGTCGGGTTGCAGAAGAAGGGTCTTTCTCAGGCTGAGCTCGACCAGATCGTGTTCTCAAACAAGGTGGGGCGGGAGAAGGGGCACGAGTCGTTCTGGTCGGAGATCAGTAGGTCATCCTAGGCTCCACCGGGGGGTAAGCTCGCTGACCAAGAAAAACCAGCGTCTGCATTGCAGCTGCGTCCCATCATCGCCGTGTACCATCATGTCAGGCGGACACGACATCCGTATGCGGGCAAGGGGACATGGACAAAAACTGAGGATGAATTGCTGATCCAGTCTGTACAAGACCTTGGGCAACAATGGGAAAAGATCAGCGACATCGTTCAGCGGACGGCCGCGGACTGTCGTGATAGGTACCGAAACCACCTCCAGGATCGGGACGTCCGGCGTAGTGGTACGTAGATGCGGCCAAACTGGCCGCGCGTTTATCTCTGACGAACCCCCTCGCTTTGCCAGGAACGTGGTCCAAAGAGGAGGAGGAAGAGCTGACGAGAATCGTGACGGAGATGACGGTAGGCCAGGGCAAGGACATGGACAACGACATCTTCTGGGGCGTCGTGAGTCAGAAGATGGGCGGTACGCGGGGTCGACAACAATGCAGGATCAAATGGTATGAGACCTTGCAACGGCTCGTTTGCGTCTCGCTGAAGGGGTGCGGTTGTAGGACCGATTCTTTGGCTCCTCAGCTCAAGAATACGGGCGAGCGGCCGCGCTGGAGTGCGATGGACGCTTATATTCTAGTGCACAAGTGCGTAATCCACCGAGCGCGCGCTATGCGAGGTACTGAAGCATGCCACTTTCGCAGGGTCGACTCGATGAACGTGCGAGACGACACAGAGATCGACTGGAAGCTGCTGCCCGACGAGAACTGGAATGTCTGGAGCGCGCACTCGCTGCAGAGGCGGTGGCTAACAATGAAGCGGAGCATCAAGGGCTTCGAGGAGATGTCCCACGCAGGCAAGTCAATTCATCGGCGATCTGCGGCTGCCGGCCCTGCTAGCTGACGCTTGACATTGCACAGAGATCATGGAGATCCTGAAAACGAAGAAGGCGCAGTCGCCACCGCCATCGTCAATAAGCCGAAAGAAAAAGAGCAAGTTCACTAGCGCGGAGGCGGTGAACGATGTCGACGACGTTGAGATGGAGGGGCAGCCGGAGGCGGGGTCGAGCAGCGGGCCCGGTACCTTTGTCGGTGCTGCGGGTCTAGACTGAAGGGGCACAAAGGACGTGGTGGAATGGGGTACGGTCGAAGAGACCTTGCTTTGTCGCTCTTCGCTAAGTATCTGCTGCTATCAGTACAGTTGCTTTGTTGCCAGACGCGGCCACGTGACGGTAGAGACGCGTCTCTGTCGAACCAGGCCAAAAGGGGAAGCGCCTGTGGTTGTCGGTTTAGATCCATCGCGTGCCACTGCCACTGCGCTCAGCCTGAGGCGTGTCCCGTATCTGCCCAACTTCACCGCCAGGCTGCTATTTATCTTTCCCTTCTCTCAGTCTTTGTTGATATCTCGTTTCTCTCTGGCTCGCGTGCTCGCGTCGATCTCGCCATCATGGCGTTCCCTCAAACCCCAAGAAAAGTCCCGCTTGCTGTAGAGGACGAACATGTACCGAGGCCCAAGCCCAGGTCGATTGGCTCGAGCGTGACGAAGCGCGTATTCTTCTGTGGTGTTGTGGTAGAAGGTACGGAGGGTGGACGGGAGCTTCCTCAAGGTGCGTACGAGAATGTGACTGGGATTTTGTAAGACACCGTGGGTCGCGACCGTCGGGGTGGAAGGTACCTGTAGGAAATTCAGTGCAATCCCTAACGTCGCGCGTATTATACAGATGTTCAAGACCTCATTGCCTCTTTGGGCGAAAGTGTGGATATGGTACCGGAGCCGACACAGACTTCACCAACTCAGGCTAACGAAGATGCCCAAGCAGTGCGTGTATCTCACGAGTGTCTCTGTTCTTGGACGTCCGCAAACCTCACAAGCTTTGCCCATGGCGCTCTACCTAGGCTACAAGACGACGAGCTATGACGAACACGTCTGCATTTGCTGACCTGGTCAAAGAACTGATCGCGACCGAGCGCAACTATGTCAAGAAGATACGGATCCTCAAGACGGACTACGCCGACCCCCTGCGCTCCTACTCCAAAGACAAACACACTGCCATTATCGGCCCTTACGAAGCTAAGACGCTCTTTGGCAACATCGACCAGCTCCTCCCCGTGAACGAGGCGTTTCTCGCCGACCTTGAGAAGATGGACCGCGATGGCAACGGCAGCCCAGGCGTGGGCGACGTCGCGCTCAAGCACTTCAAGAAGCTCAAGGGGTTCGAGAAGTACGGGCAGTACTTTGCGAAGCACGAGGAGGTGCAGAGGCTGCTGGAGCAGGAGCAGAAGAAGAATTCGCGATTTGCGGAGTTCATCGAGGTGCGTTTATTGAGCTGCCTCCCGCGTCGCTTCGCCCCCTCTAGTCTCGATCTCATCATCCCCGTCTGCAACTTTTCTGCGAATCGCTTGCGCACATATAGCGCGTCAAGTACAGCACCGCGTTCGACTCCAAGAACAAGTTCGGCCTGAATCAGCTCATCGCCGAGCCATGGCAGCGCATCCCGCGATATACCCTCCTCTTCAACACCATGCTCAAGCACATGGCCATGAACCACCCCCAGCGCGCCCCGCTTGTGGCAGCCATTCAGGCTGCGACTGTTATCGCGAAGGCGGAAACGGACGCAGAGACGAAGCGCATGGCGATCATGCACTGTTTGTCCATGACCATCGAGGACTTCCCTGTGTCTCTCATCTCTAACTCCCGGCAGTTCGTGGACTGTATAGACGTCCAGGACGTCATCGCCCCGGACCCGCACGCGCCTGTGTCGTCGAGCGGGCCTGCGTCGGCTGGGACGCTGCATTGCACGCTGTTCCTATTCGACGACAAGGTGATGATCGTCAAGCGGCCCGCAGAGAAGAGCGGCAGGACACTTGCAGGACTGGACCCCCCTCATCTCGACAAGGTTATTAAGGGCGGAACGCTTCCGTCGAGCATGCGGAAGGGTGGATTACTTTGCAAGGGCGTCGTGGACATCACGGACGTGAACGCGACCGACGTTGGCGGAGCCGGTATGTCTGCATGTCATTTTCCCTCTCACAACCTGACTGAACTCGCTTTGTACCCAGATTTCCATATCTTCCTCGAGAACGCGCTCCTTGAACAGTCAGAGCGCTGGGGCGGTCGCCAGTTCCGCTCGCTCTCGGTCGTGTTCCCCCCGGCGGCGGTCTATCTGGACCCTTTGCGCACTGAGCGAGAGAAGCAGCGGTTCCTCGATAACATGTGGAACGCACAGGCTCGCTTCCGGACGAGGATGGAGCGGTCGATCGTTCTCAAGGGCGAGGAGCGCGAAGTGGAGAACAGGGGTGGCTACATCACAAACGCGCTCACATACTTTAATCTGTACACGCGCATGAACTTCCTGCAGGAGCCCAAGAAGGTGCGTGGCCTCAGAGGCTCGGTAGAGCGAGACGTTGATGTGTGAATGCTATGTATACGCAGACCAAGATCGTGATGCACATTGATCAGGAGGGCGTGGCAGACCCGATACCGTTCGGAGATGTCGATGGCCCGTACGTCGTTGTCAGGGTACAGCCGATGGCGGGCGAGCTCGCGAGGTATAGCGTGACATCCACCTATGAAGAAGAGGTAGAGGAAGACATCATGCAGACAAGCCGCATCCCAGAGCGCATCGTCCAAACTAGTATGTGCATCAATCCCTATACGTTCAAGAGACGCTACTTATCGTTCCATCCAGTCCACCAGTACGGCTTGTTCAAGTTTAAGACAAACACGACGTCAAGTCGCCCCACTACGCCCACCGCCACCCGTTCCCGCGCAGCCATATTCGGCCTCGACGTGATATCGCGCAACCTCTTCGGCTCACGCGCCGCCGCAACTAGCATGTCTGACTTTTTTGGGGGCTCGATGAGCAGTCATCGTCGCTCACGGACAACGGACAGCCGCAACTCGACGCTCACTGGCACAGCGAGCACCGCGGGGAGCAGCATGACGCGCTTCTCGCGTAGCTCGACGACTACCGCGGCGACGTCTGTTATGGACGATGAGCCAGCCCAATCGGCGTCGATGTCAAAGGGCTCTAGGAGCTCTAGGTCGCGCTCGTTGTCCAAGGGGGCGAAGAAGCTCGTGAAGAGGGCGAAGTCCCCCTTCATGAGCGAGAGGGAGGATACGGACGAGGACAGCCCGGGACCTTCGTACCATGGACGGTCGCGCTCCTATCACGAAGACTCGTTCAAGCGCTCGAAGTCGCTGCCGAGGACGGACGGTCCGCGGATGGTGGGCGTCCCTGTAGACGATTCAGAGCGGGATCTGGCGATGCGGTTGGAGCTAGCGAGAAGGAATAGCAAGAACCAGCATGGGCATGAGTACGATGTGGCTATAGAGGAGCCCTCGGAGGAGACGATATACGAAGGTAGCCAAGTTTGCTTGTCCGACAGAACGAAAGTACTGAGTCAATTGCAGATGAAGCTCCTGCTCATCGCCCGTTGTCAACGACGTCGAGGATTCCGAGGACGCTGCCCGAGCCTCCGTCAGAATACGACTACGAAAGTCAGAGGTCGTCGACTCCGTCAACGTTCCGTGCGCATTCACCAGCGCCTAGCACTATTATGGACCCATATTCGAGGCCGCTGTCTCGCAATTCCTCCAACCAGTCTAGACCGATGGGTCCACGTAGCCCTTCTCCGCTCCCAAGCCCTCGTGGGGGCCCCATCCAGCTGCCAACCCTCGAGACTGACGGTGAAATGACCCTCGTGAACGCTGGGTTTCCGACGACGCCTACTCACCGTGTCTATCCACGGACACCCATACCTCGAAGCAAGCGTCAGCCCTTCGAGCCAACAGGTGTACTCAACACCGAGACGACACCCAAAGCGAATGCCGAGGCGAATGGAGATCCATCCAAACCGCCAAGCATCATCGAGCCGCTCTCGATCAAGAAGCGGTCATCGGTGCACACGAACTGTTCTGTCACCACTTTGTCGGTAGGGTCAGGTTCGCCTGGGTCAGCGAAGAAGACACAGCTCACGCTGACGCGCCGTCCGTCGCCGATCGGCAAGAGCGCTTTCGCGAATGCGTCGACAAGGCGGGTGTCAGGGCAGCGGACAACGAAGGCGCTCCATGTTGAGGACGATGTAGACCCAGATCAGCTGGAGGTGAAGCTGAAACGCGGTGCGGAGGCCCTGAAGGCGGATGTGAGTGACTATATGCGCGTATTCAGGGTTGTAACTCATTGCAGTTGACTTCGCAGATCGAAACTTCGCATCGCGCGGTCAAGAGGATCAGGCTCGAGACGCAGAAAGCAGTATCGGCGTCTCCAGTCCGCGCTGCTGTGGCGGTCTGGGAGACGAGACCCACAGTCTCGCCCGTGAAGCGCACTCCACAGCGGGCAACCCCTGCTCTAGTATGTGCTTATCCTACTGCTTTTGCTGAGAATATCTACTGATGATGCTGCAGACGAAAGAGGCGGAGGCGCGGCGTGCAGAGATGCTGCAAGCAATTGGCAAGCGGAGTGGGGAGACCAGCGGCCCGTCCCGTCCACGCGTTCAGACGATGTTCGAGTCTTCATCATCTTCCTCATCTATCTTGAGTGGTAGTGGGAGTCCCAGAAGTGCTGTCGCCGAGGATTCTATGCGCACTATCGATGATTTTGCTGAAGAAGCGGACGAACACTTGGAACAGGCCTTAAGGTATCAGGAATCCGTGACTTCTGAGATCTGGACCCTTGTACAGCTTTTGCGGCAGGTATGTCGTATCACGGCGTTGTGCACTCGCCCTTTCTGATGATACGTTCTGCTCACAGAAGACAAGCGAGCTAGCCAAGAGCGGACTCGAGACACAGAACTGGAAGCGACAGTACGAGGTCGTGAATCAGCTGCTGAGCAATAGCCAGCAAGAAGTCAACGAACTCTATCAGGTCAGCTTGTTTCCACTCCGACTTCGTGGAGTCTCGCATGCTAACATATAGTACTACAGTACTTCAACGAAGAACTTGACGGCATGTTCGACGCAGCGAATCTACCCGACGATGACGCCTGGGCCGCCATGACCAAGAAGATGAAGGAGGCAGAACAGGGCAAGGCGAAGGCGGAACATGAGAATTCGTATGTCCTTGAACGTAAACCTCATCGTATACACACACTTGACATACTGCCTATATGCAGTCTTCTCAAGACACGGATCGCGGAGTTGGAGATACAGCACGAGCAGTGAGTACATATACCTTAGAGCTAATTGCCGTACATCATGCTCACGTGTAGCAACTCGCGCAGGTGGGAGACGTTGCTTCGAGAAAACGGGCTCATACCCTGAGGTACCCCCTGGGCCATTCATCACACGACTTACTGCATTTATGATAACAGGCATGCATCATCTGCTCAATTTTACACATGTATGATACAGTACGGATTACAGGCTTTCTTTCTCTACATATACACATTATGTGCTTCACAGTCGATGGTCTTGACCGCTCCTATCACATGTTTGTCGCCTTAGACCACTTGGACCATTGCGAGCCACGAAACGTTCATCTCGCGTTGTGTGTGCAGGTCATGGCCTGGCAAGAAGTGTGGGGGCACTGTAATGTGATTGCAAAGGGTGCCCATCAGAGCAAATTTATTATGTGGTATAGCCGGACATGGCACAGCGTCCGAGTCGGTGAGGTGAACGCTATGGGATGCGGCAAGAGCTGTATGCATGTGTGTGAATAAATCCGGGTCCGGGAGACTACTGTATGAAGGTACGATGCATATGGTACAGAGACATATGTTTAAGTTTAAGATGTTAAGATACTGCAGCGGTAGAAGGTCGTGGGACTTCGTTACTTCGTACAGTACGGGCGAAGGTCTACATGGGCGTGCAAGCAATCGAATGTTTCTACACGAACAGTCATTAGGGACTGAAGCATGGGGAAGGGCAAGGTGCGTGTGTGGGTGTGATCGAACGATCGAATGCAGATGATGTTGTATGGAACGACGGTATGCAGTATGGAAATGATGAGGTATGCGAAACGGGGGTGGGGGTCACCGACCGAGAGCGGGGTTGACAGGCGTCATGGCCGTCCGACGCTGGAAGAGGAGTATGTTCCTCAGCGACTTCCTCGCCGAGAGGCCGCCAGTGCTGCCCGTCGTTGGATCCTGTGGGTCCTTTCTGCTCAACGTGTCGTCCCGGAAGCCGACCCCGTTCTCCTTCGCACGGGACGAAGAGACAAAGAGAGACTTGTGCCTCTTCGGACTGGAGGAGTAGTCGTAGACGCGAGCGCCGTGTGGCTGAGGAACGTCCAGATATTGGCTGCGCATGGCCACGCTATCCATCGACGTCCTGCTACGCATCGGACGCCGCAGCTCTTCATGACCCATGTGGACGTCTATCATCGAGTTCGCAGACGACGACGACGACGACGCAGATGCCCGGCCCCGCAGCGAAGCGCGCCTGATCCACTGCATCAGGCCACTCGACGTATGAGCAGGCGAAGACGGACTGTCCGCGATGACCGGAGGGTTGGGCGACGTCCGACCAGACGAGGACGACGCCGAACGCGAGAGGGAGCGCGGCGTCTGGAAGAACGTGCGTACGTTGTAGACCACAAAGCGCGAGCGTTTCGGCACCCCCTCGCGTCCGCGGCTGGGGTCCGTGTCGCGCACCGTCCCGTTGGGCGATATGCCAGGGGTAGGTATGGGAAGGGGCGACGTCTCCACCGGGCTTGGCAAGGCGGAGGACGCAGAGGAGCAGCGCGACGCGTCAGGCGGGGAGTCGAGCGAGAGCGGCTCAGGGCTCTGTATGTATGGCCCCGCCGGCTGGCCTTGCTGCTCAGCGTTCATCTGGGCGATGGCGGTGTATATAGCGGGCGCGATAGAACTAGGCGGTTTCTTGTGCCGCCGCGCAGCTAGCGACTTCGCCCGGAGGGACAAGCCACCGGAATCTTGCTTTGCAGCAGGTGCACCAGCATCTGCCACTGTACTCGTGGCGTAACCGGTGGGCAAGGGCGCCACGGGCGGGGCAGGCAAGTCGAGGTCGATTAAGCCCTTCCTCCGGTGGACGACTACATTGTCGTACTTGCGCCTCGCCGCAGAGAAGCTCAAGCTGGCGATGCTGATGCCAGAGCTCGAACGCGTGACGCCAGCCGGCTGCCTGTTCTTCCCGGACCCGGGGACACGCACCTGGAAGAGGTCCTCTCCGCGCATCTGCGCCTGGGCACGGGCCGCCAGGCAGGACTCGGAGAAGACGTCGTGCAGACCGCCCTCGACCTGGCTCCGGATCTGGCCCGTCGGACGGCTGATGCGCGAGTCGAACGCGATCGGCGCGAAGAACGCCTTGACGGAGGCGGTAGACGACCGCCTGCTGAGCGCGGCAGAGAACGTCGCCACCTGGGAGTGGTGCTCGGGCTTCGTCGGGATGCCGTCCAACCTGAACATGGTCTTCGAGCACCTCAGCTTCGCCGGGGACGGAAGCGAAGACGCGTTCTCGTGCTCGACCTCGCCCTCCTTCTCGAGCTCCGAGTTGGACTGGATCGTGGACAAGCGGCGCGCCGACTCGGGATTCAGCTCCGGAGGCGCGTCGTCCACCAACACCACAGACGGCACCTTCTCGTCCGTCTGCAGGCTCGAGAACGGCTCGCGCGCCCAAGTGCGCTTCGTCGCGAGCGCGTCGTTGATCGCCGCCATCCAAATAGCCTTCTCTTGCGGGCACGACGCCGCGAGCTCCAGGTGGTGCCCATACGCGCTCACCCGGAAGGTGTACGGGTACGACGCTGCATTGAGCAGTCAGGGTCAAGTAGGAAGACGAACTCGGTCAGCGCTCGAGCAAGCAGGTACGTGTGCGGAACGCTGCGACTCACGATCGTCCTCCTCGATGTCCACCACCTCGACCTCGCTCAGCGCGAACCAGTGCCGCGGCTCGTACACCCGGCCGCCCTTCGGGATCTTCGCGAGGATGCAGTACCCGCCCGCGTACAGGAACGCGCCGAGGTACTTCGCGCGCTGCACGGGGTACTGCACGACGTCCAACGCGCCCACGAGCAAGCACGGCCCCAGCGAAGACACAAAGTCCGCCGTCAGGTAGGCCGCGCGCGGCGCGGAGGCTTGTGCTTGTACAGGGACCAGGGGCGCCGTGGGCGTGCAGACGGAACAGGAAAAGGTTGGCGCGGTAGAGGCACCCGAGCCCGAGGACGCCGAGTTCGAGTGGCCGTGCGAAGGCGCGTACTCCGAAGAGGAGGGCGTCGATGCGGCGGAGGGCTGTCCCGAAGACCCCGAGGAAGACGGGCCCGCAGACGCGGGGGGCGGGGGCGGGGGCGGGTTCGCAAAGGCCAGTCGCGAGTGGATGAGGGCCGAGCGCAGGTTGTGCGCCTCCTTCTCGCTCGCGCGGTTGACGCGGCTCGTCACGTCGCGCATGGCCTCCAACGCCCGCCGGAGCGTGTCGCCCGACAAGCCGTGCCAGGTCGTTGTCGCTTCGGTGGGGGTGTCCTCGTCCTCGGCCGGGTCCCGGAGCGTGCGCTTCTTGAGCTGGTCGAGCAGCAGCGGGTACTTGCAGATCCTCTGCACGGGCTTGATGAGGTAGTCCGTGAGCTTGAGCCTGCGTCCCGTCCACCGCACCCTCCTCTCCAGAGCCGGCAGGGGGACGGCGGCAGTGGCAGGACCGGCGGTAGGGAAGGGGAGCTGGCCTCGCGCACCGAGATCCAGTGCTCCGGTGGGAAACGAGATGGGGGTCGAATGCCGCCGCTTCGTCTTGGTGGAGAACGACTCCATCGCGTCCTCTTCCGAGACCGGGGACGTAGGCGAGGAGACGTCAGCCTCCTCGACGGCGTCGGAGAGCGAGCCAGGCGATATACTCGACAATAGCGCCGCACACTTGTGCTCGTACGCGTCCCAAGCAGCCGGCGCGCGTTCCTGCGCCCGGCGCACCACGTCCCCCGCGGCGTTGTGCCCAGGGCAGAACGTCTCGTAGATGCCGAAAGCGGACGCCTGTCATGGGAGAGCCTGGGGTCAGTCACGGGGGCTCTGGGGAAATCATGTGAAACGCACCTCGTCCACGAACTTGGCCGCAACGAGCTCTATCGCGCGTTCTACCTCCTCCTCTGCCGCCACCACGTCCTCCGCTCTTTGCTCTCCGCTCTCGCCGCCTTGGGCAAAGGCTACGCGGAACGTCGTGACGCTGACCGTGTCGCGCAGCTCCTCGACGAGGCGCTCGTGGTACTTCAGCAGATCCTGGGCGTTCCTGCAGACGGCGCGGGCGTCCTTCTCCGGCATGAGAGGCGCGAAGGAGCGGGACTTGCCAGGTCTGAGGGTGAGCAGACGACTGGAGCTGTCCTTGTCGCGCTCTCTCGCCGCGGCATCGGCCGTAGGGTGTGGGCAAGACGTGTGTCGCTCGCGTTCTTGGACAGAGCTGCAGTCCGAGGTCGAGTTGGATAGGTAATCTGAAGCGCTGACGGACGGTGTAGGAGCGGGCGATGGCTGGAGGAAGGACGACCTGGAGCTGGGGAATAGGGAAGGTATCGAGAGGGCGGAGAACGTGGACGTCGACCGGCTGGGCGCCGGCAGCGACAGGCATTGCTGGGAAGCGGGCGGAGGGGGAGGGGCGAAGGCGGAGGGACCGGCCGAACCCGGGGTGGTGGGGGGCGTTGAGAGGAGCAGGAGCTGGTCGAGGTAAACCTTGTGAAGGGCGCGGAGAGCAAGCGTCAGCAGCGTCCGGACAGCGCAAGGGCTGGCACGGAGATGGAGGGAATGGAACGCACCGTGACCAGGGCGCGAAGGTCGAGAAGGTAGCCCACCTCCGTCGTGAGGAGCTCCATTAGGGCGTGATAGCGACGGAGCCCCTCCGCCCGCTCCTTCTGCCGTGCGCGTCCCATCTCCGCTTCACGCTCTAGCCCGAGTTCGGTGTCGCGAGGCTGCAGGTCCTGGTCGGGCATGTCTGCGTGCTCTGGAGGCCTGTTGTCCGACTCGCGCGCGGGCCTTTTCTCCTCCCCCTCCCCCTCCTTAACCGCCCCGGGCAGGTGCTCCGCCTCGTCCTCGTCCGATACGTCCCCCTCGTCCATACCCAAGTCCAGATCGAACAGCTTCCTTCCCACCCCCTTCAAGCCCGTCTCACTCGCGCCCATCCGAGCGCGTGAAACCCCACGCGTTGGGCTAGCGAGCGCGCGCCGCGTTAAGCTCGGAGGAAGCGACGGGTCCGCGTCCTCTTCCTCGCCCCTATAAACCGGCGTGTTCTCGCTCGTATGAGGTGGCGGTGGCAGCTCCTTGGGCGCTCCGTCCGCGCGCAAGGCCGGTCGGGGCGGAAGGGGCTTTGCGAAGTCGACCGGGAGGGACATCCGGCGCGTGGAGGCCCGGACGCGCGAGCTGTTGCTGCTGAGCGCAGCGAGCACGGGCGACGTCGCAGACGCGGGGACCTGGTCCTGCGCTGACGGTGAGGAGGTGAAGGGCGGGAGCGAGGCCGGGCGAGGGCCGTGCGCGCTCCGGTCGTCCGCGCGGGGGGACGAGGATGTCGGAGAGAGGGGGGTGGCAGGTGCGAGGCGTGGGGCCGGGGGCTGCTTGGGCGGCGGGGTGGGCGGACTGGTCGTCCATGTGGGATTGGGGGGAGAGGGGTGGTGACTGACATGGTCCTCACCGGATGCGGCCGCTGCGCTGGGAGGTGTCATGACGGGACTGCCGCCGAGATTTGTGCTGCTCATATTGGCGTGGCCGGGGGTGGGCACGAGCTGGCGGGGGGCAGCCTCGAGCATGGCCGTGCTGGTCGAGGCGTGGGCGACCTCCGGGGTGAGCGTGGGCGACGCCATGATGGGCGGCAGCGGGACGAAGGGACGCTTGGGGTTGCCGCGCAGGGCTCCGGCTGTGGGGGGGGGGGACGGTCGTCTGGGCCAGCGCGACGAGGTCGTTGGCGGAAGGTGGTTCTGGGACGGCGGGGTTGTGAGTGGCTACGCGACGGTGGAGCAAAGAGGGGCGGTTGGGAAGCACGTTCATGGAGGCTGACATGATGGCGAACACGATCGGCTTCGCGCATTCGGGATAAGACCGCGACGGGTGGGAGAGGAGGGGGGCACCCCAGAGGGCGTGGGGTCGCAGCGTCGTAGCGCGAGGGCTCGAGGAGGTTGGGAAAGGAGGCCCGGAGACAAGAATCCACAAGGCGGCGAGGGAAGTGACGAGAATCGCCCAAAAAAAAGATTGGGAAATGGGGCCGGCTGAGGCTGAGGCTGAGGCTGAGCTGCAGCTGGTTACCCCTCGCCTCGCCGGTTCGTAGACACGCGCCGAATCCGTCTACTATATCTCGCGTCCGTGCACACTTCCATCAATTCGGCACCAATCCTGCATTCAATCCTTGACATCTGCGACAGCACCATCTCCCAACGAGCTCACCGTCGCTCGCGTCCCCCTCGCCGGCGTCGGGGACGATGTGTATGGCGCCGAGTCCAGCAGCCTCCTCCTGTCTTGCATCCCCAATAAATGCCCGGTGACGGTGGCCTGACGCCATAGTTGACACACGCTAGGTACCCGGTCCTCGGCCCGGCCCTCCTCCATCCTCAAACCGCCACCCATAATTCTATCTTCTCGTGCTCTTTGGGCGCCTGTAATAGCACACACTGGCGCTTGCAGTCCGCCACATACGTCGCGCATGTACACTATGTACAATTTCTCCCCAACCATCAACCGATCTCCTGCGCTTCTCTCTAATGCCAAACTTAGTCCACCCCACACATGGCGCCCATCGTCATCCTCCTGTGTATACACTTGCATTCATCATCGGCTCTCTCCTCACAGACAACGCGGCAGCCCTAATTCCCCGCCCAGAGGCTCCCGACTGACGTGCTCTTCTATTAGCTCTGCATTAGGAATAGCCACGCAGCATACAATTTCCGTAATGTTCCTCGCATCGGATCAAGTGCACTCACCTCTCACGCTTTCTACGGGTGCTAGTACAACGCCCGCGAGTCGTCCCCCCCCGGCTCGAACAGGATGTTCAGCCGCTCAGCCTCCCTCTTCCGCCACTCTTCCTTCTCCAAAAACGCCCCGAGCGCCCGAATGTGCTCCCCGCGAAAGACCCAATGTATCTGCTTCCGCGCGTCGTGTCCCTGGCCACCACGCTATCGTACCCGTCAACGCTTCCCAGCCCAGAAGCCGCAATTCCTCGGTCGCAGGACGCGAAAAAAAAACGCTCACCTCGTGCTGATGATGCCCCTCGGAAAAGCGGGACACCCCGCGCCGCCGCAGAGCCGGCACGCCCGAGAGGCTGAGGTACTCCAGCTCCGCGAGCCTGCGCAGCAGCGCGCGCACGCCCTCCAGCGTGAGGCGGGTGCAGAACGAGAGGTGGAGCTGCGCGAGCCCGCGCGCGTGCTCCGCGAGGAAGAACGCGGCCTGGTCCGTCACGCGGGGCAGGCCTGCCGCTGCGAGCCGCCGGAGCCGGGGGAGCGTCGCGAGCTCCTGGATCGCGAGGTCTGTCAGCCTCGGCATGACTGCGTTCGCGTTCGCGTTCGAGCGGACGCCATATGGGGCGTGGGATCAAGCGGTGTGGGCAGACTCTGCGTCAGCGCGGGGAACAGAGATCGGCATCGAGCGGGCAGGAGGATGCGTACTGACAGCTTATGTCGACGGAGCGGAGTCGCGTGCATGTGGAGGCGATCGCGAATACGCCCGCGTCGGTGACGCGCCCGAGCCCGGCGACGTCTATCTCACTTAGGTGGTCGCGCAGCTTGCATATCTCGTGCATCGCGCGGTCAGTCAGCTCTACGCACCCTGCGACGTTAAGACGGGATATCCGAGGCGCGTGCGCGACGACGCCCAGGACGGCCGCATCCGTCAGCCTCGCACAGTGGCTGAGGTCCAGGAACCGCAGGTCGTGCAACTTGTACAGCGGGGGAAGCACGAGCGGCGGCAGGCTCTCCATCCAGGACCTGTGCCTGCCGCGCCCCCTCGAGCTCTCTTCCCGAGCAGCCTCGAGCGCGTCGCGCGCCGGCACCCAGGGAAAGCCCGAGTCGGTGACGTTCTTGCACCCGGAGAGGGACCAGCGCCGGAGCCTCTTCGCGTACGTCCACACGTCGCGCGTCGCGCGCGCGGTCACGAGCGGGAGCATGTCCATCGCGAGCTCCTCGAGGAGCGGCAGCCCGCGGACGAGCGCCGCGAGCGCGGCGTCCGTCGTGCTGAACGTGCGCCCGAGGTTGATCGCGCGGAGGGAGGTCGCGTGCGTCGCGACCGCTTTGAGGCCGAGGTCCGTCACGTACGCGCACCCGGCGATGTCGAGGTGCGCGAGCTCGTCTGCGTGCGAGGCGAGGAGGATGAGCGTGCGCGAGGAGAGGTCGCGGATGCCGCCGAGGACGGCGGAGGTGATGTGCGGGCAGTGCGGGAGGACCGCGGCGAGGGCGTCGTCGGAGACGGGGGTGTCGGAGTGGGGGTTAGCGCGGAATTCGAGATGCGCGGCGTAGTAGCAGGACTCCTCGTCCGAGGGCAGGGCGTCGACGTACGCTGTCATCGCGGCGGGACCGGCGGGTTACGAGAGAAGGCCATCCCGGGAGCGAGGTGGGGAGATCTTATGCACGCTGGGAAAGCATAAGTGTACTATGGGAGCCGTGGAGTCAAAGCTGCATAGGAGAAGTAAAGCGTCCGATTGAGGCTTTCGCACATCGTCTTCTGTCGGTGCAGGTCCCGGAGACAAGCGTGGCTGGAAAGCGTTCAAAAGCGTCCCTAAAGCGCGCCGATATAAAAGGTAGTCCGAGAAGCTCGGAAGACCCCGGCCCGAGCACCCGCCCCGCATTCCACACCGAATGATTGCCGGAGGGACGCGAATGGCCCAAATCGCCTGGGATGTCGAGCATGTTCATCCACGACCGCGACGTCCTCCGACCTCTCCGTTGCTGATTGACTACTACCAGGCGCGATGAGCAACCTCTCATCATCATCCTCTATCACTCCAACACCCTCGACCTTCCATAACACTCCTACGGCTACCCATCCGAACTCGGTCTACACCGTGCGCAGCGGCTCGGGGCCCGCTTCACCCCCTCACGCAGGGCTGCCCCCGCCTTCCCCGAACCGAAGTCGGATACCCGTGACGCCTGCGGTGCTCAGGTCGATATTCGCCTCGTCGCGGACGGCGCTAGAGGAGCGTTCCTTGTCGCGCGTAGCGTTCTTCAGGTGTGTGAGCTGACTCTTGGTTATTTGCGGGGAAGCTCATGGCTCGCTGGCTACACAGGTTTACGGGATTCCTGTTGAGCTGCTTGTGCATCAGCTTTGCCGCCGCACGAGGGAGGGGCATCAAGAGCGGCGCCGCTCTACTGGGTGTGGGCGTCGTATAGACTTCGTGCAATGCCATTTGTTGCAACACAGTATCTCCTGTGGGCGAGACCTCCGCGAGTCAGCAGATTGTGGATGTCCACATTAGCTCTATCTCCGTCTGCTGCGCAGGTGCGTGCTTCAGGCATAGCGAAAATGCTAACAAGATTCATCATGACTGCAATGAACGGTGATGCACTGCGCTTGAGTGACAGCCTTCCCGGAGTCGTGTGGGGGTGGTGAGGGAGTCAAAGTGGCCTCGTGCTCACGAGCGCCAGGGTCCGGAAACTGGGCGAGCTGGACTATCCCGCGGCATCCACATCGATGTTGGTACGAAGGGACAGCGGCACTGTGAGGCTCGGTTGTACAGGTTGAGACCTCCGTCGGCCGCTCGACGGCACCGTGGCCTCTTGGGCTTCACTTGGTGCTGTGGTCAAAGTTTGGCGAGAGGGTCGAAGGGCACGCGCGATGGATGAGGAGTTCATGAAAGTTTGTCTATAAGCATGGGGTTGTGAGGTGCAGGCACCCAGCCCCCCTCTTGCGCATCCTCCGACGACCATGGCGGGAAGAGACAAGCGTCCCACTCCACCTCCACTGACGACTAACCCCATTCACCTAGAATCAAACCTGGCGACGCCCCGCTGGGCACGCAGCAACCTCTCCCAGGCTTGGAGGCACAAACGTCTGCCCCATCGAGCTCTCGCCATCCTCCTCGCCGCGCTAGTCCTATACGGCATCTCCACCTCGCGCTTCTCTTCCGAGAGCAGCTACCGCGCACACCCACTGGCACAGCGGCTGTCGCCCGACGTCGTGGAAGACGTCCTCAGCCGATGCGCCGCGCGTGACGCCGCACCCAGATCCCCTGACAATCTCCTGGCCCGCAGCACGAACGACAGGTTCGAGGCCGGCACCCGCGCGACGCTCATCAAGAATGTAACACTGTGGACGGGCGCGCGGAACGGGACCGAGGTCGTGTACGGGGACATCTTCCTCGACAAGGGCCTCGTCCAGGGGATCGGGTACATCCCGGAGTGGGACTACTCGAAGCACAACACGGACGTCGTCGACGCCAACGGGAGCTGGGTCACTCCTGGACTTGGTGGGTGCTCTTTGGGGAATGCGGCCGTGGCGTTAAGCAGCTGACGGATGGTGAAACGAAATCGGCAGTGGACTTGCACTCGCACGTCGGGCTCGTCAGCGCACCTGTTACGGCGGGGGCGCTCGAGCTCGACTCGCCAAACGGGCCCGTCCTTCCCTGGCTCCGGAGCATCGACGCGCTCAACACGCACGACGCCTCGTTCGCGCACGCCATCGCGGGCGGCGTGACGACGGTGCAGGTCCTGCCCGACAGCGGGCACAACGCGATCGGTACGTACAGCGTCGGCACGGTGCTGAAACGGCGACCGGAAGCACCGTGGACGTGAAGAGGGTGGCTTACGGACGGCGTGTGTCCCTGCTTGTAGGCGGCCAAGCATTCATGATCAAGCTGCGCAAGACCTCGCTCCGCACTCCGACCTCGATGATCGTCGAGCCTCCCCCGACGCTGAACGGCAGCAGGCGCGATCCGTACGACCCCAGATGGCGACACCTCATGTACGTCTTGTCTCCGGCCTCTTGCCTCTTGCCTCTTGCCTCTGACCCCCTTCCTCCTTCCCGGACTTCCATTCCTCCTGTCTCCAACCTGGAGTTGTTCTTGCCCCTTCACCCTCTGGCTGCTTCACGATCACGTTGCTGATGTCTTCTCGTGCACCCCGGCCGTGCGTACAGGATGGCGTGCGGCGAAGGCACCAGGGCATACGGCAACCGCATGGACAACATATGGGCGCTCCGCGCAGCCTTCGCCGTCGCGCGCGGGTTCCGCGACGCACAAGACGCGTTCTGCTCGCGCGTCGAAGCCGGCGGGTGGGACGAGACCGAGGGACAGGGCCAGGCGCAGACGCAGACGCAGGCGTACCCGGAGGATTACAGATGGGAGGCGCTGGTCGAGGTGCTCCGGGGGAGGGTCAAGGTGCGTGCTTAGTTGGGCGTGCGTGTGTCGGGACGTTAGTGCGGGAACTGACGGCTGTGTGATACTTGTAGGTGTCTGTGCAGTGCAATGAGGCGGTCGACTTGGACGCCATGGTTCGGGTGCGTCCCTGGCAGAATTGGACTATGGCAGAAGGTCTTGATGGCGGGCGGAGTAGCTCTCGCAAGAGTTCAAGATTCCCATTGCCTCGGTCCACGGCGCACTCGAAGGGTATCTTATCCCACAAATTCTGAAGGGAACGTAGGTGGCCTCAGTCGTTCCTACGCGATGATATCCTGACTACAGGCACACAGTTATGCAGGTCCTCCGACCATCGCGCTCTCTGTCGACAGCTCGCGGGCTAAGCGCGAGGCCTATCGTGGCTCCGAATTTGCTCCGCGCATCCTTGCAGAGAATGGCTTACCTATAGCCATGAAGGTTTGCGCATATACATTCTGTCTAAGACATGCACCCTGATTTGAGATTCTATAGTCGGAGTATCCTGCGCGCAACGGACGGAATCTGGTCTACGAAGCTCAGTTGGCTCACTACTATGGTATGCCTGCTCTACCGTGTTGAAGGCAGTCACCCTAAACATGTATCATGTAGGCCTGCCACCTAATATGGCCCTGACATCCGTCACCGCCATTCCTGCATTCGCAGCCGGCCTCTCTCACCGTATCGGCATCCTTCGCGAAGGCGCGGACGCAGACCTCGTCCTATGGGATTCTCACCCGCTCCAGCTGGGTGCCACCCCGCGGAAAGTCTGGATCGACGGCATCCTCCAAGTCGATGCCGATCGTGCTCGGGTGCCTGTCAATAAGTTGAAGGAAGACCCTGCCATGCAAGAAGCACCGAAAGTGCCCAATTTCGACGCCGAGAGGGAGAAAGCGGTCAGGTTCGACGGTCTCGCGCCGATGAGACCCAACAGCACTATCGGCGGTCGCGTGGTCTTCCAGAACGTCAAGGAGCTCTTTACCCGGGAGCGGGGAGACTATGCGCACTTCGGGCTGGACGGTTACGAGGGACTGATGAATGTGGTCGTCGAGCGCGGAAGGGTGACGTGCATCGGGAATGTATGCGAGGGGGAGAACGCAGACATGGTCGTCGACCTGCATGGCGGCGCCCTCGTTCCTGGAATGATGCACTTCGGACCGGGACTGGGCGTGGAGGAGATCGAGGGAGAGCCGTCGACTGGCGATGGGGTGCGGTTCGACCCGTTGAAGGCGAACGTGCCGGAGGTGATGGGCGATGTTGGTGCGTTGGTAAGGGTTAGCGACGCGCTTCAGTTTGGTACGAGGAACGCTCTGTGGGTATTTCCCTATCTCGACAGCGTTCGGCTCAACTGGACTGATCGGGCACGCAGGGTTGCACACCACGCTGGAGTGACTTATGCTACGACGTCCTTCTTGCGGCCCGCTTCGTATGCCCGCGGGAGCTTCATGGGAGGCCTCTCTGCGACCTTCCGAACCGGTGCTTCGAATGCGTTGGATCGCGCCGCTCTCATCAAGCCCGCCACTGCTCTGCATGTCGCTGTTGGCCGATCATTGCCGCTAGCGCCGTCTCCCGGCCCAAGCGTCAGCACGGAGATCGCTACGCTGCGCCGTCTCTTGCTCAACGGCGAGGGCGAGCATACGGAAACGGGAAAGTGGTTCAAGAAAGCTGCAAATGGGGAAATCCCCTTAGTCATCGACGTCTCGAACGCCGACATCATGGCGACGCTCATTCGACTCAAGAACGAGGTCGAGGAGAAGCGTGGCTCGTACATGCGAATGATCTTCTCGCGCGCGACGGAAGCATCTCTGCTGGCTGACGAGATCGGTAGGTTTGCTCGCTGTATTCAAGCAGCGTAGAACTCACGACTTTACGTAGCTCGTAACAAAATCGGAGTCATCATCAGCCCTAGTAGGCAGTTCCCTTGGTCTTGGGATGAGCGTCGGGTGTATGTTTGCAAAGTTTTTTTACCACTTCCGTACCATCTGACAACCCAGCTCCTAGACTTCCTGGACCTCCCTTGGCGAACCACACGGCGTTGTCCGCCCTGCTCAAAAGCGGAGTCATAGTTGGTATCGGTTCTTGGGACACCTCCTATACACAGGGTATACGTTTCGACCTCGGCTGGGTGAGTTATATCTTGCACGTCTATGCTCGTGGTTCCTACATGCTGACATTGAAATCAGGCTGTTCTCGAGTCCGGCGGCCAGATCAAGAAGAAACAAGCATACGAACTCATGACCACCAACTTGGAGAAACTGCTTGACTTGGAAGGAAGAGTAGGAGAGATGGGCGAACTTGTTGCCTACGACGGAGGTAGCGCGCTCGACTTCAGCAGCAAACCGGTCGCGATCGTTGCTCCGGCCAGGGGCTTGGTCGAAGTTCTGTGAGCGATAGCGCTCGGGACTCTTCCTTAGTACCTAGTATATATGTGTCGGATGAGGGTTGTTACATGTAAGTACAGGATCCTGGTATGTATATCAACAGAGCTTCAATCTAGTAATACACAGAAAAGCCGAACAAAAGAGCCACTGATCACAAGCGAGGTTTCTTCGATCGAGCTTCAGCCATCTCTTCGAGTATCTTCCTCTTGTCCTTTCTTGGGCTTTGAGCGTACGAACGAGTCGATGGTCGAGCCTCGCGCCCTGGTGTTCCGGGCTGTTCCAACGTGCCATTCCCTTCAGTCGCTTTCTGCTGTCTGGATCCGTTATCACTCCTGGAAACAACTAAATGAGGAGCAGGGTACCAGCACGGATAGAACCACCTACTGCGGAAGCTCAGCCTCTGGTGAAGTCTTCGGGGTTTCAACTACTGTCCGCCTTCGCAATCTTGAAGGGGTCTGGGGTGCTACTCCAGAGTCGGTCTCTGGTCCCTCTGGCTCCAGCGAACTCTCCAGCGGGTTAGCGGATACATGTTCCGAGACAGTAGTGCTGGAAGGCCTAAGTAACTCTGATGGAGACGAAGGGTCAGATTCCTACCTCGCATCATCCTCGCCCTCACCCTCGACAATGAAGTTCTCTTCGTCCTCCTCTTCACTGGTTTCCGCTTCCCGACGGATGTCCATCCTCGCCCACCGCTTCGCAACGTCAAGCAGGGCGTCCCATTGCTCAGATGCGGTATACTCCACAAGCTCCAGCTCGTCTTTCTGGCACACGTTTCGGCACTGAGGGCAGCAGATCGACTCGATGTATGGGTCCCCCTGGACGGGCTTGAGTTGCTGCACGCAGTCATTGCAGAACATGTGCTGGCATGGGAGGCTGTGCCGGTAGGTGAGGGCGTTCCGCCATGGTCGAGGCAAGCGTAGCGCACCTGCGACATTCCTTGGGCTTCAGAGGCTCCATGCATATCGGACACTCTTCAGACCCCTCCTCGAGTGAGTTCGCCATCATGAGGTCATGGAATCTGCGCAAGAGCTGTAAGGCAGCGTCAGGTCGAACAGGGACGCGTCATAGGCCATACCGTACCTTGCGCATCGTGTATGCGGAGTCACCTACTTCGAATTCCGCGCCATCCGCTAACTCGTCGGCGTCCGTCTTGATCTCCTTCATACGCAGCTAAGGGTTAACACGGTGAGAGCGTTATCACGGAAAGGTCCACATCTAACGTACCTCATGGATCCTCTTCCTATACTTCTCCTTTGACTGGGTTAGATATTCCGTGTATAAGACGTTAGTGCAGGAGGACAGGGCTAGCTCAGCAGACTCACCTTCTCCAGCTTCCCCACCTGAGCCTCGAGTCTGTGCACCTCTCTCTGCAGGGTCGTCACGGTCACTGCGGCTCTCTGCGTTCTCTTCGGACGAATCAGAGCATCATCCGCCTCCTGAAGCCTGCCTAGCTTCTCCTCAAGTGCGCGCGCTTTCTTGCGCAGTGCTTCATTATCACGCTCAAGGTACCTTGCACCTCTCAGTGCTTGCTTGAGCAAACCCTAGGGTTGAATTGGACGTCACCAAGGCGCATGAAAGATGCGTGCAGCGGGCAGCCTAGCGATACCGACCTGAACGGTGACAGGCTCTTCTTTCGTCTCTTCCTGCTCTTCTTCCGATGGTGAATCAATGGCCGTACTGCTTGGGGGAGGTTCATCGTGGTCGAGAGCACGTTTGCTCGACGATGCCTGTGGACGGCTAGCGGAGCGTGTAACTGGGCTCATGGGGACGAAACGTAAGACCGAAAGCGAGTGTAGTACTTGCACGCGTTGCGTCTGATATCCAAAAAGGACAGGCGAAGGGGATGTCCCAGGCAGGAGTCGAGCCTGCATCGTCACGGGTTAATGTTACCACAACGTGATGATCTAACCACTAATCAACAAGGACTAGATATGAAAATCACTGGCCTACGATCCGACATGCAGCGATCAATTGGACGATGGCTGCCTATACATGCTATACTGAGTCGCATCCCTTCCAATCCCAACCTACTCTCATGAGCACTCTATCCTCAGTGAACATCACCATCCTCGGCAGCGCGTCTGCCCAACCCTCATCTACTCGGAACCACTCTGCGCTGGCTCTGCGCTTGGACGGAGATGTCTGGCTCTTCGACTGCGGCGAGGCGACCCAGCACCAGATCCAGAAGAGCTCCGTGAAGATAGGCAAGGTGCAGAAGATCTTCATCACCCACACACACGGTCGGTAGCCTCGATCCCTCTTCCCTCTCCTCGCGGAAACACGCGCAATACGAGCGTACACCTCACACTCTGCAGGCGACCACATCTTCGGCCTGCTCCCGGTGCTCGCGATGCGCCTGAACGGCGCGGGAGGCACGGTCGACAGCGAAGACCCGCGCGCAACGACCGCGCCCTCGGAGGATGTCCCAGTCAGTGCTGCTCCTCCTTCACGGCATGCGGCTCAGCATCTCCGAGCATTCACCCCTCCCTCTGCAGCCTCTGGAAATCTACGGCCCCCTGGGCACGCGCGCATACGTCCGCACCGGCCTCACGTACACGCACACCCTCCTCGGCGCGCCCTACGTCGTGCACGAGCTCCGCCTGCCCACCGACCCCGCGGACGGCGACCACACCGCCCTGCCCCCGCACCCGCACGAGCGCCCCGGGCGCGACATCCTACAGGCCGCAGACCGGACGTGGCCCGCGATCTTCGCGGGCGCGCTCGTCAGCGTGTCCGCCGCCCCGATCCTGCACTCCGTCCCGTGCGTGGGGTACGTCGTCGCCGAGCGGCCCGTCCCGGGCAAGATGGACCCCGCGCGGTACCTCCCGGACCTCAAGCGGACGGGCACGCCCATGTCCGCGATGCGCAGGCTGCAGCAGGGCGAGAGCGTCGCGCTTGCGGACGGGACGGTGCTGCGCGGGCCTGCGCGCAAGCCGGGGCGGAAGATCGTGATACTGGGGGACACGCACGACCCGTCGCCGATCGCGGGGCTCGCGGCGGACGCGTGTGTGCTCGTGCACGAGGCGACGAACGCGCACCTGCCCGGGGTGGACCCGGACACGAAGGCGGGGGAGACGTACGAGAGCGTGGAGGCGCGCGCGAGGTCGAGGGGGCACTCGACGCCGCAGATGGCGGGGGCGTTTGCGAGAAGGGTGCGGGCGCGGAAGCTGGTGCTCAATCACTTTTCGGCGAGGTATGCGGGGAACGACGACGTGGACGAGGAGGCGAGGAGGGTTATGGGTGCGATACGGGAGCTTGCGGAGAGCACGTACGGAGGGGAAGTTGTCTGTGCAAGGGACTTAATGAGCTTTGACGTCGGGCCTAGGAAGGAGTGACCGAGAGAGCGATAGCAATACAGAAAGCCCATGTGTATGTACAGTAGCGGAACAACGACAATGTTGTATAGATCAGCGACTAGTCATCTGGTGGCTCCGAGAGCTCGCTGCTCTCGTCCGTAGCCTCGCCCTCTTCAAGCTCCTCCCCCCTGACCTTCCTGCTGGGAGCCTTCACATCCTTCGGCTCCTCTCCAATTTCTCCCATCTCGATATCGTCCTCGTCTGGGATCTTCGTTGTCGGCAGTGTAGGCGTACCCCGAGCCACAGACATCATAGGTGTACTCCTCCTTGAACCTGAGGGTACGAACGTCCTCGCAGCAGGGTTCAAGATCGCCTTCGCCAACGGGACCTCCTCCCCCTCGGAGTCCTCCCCATCCTCCCCGGTCTTGCCACTCGCCCCACTCGGATGCCGGGCAGAAGACTGGCCGTCCTCCTTGAGCTCTCCTGACTCCTCGCGCGTGCGCACGCTCGCCGTCCCGTCCATCTCCACGTCCTCTTCTGCGGTCTGCGTGTCCGGAGCCGGGGTGGCGTCCTCCGCAGCGTCTTGCTTGCCCATGAGCCGCAGGGCGCTGAGGTCCCGGACAACGCTGTCGAGGGCCGCTTTCTGCGCCTGGAGCGTGCGGTTCTGGTTCTCGTGCTCGGCCCGGATCGCGGCCATGTCGTTTTCGAGGGACTGTATTGACCTGCGGAGCGACGGACGGGGACAGAGATCGTCGTCGCCATCGTCGGCGTGAGCATTCCGGTAGACGGACGTACGCATGTGCGTGGAGGGGGAGATGGGACACGCACTGCTCGAGCTCGTCTCTGCTGGGCAAGGAGTTTACCTTTTCCGCGATCACGTCGTACTCGATCTTCTGCTTGCGCTCGAGCTGCGCCTGGTCGAGGGTCGCCTTGAGCACCTCGATCTGGCCCGTGAGCCGGCTGTGCTCGTTCGCTGCGTCACACGAGCACTTGAGGGATTGCGGACCACGCCTGGGGCTGGGGCACGCACCTATTCGTTCGCGCTCGCGCTGGTATTCCTCGACCTGCCGCGCCTCTGCCTCGCACACCATGAAGCTCTTCTTGAGAGAGAGCTGGAAGGAGGCGAGCTCGAGGAGGAAGGCTTCGCGGGCATCGTCGACGGAGGAGGGCGTCAAGGGGGAGAGGGGCACGACGGGGGTGTATGCGACGGAGGCGTAGGTGTGGAACTTCTTCGTCACGCGGCGGAGGGCCTTCTCGTCGTTTGTGATGCGCGTGTGTATGATTGCGTCTGGAGAAGGGCGAGTGAGGATAAGAGTCTTGCTGCCTGCAGGTGGAGGGACGGGGACTGTGGGCGTACCTTCCTGCTGGACAGTCAACGGAGGCGGGACATAGTCTGGCTCTGCTGCATTGTCCGCCATTGCGCAAAGTAGCGTGAACGATGGAAGGCTGTTACGAGACAGAGGAGAGAGCAGCGAGCGCGTTTGCGCCACAGACACGGCGCCCACCCAGCCTCAGGCGCCCAACATGTGACGCAACCACGTGCTGCTCACAGTCGACTGTGACATGACGCTTCTCATGAGCGCTGGCCACAGCCGAGCCAGTGACCGCGAGCACGTTCGTGCAGACTTGCCGCTTTTGGCCTGCATACTCTTAGCCCGGTCCACCTAATATTCCCCCTCCAGACACACACATCGCCCCTGTGCCTTCTCCTTCTCGCGTCTCATCCTTCCCTCATCCTCTCCCGTCATGTCCACCCAGCCCCTCCTCCAGCGCACCGCCGCAAAACGCATCGCCCTCCCCGTCAAGATCGAGCCCAAGGTCGCGTTCGCAAACGAACGTACCTTCCTCTCATGGCTGCACTTCACCGTAGTCCTCGGAGGCCTTGCCGTTGGCCTCCTCAACTTTGGCGACAAGGTCCGTCCGCTTTCCATAGTTGCTCAATTTGTTCCTCACGATGTGCACTGGGTATCAGGTTGGGAAGATCAGCGCGGCCATGTTCTCTTTCGTCGGTCAGTCCTCTCGGGTCGTGTGACATCATACTCCGTGTCTCAACATCGTGCTGCCTCATGCAGCTATGGGTGTTATGGTATACGCTCTATGGACTTACCACTGGCGCGCCGCTTCCATCCGCCGTGGTGGACGCGGACCGTACGATGACCGAGTTGGCCCCGTAAGTCCCCGCCCAGCATTCGGAGGAGACGGTTCGCTCATCTCATTCATATGCAGACCATTCTGTGTGTTGCACTGCTGGGTACGCTCTCTGTTCCATTTCCGTGCTGCTCCGCTGACCCACGTACAGTGGCGATTGTCGTGAACTTTGTCCTCAGGTTCACACAACCGGACCCCTGAGCAACCCTCACTTCTTCCGCTTCTACGGCGGAATTACTGGCTGCCCCTTCGCAATACCCGCGGTTGATAGCGCGATACGGGCTTGCCCACGCCCGCCGAGCTAGGAGGGCAGGTCGGTCCCCGAGAGGGGGAGCAGGTCGACTTCGCTTGACGGACCTTCTAGGACGTAGAGCACATCACATGTCGTGCATTCGGGTTCTCTACCGTACAATGTAGCGTGCTCACACACGTTCCGTCGTCGCGACCTAGTCGGCCATCGTGTGCAGCTGGTTTTCCATTTTGCCTGTCGAGGACTGCGCCGACGCTTCGCCCGTGACCTTGCCGCTTTGCCGTCAAACTCAGATCGGCGCGACATTCGGATACAAAGATAGCGTGTGGATCAGAGCAATACAGCGCATGTATTGGTAGTATAAGTCTACTTCTGGACGCCAGTGAAGACAGGGTTCTTGACCTCATGAATGGGTGTTTTGCCCTCGGGTGTACCAGGGATGGTCTTCGTCAGGCCCTGTACACGGACGTGGATGAGCAAATGCCGCATTGGCGAATCGGCACTGCGGCCGAGCATGTGTACGCACCAGCTTCTCGAACACACACTTGTTCAGCACGCGCTCGTCCTTCCGGCAGTGGTAGTATTCCTGCTCCCCCACGGCGCGGCATCAGCATAACGGGATATTCGTATCTGGAGTGAACAGCACATGCCTGGTTATTGTACTCTAAGCAGTTCCAGTGCTTCTCGAACTCCGCTAGGCAGTTCTCCCGAAGCTTGGTGATACTGTCGGCAGCGGGCAGCAGTAGTTTCGAGGAGCACGTCCGAGAGGGGACGCGCGCCGAATGGGATCGTCAAAGTAAGCGAACGATGGGTATCGGGGAGGGGTGCAGCACGTACAGGTCCTGCGCGCAGCGCGTCACCCGCCGGCCCTCCTTCAGACAGTGGGCGGGATCCCGGTTCTCAGACTTGCAGAGCATGAAGTCCTCTGCGGGTACGAAAAGGACATGTGTCAGTGCGCGCCCTCACAGCCAACGGGGACCCCCCCTCCAATCCCATTTCCTCCAGATTATCTCCGCAGCGATCCCTCCTGCCTGCTTCCCTCCACCTCCTGAGCTGAGAGCGACACGCACCGTTGTAGTCCTTGCAGTACGCCCCGAGGAAGAACGCCGCGCTCTTGAGCGGGGCGCTCGTCACGCCGAGCTCCTTGACCTTCGGGACATCCGCGGGCAACGGCGTCGGATCCTTGTACGGCTTTGTGGACTCTTCGGGGTCGAGGTACCGGCTCATGGCGGGGGTGAACAGGCGAGAGAGATGATGGAACGGCGACGACAGTGTCCTGTAGCCGCCGGCGGGGCGTGACGGCCAGCGTGGGCGCTACGGGTTGAGGCTGCGACCTCCAGACTTGTGACTGTGACTGTGACTGGACACTGAACGCGTCCCGCTCCTCCTGTTCGCGTCCTGCTGCCTGCGCTCGACTGCATCGCGTCCCGAGTCCCATTCTCGAGAGAGCCAAAACCTACGACTATGGTGCGTTACGCGCTCTGACTTTCCCCTTTTCGTTGCTCACACAGATATCCGTAGCCACCGCGAGCACCACCAAAGACGTTCATCTTGCTCGTCAAGACGCACAAGCTCACAGTGCTCATTAATGTGCCGGGCACCTCCACGGTCGCCGACATCAAGACTGAGACGCTGGATGCGCTCCAGTCTCCCGTGGTGGACGCCCCCAATCCACACGCAGAGTTCGCTATGGACGAGGACGATTCAGGGGAGTGGGAGGTGCCCAAGGTCGCCACCACAGACGACTTCGAGCTCGCGCGGCAAGTCAAAGAGAAGGGCCGTCCGACTGGCCGGTACGAGAAGCTGGAGGACGGCGCGCAGCTGAAGAGCGTGCTGTCGAACTGGGACTCGGTGTTCATCCAGTTCAAGGATCCGAACGGTGAGTGGGCTCTCTTGGTATACAAGTTGGGGCTATACAGTCTGCGTGTAATGCATCCTATGAACCTCTGTGTCCTCATTTGCGTGTCGATCGCCTTCCACCAACAGACGGCTTGCAGCCCGTCAAGGTGTCGTTACCGCCAATCTTCGCGGAAGAGGAGGAAGACCCGTCCCTGTCTGCGGCGCGGAAGGGCAAGAGGAAGGCAGAATAGACGATCTGCCTGCCTGCGTTTTCAAGACTGCAGACCCGGATATCCGTTTCCATGGCTCGTCCGTCTTGCTACTGTATCATTAGGAGTGTATTATGTATGCGTTGACCCTAGCCATCGTCGACGACATGCGAAGTCGTGGATCAAAGCGGAGGCGCGTCTGGCCAATTTTGTGGTGTTAGGGGAAGAAGGGCGGCAGCGACGCGTCGCCCTTCCTCGGCGAGGAGGTTATATGTTGAACATGCATTGCGCTGTGATGCGTTGAGCAGGAGAGGGATAGGACCAGAAAGTATGCGACCCACCGTGTTCATGATATCGACCTGGATGCCGGCTTTGTTCAAGTATTGCCGGAGGGCAGGGGGCATCATTTCGACCCGCTCACCGGTTCCGACCAGCAGAATCTCTAGCACGTTCGTACGTTAAGATTAATATATGTCTGCGCGTATATGCACAGTGCTACTCGCCTGGTTTCGGTACAACCGTGTCAAAGACCTCGAAATGCTCTGGCTTCCACCCATCCCACGTTTTCGCCGGCGCGTTCCAGAGGAACACCTTTCCGTTCAAGAAGATGCAAGGGGACGGGAGAACGAGGCCGTCCGCGAGCTGAATGCCGTTCTGGGTGATCGTCTTGACCTGCACCGCGGGCGCGTCGCCGCCAGAGAGGATATTGGTCAGACCGCCATCCTTTGGCGGGTACCGTTGGATGCTGGCTGCGTGAAAAGCCCTTGTGTATGCACACGTACACGACGCAGGAGGACTGGGCGCCGAGTGTCTAAGCCCATTGAGAACGAGAGGACGCAAGGACGATAGTGCCCGAGAAGTCATCATGGAATGTAGTGAGCGGTGTGGAAGAGCACAAACGGATCCCGCGCGCGACCCCACACCGGACGCGCTCGCAGCCACATCTCCAAGCGTCTGTACGCCTTGCCTCCATACCACTAGCCTCGCTATGGCTGCCAGTGCCGCAGACGTGCGGAGCATCCTCTCTTTGCCCAATGCCCCTGGTACTGGACCCCCTACTCAAGCGAAGAAACCACAGGCGGCGGAGCGCGCGAAGAAACCAGAGGGTATTCCGAGGGAGCTCTACGCCCTGATCGGGCCGTCCATCCCTACTATGGCTGCTCAGTTCGCGAAACCGAGGCTCAAGCAGAAGCCAAACATAGGGGGTGGTGGAAAGGTGAAATGGTGCGGATAATCCGGTGGAATACCGTAGGCTGCAGACGTTGACTACCCTTCTCTCGATTGTAAGGGAATGGCGTCCTTTCAGGAATGGGGCGCGGACGGATGACCTTAGATTATCCCACTGGGTGAAGTCGAGCGTAGATCCGGAAGCTGGTGTGTTCAACACTCTATATAGGAGACATTTGATGCGAGTAACTTTCTTAGACTATCCTTTTGCGAAGTACAATGTCCAAACCACACCGTATGTGTACTCTCAGGATGAGTACAACAGGTTCCTCGAAGGTATTTGCCTGCATGACTTCCCCAGCCACAATACATATCTGGCTCAATTGATCCAATGTTATGGACAGACTCGAATTGGACCAAGGAGGAGACAGACTACCTTTTCAACCTTGTACGCGAGTATGATGGCCGGTTCCTCGTCGTTCACGATCGTTACGAATATCCGGGTGGGACGGAACGGCCCCTGGAGGTTAGTCTCACCACAACATTGTGTCTGGACAGCCACACGAGCTCAACGCTACAGGATTTGAAAGATCGATATTTCAGTATATGTCGGAAACTAGTTCGGAATCGACCATGGCCTGGAGATGAGGCTAGCAAGGCCGCGCTCATATCCACCCTGACATTTGACAAAGGTAATGCTATATCATTCGGCGAAATGGATTTTGAGGCTACGAACACTCATCTGGCCTTTGTTGACAGACAAAGAGACGCTTCGCAAGCAATACGTGGCTAGTCTTGTGAACCGCACACCAGAACAGATCGCCGAAGAAGATGCGCTCTATCTTGAACTCGAGAGGCTTAAGGAGAACGAGCGCCGGTTTAAGAAGGACCGTGACGAATTGTTACGCACTCTGTGCGGCATCGAGTCTGGTTTGCCCGACATCGCGGTGGACGACGACGGTCTCGCGGGGACTACCCTCGACACGAAGAAGAAAAGGAAGGCTGTCGCAGGCAGCGTAGAGCCTCAAACCCCTGTCACGCCTTCCGCTTCCAGCGTCATCGCCCTTCCCCAGCCACAGCCGAAGAAATCGTCTGCGAAATCTGCCGCCTATGGTCAGCCGTACTGTACGACTGGATATGTTCCCTGTATTGACGTCCCTTGCAGACGCACTGCATTGCATCGTCCGCACGGAGGTGGAACAGACGGCGGGTTCTTCCACGAAGGCCGCGCACGTCCCCGTCCACCTCCGCACCTTCAAGATGGCACAGCCCAAAGCTGCCGTCGCCCCCCGCGTTTCTCAAGTAGTCGGCGAGGTCGGAATATCTGCAACGCGCATCGTCATGCCCACCCGTGACAACCTCGCGAAGTTCGCCTCTGTCATCGACGCCGCGCAGCAGCTCGTCGAGATTAAGAAGGCAGTTGATAAGCACGAGCAAGACATCAGGACGACCAGGGCGCGCCTCGCGATTCTTCGCGGTGAGAACCCAGAGGGCGAGGGCGAGGCGCTGGAGACACCGATGGACGTGGAGGAGGGTGAGGCGGAGGGCGACGTGGAAGGTAGAGGGCAGAGTGTTATGAGCACACGCAGTGCGCGGAGCCGCAAGCAGGTGCGTTTTGCACTTCCTGTGAAGGAAGAGTACGACGATTGACGTGTATGGATTCGCGCACAGGGACGCCGGTCGATGTCCGTTTCGTCGGTGGACACCGCCAATGGGCCGAACAAACGGCAGAAGCAGCGTTAGATGTGTCAAGGATACACGTACCGTATTATAGTACCTTCTTGTAGCGTGTATCGTATGTGGTGAGAAATTATACGTTCCTGAGGAGTGCTTCTATGTGCGCGTTGCGCGTATCCCGAGACGCGTTCAGCTCGCGCGCGATCGGTGCGCGCCTGCTGCCCTGCTGGCTGTCACCAACGTCTCTCGGACTGCTTGATTCTCTGTGCATTCGGGCTCTTATTGTACGGTTCCTCTCACTAAGGTGGCATGATCACACACTTTGCGCGCACTTCCTTTACGCGCATCACCTGCACGTCGACCGCGCTACGTTGCTTCGCCTCCGGCTCGGCCCCCACTCCGGAGCACTCGATATATATCTCTGAGTCCACAGATCCGTACTTCAACCTCTCATTCGAAGATTGGTGCGCATGATATCAACGTGTTCATGCGCTGTTGGTGACATGAATGCGGCAGGTTGTTCCGGCACAAGTCTCCCGACAAGCCATTACTACTGCTATACCGCGATGAGCCCTGCGTCGTCATAGGTCGAAATCAGAATCCATGGAAGGAGGTCAACTTGCGTGCCTCACGGCAGACAGGGATACCCTTCATACGGAGGCATAGCGGAGGAGGTACAGTGTACCACGTACGTCTCGTTCGCTCTCCAGGGAGTTGCTCGTGCTGTATTCACATTGGTGTTATCACGTAGGATCTGGGCAATACCAACTTCTCAATACATCTTCCCAGAGCGTCCTTTGACCGCCATGCGACTGCCCAGGTTGTGTTGAAAGCAGTGCGCTCTTTAGGAGTGGATGCGAACGTGAATGACCGGAACGACATCTGTGTGGGGAAGGACAAGATATGTCGCGTCTCTCCCTCTCCACTTCCTTGAACTTATGAACATTTGGTGCTTACGTGTCAGGCTCTGCATACAAGATCGTGAAGGACCGAGCGTACCACCATGGAACCATGCTCATCTCAACAAGGCTAGACACTCTCGGAGAGCTGCTCAGGTCTGGCAAGGTGCATAGGACAGGGTACCCGTAGCACGCTGTGCCACTTCACTGAGGGATAGTGATTCAGGATACGATGGAGACACGAGGTGTGGCCTCTGTACGGTCTCCTGTTTGCAACTTGCAACAGCGGTATGGGCATGTTGACCACGAGAAATTCGTACGCGCGGTCATAGACGCGTTTCGGAAGGAGTATGACGTGCACGAAGAGGTACGACCTCATTTCCTTCTTCCTACTGCTGTGGACGCAACCGACATTGACAATACCCCAGGTGCAAATGGTCAACGACGCAGATGGAACGCAAAACATTGAATACATCAAGCTTGGGATGAAGGAACTCAAGGTGAGCCGGTGCATTGCGTGGCGTTTGAAGCACCGATTTACACCATGATAGACTTGGGACTGGGCCTTTGGTCAAACACCAGAGTTCACATACAAGATCGAGCACGGGTTCCCATGGGGAGTGGTGGTGAGTGCCTGCCTTACTAGAGCCTTCAAATAGTCCGACGTCAAGCATCCTCCAGTCCGCAGAGATTCGCTCGAAGCACGGCGTCATCTTGTCATGTTCTGTAGCCTGTTCCGAAAGCACAGAGAAGGATTTGAAGGAGCGGCTTGCAGCCCTTGTCAAGAGGTTGCAGGGCCAGCGGTATGGCTCGGTGGATGATGGCATAACGCTTCTTGCGGAGGAAGACGAGCGCGTGACTGGGGTATGGGAGTGGCTGAGGACAGAAATGGATAGCTGAGGCGATTCGCTACGGGTTGCCGTCGCGTCGCGTGATAGAGCACAAAATCTATTGCAAGAGGAACAGACGGAACAGCTGCTGCATCATGACGTTCTCTCGGTGTACCAGACGCTGTTTGTCTCGAATTCAGCTGGCGCATGCGGCTCCGCCTAGACAAAAGGAGGCATATTGAGCCTCTGCAATTGGAAGCACGATGTGTCCATACGCACCAGCTGGCCTCGTTTATGACCCGTCAACCGTTTGTCCCGATCCATCATCATCTCGTCCCAGGCATCGACGTTGTGACGGACGGGCTGGGTTTGGACGAGTTCGGCAGGATACGCGCTCAGCAACAACATATAATGCAAGACATCAGCCTGCCCAAACGCACCTTGCCCTGATTCTGGAGCCTCTTAGAAGTGTTCAAGAGCGTACCCGCGGCGCCGAACATAACAGTGAGAAGTCCTGGCAACGTGTGAATACGGGGTCTTCAAGTGTCACGCAGTGTACTCAAGCGTACCAAACGGAATGAGGGCTTCCCATGGGACCGGCATGGCGAACAGCTAGAGATAGCAGAAGGAAATGCTTAAGGACGATACGGTGCGCGACGCGCCGTGACGCTCAGGCCGCAAGTGGGTGTTTGTGCATATTAGGATCACAAGCCGCCGGCTTCCAAATGTAGACCTCGTACTGAACGCCGCCCCTTGGACACATCCGGACCATGTGTACGACTAGTGTACATGGCAGAAATGTTTTGGGCTATTCTGCCGGCAGATATGGCAGAAATGGCAATTGCCATGGTCGGCAGAAACTGGCAAATATCTAAGCGCCTCCGTGGACATCGAGTCTAGAGTGAGTTCCTCTTGACATACATTCATCAAAGTGCCCTAGGGAATACCTGAAAACGTTGTCAGCTTACCAGTCGGCCTCAGATGAGGCTTCGAAGCTTTCTGAAGGGGTGTAGTGCATGAAGAGCGGCGTAGGCTGTTCCTCATTGTTCTAGCGCCGGTCACACTTTCACCAGAGAATAAGGTGAGAGTAATCAGTATCGTCCTGAGTCCACAGAACGCAGTGCTGTGGAAGCCGTCACATACTAGTACTTTTACAGGGCTTTTATATGAGTACCCAGGCATCGGAAGCCACCCCTACGACCATTTTCTGGTATGAGCGCTAATTATATCTGCCGATATTTGCCAGTGCAGGCCCGCTGGCAGAACGGCAGCATTTTGCCGTGTCATACAGTACGACTCTTGAGAAGGAGCAATTCGGCAACGTTATTTGAAGTATTGGAGCGAAATGAGACAGGGTGTGGATATTAATATACAGCAGACTGCTCTGACTTGCATCGACCGCATTAGGAAGATCTCCACTCACGCTCGACAATTGAGACAGAATCAGAGTCAAGTCATTGGTCTTAGTGAAGACTGAGTGTGGTGAGGTGCGGGGATGATCAAAATGGAACACGGTAGTTGGGGCACCCAATCACCTGCCGTCAAGGAAGCCCTAGCCCTGCTGTTGCAGAATTTCCGGTGTTATTGCCTGTCATTTGCGTGAATCAGGGGGAGCGAGATGATGTAGTGCAGAAACCGGTCAGTTGATGCATACTATATGTTGTAGGTGATGATGAAGACCAATGGTGCGACGTGAGCTCCGAGACATAACGGCGGTGAGAGAATAGCAACGCGGCACACGGCCACCAATCATACTCGACTGTAATACTCGATTCGTGTAACCAGTCGGGTGTATCTGGTAAGTACTGCTCTGAGTGCTGGAGAGGCTCAAGCTGCGTCCAACCGGCTAATCGTGCGGCTGCCAGTTCGTCCCTCTGTGAGCGTCCGATTGAACACAAATAAAGGCAAACATGGTCCGTGCGCTGCTCATCCGGGTATATAACCCGTCCTCGCACACCAAGAATCCTTACCACTCTGGCCTTTTGGCTTAGATCAAGTGTAGTATCTGTTCTTAATAGTTTAACCACTATTATGGAGGCACCGCCTCCATTATTGGTTATCTAATTTTTGCCGCCCTTGACCCTCGGGCTCTGCTTGCAACCCGAGGGCGCGATGACCTTGCTACTGCACTGCTGGCTTGTGTCGTCGGGGGATCTCCTTTATCTTTTCGATGTTGCTTTGTGACCGGCCATTCGGCTGGGATCTCGCATCATCGAATGGATGAAGCGGATATTTCTCTTCCGAGTTGTTATTTCCATTCTGCCGGCAACTGTCGGTGATGCTTGTATGTGTATTCTTGCATTGCTGCTGTGAGAGGATCGTATATTGACCACAGTTTGCTGTACCTATTAAGGGCGACTTTGGTTTACAATGATATCATACCATCTCTTCCATGTTCCCTCCAGAACATCTGCAGGCCAACGCTTCCGGATGTCCTCTGCTCTGCTCTTCAGCTCCCTTGCTATCGGCGCCCACTCCCTAACCAATCTGTGGTTCTTTTTGACGACCTCACCATCAACGAATACAAATTCAATGTCTTCGCCAGCCGCGAGACAGACAACGCCCGAGAACGGATCGTCGGCACCAGCCAGGTTGACCGAGTTCGTGTCGAAGATTAGCAAGTCCGCTTTCTTACCAACTTCGACAGTGCCGATGATATTCGCAAGACCCAGTACCTCTGCGCCGCCCAGGGTGGCGAGACGGAAGACGTCAACGCTACCGTACTTGTGCTTGAAGGGCACGGCTTCCTTAGCAGCCTGGACGCGCTGTTGCTCTCTGAAGCGAGCATCCTGCAATGCGAAGCGCATCGCGGTGAACAAGTCGCCGCTGTTGACCGAGTTTGTATCCTGCGCACACGTTGAGCATCGGTTCAGTCTTGCACACATCAATGACACAGTTCAGTATAGAAGCTCACCGCTCCAATCCCGACTTTCACGCCCCTCTCGACAGCGTCGAAGACCACCACGCCGTTCCCTAGTGCCATTCCAAGCTCATCTTCGGGCGACGTCCCAATCGCCGTTCCGCTGTCCCTCAATGCTTTCCACGCCTCCTCGTTGAGGGGTGCGTGCCCCACAAGGCCGCAACAATGGGAGAAGACGACATCCGGTCCGAGGAGTCCAGCGTCGCGCCACAGCAAGACCTGCTCCGCGCTTTGGATGTGCGCAGTGACCGTCTGCACTGGGATCGCCCTCGCCTCCGCCAACAGCTGCTCGTGCGGAACGGTGGGCTTCCTCCCGAATCCGAGGCGGTCGAAGGCCCACCCGAGCAGGACGCGACCATCGGCCCTGAGCTTTCCGCCGTTCGCACCCCACTCCTTGAGCTTCTCGCGCTGCCACTGCAGCGTCTCGGCGTCCGTCGCGTACTCGAGCGTCGGGAACAGCTGCGTGTTCGGGCTGAGCTGGTCAGGGGCCCACACGACACGGGCTCCGGATTCGACGGCGGCCTTGAGCGAGGCCTCGGCATGCGCCGGCGTGTTCGCGGCGTGGAAGTGGTCGAGCAGCGTCGTGACGCCGTTGTTGAGCGCGTCCAGACAGCCTGCAAGTTCACCGATGGCGACTTCCTCTGGGGTGAGCGTCCCTTGCACTGTCCTGTCGATGCCCGTACATAGTGAGTCACGGGCTGCCGCAAGGGAGTGGTGTAGCACTCACCATAGATATTTCACCAGATACTCGGTGAACAACATGCTGCAAAATTGTCAACGTCAGTTGGGCGGGGAACACCAGGCTGCTCACTCGGCGTGATTTCCTCGCAAAACGGTCGCGTAGATGTGCCTTTGCGCTTGGGTCAGCTCTTTCCCGAAACAGGGTATGTTCGCAATCCAACTCACTTGTGAGTATCGATAAAGCCTGGGGTTATCCACTTGTCCTTACAGTCGATCACCTCCACGTCAGGTGCAGCATCGATATTCTCCTTGATCTGGGTGATAGTGCTGCCCTCGACGAGAACGTCGGCCTTGAAGGCACCAGGTTGGTTGGTGGCTTGGACGAAGGTCGCCACAGTCCCGCCCTTGAGCAGATACTTGTTCATGGTGCTCTTATAGTGATGTTGTTGATCGAGCGAGCAGACACGGGCGAGGGTATAGTTTGAGGAGTACACTCAATGCCTTCTGTCAATCATCAATATATATATGTACGTTAGATGGGTAGCCCCACTAGATCCCTGAGGTTCGGGAAATGCCTGAAGTCGCGTCAACAAAGTCCCACATAGCGACGTCGATTTCAATTGAAGAGTACAAGTAAACCCACTATGCCAAACGCTCCTAGTATGCAATAGACGGCCCAAAGCCGCTCCCATGGCCCCACCGCCAATGCCGAGCTGACGAACACTCAGCTCCCTCCCTTGAGCGGGAGGGTCGAACAACATCAATAAGCCATACTAACGGGCAAGTGACATAATTTCGTGGGACGGCCAGCCAGCCGTACCAACGAGTGACAGAGATAAACATGATCAGCAGCCCTCGGATTAGGTTGCAGAGGGAGAATATGTTCTGGCCTGTGAGTCTCGCGCTCTTGCAATGCACGTTCTTCTGAGCCTGCCATTGATCGTTCGAAATGTTTTACAAGTGCAGGGGTGAGAGACTGCTGAGTAGTTTGCGCATTGCTACCACATTTGAATGGATCTAAGGGCGACTTCAGTTCATGTTGGCATCATACCACTTCTTCCAAGCCCCTTCCAATACTTCTGCGGGCCAGCGCTGCCGGATGTCCTCTGCCCTCTTTTGCAACTCCCTCGCTACCGGCGCCCACTCTCTGACCAGTTTGTGGTTCTTCTTAACGACTTCACCAGCAACCAACACGAACTCGGTGTCTTCACTCGCGGCGAGGAAGACAATGCCAGAGAATGGGTCGTCGGCGCCAGCGAGGTTGACCGAGTTCGCGTCGAAGATGAGCAAGTCCGCTTTCTTGCCGACTTCGACAGTGCCGATGATGTTCGCGAGGCCCAGTGCCTCCGCGCCGCCTAGCGTGGCCAGGCGGAAGGCGTCGACACTGTTGTACTTGTATTTGAAGGGCAAGGCCTCCTTGGCAGCGCGGATGCGATGCTGCTCCTTGTGGCGGGCATCCTGCAGCACAAAGCGCATCGCGGTGAACATGTCCCCACCGTTGATCGACGCCGTGTCCTGCAAGCAGCGGCGGTCAGCATTCTAGACATGGGGAGTCTGTTGAGACACCCACCGCACCAATCCCGACCTTCACGCCCCTCTCGACCGCGTCGAACACGACAAGACCGTGCCCTAGCGCCATCCCGATCTCGTCTTCGGGCGTCGCCCCGATCGCCGCTCCGCTGTCCTTCAGCGCCCTCCACGCCTCCTCGTCAAGCGGCGTGTGCCCTGCGAGGCCGCAGCAGTGGGAGAAGAGGACGTCGGGCCCAAGGAGGCCCGGATCGCGCCACAGAAGGACCTGCTCGGCGCTGTGGATGTGCGCAGTGATCGTCTGCGCGGGTATGGCCCTCGCCTCCGCCAGCAGCTCCTCGTGCGGGACGACGTGCTCCTTCCCGTTCCCAAGGCGGTCGTAGGCCAACCCGAGCAGAACGCGGCCGTCGGGACTGAGCCTCCCGCCGTTCGCGCCCCACTCCGTGAGCTTGGCACGCTGCCACTGCAGCGTCTCGGTATCCTTCGCGAACTCGAGCGTCGGGAAGAGCTGCGTGTTGGAACTCAGGTGATCGGGCGCCCACACGACGCGGGCCCCGGACTCGATCGTTGCCTTGAGCGAGGCTTCCGCGTGCGCAGGCGTGTGCGCGGCGTGGAAGTGGTCGAGCATGGTCGTGGTGCCGTTGTTGAGCGCGTCCAGACAGCCTGCGAGCTGGCCGATTGCGACTTCCTCGGGAGTGATCGTCCCTTGGACGGTCCTGTCATTTGGTGTATTAGTGAGTCCAAGACTGTCGCACGCATAGTTATCGGCTATCGGTGTAGCACTTGCCATATGAATTTCACCCGGTATTCAGAGAACAGCCAGCTGCAGAATGAACGGTCTCAGTTGCGACGTCACGGGGAAGTGGACCCCAGCTACCCACTCGCAGTGGTTTCCGCGCAAGACGGCCATGAAGAGATGCCTGTGCGCTAGGGTCAGCGCTCCGCACAGACCGAACGCATCTGCGGAACGGCTCACTTGTGGGTGTCGACGAAGCCAGGGGTGATCCACCTGCCTTTGCAGTCGATCACCTCCACGCCAGGTTCGTCGTCGATGTTCTTCTCGATCCGAACGATGGTGTCGCCCTCGATGAGGACGTCGGCTTTGTGGGCGCGAGGTTTGTTGGTGGCTTGGACGAAGGTCGCTACAGTTCCGCCTTTGAGCAGGTACTTGGCCATGGTGCTTTTGTAGAGTGAAAATCGGTTGTAGAAGTATGTGAGGGTAGTAGGGATGAGGACTCCACCCAGCTTTATATATTCGTGGGCTGGCTAGCCCACAGGCTCAATAGAGGGACAAGTGAGGTCACGACATCGTCGTCTAGCATATAGCCTGCGACGTGTCAGCTTAGTCGCGGCGATGTCGATGTCTTCTCGTCCACGGCATACATCCCGTCCGTTGAAAGGGGCGGTATGGAGGCAGAATCATGGCCGGGTTTCGGTGAACAGCGATGTTCTCGGTCTCTCTCCTCAGCAGAGAGAGACAGTGGTTAAGCTGACCAATGGCAATTGTCCCACGGCTCGCAGATAGCACTTAACAGCCTGTACATTTGTCTTTGTCAGCGATGGACAGCTTGATTCTGTCCCGGGGCTGTCCCTATTCAGCTCGCATTGACAAGGGAGGCAAATCGATGATGGTATGGCTCACCAAATTGAAGGCTCTGTACTTTGATTCGGGGGTTGGGGAACGATGCCAGACGTCGTGGGCGCATCCTCGCAAAGTGTATGAAACAGCCTCGCAGCACTCTCGTTCTATCCTCGACCGCCCGGCCGCTCGTCTCCCGATGGTATTTACGCTCGAAACCCAATATCGTTCATCCGCAAAGCACGACGTCGCACCTCAGCTCCAGGAGCTCTCCCGTGCTCTCCCTTCGGGGCACGCAGCCCGGGCAGACTCTGGCAGACACTCAGATTGCGGCGCTTCTGCGCCGGCCCTATCGTCCGAAGAAGACCCGGCACCGACGGCAAAGGCAGGCCGAAATGGAAGGACTTCCCCCGCGTATCGAAGTTCCGGGGTTGCCAACGGGACACGAGCCTCGCGGACTTCTCTTGTGCGCTTCTCATTCTCCTGCCCCCCTCTCACCTCTTCCTTCGAACAATGTAACACACACACCCTGCCTTTTGCGAACCCCGCCAGCAAGTGGCAACTTAGCACCGACGATGATGCGCCCCTGCTGACCGTGGCTCAATCAATCGGTCGTTGAGCTCGTCATGAACGGGAACAAAGGAACGACAGACCTCAGAATGCGCTCTCTAAGTAGTGGCACCGTCCGCGACAACTCCGCAGTCCATCGCGCTTCCTCGAGAAGCCCTTCCCCCGTGAGCCGTCCTCGACTCCCAAGCACACGTTCATGATAGCATCGACACGTCGGCAACACGTTCCCTCCAGAACTCCCGCGAAGCTTTTCTCTACAGGTCTCACCAGGTCTCGGGACCGAGACGGTGGAGAAGTGCGACTCCGCTCCCAGTATCCAAAGAGCGTCAGTCGGCAGCAGCTTTGTGGAGGACGGTCCAACTCGAGCTTCACCCCTGCGCTCACTGAACTGCACATGTCGATGTCACAGAGAAGTATTCGTAACATATAATCTAAAACATAAGATTGCATAACCTGACATGCCCGAGATGCGCCCAGCGACGCTCCGCCATCAGCGTCCGCACGAACACACCACAAGCATATCCCAGTCCGCGATACAAAGATTAGGGAGTGTAGGATGGCATAATCGACCGAAGATGGTGATACATGGGAGGGTACATACGTGCATATAGGAAGGGTACATACCAGCGACCACAACAGCACGAACGCGAAAGCACAGTCAGAAGCAGAAGCAGAGTCAGCAACAAGCACGAGAACGGTTTAGCACTTCACACAGCACATCGACGGGGACGGGTGGGGTGAGGGGCAAAGGGGTAGGAAGGATGGCCCTCGGGGCCGACCCGATATCGGGACGGCGTGGGCGGGCCACATGCCGGAGTGCGGGGCCGCAAGCGAGAGCACGGGCCCACAGCGAACAGCGAGCGCACTGGTCCGTGTGACGGAGAGCGACCAACGACGATAGATGGCGAGGAACGCCGGTAAGTCACGTCTAGAGCGACGACAAGCAGTAGAACACGACGAGCCCGCCGACGGCGCCCGCGACGAGCACATCTACGAACGTGTTCCTGATCCTAGTCGGGTCGTCGGGGTACGCGCCCACGCGCTCGTTGAGCTCGCGGCTCAAGCCCCGCTGGTAGTCGTAAGGCTCGAGCACGACACCGCTCTCGGGTGGAAGGCGCACGGTCGGCTTGGGCGGGGTGACCTGTGAGTCGGCGAGCACGTCGACGGCGCCGCGGTCGCGCCCGACCGCGATGAACCACGAGTGTTCTCGCGTAGGGAGAGTGCGCGTGGGCGTAGCGGGCTCGTGCTTCAGACTCAGGTTCTGCACAGGGGCCCCACTGCGCTCGACGTGCCGGACACGGGTGTAGAGGCCTTCGGCCTCCGCTGCAGAGGTGATGGCGGCCACCTGCTCGTACGGGCTAGAGTAGAGGGAGGCGAGGGGCGTGCTGCGCCCGATAGCTTGCGAGAGGCGGCGGGTCATGCGCTTCAAGATGGTGACCGAGGACGCGCTAGACGAGGTGTCGGACGCGTCCTCTTCTTCGCCGGGCAACGATTGCTCGCGGGTGTAGTCGGGGTCGAAGTCCTGTTCGTAGTCTTGCTCGTATTCGTACTCGTGTTCCGGTGACCCTACCGCCGCGCGGTCTGTGCAACCGCCGTGACCATACGCCGCCTGCTGATGCTCGTCCTCGGCGTCGACGTCGATGACCTCGTAAGTGGGCATGACGGGAGGGCGACGGGAGGGAGCACCCTGAGAGCGGTTGTCGGGCTCTGTGGTGACTGCGCTAGGTTGACGCTTAGGGAATCTGTCGAGCGGGTTGGCGGGCGGCTCGGGGTCGGTCCAGTTGGGGTTGACGCGGTGCCAATAGCCCGAGGGGGTGGGGTTGAAGACGAAGTCGGGGGAGGCCTGCGCGTATGCACGGGCGAGCGGGGCAGGGGCAGTGGGAGGCTGAGGCTGGGGAGAGGCGGGGACGGAGCCGTCGCGGGGGCAGATGGGGACCCCCATGGGCCGCTTGTGGCCAGCCATGAGATGACCGCACTTCTGGCAGACAGGCTTCTTTCTGGCGGAGCCGGGGCTCATGTCGTTGTCTTGGAGGTCTTTGTGGGCGAGGGAGGAGCAGCGGTGGGGGACGGGGTGATCAATGCTCTACCTGGTGATGGTGGTAGAGATGGAAGGTCAGATGCACTCCGCGCAGCATGATGAGACGATAAGGACAGATGGGAAACGAAGGGAGCGCACAAAGGAGGGCAGCGGTGAGAGGGGAGGAGGGACATACCCTTTTGAGACAGCAAGACAGTTGAGCTGAAGGCTCGGGGGGATTCAAAGGGGAAGGTCATGCTTTAATAGCACTCACCCGAAAAGCAGGCACCAAGAGCGAGTGAGCCCAGGAAGAAAGCACGGGCGAGGCAACGGGGCCTCGTCGACGGGAGAGCGGGGACAAAGGAGGAGAAGGGAGAGCACAAGAAGGGCGTCCCTTCCTGGCACATCCCCGCGAATGGGCGCCTCCCTTCTCCCGGCAATCCCCTGCCAATCCCCGCACCGCCTTCGCAGTGACCTCCCACAGACGCGGTGTCGTGACTGTGACCGCGAGGACTTCCGTACATCGTATTCTGCACCAGCAAGCAGCGAACGCAGAGATTTGATTTCGATAGCAGAGGTTTCACGTCGTTGAGAGTCTGCAGATAGTGTACAATCCATCCATAGAAATGTAGTAGTAGCTATACATGGTGAGCGCGTAAGCAAATAAGCACGGTATAAAAACCAATAGACATAGCAATGAAAAATCACGACAGCTCGTTATATACACACCACCATCCCGCAAAGCCCCTTCCATAAGATACACAGACAGCGCACATCACCACTTCTGCGCAGCCTGCACGACCAGCAAGCTCGCATGCCCCGGGCCCGCAACGACGAACGCGCACGCCACGCACCCCAGCGTCTTCGGCAGCTCCGAGCCCAGCGCCGCCCCCCGCGCCCCCGCAAGCTTCTGCAGCTCGACCTCGTGCGACTCCACCGCCATCCGCCGCGACCGCCCCGCGACGACGATCTGCCGTCCGCGCGTCGGCGAGCGCGCGTGCAGCTCCACCGCGCGGTGCAGCGGCTGCGCGGACGCCTCCTCCACGAACGTCATGCGCGCGCGCACCGCCGCGGCCTCGGGCCCTGCGCTCGCGGACGACGCCGACGCGAGCCTCGTCCACAGCAGGTCGTCCGCCGTCTCGGACGCGAGGCGCGTCTGCGTCGTCTGCGCGCCGTACACCGTGTCCGGGAAGACCGTCTGCAGAGTCTGTCAGCATTCGTCGCGCATCGTGAGCAGGCGATGAACTTACAGCGTGCACGGTGTTCTGTAGCTTGATCTGCTCGATCGTGTCCACAGGCTCGAGCGCCGCACCGTCCACCTTCTTCATGCGCACCACCGTCGCGCTCACCGACGGGTGCAGGCACAGCTGCACCACGAACGCGAGCGCCGCGCGGTCGTCCGGGCCCCCGAAGAACGGCACGAACGCGTGGAACTGCGCGTCCCCGCCCCCGAGCTGGGGCGAGCCCGGGGCGCCGCGGTCCCAGAAGAGCGCGACGTCCGCCGGGGCGTCCGCGAAGACGCGGCGGACGAAGTGCGAGTGCACCGTCGTCGCCGTCTGCCCGCTACTCCTGCCCTCGTGCCTCGCCTGGAAGAGACCGTCGAAAGGCGACGGCGCGACGCTCGCTGCGGACGAGGGCGACGCGGCGTCCGTGGGGGAGTCGGGGACGTCGTTGTCGAGGGACTCGGAGCCGAGGGCGTTCGTCCAGGGGAGGATGACCATCTGGCTGCCCGCTGCACGGGCGTGCTGCGTGACGTTCTCCGCGAAGTCTTCGCCGCCGACGACGGCAAGGGCGGTGGAGACGGCGATGCGGTGCAGGTAGCCGAACGTCTTGAAGATCGCGAGGATGGGGTCGCGTTGCGCGAGGGCGTCGGCGGCCTGCGACTTCAGCACCGCGGAGGCACGGTTCGTGAGCTCGATGAGGCGCAGGACGTCCACAGAGATGCGCGGGCGGTCCATCGAGCTGCGGGCCGGGGTCAGTGTCGGGATGCCTTCAGACATCGCGGCCTTCTCGTCCATCTCTGCGCTCGAAGCATCCGACGAAGGCGCATCCGGCAACATAGAGAACGGTATCTGGAGAAGTTGGGTGATGGTCATGATAGCCGGAAGCTGCTCGATCCTATCGACGATGATGGCGAAGCGCGTCTTGAGGGAGTCCTTTATCTCGCTCCTGCTCGCACCAGTGCCATCTTCGGTAGATGCGGAGGGGAGCGGCTGCTTAGGCTGTTCTCTGATACGGACACGGTACTTGGCCGGGTAGAAGAGAATGGTGAGAGGCGTAGTCATGAACGTGAGCACGAGCGCGTGCAGAACGAACATGGAGAACGTGCGAGTGTCCAGGATGCCGGCAGAAAGACCGACATTGAGTACAATGAGCTCAACCAGCCTGCGCAATGTATTTCAGTCTCTGCTCGGAGGATGTCAGGCCATGGCACTCACCCCTTGCAACTCATGAGTGCGCCGATGGCGCCGGACTCACGCACGCTGAAGCCCATGATCTTGGCGGTGATACCGCACGCAAGGAACTTCGAGAAGAACGCGATGACACAAATGAGGATCGTGTATCCCCAGGTGATACCGTTGTTCAACAAGCCCAAGTTGGTGCGAAGACCGGTGAAAGCGAAGTACTGGCGCGTTGTGTAAGCTAAGAGCTCAACCGGATGCTTCAGCACTCACCAGAGGGAGCAGCAAGAGTAGTAGTATGTCCTCAAGCTTCTCAACCAAAGCAATTGCGTACCCGTTCTTCTTAGGGATGATCAATCCGGCCAGGAAACCGCCCTGTGCCACCACCTCACTTCAGCAAACGGGTCTTATGCTGACAACCAGTGAGGCGCCACTTACGAAGATCTCGTGAATGCCGATGACATCTGTGTAAAATCCGGATATGAGGACCATGACAATGGTGACGGACATCATCAATGTTGATGGCGTGCCAGCGTCCAAGCTACCAGTCTTCACCGCGAGCCAGTGGTACGCCCATCGCACAGGGAAGAGAATGAATATGACGAAGCCGATCCCGGCGAGAAGCACCCAAAGCGCAGTCAGGCCGCTCGAGGAGTTGATGAGCGCAACAGACAGCGCGAGCAGAACCCAACCAATGACTGGGTGTAGATAGTATGGCGTCAGTCACAATAGTATCGCCGACGCGGACGCGCAGCAAAATATAACCCTTACCATCATTGCCCACGCCCGCGGATAGGGTGACGACTCCCACGGTCGTATCCAATAGTCTCAATTCTGTGAGAATCCGACAGAGCACCGGGAAGGCGGTGATGCCAACCGCGACAGCAATGAAGAGCACAAAGACGCCAAAGCTCGCTGTCCCGTCCGTGAACTGGTGGTAGATGGGCACCGCGAGGGCAGCACCCAGTCCGAGCGGAATAATGAGGCCCGCGATGGAAATAGCTGCGGCGGCCTTGACGTTGCGGCGAATGACACGCATGTCGATTTCCATTCCGACGAGGAACATGAAGAGGACGAGGCCGAGGTTCGCGGTCAGATTTAGGATGACCAGTGACTGAGTTGGAAAGATCGTGTTCGTGAAGTTTGGGATGTGCCCCATGACAGAGGGCCCGAGGAGTACACCGCCGATGACTTCGGCAATGACACGCGGCTGGCGGATGCGCGAAAGGAAGAGCGCAAGCAGCTGGGTCATGCCGATGACAATGACTGCGTACACATTGAAGGGGAGTCGTCAGCAACGCGAGAGCATTGGATGGCGCGGGGCAGACACACCGACTTGGATGACCCATAGACGAAAAGGGTCGCTCGAATTGTAATCTGCTGGGTTGTCACCAGCGATAATGCCAGCCTAGGAGGGGGATTGTGAGTAAGGCCCTTGGTAGCCACAGAACCGCTTAGAACTCACCTGCTCAGGGGCGGCAGCTCTCCGGACGAGAGCAAGAACGTCGGCTGAAAACGCTCCCATGTCGATGGTGGTCGACTAGCACGAGGGAACTCGTCAGTCTCTGAATGGACACGGCAGAGATAGACGGATAGGAGGCAAGGGGAAGAGCGCTCCAACAACTGCTAGTTCTCCCGGAAGCCCCCACTTAACACGCACCGTAGGCGCCCGCTCAAGATCGCATCTGGCTGGTGAAACGGCGCTTATCACGAGCCACTCCAAAAGCGAGTGCCTGGCATCTAATCAGTGCAGTGCCAGTGGGAACTCACCACCGCTCGTCTGCAGAATTTCAAGTTGCATAGATCAAGCTCACAAGGGAGAATGAGCTATCTCAAACTAAGTGTCTTGGCCGCGGAGGCATCCCTGTTCCTCAGCGCCATTCGGGCTGAGACTTCCGAGTCGTCCACGGTTCCGTATCAGAGTGGTCTGGACATGCCCCGCTGTCAAAGCTCAAACCTTCGATAGCTGAAATACCTAACGTCATATTCCGTAAGATGCATACAAGTCTCAAGCGGGCGCAACCGTTTCGCTCGCACGCGCTTGCATCGAATGCCCATGGAGATATGTGGGACGGCGCCTGCATAGGAAATCAGAACTCGCTTGATACTCTTCGCAATTGCGTGAGCTCATAGACTTCGCTTTGAGAAACTGTATTGGCACAGCAAGATGACAAGTAAAATACACAGAGAGGCAACGATAGGTCGGTGCGCCCATACCGTGAACAAAACTAGAACCAGGCACAGAATCAAGAGTCAGAACTACAGCCGCGACAGCCTGTCAGAGATGATCAGTAACATGAACACTTCTTCAACTCCATGGGTAAATACCGCAGTGCACGCATTCCACGACCGTGCCCGGACGTAGCTGGGCTTTTGGTACACGACAAATACAAGTCGACCCTTGATAGTTCATGTCCTAGGATGCCGTCAGCTAGGGCTACTAGGGAGCATGGGAGCAGGGATATGGCGTACTTTTGTCTGTATGCACCGCACGCAACAGAGTTTCTCGTATCCGGGCTTCTTCCACTTCGCTATCAGGCTTGAAGAGGTACACTAGTCAGCCTTGTCAAGACAGGTCGTATGTGCATGTACTCACTTTGCGTCTGCGTATCCCTCCTTCAAAAGCCAGTCATACAGCTCCTTGCTAATAGCCTCGCGCTTGTAGTACAGCTCGTATATGTACCGTGAACGCGTATGTGAGATCCGCATGATTGGCCAAAGAGACTCTGACTTGCGCTTTCCCTCATGAGACTCGTTCTCGGCATCACGCATCTTCTTCGCGTAGTCATCAAGGATCTACAGGTCATACTCGGTGAGCTGACCCCTCTGCCAGTACGAGTCCAGCAAACGTACGCTCTCGATGTCCTCAAAGCCTTCTGGGGGCTTCTTCGTCCTCGTGGTGCGAATCTTGGGCATGTTGTCTGTGTAGGAGCCCAGGAGCGAGCAGAGGGTGAATGAGACAGTCGTGAGGACGCTGTAAGTGGCACAGTCGTGTGGCGAGTGCGAGGCAGGACGCGTTTACGTAATCTGCACGTGCGAGAGGACCTCGAGGAGGGCACGCGTCCGGACGCGACCGCCGCGCTCTCCGCCGTCGATTCTGCCTATTTCAACCCCTCGACGCCTCACAACCTCCCGCCACGTTGCCCTGAACTCACAGCTCATCCACCACTTGCGCTCGCCTGCCCTGCTCGCTCTTATCCCTGTCGACCTCTACGCTCGATCATCTCTTGCCGGCATATGCTCCACCATCAGTCGGCAACCGTCCTCGACATTCAACGCTAGACAACGACGTTTACTGCATCTTGTAAACTCACTTCGCGCTTGTTCACCTTTCTAAATTATTCTGTGTCTTGGGAACCATGCCTCTGGTCGTGCCAGTTCTCCGGCTGGCCTACACCTTCCTCAACGTCTTTGAGACTTTCAAGACTCTCCGGCTTCCCCCTCCCTCGGCGCGGAATGGCGGTCAGCCCAGTCAGAGGGCAATGGCCGCGCGTAAGCGGTCTATGAAGGGCGTCATGACGGTCTGGATGGTCTGGGTGAGTACGTTACGCGCGCGCTGTCGGCATCCAGCTCATCGCACGGACCGTGCCCTCAGGCTTGTTTCATGCTATATGAAAGATGGGTCGAAACCTTTGTTTGGCTCTTCGTCCCATTCTATAGCGAAATCAAGTCGTTGTTCATCCTCTTCTTCCTCCTCACCCGAGCAAAGGTCAGTGCTAGCGGTCGTACCCCGTCGTCAAGGACCAGATTGATCGGTCTCTTGCTACTCGCAGGGAGCAGAGCCCGTCTTCTTGCATGTCATACGGCCTGTTATCAAGCCCTACACCGTGCCTTTGGATGCCCTCTGCGACACCGCTACCTCGTTTGGCGATCTCGTCATACTCGTGGCTTTGATTCCTTACAACTACCTCCTCGGGTTCTACCGCCGGTGGTGGAAGGCCTACGATCCCCCACAGGCGGACCCTGAGACATGGCACCGGGACTCTCCTCCCGCTGCTGCTGCTTCTCGCCCCTCTGCGCATCGGGCATACGCGTCCGAGTCTACTGGAGAAGCACGTCCCGCTGCGAAGAGAAACGTCTCGAACGGTTCGGTTAAGCAGACACGTTCCGTCATACAGTCTCGTTCAAACGTCCCTACGCCTAATCACCAGATCTGGCGCCCATCTCCCTCAGCGTACGATGTCGACGACGAGGTCACGCTGAACCCACACTCCGGCCTTCCAACGCCGCCCATTGAGCGCCAGCAGCACATGCAGCTGGCCGGAGCACCCATCGTCGCTCCCAAACCCGTGCGCGCGGGTAACGGGGCACAGTTTTCCGGGATTGCAGAGGACGATGAGGAGGAAGCAGGGGTCCGGCCGGGTTTTCGGAAGTCGCTCCTATTGCCGCGTGAGCCCCGGAACCCCGGCTCCGATGGCGATTTGAGCGACGACGACGACACGAAAGGGGTTCAACCACTTAACGGACAGGCATCGAACGACGACGAGACCCTCGTGGATGAGGAAGAAGAAACAGACGCGGAGATGAACGGGGACGAGGTCAGCGCACGCGCCCCGTGGCAGGACGAGGGCGAAAACGAATATGAGAGCGACATAGACGAGGACGTGTTCAACACGACGCTGGCTACGCCCGGGCGACGGCGCCGATATGAGGACGACGATTCGGAGTACGAGGAGTACCTCGACAATACCATGCTCACGCCTCCACCCATGAAGACTTCTTTTTCCGAGTCTAGCGCCGTTACGCAGTCGTCCGCACTCAGCACGACGGACGCTGGCTCCTCCCTCCGCACCACCCGATCCCTGTCGTCCGACGGCTCTTCGCTCGCAAGAAAGAAGCAGCGCGCCCCTCGGAAATTCGCAGGGGACGACGACAAGTTCTCTGTCAACGTTCCCGTGTGCAAGGCAGGCGCCGCAGGGAAGCCCGCTGCACCTGGCTCCCGTGGCTCTACCATTGGCCGGTCACGCGGGAAGACATTGCAGGACGGTACGGAGAACGGCGACGCTGCGCCTGAGGACGATACTGGTGAGGGCGCTGAGGTGAAGCCAGGTATGGGCACCGTTCGCGCACGGCCGAAGCCTCAACGCGGGGACAGCCAGGGGACGATTCGTGGACCGCCGACGAGGGGGCGAGGGGCGAGCACGGCTCGCGGGGCAGCGCTACCGGCCCGGGCACCCTCTGCTCGCATTGCGGCGAAGGAGCGTCCGAAGCCTGTCGTCAAGAAGGCTACGGGCGTAGGGACTGCTGCTCCCAAGGTGGTGCCGAAGGTAGCGAAGCCGGTTCAGAAGGACGCAGCGGCTTGATTGACGTTCATTTCATGGCTACCTGACGTACGGCACACGACACACGACATCAATAGACGCATCCATTCATCTTTCCAATTCATCTTCTCAATGTTCGCACACTCATATACTCGATACACCATCTCCGCATACCTTCACACCCTCAACCTTCGTATTTAGGACGAGACACTTGCATATAGGGAACGCGGACCTGCACCGCTGGTCCCAAAATTGCCCCGAGCCCGGAACTCAGAGACCCTCGCATGGATTCACGTAGCAGCTAATCGTCCACCTCATCCTCATCATCAAGCTGTAAATTATTACAATACACCATGCCACGCGCAATGATCATCCTTTCTAACGCAACATTTTCCAATGACTGAGGAGAATAGGTGTGCACACGACAGGATGGAACGTCAAGGCAGGGGTGGTTAAGTTGCCAATCACTTACGTACCCGCGAATAGGGACCTCACTACGATCACTATCGCCGTGGTCTTACTGATCGGTCAATACACGGTTCTATGTCCGCTAAGTAGTACTACGACAAAGCTGAAGCCTAATGGGATAAGGATTATGAGATCATATTTCGAATTTCAGTAAGTAGCGGTGTAGGCATTGAAGGCCTGTGCCGCGACTCGGCTTCGGCGATTGCGAAAGGTCCGCTGTGTCGTCGGTGCGAAAACATGTGACTAGCGGGAACCATCATCACGAGCCACGCAGGTGAGCATAGACTATCACACCGGACTACATGTCGGCATCGATCAAAATTGGGTCACGAGTTGTCGTTCAACCGTATAATCGAGAAGTTCTTGGCCTGAGGCATATGCATTAGTCCTCATGAGAACCAGGCAACGCCAGCATATATGTGGGTTGATTCCACAAGCTTCTAAGGGCTGTGAATTATACTCGGGCCAAGTGTACTTGCACCAAGTCTGGGAATCGACCGCTAGTCCGACAATCAGCCTCCGTAGACTGAGGTAGCCTCGACTCTCAGGGCCCCTCAGCCAAGTCCGATGTCAGAAGCTACTTATCCCGGCTACCGCTGCGTAAGGAACCGCTGACAAAAAGGGTGACAGATAAGGGGCACGGTGGTCCAGTGTGTTCGCGATCAGAGCTTCTCCGTTGAATGTGACCTACTATAGCAGCAGCATATATAACTGGAGTCCTAGAGCATTCATGGCCTTCAGTCAAGACCACTTCGCCCAGCACACTTCGTTGACATGACGAGATATCTACTCAAAGGAGGAACCGTCGCGACCTCGGTCCAAGGGAGCAACGAGGCCCGTGTGTTTAGGGCAGATGTACTCATCGAGGGCGATACCATCGCGCGCATCGAGGAGAACATCGTGCCTGCAGCTGGGGTGGAGGTCATCGACTGCAAGGACAAGTGGATTACTCCAGGTTTCGTCGATACTCACCGGTGCGCCTTCGCACAGTTTATATATAGTGCAACGTCGCTGACCGGCCGCCGCTATAGACACGTGTTCATGACCATCCTGCGCGGCACACAATGCGAGTGGGTAATCGACAGTCAAGTTCTGCGATCTGAAACTAAGTAACTGTTACTTCGGGCAGCTGGTTGCTGACTGAATACATCGTCAAAATGTCATGGTGAGCGTCCCAAATCAACTCTGACCGAATCCTATTACTCACCAGGCCCAATTCTCTCGCTAGGTCTATTCAGGGGACCATGACCCCCGAAGAGGTCGCAATTGGAACGCTCGCAGGACTGCTCGAAGCACTCCACAACGGCGTCACAACGATCCTGGACCACTACCATGCCGCGCACACTCCGGAGCACGCAGAGGCCGCACTCAAGGCCACCATCGACTCCGGGGCTCGCGTCGTATGGGCCCCAGCTCGCCAGAGTCCGCCCACGCGCCTGCTCCCATTCCCGGAGTGGTCCAACGACGCTCAGTCGATTGAATGGCAGCGGGCGAAGATCAAGGAGTGGGGCTCTGCGGACGGAGGCAAGCTGCGCCCCGACGGACGCGTCACGCTCGGGCTCGCGTACGACATCTGGAACTGGGAGAGCGCGATGGCCCAGCACCAGGAGTTCCTGGCATACGCGCGGGCGAACAACGTGAAGACGATCACGGCGCACGTCGTGAAGGGCCCGCAGATTCTGAGGTGGCGCGACGCTGGGCTGCTCGGGCCCGACGTTGTGTTCTCGCATTGCAACGCCCTCACGGATTGTCCCGCCTTGGATGATGAGCGGTGGAAGGCTCTCAAGGATAGCGGCGCAGCTATTGGGTCTACCCCTGAGGATGAGCTGGGGATGGCGCACGGCAATCCCGTCGCTCTTGACGCGCTTCAAAGAGGCGTGAAGTGCGGGCTCGGGGTGGTACGTGACCCCTCTCTTCTCGACGGAGGAATGTACTCCTACTGAACGTGACATCAATCAGGACTGTCTCTCGATCAACAGCGGTGACATATTAACGCAGATGCGCTTCGCGCTCCAATGGGCCCGCGGTCACGACCACGAGCGCATCCATCTGAACAAGGAGACGCTCCCATTCAAGAACAAGTATAGCAGCGCCGACGCTTTCCGGCTTGGAACACTCGGCGGGGCGGAAGCGTTGAACCTGGCTCACCTGATCGGGACCGTCGAGGCTGGCAAGCGGGCGGACCTCCTCATCTTCGACGCAAACTCAGTAAACTTGGGAGGTGTCGAGGATCCGATCCAGGGAGTGGTCTTCCACGCTTCAAGCGAAGATATTGAGACAGTGTTTGTGGATGGAGAGATAGTGAAAAAGGATCGCAAACTGATCAGGGATTGGGCTCCCGTCGTCAAGGAGCTCAAGCAGAGAGGGGAAGACATTCGAAAGCGGTGGCCGGCGGAGGTCCTGGAGGAACGGTGGAAGCAGTGGTATGACACGAATGGGGCTCCGCGCTTCTGATGGGGAGCCGAAAAATAAACGAATGCCACGGGATGTACTGTATAATTAGTCAGAGTTATGCGCAACGAAAGCTCGTTCAATGTCTGCGTCAGCGTGCAAGAGTCCCTTACCGCCGTAGGTCGTTCACATCCGATTATCACGATACGAGTGTGGGGCTTGAGGCTTCCGGCAAACCGCGGTATGCTCCCATTATTCCGAGTATCAAATAACCAATGTCCCCCGGCATACCTACGAGCACCCGGACCGCCTGCATCTGCCAACAAAGCACAAACAGCACATCAATGGCTTGGTCTGCCAACCAAGACCATCCCGTCATCCTCTTCCGTCTCCGTTCCATATTCGCTACCCTCCATCCGACTGTGGGTCAATACAGGCGAGGAGGTGGCAGAGTTCTCGGACACGCTGTTCGACGCTCGGCTTGCGGTCCGGAGTGGCTCAGGCTCGTTTTCCTTGGTTGGTTCGGACGGGGTAGGAGGCTGGGCGGGAGTAGCCAATGGTGCCGGCGTCACGGCGGGTTGTGCTGTCTTGGGCTCCGTGCCCGGAGGAGGGGGAGCAGATATCTCGCGCAGAGTCTCTACCATCATGTCGTGCACGCGAATCGCCAATTCAGATGCATCCGCAGCCGTAAGGCCGGTTGTGGGAATAGGCGGAAGGACTAGACGGGCTTTGTGAGCTACACAAGTACATTGACCGCATTGTTTCAGCGCACCTTTGACTTTAAGAGTACCGCTCTCAAACACGCCCTTCCTGTACAACCTCCAGTAGTTCTCGCAGATCACTGGAACGATCGGGACTTGCGCCTGAATGGCCGTATGAAACGCGCCTTTCTTGAAGGGGAGCATATCGTGGTATGGACGCATCGAGCGCGTGCCCTCGGGGAAGAGCCAGAGGGAGCTGTTGCGTTCCTTCATGATCTCGCCGGCTGCAGTGAGCGACCGCACCGCGCGCGCGTTGTTCCCGCGGTCGACAAAGACAGCCCCGGCGAGGGTCATGAATTGACCCAATAGCGGCGACCATTGCAGCTCCTTCTTCGCCATGATGGAGGCTCGACGAGGGAAGATCCTATCGGGAGTATACATCCATGCATGAATGTGATTTTGGGTTGCAAATTGAAGCATTCGGGGAGGCAGGCGTCAGTGTCGTGTCCGATCGCGACATAGATAGTGGAAACACACCTCCCAAGGTAGAGAATATCGAGCATGCTCTGATGGTTGCCGACCAGGACGGAGGGTCGCGTCTCGAGGTAGTCTTGGCCCTCTACGATGAGACGGATGCCGATTACACGGCTCGCGAGGAAGTAGAAGCTGCGCGCGACGATATAGAATACGTCAAAGCGGTTGCCTGTGAGGCCCAAGCCTATCGAACATATCACACCCCATATAGAGCAGACTCCGAGGGTGGAGAGGTAGAGACCGAGACGGACATAGTACCGGGCGAATGGGCTGGAGTCTGCCCAAGTCTTGAGGGCGAAGACGGGGAGAGAGACGTAGGCGAGAGGCTTGATGATGCTGGCCAGGAAGGACATGATCGAGCCTCGTCGTCTCTGACGATGGTGAGGGAGATGTGTACGATGGGGGCGATGGGATCGCGGAGGAGAGGAAAGTGGCGAGGAAGAAGCCCACGCGGGCAGGAATCCGGACGAGGGTCGGAGTCTGAAGCGACATGGACGACCATCTCCCGGGACGCTTCTCCGTGCTTCCGCAACCATGTCCTCCTCCATCAGGCCATCTCGCGGTCAGTCCTCTTTCTCCAGCCCCCTCGCTGCGTTAGCCTGTCTCAAGCTGCGTGTATCAAGGCAGAACAGCCCCTCCACCTGCGCGCCCGGCGAACGCGTCATCTGCTGCCGGTTCCCGGGCCAAGCCAGACGAATCCAGAGTCAAGTCGTCGACAACCACCACCTCTGCCTCCCGAGCTCGAACTCAGAACAATGCTGCACGCACTACCGTGACCAAGGCCACGACGGTGCAAGCACCGACCCGAACGCGTGCCGAGCCACCCTCGAGCCGCGTGAGAGCCACAACCACGGTCAAGGGAACGCTTCCGGGGGCCGCAAGTAACACATCCTCCTCCCGACCTCCCTCCGCCGCGTCAAAGGAGCATGTGAGCCTGATGCATTCTCCTGCCAGACATATCTGACACGTCGTTGACACGTTATAGACGCGTCCCCGCGCCCAGGAAGTCGCGTCAGTCTCGGAGCACTCGGAAGCATTACAGGGCGCCGCGCAGTCATGCGCGTGGAAGTACATGGCCTCCACTCTGGAGGTTGAATTCGAGAAGGCCGAGAATATTGCCCGCGCCACACTCAACACCAGAAGGGATGAGTTGGCGGCTGAGGAAGCCGACATCGCAGAGAGTCGTGTGCGATTTGAAGCAGAAAGGCTCATACAATTCTATGACGAGCTCGGAGATAGGGAGGTGAGTACCATGCCGCTTCCTGACGCAACTGCTGAAGTAAGCCCTGGAAGGTTGCCGATGAAATTGCGACTATTGTGTTGCGGTACAAGAGACTAGAGAAGACCGTCAGCGAGACAACTGCTGCTGCTCTGCAGGTATCCTCGTTGCCTTTGGACGAGATCACGCATGTGTCCCAGTACAGCAACGTACTGGATCAGATTGGTACGTCTGACGATGGAAGGTCAGTTCATTTCTCCGACATTAATGTCGCGGTAGAATCATTGGAAGACGAGTGCCGCGAGCTTGAGGTGCTGGTACATTCTCTGCTCACCACCACCACTTCCTTTCGGAGCGATAAACTACCCACCGTCTTGCGGGATATTTCAGATATCATAGCTGGACATGCGGAGAACGCGGCCTGCGCGAGAGACGTCGTACAATGTAGCAAGGAAAACTACAGAATGGGCATCGGGACCCTAACCCTAATTTAGCACTTGTGTACTTACGCTTGGAAAAAATTGGAATCTCATTCTTGTACCGAGATGAGTGTAGCCACCATCGCAGAGCCTTTCCTACTTGCGTCCTATCCAGAGTCTTCTACGTACAGGAAACGCAAGGCCACACCCATATTTGCCTCTATACCTTCTGGCAGCGATGCAGACCCATTGGTCTCGGTAGCCATCCAGGGAGATGGCGTACACATCCTCGACGTGAGTATCGGTCTTCCACCTCTGAACTGGTAGTAGTACTAAAGCCCACAAAGACCTCAACGCTGCATTTAGCGGTATCACATACACTAGGGCCATCAACATCTTTCTCATGTCCTCCTGCAACGCGTACAAGCCGTACTAATGTTGGCACGCGCAAATGCACGAGCTACGCTGTGCTCGAATCCGGACCGGATGTAGCACCAGAGGGGAAGGGAAGAACGGTAGTTTCCTGGGAGGAGGAGCTATCGGGAGGCATTGCTTCGAGTGCGCAGGAGGGGAGAAATAAACGGACATCTGTGGTATGTGCATTCATTATCGCAAACAAACCGCTGCCCTCAGCCCATCTTCCAGGCTCCACATTCCGTAGTCCACGTATATGCTCCAGATTACCTCCCAAGGAGCGTGGTACTTGTCAGTGCTGCCGGCGACGTCTCGTTAGCAGATGAGGAGTTGCAGATTTTACGGACGCACACACCACAAAACCATCAGCCAAGCACGCTGCTCAAGCACTTCCTTTTTCCTTCCGCTGCGTGCACCTTCCTATCTTCCCACTCTGCCTCGTCCTATGATGCGGTGTCAGTGTCGTTCTTAAGGAGCGGCGATGTATTCAGATTAGGTATAGTCGGAATGGGCGGAGAGATCATCACCTCGCTCGGAGAATGCGTTCTCCCTGTTGAAGAAACAGTACGTCCTTTCTGTTCTGACCAGGGAATGAGTCATTCTCACTTCGTTGACAGGAATTCCTCGATGTCTCCTGCAGCAGCGCCGGCTTCATCAGCGTACTCTGTGCGTCGCTATGTTGTCTCTCCATTCAAGCAATCGCTAAATTATGTGCAGCACCTTCTGGGAGCTGGCACGCCTTCTCCTTGTCGACATCTCTGTCGAGTGCGCTATCTATCTCTCGGGCCGCAGAACCCCTCCGCCTACAAGGCCTCACCTTCATCGGCGGCACACGCATCTCTGAAGCGACTATTACCGCTCTCACTTCCTCACACGTTCTGCTGGCCGCCATCACTAGCTTCCCACAAGAAATCGTCATACTTCTTTGGGACCTCCGCTATGGCGTCCTCTTAGGGCAGCAGTCCATCTCCGTCCCGTCAGCCCTTCCTCGTTCAAAAAAATGTGGCGCCGTCCTGCAACTCGAAGCGTCCCCTCCTTTTGCGTTGGGAAAGTCAGGCTCGGTCAACCTGAACGCAATTCTCGTCCTCCATCCTTTGCCAGAACGAGAGCACCAGGCAGAGCCCGGCAGCACGCCCGCGCGCTCTACCGTCCTCGTCGTGCCGCTGACGGTTCCCAACAAGTCCACCATTGCCGCAGTGATGGGCAAGGCGAACGCTGGTGCACGCTGGGTCTCCACGAAACCTGGCGGACCGGCCTCGCAGGCGCAAGGCCCGGTGGGGCATGGGGGGCCGGAGCTTAGCATCGCCGCGCGTGCGGCTCTCCGCGAGATCAAGGCGTCCATAGACGGGAGCGCGAACAGCAGCACTACCACTGCGGAGACCGTGTTCTTCGACTACGTGAAGAAGCAGAGCAAGGGAAAGGGCGCCGCAGCTCAGGGCGAAGAGGAGCAGCAGAACACGCCGATGGAGTATCCGCTCGTACAGAGCGTGCTGGAGCTTGTGCTACATCCACCATCGCATGCACAAGGGAAGGCGCAGACTATCGCGTACTCGCCCAAAATTGTCAGGTATCTGCTGGAGAAACGGGCGGTCAGCTCTTCCATGGTCGAAGGCGGCGTGCTGTCCGCTTTGGCGGAGCGTAACGACTGGGTGAGCGAACGCATCCAGCTCCATGATGACTCTACCGTCTCTGACTATCGTACACAGGACACGGTCACGCTCGCAATGCGCAATGTTACCGACTTGCCTGAAAACGACATCATCGCGCTCCTAAGCCGAGTCGTAAAGGCGCACACTTCGTCAAATGACGACAACGCAATGCAAGTTGACTCTGCAGCCTCGACGACCACCCCAGCAATCCCGACATTCCTCGCGCAATGTGTTGTTTACCCCTTCACGCCCGCCCTGCAGCGCACAGCAATCCGCAAGCACCTATCTGACGCGACGAGCCTCACACCCGTCCTGGAGGTTCTCGACGGCTGGATCGTCCAGCGCACCGCGGACGACGCACTCCTCTCCGTTTCCGACAGCACGGATCCCCAAAACGTTCCACCCCTGGACAAATCCCTCGCCTTCCTCCAGACTCTGCTTGACGCTTCCTTCCTTGCGCTCCTCGCGCACACCCCTGCGCACAAGCCCCTGCGCACGCTCGCATCTCACATCCAGCCCGCGCTTGCGCAGACAAGTGAGCTAGAGCTGCTGTGTGGGCCGCTCGAGCCATACGCGCGTGCGGCAGCTACGAAAGCGAAGGTGCAAGCGGAGGCCAAAGAGGGCGGCAAGCCGGACGGTGGCAAGGACTGGCGGCGGAAGAGAAAGCTTGCTCACGAGCAAGCGGGTATGGCCGTCGGGCTATACCAGTTCGAGGAGCTGGTGCTGTAGGGTTGTCCTAGAATACAGCGTGTCGCGCGTGTAGCTATCGTGATTGACGTGCTGTTGCTGCGTTCTGAAATACAGTGCAACGATACAGTCAACACGAAAGATAGCAAAATAGATTGCATCGGACATGTAAGGCTACTACTCTACATGCTATGGGTAGATCGTTTGCGCAGGTGCATATGCAAGTAAGGTGCTAGCGAAGTCTGCGGGGTATATACGTGGACTTGAGCAAGGAATGGGAGAAATGAGGATGTCTAAATGAAGACATGACGAGGCGTGGTGTTGGTGGTGCTATAATGAGTGGGTTGGAGGCTTGACTGTGTCAATGATACAATGTGCCGAAATTGAAAAGCATGGACCACGAGAAGTAATGCATCGCAACAGGTGCGAGGAAGCGAGGGAAATAGATGAAAGAGAGTTCATAACTGAGCGTCAGAGTCGTCACAGATAAGTGTATAATTTACGCAGTCCGAGGTCTGGTTAGCATATCAGTCGGTCAACACATACAACACAACGCAGCACGGCAAAAAGAACTAACCTCAGGATTAGGCATGCTCGCCACCATGCAACAGCATCGCCATCATACGCCCCATTCCTCAACGCTCCCTCCATAACCATGCCTCATGCTCCACGTCCCCACCGCAGGCGAAGCACTCGTCCTCGAGCTTCCGTAAGCGTACCGCTCCTCGGACCGCACACGGTCGACGCCCAAGCCCAGCGCGCCCCCGCTCTCTGTGCCCGCCGCGCCAAGCAGCCAGCTCGTCCACCAGCCCATCTTCGCCGACTCGCCATCGCCGTCAGCGCCGTCCTTCGCCTTCCCTTTGCCCTTTCCGGTGAGATCACGGTCTTTCAGGCTGGACTTGGACTTTGACTTGGAGCGAGTTTTGGTGGCGAGGAATTGACTCGAGGAGCCCTCGGGCTTGGAGCTCGAGTAGGACTCGGGCTCGATGAACGATATGCGCTTGGGCGTGGACGCGCCAGACGAGCCTGCGCTTCTACTTCGCCCGAGGCCGAACAGGTCGGGAACGTGAAGCATGGATGGCGATGGAGAGGACATAGCGGGAGATGGAACGACAGGCGTGGAGGGGGCGGAGCTCTTCTTCATAGAGGATTGCTTGGGAGGAGATTGGGCACGGGAGGTCGTGTGCTTTCCCTTCGTAAACAACCGGGATACCGACGCGGTAGCGGTGGACGTGCTGAAGACTGGCGCAACAGAGGGAGGGGACAAAAGCGAAGGTCTGGGGATGGGCGGGGCAGAATGAGTGGAGGAAGAACGGGCCTTGCCCAGCGCCTGCGAGACAGAGCGTTGTTTCTTCAAGATATCACGGAGCGACTCGACCGTGCGGTCGACATGAAGCGTGGCTGACTCAGAAGATGCGGACGAAGTGGACAGCTCCTCGATAGGCGGCGTGAGTGGCCGATGTTGGCGAAGGGCAGGAGAGCCATGGACGGGTGACATTGAGCGAGAGGACAGCGCCGTAGAATAGCCGCAGGACGATGCGTCGATGCGTATTGGGGGAGGGGGGGAAACACGAGGCCGTTTCACCGTCGAAGTGCTGCTGCTAGAGGACCTCCGAGGGGTCCTCGAAGTCGGCGGGGAAGAAGACGAAAAAGACGATCTGCGAGGCATGACGTAAGATGCGAGCATCTCAGCTGCTCGACTATTCGGACGACCCGCCCTAGCAGGTGCTGACGCCGGCGTCGACTCCGGTTCTGGGGCTGGTGTGGCGAAGCCGGTCTGGTTTATGAGAGGCGTGGGCGGCGCGCGAGAGGCAGGACGGACACCAAGGGTAGGAGGAAGGGCTATCAGATCAGCGGCTTCAGAGGAGTCGACATACATAGTAATCGCCCGTGGAGCAGGTGCAACAAAATCGTTGCGATCATGTACGGAGAGCTGCAGATTGGTGGTTGACTGGGATGCGCGGTTGTGCTGGCCTCGGAGGTCTGCAGAGCCCCGTCGACTTCGCCGTGACCGCATATGCTCTGAGAAGCCCGACGAACTCGGGAGGCTCCGACTGATGGACGATTGGTGAGGGATCTGCGAGCCTTCCTCATCTGAGCTATCGCCATTGACGAGGCCTTCTACACCCCGCGTGATCTCGTCCAAGTCGTCCATCCAGGATCGCTGCTGATCCCTATTACCCCGGATGTGCGATGTCAAGAGCTGCGCCCTCTCTTCGAGATGCCGATCCGCCTCAGAATCGTCGGCGAGCACTGCCGAAAGGCTCGTCTGGGTCGACATGGACGACTGGAGGAGTGCGTTGGACATCTCTAGCGCGTGGACGCTACGTTCCAAGAGGGAGTCGAGGAAGGGGTCGCTGGCGCTCGCGATACTTTTCTGCCTTCTGTGGCTGCTCCGCGAGGAACCCTGAGAACGGCGTGCACGCCTTGGCGAAACGGGTATGCTCGGGGGAGGACTGGGAATGTATGCTGTCGAAGATTCAGCTTCGCTCGGGTCTGTGTCCTCGTCTGCCTCTTCTGCGCTATCTGAGTACGCCGGAGGCTGTTCTGATGGAATCTCCGGGAGGTCGGACTGTCGGTGTGAAGGTGGGGAGGTGTAGACGGGAAGGGTGGTGACAGTCGAGTCCGAGGAAAGACGGAGAGCAGAAAGCCGTTTCCTGTGGCCGCCACGGCGATTTGGGAGCGCGTACATGGCTGCAAAGGGTTTATGGACGCGTCCGCGTCCCGAGACGAGTCAGAAACGCGGGAGAAAAGAGGGGTCCGATGGTAATGTTGGTCGGAGGATGGGGGAGACAGCTGAGCGCTGCCATGCGCCAAATGCGCCCGCGCATCCGTATCGGTTGTTGTGCCCTATTTGGCCTTGACCTCATCGCTCCCGCACCTCGCAGTGCACATCTTCTCTTCAATGTCGCATTTCAAATGAATCTACATATGCAGTCAATTTCGGGTATGCCTCACACATCCTGCACTGCTCTACAAAATATCTAGGTATCTGCCGTACATGAAAACAAACTACAAGACACGGCGCCAAACAGTCCGGTGTACACGAGGAGATGGGAATGATCGTGGCGATAGCGCACTCTGGTGACCCACGGAGTCATCTCGAATCAAGCCTTCACGGCAGCGGCTTTGCCAGGTGGGACAGCCGTATCGGGGGTGTCCTCCAATCCGTCTACCTTCTTGGCCGGGCCACCGAACTTCTGGAGGTAGTATGACGCCAGGGTCTCCCATAGCTTGCGCGATAGGAAGTAGTACCGCGGCGACGTCCACAAGAACGTGCTGCTGTGGCCTTCCATGATCTTGTCGTAGTCGGCTGCAAGGAGAAGGTGAGCTCCGTACACTTCTCTGTCAGGAGACCTTGGATACCAAGACGTACTTCGCAGCGTCTCGCGCAGATCGAGCCAATCCTTGGTCTTGTCCGTGAGGATGACATCCACGCCCCATTGAACAGCCTGGCAGGAAGAGAACCACATTAAGCTCACGAGTATGAAGGAACACCGAAGGCGGCCAGCGCACCTCAAGCATCTGCGCAGGGTCGTTCACCGTCCACACTGCCACCTTCTTGCCAGCCTGCTTACATTCCTCCCTGAACCGCGCCCCCTCCCAGGTCGCAAGAATGCTGAAGTTGATCGAGAACACCTCGCAGCTCTCCCAGAAGTACTCCCGCGCCCATGCCATGCTGACTCCAATGAATGAGCGTTTACAGTACGGCAGGATCGTCTTCGCGTGCGGGATGAAACGCGGGTGCCACAGGCCGAGCAGGATCCGAGGCGCAAGGTCGACCTCCCAGTTCGGCTGCGTCGAAATGACCTCGTGCATGAGAGTGAAGAGGTGCAGGGGTTCGTTGAACACTTTCACGTCGATGTCGAAGGTAACATGCCGGTTTTCGGGCTGCGGGCGTGGCAAGTTGGGGCATGCCTCTCCGGGGCAAGAACGGTACACACCTTCATGAGCAGCTCGACCGTCTCCGCAAACGTAGGAATACATTGTTGTGGCCCCTTGAGTGTCCGGAGGTACTGCATGCCTTTGAACCCGTACCAATTCTGCTCCTTGATCTTCCCTAGGAGCCTTCTCTCAGACGAGATCCCACCATGTAATGGGCTTAACACTCACCATGCCCATCGGTCGTCCTATCCAAGGCTATGTGCATGTATGAATGGTAATCGACGCCAGAGCATGCGCATGAACATACTCGGGTCATGGAACATTATAACTACATCATCGAGCGAAACATGGACATCTAGTCCGCCGCTTGAATCAAAGTTCATGCAGCACCCCGTTGCGACTCACCGCTCTCGATCCCCTCAGCACCATCCCGGATGGCGCGCTCGAAACTCGCAAGCGTGTTCTCGGGGAACGCAGCAGAGGCCTATGGCATTGTTATGATGCACACCTCGTCAGGTCACACCCGCGTCCACAAGAGCTCATCGTGCCAAGCTGCAGGCACGCACCCCACGATGACCCCAGCACTCCGGTATATGCCTTGTCGACTCCGCCATCGTCTGCAGTCAGTAGTAAGGAGAAGGAAGGAGGGGGGAGATAAGCAGAAGAGTCCGGGGCATTTAAGAGACAGGAATGGCTTTCATATATCCCAACGCACCTCCACCGCCATGACTGTCGACCACGGCTAGAACAGAATTGCAGAGTGCTGGACACTTACGTAATTGATGCTGTGTAATGTGCCGGCCCAAGGACGAATGCCATCAGCCTCTGCTTTAGTCTCGTGACCAGACGTTCGGAGCTTGAATCGGATGCGAAAAACCGGGGGCATCCGAGCTCCTGAACGTCTGGTGGCTTTACCCCCGTGACTCCCCGCTCGGTGACCTGTGTCACATATCGATCCCATTTGAGGCAGTCCGAACAAGTCAGAGGGCGACTCCAGTGTGCGATGTGGCGGCCTGCTGTTGTAGTTACACCTTGCGAAACCTCCTGTACTGGACACAATGATCTCCTGGATTATCATGTCTGGCTTGCTCTAATATACTCTGCATGGCTATCGTTACTCTCTGACTACTATCCCACGAAGAAGAACACGCCCGCTCATATGCCGTCCTGGAAGCCGCCCGAGACGCCGCCAAAGCCTCGCGTGGATACAACTCGGAGGCCACACAGCAAAGGCTTGAAGAGACCTTCTGACAGCGCATGGGAGGGAAGGTGCCACACCAGTGGCAGGCGGATGTCTCAGAGGCAGTGTTGGTGGGATTAGACTGGGTGCGCGAGGATCTATAAGCGCCCATGGAGCGGACTACTGTGTACTGCCTATATGAGAGATAGACAGATTGAGTATGGAGGATGTGTAGCAAAGGCTTGTAGATGTCATAGAGACGTACCAGTTAGAGGAGTGTCGACAAAGAGCGGAGTAGGCTCAGCGCGACTCGAAGATAGCGGGGAGATAAGCAGGCAGACGCGCACGAAGGACAAGAGGCAGGGAGGTCACACCGGTCACCGAGCGGGGAGTCACGGG